AAAACCGTGATCCGTTCCTGTGCACAGCTCTCATATGACGATGCCCAACGAGTTATCACCACTGGCTCATTGGATCCCAGCATTGAGGTCTTTGGCCAGCCTCGTGAGTTGGTGGAGGAAAATATTAAGGTCTTTTTTGTAAGTTTCAAAAGAAAGAAGAAAGAAAAGCTATTCATGACATGGCAATGTTATCTTGCATGCATGATTTTGTTAGACTATAGCCAAAAGTGACCAACTTGCTCATTTCTCGATTTATGATAGAAATTTTCCCAATTGCTGAGACAAAGGAGGTTTGAGAATGGTGCTTTGTCCATCAATTCGATTAAATTGTCGTTCGAGACGGATGAGATCCAGAACCCACTCGATGTATCGGTTTATGAACTTAAAGAGAGTAACAGACTGATTGAAGAATTCATGTTGCTTGCCAATATGAGCGTTGCCAAACAGATCTGTGAGTTCTTCCCCGATCGAGCTCTGTTGCGTCGTCATGAACAACCCCTCGAGAAGCGCATGGCCGACTTTATTCTGCATATGAACAAGATTGGTCTCGATCTAGATGCATCAAGTTCAGGAGCTCTACAGCGGTCATTGGATGCGATCCAGGATCCTGACGTACGCAGGGTTGTCCGTCTATTGATGATTAAGCCCATGCAACGTGCCAAATATGTTTGCAGTGGCATGATTACCCCTGACAAGTACCACCACTATGCCCTCAATGCACCACTTTATACTCATTTTACTTCGCCTATCCGCCGCTATGCTGATATCATTGTCCACCGCATGTTGGAAGCTTCGCTTGCAGGAGGTAAGTAAGGGTTTTTTTATCTCTCTTTTTTTTTTCTTCTCCCCTTATTGCATTTTTTTTTTTAAAAAAAAAAAATAAAAATAAATTCTTTTTATGCTTTTCTAAACATGATCTCTCTTTCATTTGATTGCTAATCATAGATTCAAAATTTTACCTGACCAAGGAGCTGTGCCAAAAGAATGCGAATCATTGTAACATCAAAAAGGATGCAGCTAAGCTCGCACAGGAGCAAAGTAGCCATGTGTACCTCAGTGTGCTGCTTAAGAACATGACAGAGGCGAATGGAATGGTGATTCGTGATGCGGTCATTGTTCAGGTACTGGATGCGGCATTCGATGTGCTTGTCCCAGAGTATGGTCTCGAGAAGCGGATTCATATTGATCAACTACCTCTTGAGCGTCATACTTGGAACAGCAACACAGAAACATTGAGGCTGTATTGGACTAAGGAAGCATTCAAGGCTCCACTGTCAGAGGAAGAGAACGTGGACGACTCTAATGATGAGAAAAACAATCATCTGTCGTCGTTGCCACATCCTCATGACCATGAAGATATGGATCATCCTGATGTGGCAACGAATGCCTATGATGATGAGCGCGGACTGTTTGATGATGAGAGTGACTATGAGGACGAAGATGTCGATGATTTTGAGATTGTAGGCACAAAATGTAACGGTGCCCATGCAATCGAGGAGGACCAAAGCGAAGATAGCAACGGTGAAGATGACGAGGCGCAGAGACTGACTCGAATTCAGATTTTTGGCCATATCAAGGTCTTGATCACGGCGAATACAACCGTCTCGCCTCCTATGATCAAACTGATGGCTATCAATCCATATGCTGACGCTAATGAAGTCAACAGACCCAATGCTGTACAATCATAGTCTGCATAAGATTGATAACAGATGGGTGTCGTCTTTTTTTTTTTCTCGAAAGCAGAGAATGCTTTTCTCTTACTTGAATTTTTTTTTTTTTTTTTTTTTTTTTTTTTTGTTTCTTTTGATCTCATACCATACATATTCTACTTTTCTTCCTTTTGAATTGATGACCCATTCCTCTTTTTTTTTTTTTTTTTTTTTTTTTTTTTTCTTTGCTTAATAAACTATTTCGTTGAATGCTCACGAACCAATAAAACAAACAATTAAAAATGATCCAGGGAAACAGATAAATGTCAGTCACTGGGCTCATTTCGCCCAAAAATTGTGGCTGATAAAAACGATGTCAAGCCAAGAAAGTTGACCTGGCTTTGCTTTATTATTAAGCATGGATATAAAAAGTTTAAGAAATGGTGTGCTTGCGGGCTCTTCCAAATTTCTTTTTTTTTTTTTACATCCTCCCCATCACTGATCATTTTCATTTCATATCAAGGTAAAAACAAATATAATTTACAAGAATCTTCAAGTTGTAGACTCAATTGAATTATTGGTATTTGATCATTGCATTCCATAACATTATTTTATTTTGCGTGGTTGCTCAGGATAAACTTGTTCTCGTCATTGTTTACAAGGGCATCATTGTATTCAGCAGTACGAATACTGAAAAAACTCTTTTTTTCCTTTTTCATCCTTCTCTGCGTCTTATTCTCCTTCTTCTTTCTCGACTTCAACACCAGTTTTAGCTTCAGGCACCAATATCATGACCACTAGCAAGCTTCCTGTCTACTTTATTTCTCATGCAGGTAAGAAATTATAACCTCGTGGAAAGCTTTTTTTTTTTTTTTTTTTTTTTTCTGACTATAATTCTCGCTTTAATGCATTTTGTCAAAAAGGTCCAAACCAGGCAGTGGATGAATCTGTGACCGCAGATTTCTTTGCGGAATTGGGCAAGAAGTGGTTATCATTTTCAGAGCCAGCACCAAGTTCGATTTTAGTGATTTCGGGTCATTGGGAAGGAGAAGAAGGTGTGATTCGAGTGAGGACATCAGAAGAGAATCAATTATATTATGATTTTTATAATTTCCCAGAGTTCATGTATAAGTTACAGTATCCATCCAAGGGCAGCCCTAAGCTTGCAAACAGAGTTTTGGAGATCCTTGGCAAGGTAATAAACTCGGGAGACAGGCAACGATAATGACAGTGACAATGACAACGATAGGTTCATGACTAGCTGACTGACAATGTTTACTTATTTATTTATTATCATTGCCTATAGGCAGGCATTAAGGCAGAAGCAGAGACGGAGCGTGGAATTGATCATGGTGTATGGGTTCCACTACTAAGGATTTTGCCCAAGCCCGAGATTCCGATTGTACAAATGTCATTAGCGTATATGCGTGGGCAACCAGCAGAGAAGGCGTTTGCATTCCATTATAAGCTAGGTCAAGCTTTGACCCAATTGCGAGAAGAAAATGTATTGATCGTAGCAAGTGGCACAGCGGTTCATAACCTTCGCGATTTGGGATTGTATATGCGATCGGGTAAAGTAGCACCCTATGTCGCGCCTTTCGATGCCTTGTTGGACAAGGTTGCTTTAACCGAGGTAATTTAAAAAAAAAAAAAAAAAAAAAAAAAAAGCATTTATCATGTCATATATTGATATGCTGGCGTGTTTAACATTCACAAAAAAAAACTACATTCATGAATTATACTAAATTTTTTTTTTTTTTTTTTTAAAAAAAAAAAAAAAAATGCGCATTGAATACATCCTGAGAAGCCAAAGGAAGCACGCGAGAAAGCAGCGGTGGAAGAGATGGCCAAGTCACCCCATCTGTATTCTGCTCACCCATCATTGGATCACTTGCTACCATTCCATGTAGCGCTAGGTGCGGCCGGTGAAGACAAAGGAAAAGTCCTACATAAGAACTTTATCCTCAGTTTATCAGAGAGTGCCTATTCTTTTGGCGAAAACTAGGCTAAAAAAATTGCGCAGTGTTAAATACAAACAAAGGTTCTTTATTAGAAAATGCAGTTGATATATTTGTACTGAGTATATCAGCCTTTCACTATCCTTGAATACAAATACTTTTTAAGATCACATCCCAAAATCAAAAAAGTTAGTGTAGCATAGGCAAGGTTCTGTTCATTATGACATGGTGCGGCGTGTTTGTAATTTTGACACATTCGTTGTCATCAAAAAGAATATGTTTTAAAGGTACAAAGGTCTACAGACAAATGCGCATAGATTTGTCGACTATGTGAGCGCTGTTTTGATTGGAAATAAGATGCACAGAATTGAACACTTAAATAGTAAAAAAAAAAAAAAAAAAAAAAAGAAAAAAGAAATTCATCGCCTCTTCTTCTTGTTCATCTTACTCTAACATCATGATTCCTACAACTGGATCCAATTCTGTACCTCTGATCCAATATACACAATTGTCTCCAACTGAGTACTCACAACAGACTCTTGGTGTCAAGAGTGGCATGAGAATTGAGACTGATCAGATTCGGCTTGAGCCTATTTTGGTAATGATTTTTTTTTTTTTTGCAATAGACAAATCAGAACGGTTGCAATTATATGTTTTTTAAGCTAGTATGATTGAATTGCTTTGGTGGCTGGTTTTTAACGGGCGAGACCTGAACTCTCAATTGGCTGCTAGTCTAATACGTTTAAAAAAATTCCTGGGATACATTGTACAGTTTCGACTGTACATGTACCTGAATCTTCTCACTCACATGCTCTGTTACTGTGGTTTTGCAACCCCAAATTCTTTCTGGTAGCTTGATCGTGATGTTCCAGAGCTATGGAAAGTGTACAAGAACCATCCTGAACTTTGGACTTGGATGCCTCATGGTCCGGCGATGACATATGAAGAATTTTATGATGTACAAGCCAAGTTCTGTGCAGCCAAGGATTTCTTCAACTGGAGTGTATATGTCTCTGCTCCTTCTTCTGCCCAGTCCGATGAAGGAGTCAGCATCAAGGAGGAAGAGGAGAAGAAGGAGAAGGAGAAGAAAAAGTGGGTACTGTGTGGATCGATCTGTCTATTGGATATTTCATTGCCGTTCCGTCGGTTTGAAGTAGGCAGTATCTGGTTTCATCCTTCAGTTCATGGAACGTTTGTAGTATTGGAAACGACATATGCATTGTTGAGGTTCTCGTTTGAGCAGTTGCAGGCTGGACGAGTGCAATGGAAGACTCATTTCAAGAACATTGCTTCTCAAAAGGCTGCCGTTAAATTAGGATTTGATCTGGATGGAATACATCGAAAGCATATGATCCATATGGATGGGACATGGCGTCATACGTATTATTATTCCATAACCGATGATGACTGGTTTGGACGAGAGGAAGAGACAGTGGATGGCAGGCCTAATCTGGATGTTGCAGCAGCAGCAGCAGCATTGATTTCTGAGGGCATGAATGATGGTCAAGCGACATCGAAGGGAAGGCAGCATCGGTTGGAGCAATTGATGGCAAGCCGTAAAAATGAAGGCAAAGCCTTACCCGCAACTATTGCTCTTGGTAAGGCGTTGGTATGAAATGGGATGGCTTGGTGGCGAAAACTGTACCTCGAAATCTCCCGAACGGACAAAATGTGAAAGCAAGGTGACCATGCTCTGACAGTATAGATCAAGATGGGTATATAGATATGCTTTCTCACCCATTTGCTCAAATAAAGAATAAAGACAAATGATATTAGCTCTTTCTCACAGCATATTCAGAGTAGTAGGGTTGCGCCCAACTCTTTTATTTAGTCTATTGGCCGTGTGATCAAATGTGTAAATGTCTCTTGTGAGAAAAGTGTTTTTTTTTTTTTTTTTTTTTTTTCCACGGTTTACACTTTACATTTCATTCTTCACTTTTCACTCTTCATTCTCTACTACTCTCCACTCTACTCTCCACTCTACTCTCTACTTTCAACTCTTTACTTTTTATTCTCCACTCTCCACTCTCCACTGTCCATTTACTTCTTTCTCCTCATTCTTATTACTTTTTTATCATTATTTTTATTACTTAGTCTTAACAATGATCATGGTTTCTTCTGCTTCAAGGGTTTTTGCACGCCAGCAACGGCCCTTGCTACTTCCGAAACGCCTCATTTCACTTGCTCAGACCAAAGCTAACGACGGCCCCAATATCTTTTCTGACGCTACAAAGCCTAAAATGTCATATGTCCGAGGTGCAGATGACAATATAAAACCACTGTGTGAAGAACCCATTGGAACTTACTGGGACAGGATTGTTGATCGTCATGGAGATAAACTCGGATTGGTGGTCAAGCATGAAGAGAATCTGCACTGGTCTTTTCGTCAATTCGGAGAGCAAGTCGATAGCCTCTGTAGAGGCTTGTATGCCGCTGGTCTGCGAAAGGGCGACCGCATAGCGTATGAATCTTCCTTTTTGCAAATGTTCACAGAAGCAAAAGATTAATTGTATTGACCAAATTTCTCTCGATGTCCAACCCAATGAATGGTCGTGGGTATATTTATAAAATAGTGTTTGGATGCCAAACAATAGTGCATGGGCAACTCTGCAGTATGCCACTGCGAAATCAGGCATTGTCCTTGTGACTCTCAACCCTGCGTAAGTCTTCTTTGTGGAGTTGTTAAGACTTTTCAGACTATTTATCTCCGCTCCGTCTGTTTAAAGTGCATTTATATTTATAATATTTTTTATTTGTTAGATATCGTAAACAAGAACTGTTGCAGACACTAGCGCTGGTTCAGTGCAAGTCGCTTGTCTTTGTACCAGGTCTTAAGTCCTCGAATTACAGTCAGATGCTTTTGGAACTCTTCCCAGAACTCGAGTTTCAGTCTCCAAATGAACTCTCAACTGCCAGTCTTCCTACGCTTCGACAGGTCATCATTGTCAACAATCGGACCAATATGCCTGAGACAGCCCGTATGAGAGGCTTGACAAAGTTTGAGGATCTTTTGGTCAGGAATAAATCTACAGCCTTAGATGACGCCTTAAAACACGAAAGGCTTGCTATCAGCAACAGAGACATCATCAACTTGCAATTCACCAGTGGCACCACAGGACTCCCAAAGTAAGCAAGCAAAAAAAAAAAAAAAAAAAAAAAAAGAGAGAAGAATGTAAAGTGATTGTTTTGTTTATATTTTACTAACTTGAGCTACACAATATACATTGCTTTAAGGGCTGTATCTTTGTCTCATCGTAATATTCTGAATAATGGCATCGCCATTGGCGATAATATGAAGTTGACAGAGAATGATTTGCTCTGCTGCCCTGTACCTCTGTTCCACTGCTTTGGTCTGGTCTTATCCAGTTTGGCTGCCATGACCCATGGAGCAGGCATCATCTATCCCTCCGAGATTTTTAATGCAGAGGCTACATTGAGAGCTGTCTCAGAAGAGCGGGCCACAGCTCTTCATGGTGTGCCCACAATGTTCCTAGAAGAGCTGAATCACCCCAATTTTAATCAATACGACCTTTCTTCCTTACGGACGGGTATCGCAGCTGGCTCTCCTGTCCCAATCGAAGTCATGAAGAATGTGCAGTCAAAGATGCGTCTTCGTGATATCACCATCTGCTATGGTATGACCGAGACTTCGCCTGTGACCTTCATGACTCTCACGACGGATGCTATCACGGATCGATGCGAGACTGTTGGTCGCGTCATGTCGCACGTTGAGGCAAAAGATATGATGCAGCTTTTCCATTTTGCTATGGACAAACAAATAAATTAAAGAGTGTCATTTTGTGTAAATAGATAGCTAGATTAATGGTCTATTATATGGATGTTTAATCTCATAGTTGTTGATCCTGAGACGGGTGAAACGTTGCCTGTGGGCTACTCAGGAGAGTTGTGCACACGTGGCTATGGTACTATGGAGGGTGGATATTGGCAAAACAAGGCCCAGACGGACGCGGCTGTGGATGCTGAAGGCTGGATGCATACTGGAGACACTGCCATTTTGGACGACCGAGGCTTCTGCAAAATTAATGGCCGTATTAAGGACTTAGGTAATGTTACAAATAATGGATGAGTTGAAGATCTTTTACACATGAAATTAATATGTTTATTTGTTATTTCTGTTAAATGACTGCAATCATAGTGATCCGTGGAGGTGAAAAGATTCATCCAGTGGAAGTTGAGAACTGTCTGTTCGAACATGAGGGTATCAAGAATGTATCAGTGATTGGAGTTCCAGATTCACGATTTGGAGAACAGGTCTGTGCCTGGATTGTGACCAAACCTGGACATGAGGTGACTTTGGAGGACATACGAAAGTTTTGTGAGGGTAAGATTGCACACTACAAGATCCCACGATATGTGATTGTGGTAGAAGAACAAGATGTTCCGAAAACACTCTCTGGCAAGATCCAGAAGAATTTAATGAAAGAACGGTCCAAGAACCTGCTGGCGTTGGAATAGATCCGACTAGAATAAAATAAAATAAAATAAAAACGCCAAGATAACGACTGATCTTAGTTTAGATTAAAGTGAGCAAAGAAAGCAAAGAAAGCAAAGAAAACATCATTTGTTGGAAATTGTGCCTGTCCTGTTCAAGTTAAACAGCAGTCGACAATCGGTCAACTTCATCTTTTTTTTTTTTTTTTTTTTTTTTTTCTTGCTCAGCCAACGGTCGCCCCGCACACACGCCAATGATCTATTTTTAGGGGACGAAGAAAACCTTTCATCTGTCATCCTTCGGCTTACTCACTATCTCCTTGTCGTCATCTCTTTTTTCGTTCATTCGTTCATTTCCTTCATTCTCTTTCTTCTTTCCTCTTTCTCTTTTTCTTTTGAATTACCCTTCTCTCTCCCTCACTCTCTTTTTCGCCTTTGTCTCTTTCCACCTTTCTCTCTTTCTTCTGCATCACCAATATTTCCAGGACTTCACAGGACTTTGACAGGAATAAGGAATACTTTCAGCATTAAATAACTATATACAATCATTAGATCCATGACAGCATCCAGGACTATCAAACTCTCCCTCTTCGTCTTCTTATTCTCCACGGCCATTCAGCCTGCTATTACTCAAGGAGTACCGGATCCTATCATAGAGACCTGTCTCAGTGTTGGCTGCAGCACTACAGCCAAGCTCTTAGAGCCCTGTGGTGGAGGAGCCACCAACTCGTCACTTCAACAAAACTTTGTCTACACTGTGACGCCCGTATTGGGCTCTTGTGAGTGTAATTCTCAGTTCTTCAATGCCTTCTCTCAATGTCTGTCCTGCATTGCCTCTCAAGCAAAATCAAGACCCACGATTGACAATCAACAAAACTGGGTGGCGGACTGTAAAACCTATGGGTTCAACTTCACAAATGAACCTCTTCCCAATTATGTTGCCCCTATTGGTGGGCCCGATCCTTCAAAAGGCGGATTGGCTGGAGGAGCAATTGCAGGAATTGTGATTGCAGTTTTGGCGGCTGTGGGAGCGATTGCTGCGGGATTCTTCTTGTTTAGAAACAAGAGGAGACGTACAAAGGGTGGTATTTTTGAACGGCCTTACTCTGCTGCGAACACGGACAATGATGGATATGAATCAACACCATCGCAGCCTTCGTTCAATACTTATACCAACTACAACAATGCTGGCTATCCTGATAATCATAATTATTCAGGTGGCTACTCGGATGACCCGGATCAGTCGTATTACAACAATAACAACTACAACAACAACTTTAATCAACAACAGCAATTATATAGCTCTGGTCAGAACGATGAGCCCATTATGATGGAGAATCTCCAGCATAGCACTTACATTTCTCCACCTGCACCTATGACGAACGAGGCCGTAGCTGCGGTCACAGCCGCTGCCGGAGGGACAAGCGGTCTTAGTCCTCTAGGCTCACCTAGACCTTCTGATCAATATCCTCAGAGTTTAAGGAGCAAGAATAACATCTGGGGCGAGAATCGTCAACATGAATACAGTTCAGACTTGGTTTCGACCAATCAGGCGCTCCATAACGATAAAGCTGTTTATGACGAAGCCGAAGAGCTGGAGCCACCTCGTGCGCGTGACAGATTCCAGAACGACCGAGATGATTACACGAACCGTCGATCGTTGACGCCACCCCGAGCCAACATGCAATCGTATAGAGATGAATTTCAGAGACCCAGCTTTGACAGAGAACCCCGACGTAATAGCGGCTCTGAACGCGGTTCAGTCACGGGTTTGAATCTGACGTCTCGTCCTATTCCAAGTGGTCTTGCAAGTGGTCCTATCACAGGTTATGACAGCAATGATGAAGATAGTCCTGAGAATGCTCGTCGTCGTCGAGCTGCGGAGCTGTTCTCTGCAGAGGGTACACGACGATGAAGAATCACTCATTACCACCATATCATACATCAACAGGACAAAAATACTAACTCACTCCATCCCCCCATCAAAACATTCATGTGCATGCATGGGAAGCCCTTTTTTTGCCGTTCACGTTATCCATTAAATCACCCCTTTTTCCTCATTTTTACCCTTCAGCTTCAGATTTTGTATACATTTAATAAAGACACTCACACTTTAAAAGATGGGAAGTTAACTCATCCAGAGACATTGCCGAAGGGTATATTTGATATAATACGAAATCTATATAATTGAGATAGGTACACTGAGCTTGTCATGATAATAATATGCTTTTTTCTTTCTTTCTTTCGATCCATTTCTACATGTGTCAACACTGACTCTTTTTTTTTAAATTCTTATTCGTCAATCTTCCTGAGCCATCGCATGATCAATTCGAACGAGGTAAGCGCACAGGCATTTGTTGGGAATGCACGGAGCAAGCATGGCACAAACCCTAAGTTGAAAAAAATAATATATAAATATATCAGTCATCATACTCTCTCTATGATGAGCTCATTATTGTTTGTTGAATACTTATTATTATTATTATTAAAAAAAATACCTCTGTAGAATCCCCTGAGTCCTTCTGTCTTGTACACATGCTTGAAACAACTGACGATGGTTGGAAAGGGCGGGTTCTTGACGTCGGGTTGAGTCATGATTTTGTTTTTGACCACATCTATGAGTAATTTAAACAAAACCCTGTCAAAATCGTATACCATCTTTCAAAGTCAAGCTTGTTTGGCTGTAGTCCTGTTTATCTGATTATTTTTTTTTTTTCTTTTTTTTTAATCTTTTTACCACAAGGGAAAGCAAAAACCCAGAAAGTATTGGCACCGAGTCCTCCTGCCCAAAAGTTGATGGCTGCCTCGGACATGTTGGTTCTCTTGCGGAATTCAGCGGCGAATATCTAAACACAGAATTTTAGAAGTGATATGATAAGCATTTGTATGTATATATTTGCAATATAAAAAAACAACAGGGGGATCAGGCGACAGTATCCAAACATGCCTCGTAACTGCTCCACCACATGAAAAACCAGCTTCGGAACCAGAGCGTTGCCACCAATCCCTTCCAGAGCCCAGTGACCCCATTGTTCTTGATCTAGTAGATAATCATTCCATAAAAAAAGTAGGTTTAATGACATGTCAATTGAAGAAACACAATAAGATAAAAATTAATCAACCCGCTGTTTACCAACTGTCTAGCACAGTCAATAGGCCCATTATAAAGCTTCGTCTTGGCATCGTATTGGACCTGAAGACGAGCCTTGACGTGTTCGATAGGCGCTGCAAGAAATGAGACAGTAACTCCAGCGCCTTTCATATATAAATGAAAGTCATGATGAGGTTAGTAAACTTCATTCAATTAATCAGAATTTATATATATATATATATATATATATATTTTTCCTATTCACGTCTTTTTTTACCAATGCCAGCAAGACCATTATAGAATGGTGTCAGTTTAACGTTAGGGTCTCCTCCTTGTAGCATCAGTTTGTAGTATGATAGAGATCCAAGCCTATTTTTTTTTTTTTTTTTAAAAAAAAAAAAAAAAAAAAAAAAAAAGGGAGAGGTTGAGTCGCCATCCAAAGTCATATTTCGCATTTCCAAGAATTGAGCTAATAGTAAACTGTACATGAGGCTGTCCATAAATGCCCATCCGATCAAAGGTGGAGTAGCACCCTTATACAAAGCTCGAGGACCCTCTTTCTTGATTGTCTCTGTAAGACATTGCAAAGGTCCTTGGAATTGATTTGCCCCTGATGTCTAATACACATAATAGAAGTTTAGTTTTTTGGTTCATCTCATCCTTAAAGAGCTCAATAGCTCTCTCTATTGATCAATGGGCACAGGCCCGCATTATGATCCTCTCTCAAGGAGTAATTACCTGCATGCGCACTTTGATTGTGTCTGGCAACAAGCACCAAAAAGTTTTTTTTTGATCAGTTTTGTTGTCGCACGAACAAACATGCATATGCCAATCCGAGAAAGTCACTTTAAAATACGCTGAGCGAAGAAAAAAAAAAGAGTCCTTTTACAAACCAAAAGGGTGTCCAACAATCAACTTGGTGATGCCCGAGAAGACACCGGCAATAAAGCCATGTGATTTTTTCTGGTTTCGTTTATCTTCCCCTACTATCACTCGTGGCTGTGTTACTGATGTTTTTGTAACTGAAACGGGCGGCGATGATCCAGGCACAGCAGTAATAGTCAGGGATGCTGAAGTTGGAGCAGTTTGTGCTGACATGAGGGATGAGAATGAAAGTAAAGGAAATTGGAATGGAATGAGAGAGTGGAGAGTGAAGAGTGAAGAGTGAAGAGTGGAGAGTGGAGAGTGAAGGGTGGAGAGTGAAGGGTGGAGAGTGAAGAGTGGAGAGTGAAGAGTGAAAGTAAGGAATGAGGAATGGGGAGTGAAGAGCAACTTGGAGGACGAAAAACAACAAAACGAACGCCAATGGGTAAATGTCTTCCGTGGCTCAACTTACTCACATTCCTCTGTCAAGTTGTGACTGTCCGTGATAGATCCCGAAACGCGTCTTATCAATAGGCCTTCATGATCTTACTACAAGTTCATGGATGAACAAAGGACTCACTCACAGGACAGAAATGTTTAAATTAGTAAAATCGAATTGAAGTATGATATACATCTACGAATCTTTCGGTTACTGCATGGGATTTTGGATACAGACTGCCACTAGCCTAGAGTGTTTTTTTTTACGCAACTTTTTTTTTACTGTGCCCTGTTTTCATATCCCCCAGCTAAATAATGCTCATCCTCATCCACCCTATTATTCACCCTCGCCAGTACTATCGCTCAATCTCAATGGCCCACAATGTAATACAGTAGACACCCTTATTTGGTCACTTTCAGTTTGGCATGAAATTTTTTTTGAGGCTGGACTGTATATACTACCTCGGTCCAGATCAGTATCTCATCAACCGAATCCTATGCATCCTCTCCTTCTGGACAGTTGGGGTTAAGAGTGGATTATCATTCACTCTTCCCTATGGAGCGTTTCTCGAGCCATTTCGTCCTTTCCCTACCACTATATATTTCAAGTCCTTCTCCCTCCTTTTTTTTGATCATTCTTCTCAATCTTCAACACCTTCTCATAACCATTTAAGCACTCTCAATATCTGCTTTTTCATTTTTCATTTACCAGGCACTTTCTACACCTTTTAAACAAAACTATTTAATTTTGCTACACTCTTGCCGATTGATCAACACCCGTCCCTTAATTTTTTTATTTCTTATAGTGAAAGAGAAAGGGGAAACGTATCATATTCAGGGAAAAAAAAAAATGCGTTCTTTAACGTTTTTGAGCATGACGCTGGTTTTATCCACAGCGGCATCGTTCCTATTTGATGCCGCGGCAGCGGAAATGAATAAGGAGCAACAAAAGCGCTACCCCAAGAAGGATCGATTGCCTGATGTCAATTCTCCTCAAGTGAAAAAATGGATTTCTGAAATCGATTGGTCCAAGGTCCCTAAAATACCGATTGCAAAGGCTAATATCCCCAATTGCCCGGATTGCCCAAAGAACAAGAGCAAGATCCCTAAGGGTGCTTGTTGGTGGACCTGTGATGGATGTGTTGCAGATGATGATATCGAAATTTGCCCTCGACAGAATGCTTGGGGTTTGACCTATGATGATGGTCCCAGTGAGGAGACGCCGCGGCTGCTTGAGAAACTCAAGAGGTCTAACGTCACCAGTACCTTTTTTGTGGTCGGGAGCCGGATCCTAGAATACCCAGAAACCTTGAAGCGGCAGATCAAGGAAGGTCATCACATTGGAATCCATAGTAAGTCAAAAATATATATATATACATATTCGATACACTTCTTTACCTACTCTTTTATTCACTTATCTTTTTCTTTCTTTTTTTTCCTTTTCTTTCTTTTTTTTTTTTTTTTTTTTTTTTTTAAAAAAAAAAAAAAAAGCGTGGTCTCATGCGGGTATGACCTCGCTGACAAACGAGCAGATTGTGGCTGAGATCAAATGGGCCGAGCAGATTGTGTTTGATGTAACTGGACTTAAAACAAAGTACTGGCGACCACCCTATGGTGATGTGGACAACCGTGTCCGCGAGATCGCCCGCCAACTGGGCTATAAAACAGTGATTTGGACCAAAGAATGGGATTCAAACGACTGGCAAATCCCTGACAAAACCATCACTAACAAAGAAGTCTATAGGAATTTCAAATGGGCACTATCAACTGTTCCAAGTCTCAAGGGAGGAATTATCACCCTTGAACATGATCTGTTCACTCAAGAGGTTAATGTTGCAGGCCCCCTGCTGGATATGGGCATCAAGAAGGGACTTGATCCCATGGACATTGCTCAGTGCCTCAGTGACTCCCATCCATATCAAAACTCACCTGTCGACATTAAGCCGCCTACTACTCCTGTAGACAAGAAGCAACCTGTTGATGCAGGCAAGAAGCAACCTGCTACTGCTCCTACGGAGAAGAAGCCTCAGGGTATACAGCCTTCCCAACCTAACCCAAAGGCTGCTGGGTCTAATTCCAACAGCTCTATTCCAGTTAATGGCTCTGAGGATACCAAGGCTCCCAATAACAAGAAAACATCAGACGCTCACCATATCCTCTGGGCTACTTCCAGTCTAGTATTCATTGCTGTGTCTTCATTCCTGACGCTTTAAAAATGAGTGGAAGGAGGACTAAAATAAGTACGATGATCGGGTTTTCCCTGAGTGACTAAGTGTTGATAGGTCAATTTTTCCATTCCTTTCGATTATGTAGAAGTAATTTCTTACCATTGTTCCCCTATTAAAAAAAAAAAAAAAAAAAAAAAAAACTACATGGAAAACGATAGAATAGAGTATTGCGACTGGGAGATAGCTCTTCTTTTCTTAGTTAGGAATAATATCACGCGAGTTTTATATCTCATCCTTCTCATCCTTCTCACATTTCTCATATTTCTCCTTTTATTTGAGTTACAATGGTTGCCATAGCCTCTCCCTTCCTCCTTCTCCTGCTCCTATTTCCCTCGCTTGTAAAAGTATTCCATCTTCTCGCTCTCACATATTCTCCTGAGACTTTGCTCATTGAAGGGTCCTGGTAACAACATGGAAACCAGCATCCATGCTAATTCAGATACTATTGAAGGAGGCATGACTTCATCTTGCCGGCCTTACTTCATCTTGCCGGCCTTACTGACTAGATATGGTACGGATGGCACTCTTGCTGTAATGGTGGTTCTGTCTGTTATGTCTTTTCATCTTTTCTTCCCCTTCATCTTTTATACCCCTTCTCTTACTCACTGTCGTGGTGGATCAATTTCCCCCTCTTCTTTGTCTTTTGCATGCATTCCAGATATGCTTCCATAGAACCGCATAGCTTTATATATTTTTGTTAAAGTTTGCTCTATAGCTTGAGCTTCAACACCGGCCTAGATGACGATGGTCTCTATGTATTTTTTTATTTTATTTTATTTTTTTTTTTGGCATACAATCTTTTTCGCTCTCACGCTCGTGTTCATTTCTGTCCTAACTTTAAGTGTTTCCGCTAGAGCCCGTTGCTACGCTCGAGCTCCGGATCCAGGTCCAGGTTAGAAACAAAGGACGGCAACTTTCAATTTTTTTTTTTCTTCGTTCGTTCTCCAATCTTATGTTCATTTCCATCCTAAAGTACTCCTTTCTTTGCACACATTTTTCTTCTTTTTCGCGTTTTTCCTTCCTTTCCTTCCTTCCAACTACTTCGCATCACCCATTCTTCATTTATAGCTTCATAATAACAATAGCAACAAAAAAAAGTCCGAACCGACCGAAAAAACCAGCTTTAATACACACATTCTTTCGCATTTTTTATTTTTATTTTTTATTTTCTATACATATCCCTGTGATACATTAGCGAAGCAAGTCATATCATCATGCCCAATGCCAACCCTAGAAAGACTCCTACTGGCGCTGATAATGGCAGTATTAGTGGGAATAACAATGTCAGTAGCGACATCTTCTATTCTAGTCATCAGACTGATATTGATTCTGGGATTCAAAGCCTCACAATGGCCACTGGGAGCTCTCTCTTCGATACAACTCAAGGCCAACAGCGACAACAACCACTAAACTACGAAGTTATCACTAACCCGAGTGTGTCAACGCCCCCTTCTTTGAACACCAGTCTGTCATTTCATTTATCCACTGCTCCAACCTTAAGGTCGTATTCAGCGCAAAATGTCCGCAGCCTGGAGACAATCGTCAATTTCTCAGGACATGCACCCACACCGCCGTTCCAATCCCCCATTGACTGCAATGGCAGTGTACCAGATATCACTATTGACGTTGGCAGTGATCGATCAAATGATACATTAGTCCCAGCTAAAGGGAGTAGAGGGCGGATAGACAAGGGCAAGGCTCATCAAAGAGATTGTAATTTGGATCAATCTGCTAGTGATTATATCACTTTCGATACCATTTTAAGAGAAGATCTGAAAGATTTTTTATTGAATAGATATGATCAACCCATATCAGCTTTTACGGAAGTAACAACAGACCCAGAAGCTGTTGCTCCTGTAGTCAACTCGGGCTTCGCAAAACTAAGGTATATTATGAGCGACAAAAGCGCAACTGACGATAATTCAGCGGCAGTAGCAGTAAAGACGACATCTATGCCACCAACAACGGCAAAGATGACGGTAGGGATCTCGCCAACAGGAAAGCGATATGTAAATTCAGGGCTACGCAATAAAGATCGCAAGAAAGCTCGCAAGGCCAAAGCCAAGAAAGCACTCACATTGTTTTCAAACGAACGCCTTTTTATACATTGGATTAGGGCTGGGATGCTATTAGGTGGATTAGCAATGATGCTGCTCAACTTTTCAGACGGAAGCAACATTCACAAAGGAGTTGATCATACTATAGCAATCCAAGCTGGGAAAATCGGGGAGCGTGTTGGTGTCTCCTTGCTCGTCATTTGTCTCATCTGTCTCATCTATGCCTCCACTATCTTCCATTGGCGGCACTTGGGCATAGTCAAAGACAAGAGCGATGGTCGATACTTTGACAAAGTTGGTCCCACTTTGCTGACACTTGCATTACTGATAACCTACTCTATCAATATTGCCTGTAAGTTTATAAAAGATAATGGCGAACGTTTTGTAAAAAAAAAAAAAAAAAAAAAACTGACTGTATCCTTGGCTCTATACCCTCCTGTTTTTCTCCTACTGTTCTGTAAAATTCTGTTAACAATATGTATATTTTCACTAGTGACAATCCGAACGACATCCCAGATGGCGGATGATTACGCACCTTCCATCTTTAATAATGATTTAAACTCTAATGACTTTCCTATCAACAAGAGCAAGCCAATACCTCCCCCAGTAGCCTCAACTGTAATTTCACCTGCTGCTGCACCAACCCATAATTCCCGCGTATTTGATGCTCCATATTTGCCAGTTGGGCCCACCGTCACGATCGATGAGCACAGCGATGATGATCAGGGTGGTGGTGCCGCTGCAGAGCCCACCAATCAAGATGATTCATCACCATCTTCGTCGCAACTGTCTCCACCAGGCGATGCTGTTGATTCTGAACATTAAATCGACAATAACACCTGCTGTTGCTGACGTTACTGATAATGGATTCAAAGACGCGTTATTCTACCACGTGGAAAATTTTATGGGACAAGCACAGCAAAAAAAAAACAAAAAAAAAATCAATAAGCCCTCATATATTATACCATCCATGTATGCTTCTTGCTTGATAGAATGGACATGGTTAGACAATTTTTTTTTATAACCCAACTCTTATAAATGTTCTTTCATCCTATATACCTATTTTATCTTTCTAAAATAAAATACATGCCTTTTTTTTTTTTTTTTTTTTTTTTTTTTCTTTCAGTTTAATCTAATGATGACAACAATTGAGTCTAATCTCTATATAATATATATTTTTTATATCCATTTCTTTCAGCAGAAATCAACGATGCTTGCATTCCACTTTTCAACAAAGCCCTGGACTGGTAGTGCAATCTTCCAATCGACATGACCTGCACCAAGGTAGAACAAGGGTGGCTAATTTTGAATAAGAACAAAACAAAATAAAAATGTGTTGAGACTGACTGGCACGAATAAAAATTTAAATTGTTTCATCTAGTTATTTATCCTTACCGATAACTCTGCGACTGCTTTGGAAATCAAAATAGGGATGTTTGTTCTCATCCCTGGAAATGGAATTAATAAATAAAGAAGGGGAAAAAAGCTTAGTCCCACTTCACCTTGTAGAACTTTTTCATATTTTATGTATGTCTATATTTCCTTACCGACAGGACTGACAGCATTGTTGCCAAAGCCTGTCAATTCAAACGACTTTTCTGAAGAAGCGATCCGGAGATGAGTTGCTTTTCGGCTAGCACCCGTTCTCTCTCTCACAGCTTTCTCAAGTTTGCTGATATTGACCGCTCCTTCATATTGGACAATAATACACCAATAGCGGTCCTCGTCCACAGCCTTAGCCTCGTCCTGTTTGAATTTAGTGTTCTCAAAGATCAATGTCTTGCAAAGGTGAAAGGTCGAAGGACAACCCATGACTCGAGCACGTTGCTCATATGACCAGTCGTAATAATCGCTTGCTACATGAAAGAAGCGACATTGTTTTGGAAGACGACTCTGAGCATCCCTATAAACCTGTTGAAAAAAAAATGTACAGCACAAGATGAATATTTAAGAGCAAAAGATTTTTTTTTTTTTTTTTTTTTTTTTTTTGTTTAAGCTTGCCTGCATAGTGCCCTCGGGTGCATTGTCTGGAAAGGCATCTGTTGCGGCCTTGAATAGAAAATCATCCAAGGTTGAGATTGGCTCAGAATTGGCATCAGCCATGAGCTGTGTCCCTAAAGTTCCAACCGTTGATTCAGGCATGGAAATGAATGAAAAATTGCTTGTACACAGGTTTTGCGGGGGACAACAATACATCTTTTAGTCACATGATTTGACTAGAGGAAGAAACCTTGTGTAGCATGCCATCTTTAAGTGGGATGTCCTATGTCAATACGTACGTACAAGTCCCTTTGTCGCATCCCTTGGAGCGGGAGTGGAGTGTTGTAGGCCTATGGATCTTTGCTTCTGCCCTTGTGCTCAGTAACAATTAAAGAAAGGCACCAAATAGGTCTTTTGCAGCCACGTTTTCCATTCTCGCCTGCTCGTGCCCCGGTGCTAGGACCAATGAGTAGGACGCCCATTATTTGTACCAAAGTGGTTATACTTGATGAAGGATTGTCTTCTTAGCTTTGAGAACAGCAAAGCTGACGTGAAAAAAATAGGGGGGAAGAAAGGAGAAAGGGTTAGGGAAAAAGAAGGAGAACAGTTAAAAAGAAGACCAAGAAAAAAACAGCCAATGCATTAAATGCCTTGACTAAATATTTGTTTCTGCATCAATAAATCCTTGTGTCCTCCTTTGCTCCCTTTTTTATTTCTTTTTATTGAGCTCCCCCTGACTCTTAACCCACTATATCCTTCCCCTTCTCTGTCTTTTATGCCTTCACTTTCCAGCTCATCTCTTTCGCATACCATCGCAGCAGATTAAATTGGATGCAGATGGGCTGCGTAGCCAACGTAACGGAAACCTCTTTTTTTTTTTTTTTTTTTTTCTTCGAATACGTTTGCTTTTTGTCGAAGAATAAGATAGTCTTAAGACCTGTGAATCCGGTTTTTTTTTTTTTTTTTTTTTTTTTTTTTCATTTGATTCTGCACCAACATTAAAGCATCAGTCCACTTGCCACCAATTTAATGGGTTTACTATGCTCTTGTGCAAATGGCTGCTTTGAAAACTGGTTTGTTATCCAAGAAAACGGATGGCATTGTTTATTGTTTATTATGCCGGTACACATCCCGTACCCCTTGGTCTCCTTTGTGCCCTCTCCCTGGATGACTTTATTTCATTCAATTAGTTTTTGTGTTCGATGCCTTATTATCGTCAATCATTTCGTAACTTTTATTGGTTGTTCTAAACGAATTCATTTTAGGCATGTTTATCTTTGTATTTGCAGTCTGTGCAATTCCCCCTTGACACACTCCATCTTTCAACAAATGGACACTACAATATGCCATACTTCTTGCTTAGCAAATTGGTACTAAGACTAAGCATCGAAACGATACATCTTCGGAATATTAATGGTGCTTACTGTATCTATTATACCGACTCTTTATGATCTATGGGGCATAAGGGAAGAGGAATAAGAGCTTATATATACACAGAAATGTCTGGATATCTAAGAAGGAGCTTCTCCTTTTTATCATTCAGATGCGCAAACATGGACTGACTCACTTTGTAAGCTACAAGCAGTGCCAGCTGAGGTGTCAGAGGGCGCATCAGCCGGAAAAGAAAAACCGCGGCCAAGGTACAGATAGCCAAATTAAGATGAAAGAGCTCGTTGCCTTCGTGTATATGAAGCAACTATAAAAAGATATGGTAACAATAATATCAATAACGTTGTTCGTTCCTCCCTTTCTTACCTCAAAACTCGCTCTTATATTCTTCCTATCCTATTCAAGGGAAAAGGCCGATGCTATGCCCAAATCGTTGTCCCTTCTGTCCCATGAGCTTAAATGCTCATAAAATCAACAATTTATTTAGGGTTTGTTCATTAAAATATATATGTTCTGATATATATATATATATATATATTGACATGTGTAAAAAAGCAAAGGTCCATCTTGGCAACATTCCGCATCTCTCAATTGTCATTTGGTTACAAATGAGAATTACAGTTGCAATGTCGCCAGTATAATTTTCAATGTTTCCCAACGGTTTCTTTGTCTAGAGTTTGTACACAAATATGTGTACCACCGTCGTTGCCACCAACTTTTTTTTTCTGTCGACGCGTCGTCGCGTTTTTGACCGTCTTATTTTTCGGACTTAGATCTTAATAGCGATTAGAAAGGATGGCACAACCTGCTACACTCTCTCTAGTACATAAAAATAAAATCCACTCATTTATTTAATATTCATTTAGTCCAATAAATTAAACATAAAATATGGGTTTGTTTCCCTTTCACTCCACTCCACTCTATCCTCATCCCCCCTTCCCTCTCTCCCCTTTGTCCTTCCCTTTTCTCCTCTATCTTCTTTTTCTTAATATTTCCTTCTCTTCTCTCTCTTCCTTCTTCTTCCTTCTTTTTTTTTTTTATTTTTTTATTTTTTTATTATTATTATTATTCTTATTACATTTTATTTGACAAACATTGTTGGTAACAACTTTAGTATTGACATTCAGACGATCTCAAAACTTTACCAACTACTCCTACCACTCATTATATACACAACTACTCAAAGGATAGACGGCAATCCTTACACGCTAGCCGCACCCTCATCACCAGATCGCGAGCGTGCCGTACGCCGTGTCCAACCTTCATAGCTCCTTTTCGGTCCATCTCAATAGGCACGCTATGCCCAATTCTCCCACGCTTACGGAACAGCACCCTCTCCCACCCCCACTCACCAGAGCCAACTCGGTTGTCTCACTCTATCAGTCATGCCTCAACCTGATGGAACGTTTGGCGGGAGTGCCCGATTTTGAGCAGTACCTGGATCCAGAGTTCTTGCAGAACATTCAGGCAGGGGTTTCCACCCTTACCAGCCCCAACGACCCAGTTTCTCAGCTCTGGACCCTTTTCCGCCTTGGCGCGCCCCTAGCCTGTATCTTCAACGGCCTCCGACCTAAGGAGCCCTTGAAGATCAACAACAAAGACACCAATCTCACCAATATCAATGCCTGCAAAATCCCCGTCTTCCGCTTCTTAGTTGCTTGTAGGCAGGAACTTCAGTTCAAGGACGAGGACCTCTTTACTATCTCTGAACTTTACCAAGATGATACCAACGGGTTTGTTAAGGTAAGAAGAGATAAAGAGGAAAGAAGTAGAAAGTTTCCTTAAGGGGGCCAGCTTAGCCACGCTCCAGATACCATTGATAGCAACGACGAAATTATAAATGGGATCAAAAGGAAGCACAGCAGAAGCAAACAATGTTGTCCCAGTCCACCCTCTATCCCTCCCTAGCTTTCTGTTTTTTTTTTTTTTTTCCTTCCCGTTCTCGCATGTCTTCTTTTCATTATATCATTGTATTTCCTGTCATCCGAAAGCAGATACAAAGGAAAGAGTGAGAGAATGAATGAACCCTGGGCCCTATCATTATTCTTTACAACATATTGATTACCCATCTATCTTTAAAAAAAAAAAAAAAAGATACACAGCATAACCGTACACATGCACATCACATTTATTTTTCCCGTTACAGGGACCATTAAAGAGCTTAAAGAGAGATAAAGTTGAACATTGACAAAAATCAACACGATTTCACAAATGTATATAAACAGTGGGTCAATGCACTATTGATCCATGTGAGGAGGGGGTGAGGAGTGGAGATGCCGTCCCGTAACAAGGTAGTATGAGGGAAAGAACAAAGAGAGAGTGAAAGAGAGAGCAAACCGCTCGAATGAACGAATGGGAAAATGAGGAAGCAACACAATGGAAAGGAACAAGTAAAATAAACAAACAAATAGCAAGGCGTGTCAGTGTCCAGCTGATGTGCCCAATGCACCCATGGCTCACAAAACACGCCACGGACATGCCTTAGTATTGAGCAGAAAGGCACAGAAGGACGAACAGATGTGAAGCAAAAAAAATAAAAATAAAAAAATACAACGGATTGGAGCATGGCACCCAGACAAATGCATCCGGGAGACCATGTAACCATGGCATTTTTTCTTTCCCGATATCTGTTTCCTTCCCATCCATGTCTCCCCATGTCTCCCCTCTTTTACTTTCCCCCAAACTTTCCTCACCTCATCCCTTTGTCCTCCCACTCCTTATATTTTTTTTTAGTCATCGCCTCGTTTTTTTTTTTTTTTTTTTTTTTTTTTTTTTCGTCTATCTTAATTTATCTTATCTTTCTACCCTTCTTTGCTTCTCCTGCTTTTTTTTTTTTCCCTTTCACAATCTATGTCTACTCTAACAATCAAAGCATGGAGTAAGGAAAAAAATGAGTGGGCCTAACCCTTTGTTTATTTTTTGAGCAACAGGGCCTGTTCGATTCCCATGTTATCCTACGCTTGCCTCCTTGCCTGACCCAACTTGGAGCTAAATTACGGGTTTAGATATTCATCCACGTATACGCATTTTGCCATAATCATATTATGGTCTTACAATGTGTATCTTTTGAATGGTTGCACCTTGTCCATATCAGTGTTGAACACAAATAAGGTTCATTTTTTTTGGCACAGGCTATGCAAGCTCAGCCTTTTCCATTTTTTTGACCCTGTGTTAGCCAATTCCTATCCATCCTCACCTGTTCCGAAGCCTTTAAGAAACAGCGTATAGCGTCACGTAAATGATAACACTTTACCACAAACCAATTCATAAAAAAAATTAGGTCATCAAAACTATCAGTATGGTCTTGGATCGTATGGAGACGCAGGGTTTGCTCCATGCAAGGCAGTTCAAATGTAACTCAGATCCAGTCAGGCCTACAGATAACCGTGCTAAGGTTGTGAATGAGATCTTGGAAACTGAGCGCTGCTATGTTCAGGACCTTGAGAACCTGCAGGCATACATGCGTGCACTCCAATCAGACGGTAGCATAATCTCAGCCGAGACTATCCATCTCATTTTTGGCAATCTCAACGTTCTCGTGGATTTCCAGCGGCGCTTTTTGATTGCCATCGAGGCCAATGCAGCACTGGCGCCCCAGGACCAGAACTTTGGTCAAGTTTTTTCTCAGCATGAGGAGGCATTTGCAGTCTATGAGCCCTTTTGCGCTAATGTCAAAGCTGCCAGTGCATTGGTCGTACATGAAAATGAAAAGCTTCAGGTAAAGACGCAAAAAAAGAATGAAAAAAAGAAATGCAGAATAGAAGAGCAATTCTCCTCATCAGTCAGGTCTCAAAATATCTTCTTTCTTTAGAGAATGAATCACCTACTGGATGCACAGCATGGGATCAACTCCAACCTTATCAAGCCAGTCCAGCGCATTTGCAAATACCCGCTCTTTATGCATGAGCTTATCAAACTGACAGATCCAGATCATCCTTACTATAGTAATCTGCTTGAGGGCCAAAATGCAATCAAGCGCGTTGCTGAGAAGATCAACGAGACCAATCGTAGACAGGACAATCAGGAGACTGCAAAGGCTCTTCAGCATATGGTTGCCTGGAAAGACGGAGAACTCGTATCCGACTTTGGCGCCTTGCTTCTACATGATACGTTACTCAACCCTCGCGGTCCACCCGATAAAGCGCTTGATGTCTATTTGTTTGAAAAAATCTTAGTCTGCTGCCAGAGCATGGTCATCCGCAGGAGACAGCCAAAGACGCTCGTCCGTGGCGCTAAACCCAAGCCCACACTGCATCTGAACGGACGGATCTACATCAACAATATCAAATCTATCCTTCCAGTCTCCAGTGCCGGCTCGTATGTCTTGCATGTGGTCTGGAATGTCGCTGCAGAGGAGTTTGAGCTGCGCTGCAGAAATGAAGACCAACTTAAAAAGTGGCACAGCGTCCTTGACAAGCTCGTAACTGAGGCCAATACTGAGCGCTCCAACACTGTGACCATGAACAATTATGTAGAGACTTCAACTCCTTCATACGAATCATCATTCTTCCATGATGATGATGATTATCTAGAAGATGAATTGGAAGGTGATGATGATGAATATGATGAGCCACGTGGTTTTCGCAGCTACTCACTTCCATTCGGGCTTTCATCCCAGGCAAATGGACAGGGAAATCGTTCTCGTATCAAAACGGAGGAAGGTTCAGTGCCACCGTCTAATGCTCGAACTGGTAGCAATGGCTCCGGTATGACTTTGCCGCCATTGCCTCGTACTGCCAGCAGCGCAAGCACAACGATGGGTGTCGTCTCTCCAGGAGAGTATCCATATTCTCCTCCAGCTTCCTATCCAGCCTCCCCCACGGCTTCCAACCCTCGAGGTTCAGGCAGTAGCGGTTCCTGGCAGAGACGAAGTAATGGGGATGGTCACTCGCCTCTGAATGATACCACGTCAAGTTTTCTGGGATCTGAAGAGCATAGTCAACCAATGATTAGAAACGCCTCTGCAGGTTACTTGTACAACACAACGCCTCCGGCTGTCCCTCCGGTGCCTCCTGTCCCTGGACCTCTTAGAGTTCGTGCGCTCAGCAGCTCCAATATTCATGCTTCTACCAATGTGCTTCCCACATGGAGTGACATGCCAGAGCTGCCCACTCATCACCAAAAGTTTTCTAGTGGTAGTGGAGCTAATTCACCTACCACACCTTATCCAAGCAATGCCTATCCAACCGTTCATGCCGTGCCTAGCGCACTTTCGATCCCAGACTCTGCTCGCATGCTACGTCAACATTCATCCTGCAGCAGTCTCAGTACCAATGGCGCGCCACAACTCCGAATCAAAGTCAATTTTCAAGAGGACTCGTACCTGATTGTGGTCCCTATGCAAATCAAGTACAGTGAATTGATCGAGCGAGTAGAAAAGAAGATTAGACTGTGTGGCAGCCGCCGGTCCGAAACGCATCCTCTTCGTCTCCGGTACAAAGACGAAGATAATGACTATATCATTATGAAGGATGACGATGACATTTCCTTGGCCTTTGAGAGCTGCTTTACCGACGGCATCATGAATCTGCATGTCAGTTAAGAGAAAGTCCGACGCTTTCTGTAAAGGGTTTTATAGCCTGTTCCCGCTGGTACGGCTATTTTTATTTTATTTTTATTTTTATTTTTATTTTTATTTTTATTTTTATTTTAATTATTATTATTATTTTTTTTTTTTTTTGACATGCATGGGTTTTTGCAGGAGACAGGGACCGCCCCGGATGGGGATAGGGATATCGTTGTTTTGATTCGTGCCTCTTCTTGCTTTGCTCTCGTTCTGCATAATATTTAAATATTTTTTTCTTTTCGATCTTTTTCTTCTTTCCTCCTTTCTTTCTTTTTCCTCCACTTTTCACGATGCCTCATTAAATCATCTCACCCCTTTTCCACCCTTTCCCTCCCATTAAGATCATCGCCATCCCTGGTATGACACCAAGTCGAAAAACACTATACCGAAGATGTTTATTCTCTCTCTTCCTCAAAACCATGTTGAACTAGACATGTTACTGAACAATGGCTACATTTATCCATTTATTGCTTTATAGTCTCTTTCCTGGCTCGGTCTTCAAAATGTTTCGGCTCAGGATCCACCAGCACTGACAGTGGCAAAAGTTGTCCCATGACGATATGATGCGATGATCCGACATGACTCCCATCTCTCTTTTCTCCGTTATGGCATCTGTCTTTTTTCTTTTTTTTTTTCTTCAGGACGATAACGACTCTTTATGACCACGAAAGCGAACGACAATGACCAATGATTGCCTTATGAAATCAAGAAAGGAAAAAATCAAAAACAATACCAGAGGAATGAGCGGCGGTTACGTTGAGCATGAACAAAGACACAAAAGGAGAGTGAGCGCGCGTAGTCTTTTATTTCATCTTTTTCCTCTTTTCTTGATCAAGGGTTATGCAGAGGTTGCCCTGTGTTAGACAAAGGTTCAGACACTGTGATGATTCTCAGCATTAATTAATCCAGACTCGAAGGAAGGAAGAAGGAAAAAAAAAAAGATGGTCTGCTGCAGCCCCTCCTATTATTTCACTCAAGCCATATCTCTTCCCCTCTGGAGGACATTTTTCAAGCCCTTTGGTGTTCAAGTAAAAACGACATCAAGGGAACGATTCTTTTTTTTTCTGTAAATATGCTGACTTCAAGAGTTTGTCCAGACACCACTTCCCACGTTCTGACATCTCGGGAAAAAATCAGCAATGACACATCTTTTTTTTTTTCTGTTTTGTGCAACATTCACTCCCACAAAAAAAAAAAGAGATACCAGCACTTTTAATGAACCCCTTCCCGATGACTTTCCGCATCATGTATGACTATCATTCTTCACTTTTCTTGTAAATAAGTATCTCTTTTTGAGGAGCAAATAAAAGATACAGCCTGAAAAAAATAAAAATAAAAATAAAAAAAAAAAAGCTTGCATGGAAGGATTGTTCAATGTTTCCTTCATGTGACAAATACGCATGATTTTATTTTGGCACCAATACTTCTTTTTTTTTTGTGGTCTTTTGGTCTACAAAGATGCCTTATTCCTTCTCATGCTCAAGTCCTCCAAACAGTTTTTGAGGGCAGCGTTGACCTCGTCTGGTTTTTCGGTCATTACAAAGTGGCCAGCATCGATCATCACAGCCTTGAGATTAGGAACCGTATCTTTCATTTTCGCGGCCATATGGGGCTTCAAATAAGGGTCGTGCTTGGCTTGAATGATCCAGGATGGTAAGTGGATATTGGTGGTGGTGAGTCCAAGTTCATCTTCAAAGTTGATACGTGTTGTCTTGTAATAATTGAGTGGTCCACGCATTCCCTGGCGTTTATACTCTTGAAAATAATAGTCGATATCCTATTTTTTTTTTTTTTTTTTTTCAGTAAGTTTCTATACTGACAACATTTTTTTTTTTTTTTTAAGCTCAAAATTTACCTCTTGACCCATCGCTCCCATCTTACAAGTGTTTTCAATAAATTTGTCAATCTACAGGATTAAAAAAATTAGTCTCATCCTGTTTCGTCCGCAGAAACACTGTCTCTATTAGTATCAATACAACATACCATACTATTGAATACTGTAGCAGAGTTTGGGTCTGCAAATGCAAGTTGGTATTCGAATTCTGGAATTATTTTCACAATATCTAGATAACCCATATTTTTATACAATGTTAAATGGTTTGCATTAGTCTTGGAGAAAAAAAAAAAGATGCCTCTTAGAAATCGGAGTTTTATACATTGCATGGAGTGGGATATTTATTTTACCTTCGAGTGGAATAAACTCAGTTCTTGGTGAATTAAACGGGGTACAAATGCTGATAAAAAAAAAAATATAGATCAGTTTTTTTTTTTTTTTTTTTTTTTCATTTTTGTATGCTAACGGCTAGGACAAATGTTTGAAAATCATATATCTTTTTATACCTAATGATACCATGAAGACGGTTGGGATAGTAGAGACCAAATCTCCAGACAATAGCTCCACCCCAGTCGTGTCCGATAATCTAATAGATACATGAACAGTTAAGGCGCGTAAAGATTAACTAACAACAGATAACAATTTTTTTTATCCTGAACACACTTACTGTCACTTTAGGGATGTTAAGCACGTCAAGAAGGCCTGCTAAGTGACCACACACAGTTTTCATCCCATACTTTTCTAGCTCCATTGGCGCATCCTAAAGCGCGGGAATATCAATCAAATATTATGCATAGATGTTGAGAAAAAAAAACAACACACGAATTATATAGTTTACTTCTTTGAGGATTTCCATTACGCGAAAGCGCAAACGCAAGGACCATAATATGAAAATACTCACGGTTTGACCATAACCTAGACAGTCAGGAGCAATGACACGATAGCCTAGTTTGGCTAGGAACTTGATCTGATGACGCCAACCGTACCAAAGATCCGGAAATCCATGAACGAGGAGCAGAGGCTCACCTTTGGGATCGCCTTCCTCCACGTAGTCTAATAAAGATATAATGTTAACACTTGTCCTTGAATAATGAAAAAAGGGTCTCTGAAACCTATTGTTGATACAACTTACGGTATCGATGTCCTGAGATCATTGCATATTTGTGCTGGAAGCTGATGAACAAATGAGATATCACTGTGAGTATTTAACAACAATGGTCCTTCAAAGACAATAGCACATGCACAAATCTGGAAACAAACAAAAAGGAACAGAAGGAAGAGGAGAGTGTGGGAATAAAATAATAACGTTGAGTGAGGCGAGGACCCTTTGTATGATGCTGTAGTCCAGATGCTCTGTGTACTATTCTTTTACCTTGCAGGGTCAATATGTGGAGCAGTTGTCATTTTGCTTTTGTGTAATGGAGTGGAAGAGAGGTGTGTAAGATGGATGATGGTAAGAGAAAACAAGAAAAATAAATAGAAGGAAGAGTGAGGCATCGCATTCGATGTTAAAACAACTGTACGGGCCGATCGTCCGGACTTGACAACCACTCATCGGGCGGGCATTCTCGATCATTTGTGGCACAGATTATGACCGTATCGTCATTCCTTCGTACAAAAGCGAGACAACCACTTTGCTTGCACTATTTGCAATCATTCGCGACTATTACACTCATTTCGAATAACTAATTGACGTATTGACGTAGACAAAAAAAAATAGACATCTGATCTTCTTGCTCGGGTCTATTGGTGAGTCGAGAGCATCCATAAACTCATTTCCTTTAGGAAAAAGGAAAGCCTTTTGCTAAGAGCTAATGCTGATTATCAGCAAATAAAAATAAAAAATTAAATCAGCCGTTAGCCCAAATGTGCAATCTCCATGAAAGGCATAGCCTGTCTGGATGCTTATCGTGCTAAGCCCACTTGCATGTGTATTTGCCTTTGTGTACATTTGAATGTTTGCCCCGGAATGAGTCTGATGGTCTGAAAAAGTCCGGTCGAGTCTACCTGGCAATCAATGTCGTGCTTGCACCGATAGATATGCCCCACACAACTAATGACCTAAAGACATGTTACATGTTTGTTGGATGGCTGTGCACTTATCCTTTTTATTGATCCGCTTTGTTTTCTATTTTCTCCTCTTTTCGTCTCTGTCGTTACTCTCCATTGCACATCTTGCATTAACAACGACAGCGACATCATGACGAGCTATAAGAGCTCTCATGCCTTTGAAGGCATTCATGCCAGCCGCACACCATTACCAAGGAACGCTGCTCATTCTCACTCTCACTCTCACCTCAACTCTAATCTCCATGCCCATGCCTCGGATGCAAGAGACGTCCGCGGAAGGCGTTCCGACTCGATCTCGTCTAGCCAGCCCTTCGATTTCCCTTCTCTCACGCAACCACACTCTATTCCACACTCTATTCCACACTCATACTCTCAGACTGGCAACTTCTCCACGTCTTTTGTCCGTGAACAGTCTCTGGCTTTGGGCAATTTAGAGCGAGGAGACCAATCTTATGAATCAAAACCATTATCACCTGATGATTCCTTGGCCACACTTTCCAGCAATCAAGTTGGCAGCACAACAACAGGTCCAACCTCCGGCACATCCACACTTGGCCAGATCGATACTCAATTGGAGCAAGATCAATCACTACACAATAGAAAAAGTAGACGTCGTGATGGTGCGGATAGAAGTCCACCCAGTGGCCTCAGTTTGCTTCTCAAGACCAAAGATCAGGACGATGATGACTCCACGAGCAAAAATCGGACCAATGAGGCGTATGCAGGCGTATGTGCTAGTGCAGGAACTAGTTCTGAAGCCGCATCCGAGTTAACTGGCAAGAGATCCAAGAGACAAACATCGATATCACTCCCACCAGCCCCTATTGATACATCCTTGTCCAAGGTAAAAGGACAAACAATTTTGTTTTGCTTTTCCTTTTCCTCGGTATAATGTTCTTTTTGTTCTTTTTGTTCTTTTTTGTGTTCAACCCAAGTGTGCTTGTGCCCTATTTTTTTTTTTTTTTTTTTTTTTTAATATTTGATATCCTAAGCTCCATATTTTTTCCACTTCCTGGCAAGGGGTAATACAGAATAGTAAACTTCATGCCGATCAAAGACTAACTCTCTTTTTTGAACAACAGAAGGCGAACGATAACACAGAAAATAGGCTGGATCCGAAATCAAAACACCCTAGTGGAAAACTCCACACCTTCGGGAATGCAAATACCCCAACATCTGCGGCGGCAACAAAAGTGACGGGCTCAGTTGCGCCATCCTCATCTTCATCGTCTGCGATAGAAACTGAACATTTGTTGTCGTGTCGAAGCAACAGCGGCAGCTACAATACTATTACACCTGTGGGGGGAGGAGGGAATCATCGACAGCATGAGCATGATGAAGGGAGTTTTTCGTCGCTGTTGCATGAATTCCGTCACACACGGTGGACAAGTAAGATCATTGTACAAAAGTGTCTAGTTGAGCCCGTTGGCTATATTCCCGCGGTGATTCTCGGTCTTTTGTTGAACCTGCTAGATGCTGTATCGTATGGTAAGTGCACACTAACATAAGCATTCACACACATCTACATACAGACTACAGACACAAACAGATGAACACCATCATAGCATATACATTGCCTATTCAACTTTTTTTTTTTTCCTGGGGATTGAATGAATCAATGAATCAATTCAAGGTTTGAGTTTTAGGTTTTTTTTTTTTATGTTTCTGAATTGAAATTTTCCCCCCTGGCGATTGGAAACATGTGTAGAGGTCAAAAAAGACAAATGATGCAATTCATTGTGGTGAAGACCTGCATTGAGCATTGATAACGACTTGCTTTTTTTTTTTTTTTTTTTTTTTTTTCACACAGATTCAAAGTGTGGGGAAGGGAAATATTTGTGCAAGATTGGGACACAGACATACAAAGAAACAAGACGCGTGTGATGGATTTACAAAAAACGCGATCCATCAAATACAATTGCAAACATATTCTGATTGACTGATCCGATCTTTCATCTATGATCCTGGTGATATAGGCATGATTATCTTCCCGCTCAACCAAGCTCCGTTCCAGGCTCTTGGCCCTGATGGCATCTCCATGTTCTTTGTTAGCTGCGTGGTTTCACAGCTGGTCTATTCGCTCGGGGGAAGTGCCTTCAAGGGTGGTAACGGAAGCATGATGATCGAGGTTGTTCCATTCTTGCACTTAATGTAAGCTTTTTTTTATCCTCAGCCCATTCTGACCTTGTCTTTTTGTCTTTGAGCCTGTGGATGGGCCTTCAAACATGTGTCTCTTGAAATTGCTTACCGAATACCCCCGTATCTTGCCATACAGCTCTTGCATTTATGCATATTTTATCCATCTACAAGTATTTATTTACTCGTAAAACATTCCATCAATCTACAACTGTGTGACTCTTCTAGGGCCGAGACAGTCGTTGCTAGGGTAGGCGTAGAAAATCGAGATGCAGTCTTGGCAACAACAATTCTCGCTTATGCACTCAGTACAATCATGACTGGCGCTGTTTTTTTGGCTCTCGGGTATTTCAAGGTAAAGAATTCGTTCTTTTCTGAGTCCACTGAATTTCATAAATAATATACTTATTTCTGATGGATCCTGTGTTTATATAGCTCGGATCTCTTATTGCATTTTTCCCAAGACATATTTTGGTTGGATGTATTGGAGGAGTAGGTTGGTTCCTGATAGTCACAGGACTAGAAGTCTCGTCCAGAATGACGACCGAGCTGACCTATACATTCGAGACGTTCAAGTTCTTGTTTTTGAATGCTCATGTCTTTGCACTCTGGTCAAGCGCTTTTGGACTGGCGCTATTGCTCCGTGTTCTTCAGCACAAGATCCGTCACCCTTTCCTTGTTCCCGTCTTCTTCATGGTAGTTCCTGCTATTTTTTACGCTATTGTTGCCATTTGTGGATTCGAATGGGATATGCTACGTTCCAATGGCTGGGTTTTCCCAATGCCAGAGGGTGATGCACCCGGTTGGCAATTTTATAGTTATTTCAGTAAGTAATTATAATATTATATATTGATCGTCCTTTGTAGTTATGTCACATAGTTGGTCTTAAAGTCTGTTTTGTAACTTCTGTCTTTCCCCCTCATTCTTAGATTTGAAATTGACCAACTGGAGAGCCATTTTAGAAACAGTTCCTGCAATGTTGGCGTTGACTTTCTTTGGAATTCTACATGTGCCCATTAATGTTCCAGCACTTGGCGTTTCGACTGGACATGATAATATTGATACCAATAGGGAGCTGGTTGCTCATGGATGGTCTAATCTCTTGAGTGGCGGCGTTGGCACTGTCCAGAGTATGGATTTCAAAAAGCTAATTTACTCCAGCCCAAAGTCTTTATCAATTTTTTTTTTTTTTTTTTTTTTTTTTTTGTGCTAATTTTATCCTGATTATTTCTATGGTTGCATAGATTATCTTGTGTATACCAACTCGCTATTATTCATCAAATCAGGAGGCGACAGTCGTGTGGCAGGAGTTATGCTGGCCATTGCGTCGTTGATTGTCTTTTTGATCGGACCATGGATTGTGGGATACATCCCTGTAATGGTGGTCGGATCATTGATTTTCCATCTGGGCCTGGATCTAGTCAAAGAGGCATTGTGGGACACCTGGGGTCTTGTTCATCACCTTGAGTATCTCACTATTGCGCTGATTGTCGTGGTCATGGCAGGATTCGGGTTTGTGGAGGGCATTTTCTTCGGCATCTTATTAGCTTGTGTGTTCTTCGTGGTGACTAATTCTCGCAAGGAAAGTGTTCGTTACTCTTGCACAGGCGAGAGTGCCAAGAGTACGGTCCGACGAGTTTACAGACAACAAAAATTTTTGCGTCAGGTCGGACGTCAGATCTACATCTTTAAGCTGCAGGGTGATATGTTCTTTGGAACAATTAACAAGGTGGAAAAAGAGATCCAGGATGTCTTTTCACGTCGGCGCTGGGAAGTCAATCCTATCCAGTTCTTGGTGTTGGATTTCTCTCTCGTACGTGGCGTAGATTTCTCGGCTGCGGAAGGATTTGGACGGATTCGGAGAGCTGTTCGTGCTAAAGGTGTCTGTCTCGTATTATCAGGTTTGGACGAGGAAGACGAAGTTGGCAAAGCATTGCAGATGGTTGGTGTTTGGGGTGCAGGAGCAGGAGCAGGCCTTGGAGAGGGTCATGGCCATGGCGCCAACTTTGCGGAAGATGGATTTGATACTCAGAGCTTTCCTGGATTGAGCGAGGCACTCGAGTTTTGTGAAAATTGTCTGCTGGAGACATACTACAGAACAAGGGAATCAACGTTGGAACTGGCGAAACGTAAGAGACTGATGGAAGTAGCGAACCAAGAGGACAGTGGTTTGCTCTCTCCAGACTCGGAAGCGACCCGCTTCTTTACAGAACAGATGCAGCACTCGCCAAGGAAGAGTCAGATTCTCGAAGCCGCAAGGGAGACTCTTCATGGTAAGGACAGAACAAGCACAATGGGTTTTATTTTATTTTACGTTTTTCGTGTTTGTGCGTAAAAGCAAGGTGATTACTAAAGTATTATCTGCTTCTACCGTTATGATGTACAGCAAATGAGCGCCCATATCCTCATCCAATCAATCTTCAACAACCTGTGCCTACGCTATTGGCAGCCTTTCATGACACGCGTGAGAACTCTACAGATTTCTTTTTGCGACTGAGCATGTACTTTGAGAGGAGGACAGTGTTGGCAGGGACGATTCTTTGGCGGCAAGGAGGAGCGCCGATCGATGGTCTATATCTGGTTGAAGATGGAACTCTCCGCAGTATTCAAGAGTTCCAAGACAGCGGACTTGTGAGAAGAAGTGTGGAAGTTATTTTACCTGGCACGATTTCAGGAGAGATTGGGCTATTCACTGGTAATAACCGCTCCTCGACCCTTGTGGCGGAGACAGATGGTATTCTGTGGGGACTGAGCCAGGATCGGTTCCAAAAGATGATCAAAGAAGATCCGGCCTTGGCAGTGGAGTTTATGCGCGTGGCTATGAGCTACTCTGCAGGTAATGAGCTAAATACATCAACTTTATGCTGGATTGCTTGGGATGATATTTATGTATTAACATATTACTGCATTTTGTTCTTTTTTACCCTATACAAAATTTAGAACGACTCAATACAATGGTCGCCTATGCATTCAGCCTGAGTTAAAAGGATCTCCGCTCGCTGCCCTTCTATTTTGCCATGATCAATCATACCATGGACATGTATATAACCAGAGAATATATATATATTTTAAAAAAATTACTGAAAACTAACTGTCATGTATTTATGAAGATTACTTGCAAGGATCAACGAAAAGAAAAGAGTAACTTCATGGCATGATTCGTTGCCATTTCATCATCTACATAGAAGATCCCTTCCCCTGTATCCCTACGGCTCATAGAGGAGAAGAAATAATCAAATAAAACAGAAAAAGAAAAAGAAGTACCGTTGAAACATCTGCCGATATCGTATTTGTCTGTGCACAACAGCCACCACTTGTGTAATACAACCACCCACACACAACAGGACCCTTTTTTAAAAAAGCGCCCATTGCTTGCTTTCCATCAAATTCATCCATCTCTCCATTCACTCATCGGATCAGCACATTTCCACTTCTTGGAACATAAAAAGGCAATACGAGGACAAGGACAAGGATATAGACAAAGACGAAATACAAGGTATCATACCGAGGATAGCAAGGAAGATTAGATATATCAAAGGAGCGGTACCTATCAATCTATCCATGCCATGGTTGGATCCACATTGTCAAGCTCCTTGGCCAACTCGGCACCGATCAGCATCCTTGCATATTGTTTTTCTAGCATCCTTATGACGGTCACCAATAAGATGGTCTTGTCTCACTTTGACTTCAACATGAATTTTCTGCTATTGAGTATTCAAGGTACGGTAGCCATTGCGCTTCTCCGAGTATTCAAGAAGCTCGGACTCATCTCTTACCGCAGGCTGGACAAGGATGAGGCCAGAAAATGGCTCCCTATATCACTGGGACTTGTCTGTATGATTTATAGTGCCAGCAAGAGGTATAAAAAACGTCCAGTTTATATGGATGTATAAATATGTGTTGATTGAGATAATCTATGACATGGTACTATGGACTCATCCTTCCCTTATCTAGTCTACAATATCTTTCTATACCAGTATACAGTGTTTGGAAAAACCTGACCATCATCCTTATTGCCTATGGTGAGGTGCTCTGGTTCGGAAGCAGGGTCACGCCGCTCATGCTATTAAGTTTTTTAATCATGGTAGATGTTTTATACTTTTAAACATCAACAACAACAAAAAAAAAACCCCCCTCAACCCAGCTTCATGCTTATATACTTACTACCTTTATTTGCCTACGTAGGTATTATCGTCCGTCATTGCAGGATGGTCAGATTTTAGTTCATTTGCATCTGGGAATCCCTCTGATTTGATTCATCTCAACATTGGATACATTTGGATGGCCATCAACTGTCTGTCTTCTGCTGGATATGTTCTCTACATGCGCAAGCGGATCAAATACTTCAACTTCAAGGATTTTGACACCGTCTATTACAATAATATCATCAGTCTTCCTATCATGCTCACACTCAGCTTTTGTCTCGAAGGTTGGATGTCAGGAGAGCTAGATAGGACATTGTAAGTACATGATAACTGATTTGCTTTTTACCCTGATTTTACTTTTTTTTTTTTTTTTTTTTTTTTTTTTTTTTTTTTTTAAAAAAAAAAATATATATATATATATATACAACAAATATCGCGGTGTCTAATGATTAACATGACGTTGTTTTGGATCATCTCTTTCTATCTAGCTCACCAGATGTAAAGACCCCTCTCACTGTGGCGGCAGTTCTCTCGGGCGTATCATCATTCTTGATTTCTTACGGCAGCGCATGGTGTGTTCGGTGCACATCGTCGACCACATACTCCATGGTTGGTGCTCTAAATAAGTTACCGGTCGCTGCTAGTGGTATTTTGTTTTTGGGTGACCCAGCAACAGCAAGCAGCATCCTGGGCATTTTACTTGGTTTCCTTGCAGGATTGTTGTACAGTTATAGCAAAACGGACCAAGCTCAGAAGAACTTTGGACTTGCGAATGGATCATCACTCTCTAATCCTCATCAAATTACAGCAGCCACAATAGAAACAGGCACAGCAAGCGCTAACGGCAGTAGCAGTATTGGCGATGGAGGTGATGACAACATTATAGAGCTGAAAGCGCCCGCCAACCATTCCACCAAGAGTACACATGTCTCGCTGTATGGCCCCAATTCTGATGGGAAAGTGGCGGACTGATTTTGTAATGTATAAAATTATAAATTATATAGGAAGTAGATGCAAACATTGAGTACAAAAAATAAATAAAAGCAAGGAATTAACAACGTGTCATGCAGAACTTGCTGATATCAAATAGCATCTCAATTCCTAGTAAAGGCACAAGGGGAAGAGAAAGAAATAGATAAGCATAGCATAAAGCGCAAGCAACAAGCACGAATATAAGATAAGTCTTTTTTTTTTTTTGGTCCAAGTTTGGATATCTGACCACACACTCATTGCGACATTACATACTATAGGTATATTTGTATAGAAACATGTCTCTAGTGCAATAGTGCTAAATATAATGTAGACAATCCTGATTCATCCTTGACGATCTTTTTTCAACTATCTCTTTTTTGTTGTTTTCACTCTACTCTTCTGCACGGGTTTTTCAACACCAGTATCGTTTTCAACATTCCTTTTGATTTTTTTTTTTTTTTTTTGTCTCTGTCATCTTTTTATTTATCCTCCCACATCCTTTTCCTCCTTTATTCAACAATTTCCAAAAACTCGTAGTCGCATGATAACCAGCCAGCTTGAACACCGTTTAATTTTGCCTTGTCCACATATTGTAAAAATCTGTATCACTTAGGCCTAGTGTGACAACAGCAACAACAACGAAAGAATAAAAAAACGATTTTGCAGTACCTTCCTTTCAATATTTACTTTTGCTTGCCATTTGTGGGTATCAACCAGTAGGTTTAGCCACTTCACTGTTCGATTTAATCTGATCTGATCCGACATTTAGTGCGTATGTCGTTATCAAGGAGGGGAGGCGAACGTCTTCCATCTTCAACGCGTTGCATTAACAACATTTTTGTATCCACATTCGTTCTCTGTCCTTATCCTTTTCATCTTCTGTTTTAGAAGAGCCATAACTAATGCCACCTCATCCTCCAGAAATAATAACAGTGGTGCCAGTCGCAGACAGACAGCTGCTGGGCCTCAGGCACCCTCTTAAGTACCCTTCATCATCAGCTTCCTGGAACGCGGAAGGAGAGCCGTTCGAGTCAGGGAACGAAGATGGTGCTCCTTTAGTACTAGCCTCACCATTAACGCCAACAACCCCAGGCTTTGGTCTGTCTGCAACCATTTCTCAAAACTATGGTCTGAAATCAACGCCAGTATCTCTGTGGAAGAAGGCTATCTGGATTATCTTCACACTCAGCATCTTCATGTTACCGTATATTATTTTGAAGGCATGTTTCCATGTTCAGGTCTCTGCAGGCGCCTGGCAGACCTCTGTTACTTATGGAATGTTGATGGCATTCGATTTCATGGCTGTCATTAGCTTTAGTGCATTGAATCGGCGCAAAGTCAACAACCGAGTGAAGAAGCGTGACCCACATTGGACCGGAGTATCGACAGGAATTGTAGCTGTTGGTTACCGTGAAGATCCAATACTGTTGGAGGGTTGTTTGAAGAGTTTACGGGCAATTCGATATCAGCGCAACCAACGAATCATATTAATTGTTGATGGTAATGAATCCCGGGATGAATATATGGCACAGGTCTTTATGAAAGTCTTTGAAAAACAAGGTGCTGCTATCATCCGACCCAACTTTTGCTGCATGGATCGGGACCAGAACGACCGTGAGCGATTAGAGCTAGTCCGACGGATCGCTTTTCACCCAGGCCCCGTTTGTGTGATGCAGCCCCATCGTGGAAAGCGCTCTGCTATGTACACAGGATTTGCGGCCCTTATTCAGCAAGGTGTCGAAGCTGTAGTTGTTACAGACTCTGACACTTTTTTGGATCCCCATGTCTGCAGAGGTATGCTTTTCTATTAAAAAAAAAAGAGCCTCCCTTTCCCCTTTTTCAGTAGTACATTAGTGGTTAAACTGTCCAGAGGGAATTGGTGCCAATAGTGATCCTCTGGTGCTTGTTCCAACCAACATTCCCATTGCATCTTTCTTTGATGAAAAGAAAAAGTTCAAGTTCCTTACTCTTCCTCTCGCTTGCATTGGCAATCCATATGTGCATGCATGTATATAGAGCTCGCGTTTGCATTGGCAGAGTCGCCAATTGTCGGTGCAGCAACCGGAGACGTTCGAATCTACAACACAGGGACCTGGGTCAGCTTCCTGTCATCGCTCCGCTACTGGTTTGCGTTTAATCTCGAGCGGGGCGCACAATCGTATCATAACGTTGTTAATTGCGTGTCAGGACCATTGGGGATATATCGCATGTCAATCATTGCAGAGGTGATGGACAGTTGGGTACAACAATCATTTTTGGGTGTTTTATGTACATATGGCGATGATCGCCATCTCACCAATTTGGTGCTTCGAGAGGGATTCAAGGTCAAGTTTACACATTATGCGATCTGCTACACCGATACGCCGATTCGATTCATTGCCTGGGTCACACAGCAGACGCGATGGTCTAAATCATTCTTTCGTGAAATTCCGATCCAACTTGCAAGCATGCATCTCCATAGCCCCTGGATGACCTATGCGCTTCTATATCAGCTGATTTACCCCATGATGATGATCTTTAGTTTGGTGAACTGTATTTATTTCGGTACCGGATCCCAGATCGCCTGGTGGTTGGTCTCGATTGTATTTGTGGGGATCCTGAAGACAGCGTACGCGACGCGTATCACTCGGGACAAGAAATTCATCTTTACAACCATGTATGGATTCTTATATATGCTTGGTTATATCCCTGCAAAGATTTTTGCCGCTCTGACGCTCTACGATAACTCTTGGGGTACCAGGTAATCAACTATACTATCTTTTAATATTCATTTGAGCCTGCTCTCCAGTTCTTTTTTTTTTTTTTTTTTTTTTTTTTTTTGTTGCTGTTTTTGTCCTTTATTACGTTATGGCTGATCTTTTATACTTCTTTTCTCTGATCAGTGCAAGACTGATCCGCAATTTCACTAGATTACAAAATTATATCGCCCCTGTCACCTGGGGAGCCATTCTATTCATCGGTACCTTCCATGATCCTAGTCGGTATTGGCAGCATGTACCATTAGCAGAGGGTCAGACGCCACCAATTTTCTCAGAGGTGTTTGTAATCAACACATTATTGTTATTTGTAGTGACGTACACGATCGCGATCCTTTGGTGCTTTGTCTGGAGTGGAATCCTGAACCGAGAATACAAACGTGATTTTACGTATGAAGAGCTGTACGAGAGCACAGAGAGCTATGTTGATATAGATGGTAGCCGCAAAGTTGCCAGATTTGCAGTATAGGGAAGAAAAAGAAAATAGATTTTTCCCTCCAAGTTGTTCACCACCTTTACTCCCTTTTTTTTTGATGTATTTAATAATATTGCTTGTGTACACTTTTTATTTCCCACAGAACGAAAGGTGTTTATTGATGTTTGAAATGCTGTATTGCTGAGACAATGACGACAAGAATGAAATTTCATGGTTTCCAGAAAAGGAACGGTTAATGTTTTTGCTTTTTCTCACTCCCATTTTCACATTTCCTTCCTTTTCATCACATTTTCTATCCAAGTAAATAACCCTTTTCCAATTGAGGTTGTAGTATTACTATAGAAAAAAAAAAAATGGTCGGTAATGCACCCATAGGCGATGCACCTGACTTGGAACGCCAGCCATTACTTCGCAGCAATCAAGACTCTGCCCGTCCCAGCACTGGAGTTCAGGCTAGGTCTCATATCCCTTCAGGCCTTACTCGACAAACCCGCTCTCCAGAACGTCGGCAAAGACATGAGTCTATCCAAAAATGCTGGAGAATTGGCATCCTGGCCATTCTCCTTGCTTTACTCGGATACATCATCATGGGTGTTTATGATCTTTTCAATAGGTATCAAAAGCAAGAAACCATCCAAGTGTGGTGCATTGTTTGTGTCGTGTGACTGACATTGGGTTACATGGCTCTCTCGCTCTTTTTTTTTTTTTTTTTTTTTTTTTTTTTTTGAATTCTAAACACATATTGGGACGGATACATGTAGAGGACATATTAATGGCTCTCCTTTCAAGCATCTGGTTGGTTCCTGTGACAACGTCATGCCAATCAGCCAAATGGAATTTGAGGAACGCCGACTGAATCTCTCGCGCGTTTTGGTGGATCACAAGGCGTCCGCATACATTGCTGAACCCGGCACTAACATGAGATATTTCACCAATATTCGCTGGTCTCAGTCTGAGCGCCCTTTCCTCCTAGTAGTGCAAGCTAGGCGTGATAAAGACAAATCTGACCAAGGTAAGGAAAGACAGGAAATAGGAAGCGCCTATTAGAATGGTCAACCTGCCTAACAGTAGCTGGATATTTTCTTTTTCTTTGCTTGACTTAACTTTTCATCTATTTGTACTGAAATATACCTTGCTTGGGACAGTACTGACTAGGACAACGATTGTTGCGCCTGCATTTGAGGCATCGAGGGCTAGGCAGAAGATCATGCCTGGATCAAACATGTCGATCAGGACTTGGGAGGAAGGAGAATCGGCATATAAAGCTGTCCGTCAAGTTTTGGATACACCCTTGGTTGATTCCGACAGCGGGGACGAGGTTGATTACAGGGCAGAGGGTGTGAAGCCCAAACCCGAGGATGAGCAGATCTACATTGATCCCGACATGCGTCAGTTTGTCTCCTATGGCCTTGCCACCGCACTAGAGAGTTCGACCCGTAAAGTTATGATCGCAAACCGTGCAGTATCATTACTTCGACAGCAAAAGACTGCACATGAAATTGAAATTCTCCGTTGTGTCTCTCAGACGACTGTGAACGTCATTCGAGCAGTAAAGGGGCATATTCAAGTAGGCATTCATGAATCGAAAGTGCAGTCCCTTTTGACGGAGGCTTATAGTGAGGCTGGGCTTGAATATGAAGACGGCGGAAGTCTGGTTCTCTTTGGCAAAAATGCGGCTCTTCCTCATGGCAGTGGTAACGATACAGAGCTTGAAAAAGGGATGATGGTCTTGATAGACTCGGGCGCTCGTTTGCATGGTTATCTGTCAGATATCACACGGACGTTCTGGGTCGAGCGTGGGCCGAGCAAGGAGATGAATGAGGAGCTGGATAAGGTCTGGGATATTGTCAAACAAGCACAGAACGCATCACTCCATGCGATTCATCCAGGAGCGGCCTGTAGTTCAATCGATAAGGCTGCTCGCAATTTGATTGACTCAAAGGGTTACGGTGGGTGGTTCACGCACCGATTGGGCCATGGTTTAGGTATGGATGGCCATGAAGAACCATATTTAAACATTGGGAATACCGAAACAGAGCTTCGACCAGGGATGGTCTTTACCAATGAGCCAGGCATCTATGTGGAAGGATCGTAAGTGCTTTTATTTTTTATTTTTATGTGTTTACCATTGCTAGTATGAATATTATAATTGAATTTTTCTTTTCTCTTGCTGCCTGTTTATTTGTTAAGGTATGGGATCCGACTCGAGGATGTTATTTTAGTCACCGAGACTGGATACGAGATCCTCAGTGGTGATCTGGCCAAGTCAGCTGAGGAACCATAATTATAATAATTATATTAAAATAAATATAAATTAAACGCTTTTAGATATCACGTTAACATGTAATCATTTTTTCCAAAAAGAGATGTACGCCCATGAAGATACACAAGAGAGAAAAAGATAGAAAAAAAAAAGTTGAATGACACAGGACATGGTTCGTGCGAGGTATTGATGTGTGAGATTTTTTTTTTTTTTTTTTTTCTCGCAAGTTCTCACTTGTTCTTTCTTTTCTTTCCTTTTTTTTTCTTATAAATATTTCCAATTTCACGACTGATCTTCTTTCTTGTGCATTTCCTACTTTCATATTCCTTACTTTTACGAAGCAAATCAACCATGTATCGCCTAGCTTCACTTGCAAGAACTGGTTGGCATGCCACTACTCATAATCCCATGCTGGTATGTGCTACTTTATTTCTTTATTTTATGGTTCAACAGTTCTTTTTGATATTCGATTTCATACGTAGTCCCCCTCACGCGTTGAAGGAGGAAATGGAATGAGCATTAAAAAAAAGGCAGTTTTTGTTCATGAGATCAGAATGCATAATTGCTGAGAGAATGCAGAGCTATATACAAACCAAGGCAAGGTCGTATACCCTGCTTTTATGCGTTTCTCCTCCTTCCCCGGTTCATGGAAGCCATAGAAAAAAAGAGAAAAGAGGTCTTCCCTTGGACTGTGTTTTTGCATGTGACTGGCAATGGGGCCTAGCTGTGGGGAAATAACATACTGACTTTTGATTCGATCTCCCCTTCATAATGACATCAATGGCATAATCAATATTAGCAACGACGCGCATATGCCGCTGCTGTACAGGGACCTGTTATTGGTATCGATCTCGGCACGACCAATTCATGTGTTAGTGTCATGGAAGGAAAGAACCCACGTGTCATTGAGAACGCAGAAGGTGCTCGCACTACACCATCAGTCGTTGCATTCACAAAGGACAATGAAATGGTCGTAGGCCAACCTGCAAAACGGCAAGCTGTTGTTAATCCCGAAAATACTATCTATGCGGTTAAACGTTTGATTGGACGTCGGTACGATGATCAGGCAGTCCAGCACGATATCAAAACAGTTCCATATAAGATTGTCAAGGCCGACAATGGCGACGCCTGGGTAGAAGCTCGTGGTAAAAAGTATTCGCCCTCTCAGATCAGTGCCTTCATCCTTGGCAAGATGAAGGACACCGCGGACGGATATCTCGGTAAAAAGGTCAAGCATGCTGTCATCACTGTCCCCGCCTATTTCAACGATGCTCAGCGTCAGGCAACCAAGGATGCAGGAACCATCGCTGGCCTGGATGTACTTCGTGTCATCAACGAACCTACGGCTGCAGCTCTAGCATTTGGCCTCGACAAGACCGCAGACAAGACCGTGGCTGTATATGATCTAGGAGGAGGTACCTTCGATATTTCGATTCTAGAGATCCAAAATGGTGTCTTCGAGGTCAAGTCTACGAATGGTGATACCGCACTCGGTGGTGAGGATTTTGATGCAACGTTGGTCAAATATGTCACCAATGAATTCAAGAAGGACCAAGGTATTGATCTTTCGAACGATCGCATGGCTATTCAGCGTATCCGTGAAGCTGTTGAAAAGGCCAAGATTGAACTGTCAAGCACGGTTCAGACAGATATCAATTTGCCATACATTACTGCTGACGCTACTGGCCCCAAGCATATCAATTTTAAGATGACGAGAGCCAAGCTGGAGGAGCTTACCAAGGATCTGATTAACCGTACGATCGAGCCCTGCAACAAGGCCATCAAGGATGCGGGCGTCAATGTGAGGGACATTGATGATGTTGTGCTTGTTGGAGGCATGTCTCGAATGCCAAAGGTGATTGAGACTGTCAAAGAGATTTTTAAGCGAGATCCTGGCAAGAGTGTTAACCCTGACGAAGCTGTCGCTATTGGTGCGGCCATCCAAGGAGGTGTCTTGGCAGGATCAGTGACTGACATCCTATTGCTAGATGTGACCCCTCTGTCACTGGGCATTGAGACCCTGGGAGGGGTTTTTACTCGACTTATCAACCGCAATACCACTATCCCTACTAAAAAGTCTCAGATCTTCTCGACTGCAGCAGATGGGCAAACCCAGGTTCAGATCAGGGTCTTCCAAGGCGAGCGTGAGCTTGTACGTGACAACAAACTTTTGGGTGATTTTAACCTCCATGGTTTGCCTCCAGCGCCCAAGGGTGTCCCACAAATCGAAGTTTCCTTTGATATCGATGCGGACGGTATCGTGAACGTAGGCGCAAAGGACAAAGCTACAGGACGTGACCAATCTATGTCAATCGTTGCATCATCAGGTCTTTCTAAAGAGGAGATTGAGAAGATGGTGGCCGACTCTGAAAAGTTTGCAGAGGCGGATCGTAAGAAGAAAGAGCAGATCGAGGCCATCAACCATGCAGAGTCTGTAATTTCGGAGACAGAGAAGAACATGGATGAATTCAAGAGTCAGTTGGATTCTTCTGAGGCTGAGAAGATCAAGGGACAGATTACGAAGCTGCGTGAGACTTTGGCCAAGGGTGACAGCTTAGAAGCCGAGGAAATCAAGAAGGAGGTAACGGATTTGCAGCAGGGAAGTCTCAAGTTGTTCGAGATGGTATACAAAAAGAACGCCGGTGGTGATGGTGGCTCTGGATCATCTGGCTCCCCTCAAGATGGTCCCACAGTTGACAACACTCCACCCAAGAACTAAAGCATTATCATTGCTTCACACTAGCTTATTTTATGTGACAGTGTATGTGTTTACGCTCTAGGGTGCTGCGCGAAGAATATGTTGTTCCACTAAGATAAAGAATTGTAAATACATAATAAACAACGACAACGATGAGCAAATGGAATAATGCTTTCTAATCCTTTATCCTAATCACTAATTGTTTGAATGGTCAAAAAATTGTACATGTGTATATATATTTGTATTTTGTGTTTGCGTCTGTAACCCACTAAGGGGGCTCAATTCGATACTCACAATTGTTTGCCACACGTGGAGCATGCACGGCATTCGTTTATTATTTTATACTATTATTATATATTAATGCATATATTACGATCTAATATATATTTCTTTGCATTGCAGTGCGGGAGGGCGAACATTGTGAGAGCGATATGAGTTTGGGTAGATCAGGCCATAAAAAAAAGAGAACCCTCGCAGAAATTACAGAAAGAGCAGGTTGTCGCACGATTGGTAGATCTGTTGTGGATGGATGGATTAGACGCCGTCCGTTCAACAGACAAAGACATCATTGAACATTAAAAAGGCATCAGAAATGAATCGACGACAAGCAAATTTGTAACAACAATGAGATGCAGGGCACTGTACCACAGGAAAAGGGATTGAAGTATTATATTATGCATGCATCATTGTACATGTGTATTGCGTGGTAAATACACATTTTCGACCACCGTTTCAGGGCCAAGGGATCCTAATTCACTCCATCGACCAAATAGCTCACCAGAGATGGCCTGGGATGGTCTGGGTAGATGGCCTTTATGCCATTCTGTTTTTGTGCACAAAGCAGCCGAGAACGATTAAAAAAAATTAAAAAAAAAAAAAAAAAAAAAAAAAAAGGAAAGCCATCATCGGAGCTTGCGATAATGAAAATACATATAATACGATTTGTTATCATATTTCTTCTAAATCTGTATCACCATACGCCATCGATTCAAAAAAAAAAAAAAAAAAAAAAATACAATAGTGCGAACAGACACAAGGACACAACAAACACAAATGTGCTCAGAAGGCCATGGAATCGTATCAGCGATAAAATGGATACTAATAAAAAAAAATAAAACGAAATAAATGCTTCCTGTAAACGCCACACGGACAAAGAGCCATACGAGGCGATGAGACCATCCATCCATGTGGGCATGGATGTGCAGATGGCGCTCTTGAGACTGTTAGTCTGTAGTGATGCTTATATCATTTCCAAATAATAAATGCATGTTTGTATATATACATTTATTGTATACATTTATATATACATGCAAGTGATCAATGATTAAAGGCTATTCCTGTCCCTGAAGCACCTGAGGCAGGCAAGGGGTTTGGAGAGATCGGATACAAGCTGATAGTCTAAATTCTTGGTCCAATATTTTCTACAGTCTATATGGCTCTTTTTCGGCCTATTTCTTTGTGATGGACGATTATGAGTATGTATATATATATTAAAAAAAAAAAAAAAAAAAAAGGCGAAAGAATAGAGAAGGCTCTCGACCATTTTTTTTTTTTTTTAAATGGCTGAACCGTAGCTCGATCTTGCCCACTGTGCAAAGTCAGTCCCGTTGCTCTCAGAAGATGCAGCTCTTTCATATGACATGTATACATGACCATGTAATTGCATGTATTAAAACCGGCAATATATATATATATATATTTGAATACAAATGCATTATTGAATATATAGCTTGTTAGTAAATACATAGTCATCAATACACTCCAGAAAAGCTTCTTCCAAAGTTATATTAAAGGATACGACTTAGACTTTAAGTCAAGCATGAGGAACAGAAAGAATTGGCGTAGGCGTCTCCTCCGTGTTTGCATTGCTTTTTTTTTCTTTTTTTTTTTTACCAAGGCCCGCATAATAAGAGCACAAAGAAAGGGACCAGCCGGCCACTAAAAATCCATTCCATTTTTTATTAAATTAAAACAAAACTTCCCATCGGGCACTATACATACTTCACCTCTCCATCAGACCACTATTTTTGAAATGAAACTTTTTTTTTTTTTTTTTTTTTATTTTAGTTCTAACAAGTCTTATTTTATATTAAAGATTTGTAACCTCACGATCTAAATCCTGAAAGAGTTAATCAGCTGCCTTCATTCTCCCCTTTTTTTTTCTGTCCTTGTACATGAGCGATCTCCATGAAGATCGTGGTCTTGTCTCTCTGATGGGCTATGATAAAGTAAACAAGGAAGGTTTTTTTTTTTTCTTGTTCCAACAAACTTGTTTTGGAAATCCACTTCAGCCTAGGCTTCCACTTTTTTTTTTTTTGTCCGCGCATGAAAAAAGAATAAATTACAAAGGTGTCGTATTCAGTGTAGTGTATAATAATACACAATGGGGCAGGACTTTGCCCAACAACAGTAGGGATCGGTCCCTGAATAATGGGTGAACTAAACTTCCTTCCTACACATGAACTTTACACTTCAGTCCAGTCTCAAATAAGGGCACACACCCCGCTGCATCCATTTTTTTTTTTGTCTTTGTAACACCATTCATGCAGGACGACAATGTCCTTCATATGAACGTGAATTACTAGAACATGAGCAGTTCAAACAAAAACAAAACATGGGTAAGGATCCCAATTGCGTTTAAATATGCTTTCTTCGCGAATCCGCTATGAATTCAAATATGACGGCATAACGAATGCCTATTCTAGGACGAGCGGAGCAAAGGAAGGCTTTCTTTTACTATGGGTATGGTAGTATGGTGTTATGACACTTTATGAATATATGGTGATAGAGATGGAAATGGTGATCGATTATGGAATAACAACGTTATAGCTGTGGCAGTCGAGAGGCCAGGATGATGTTGTTGGTTGGGACGGTCTAGGAAGGGGATAGAATGGAATAGATGGGCTGACCAGGGGTGAAAATCAATTAGTCATTTTATCGATTACAGGACGGAGTATCCAGGCATTGCGTCGACATAGACATATGTGTTGTTATTGTTTACTTTTGTGTAGCTTTTACAAGCATTGACATTGACATTCATGGTGGTTGGTCAAGCCATTTCATTCATGCCCAAGCTCTATGGCCTACGACTCTAAATAATGCATAGCTATCCTTTTCAAACGAACAAAAAAGTTACTTTTATCGTTAATATATTTCTGTAACCGTCTGTTTATATATAATAATGATAATAATAATAAAAGTGTGTATATAATGAGCAGATCGATTGGAAAGCTATCAGGTCTCGCTTTACTCTATCAGTTTTGCTGGTATATATTTATATATGAATATATACTTTTATATAACAGAAGGTTCGTGTTTATTCAGTTATACAGATTAGAATGTATTTATATATTTGTACTATGGAGTTTTTTGTATTAACAAACACTAAATCATGTATTAAACGGGAAATGAACGACCAACACAATGTTGCAGTAAATATCGCCGAACAAGACAAAAACAAATCAATTATTATTAAAAAAGACTGCATGCCTTCTGATACTAACCATTCTCACAGAGAAGACCTTTATGAAATATGTATTTCTATATGTGGAATGAACAAGTAAGAGACATATATATATACTATAATCAAACAGGGTTGCTCCACATCCTGACTAGGAATCAATATCAAAAACACCCTGATCCGTTCATTCATTTGGTATCTTGACTATTGACTGTATCAGCTAGTGCCTGCAGGCGATCTATCCTGATGTAGTAGTGAATGAGCATTATAAAATAAAAATTAAAAAGTGTATATTACAAATACAATTAAATATACATTTTATGTACCTGTCCCCATATATTCCAAGACTAAAAAAAAAAAAAAAAAAAAAATTAGAGTGCCTGGCATGCGACATGCATGTATCGACACAATGTACAACCGTTTTACCGTATCCAAGTCATTGGCATCAAGCAATGCGGCCCATCGGGAGAGACCGATAACACAATATATATACTTAATATACTTGATAGGATAGGACAGCATATTCAAACACCGTTAGTCTATATTAAAGTAATATTTCTTCTCTCCTTCCCTTCTCCATGTCGTGGTATGTTTTAAAGAGTTATTTAGGGATTCGAAAGAGGGGAGAGGAATAGCAATGGCTGTATGGTATTACACAGAGAGAAGGAGGAAGAAGGAGGGAAGAGCATAATTAAATTTGTGGCAAGAGTTAACTTTCGACGCCATTGTAAGCCTCGGCATCCCCAGCGTTTTCATTTCACTCACCTACATTACACCGTTGAGTCTTCCTAGAACAGACTGTGATGCAAACGTTCTCTGGAGAAGAAGGAAGATGATTGAATAACAGTAATAATATAACAATAGTAATAGAGTTACAACGAAGTAAACCACTCATTATTTTTTAATTTTTTTTTTTTTTACCTTTGTGCTAACTAAAATGGCACAGTTGGTCTGGAAAGTAAAAATCCAACTTGGCGGACAAAAAAAAAAAAAAAAGCTAGACGGTGAGGATGAATGGTGAGATTGTGAATGGATAGGGGGAGGGGGTCAAAGAGAGCGAGGGAGTAGGCTCTCGTCCAAGCTCTCAGTCTCTCACAAGTATTCCGGACGAGAACAGTGGCCGTGGCGACATTAACTATTTAATATGGATGATCATTCATTTTATTGATCCTTAATGTTTTGTTATTGTTATTGTCGTTCTGTTATTTATGCCCGCCTTTTTCTTTTCTTTTCCTTTATCTCTTCTTTCTTTTTTCTTCTTTCTTTCTTCTCTTTTTGTTTGTACTCTCAATCCATCGCTTGATCCTTGTCCTACACCCCGCTATTGCGTACTCTCTTCCAGCAGCTACTTTGCTTTTTAAATTTCATCCTTCATTCCCTCCTTCATCCCTATCTTTACCACCAACATTCTATCATTCCTCCTGTTTATTTCATTTCTCCACTTTATTTACTTTACCCTCCCTAATCTCTGACCTTCTACTCTTTTTTTTGTCTTTTGAGTGCTCCCGCCAACGACGCTGCTGTTACAAAAAAAAAAAAAATTCCCAGTAACTCAATATTTGTTTTTCATTCGCCCTCACTGGCTACCTCCTTTATTATTGGTTTTCGACCGTGTCAATCATATTATTGCCAACCAAAGCCTTGCCCGTGCAGGCCCAAACAGGTACGACAATGCAAAAGATAATCTTTTTACTTTATTTTGTTAACATCTGTTGCCAAAATATGACTTGAGGCACTGCCTCTTTTTTTTTTTTTTTTTTTTTTTTTTTCCAAGAAACTATTGATGTCGACTCTCAATATAGAATTCCTTGCATCTCACATATTGGAGTTAAAAGACTTTATGCATACAGTCTTGAGACTGGACAATGGGACAGGTTGGAGTGGGATGGAGAGAGAAAACACTTGAGTAAAACAAATTAACCAAATACGAGGATTTGGAAAGAGGAACTGCATGGCTTTTTTTATTTGTTTATGGTTACATGCTTGCCATTCTTGAGATCAATTGAATGGTCTTCGCCCTGTGCGCCATGGTTGCATACATCCATTCTTTATGCTATTTTTTTATTTTATTTTTTTAATACAATTTGTGCCCGGACCTCTTGGCTTTTAATGGCGAGTGTCCCCATCACCATCTCGGCATTCCAGCCCCCAGTTATTCTTTCAAGGTTCTCCTGCTCTATTCGCTCGAATCCCTTGATGAGCACTTCATTCAGCCTCAACCCTCTATCAATCTGAACTCCTTCTCTTCTTATTGCTCATATATTATATGCTTGGTTAGTCATCTGCCAGGCTATTCTTGATGTCTCTCCTGCTTTCAATACGACTGCCCGTTTTGGAATAACCGCTGTTTCTACCGGCTCCCTAATGGGTTCCCCTCCCCCTTAATTTTTTGTGGTTGTGTTTGGATGCGTAATGCACAAAGGAGAGAAAGAAAACACATCATACACAGAGCTTTTGATGAGCATGCTGTGCTTGTGACCTTATGGAACTGCATCAGCACTAGTGTCGCCTTCAACATGTTACAGTAATACATGCTAAAAGTAAAACGAGTGCCCATCATTGTCCCCTTTTTTTGTTATTGTTAATACCCATTCTCCCTGGATCAACCACAGCAAGGAGGAAGGAGAAATGTTCAATAGACACTTGCCCAAATGTATCTCCGTATCTGGCATTCCTTTTTTTTTTTTTTTTTTTTTTTTTTTTTTGGCTATGCTTCTTATTTCCTAGACATGGTTCGAGAGACGCAGCACAGTATATATGCCGACTTGATTCACTTACAGTATCTGTCTATCTTTTTTTATTTTATTATCCACAGACCAAAAACCTACAACAGTATCATCGATGGGTGCCATCCAATCGTACCTTGCGGCCGATCTTGTCATGCCGCATCCCCCACATTCATCACGTCCATACGAGCCTGTGCAGGCATATTGCCAGATGTTAGAATCTCTGATTCAGAAGCGGTATCAGGAAGCCCTGGCATACTGTACCCCTGCTACCTCACAACCCTGTCTTCGTATCTACCGCAATTGGCATCCTGACGATCAACAGCGTAAAGAAAAGCAGCTGGAACACATCCAGAGCAGGTTCTTGCTCTCATACCCTGCTGAAAAATACAACCTAATTCGGGAGGATGATCACTCTCCTATCGTTAATCCTTTTTTCAATCTCTCTGGCTTGTTCTTTTGCGCGACTGGATCGCCTCTGAACAGCGACAAGGATGGCGCTAACGCAGGTGGTCCTGTTCAAACATCACCTTACGGCACAACACGATTCCAGGTCGAGTTTGGTCAACTTCAGAGGATGCTTTTCCCTAGCTTCAAACTCTACTTTGCAGATCACTACAAAGTCGTTGGTGATTGGTACATTCAGTTGATTGTAGTTCCCAGCTGGAACGTCAGGCTTGAAGAGCAGTGTGTCCAGCAGGGCATGGTTGAACTCGACATCAGGTCTAACCCATTCTTTTACCGCGCAGATGATGGCCAGTACTGGGTCAGCAATTCTCCAAAACTCTGGATGGAGCTCTTTATTGGATGTGATACCATTCCCACTACTGATATGGGCGAGGTTGTCGAAAGTCGACTGCATGAAAAGGTTCGAAAAACCCGGAACCGTATGACAGAACAGGAAGAGCGAGAGAGACACGCTCGGGTCATTGAGAATGTTGCTAGAGACCTTACTAGGCTGGCTGAAGGTCTGAGGCAGGGATTAGGTCCAGTCGATCATGAGCTAGTTGATTTGACATATGGTCTGTCAATGGCTCGGACACAGCTGGGAGTAATGCAATCTGGTCCAGGTAGCTTACCTCATGTTGAGATGGAACATAAGGAGCAGTCTCGCGAGGAATGAAAGGTCTTGCCGTGATGCTGATGTCAACATTGGGAATATAAGACGTCTCGTCGTTGCCATCGTTTCTCCCACCTTTTTTTTTTTTCTTGGTTGCTTCCCATTCTTGTTTCATTCTTTTTCTTTCTTATTCTTGCTGCCCAATTCTTCATCTCAAACCTGCAGTCGTTGCATTGCTTCTCTTCTCGCATTTTTTCTTTCTTTTGTTGCTGCTGTATTGATATTTATATATATATGACGTTTCTCAATCATCATACCACTTACCCATTGGCCTATTTCGTATCCATATCCATTTTATCATTGTAATATCACTATTCCAACTGTTTACCTTTGCTATGTCGCCTCTTTTGGTTCTCTTTGCTTGTTCTTGCTTCATTGGGATCCGGTGTCGCGAAATATACCACACGTGTTGCGATCTTTCATCCAAAAACCTTTTTTTTGCATCCAATGAACAACACGTCAAAATAAGTGAAGATACGAAAAACAAAAAGATAAAATTGGCATAAGATGCTCATTTGGATACTACAATAATCACTAAACAATATATCGTAATTTTAGTCCTATTAAAGCTAAAAAAAAAAAAAAATGAAACGCTTAGTCTTTGTAACAATGCAATTGAAAATAGTTTAGTCCAAGTTATAGTGCTTTGGCATGCTGCTCTTTGTTGCTTGAATGTTTGTTACAACAATTAACCTTGTTTTAACATTTACAAAGTTAAATTAATTCATAGAAATCATGTATCACACACATGCATGCTTGTCAAATGAATTAATGTGGTAAGAATCACATTCAGTGTAATGTTTATTTTGATTGGGCCTGTTTCTAGTATAGCGCTGGATCAGGTCAGGAAGCACAGGCCGAAAGACAGGAATGCACAATTGCCCAACAGCCTGCCTATTTTGACATGCATACATGCACGGATGCACTTATCAAACAGCCTTCGACTTCAGCTCCCCTTGTACGCACGACGCCTAGACACTTATTAGCCTACTGGGTCGTCTGCATGCATAATTACTAACCAATAGAGGAACAAATTAAAAATATAAACTGTATGTTTAACGGTCCATCACAATTGGCTGATGGATATTGTCAATAACTATAGACCTTCCTTACTTATCCTCTCTCCTTGTTACCCTAAAAACCTCTTTTTCCTGTCTGATAAGCTTGAAAGCATATTGTATTTCTCCTTAAACTCCCTCTCCTTCCCCTTTCCTTTTCATCTGAAACAAAAATAACAAAAGAAAAGAGTGCAAATCCAAAAAAAAAAAAAAAAAAAAAAAAAAAAGAAAAAAAGGAGGGGGCGATTGCTTTATTTCCCAATGCCCACAAAGCTTGAGCATGTCTCTCATCTTCTTACCCCGGCTTCATCCAAAGTACGGAGTAATACAAAGCTGACATTATGGCCGAGTCTGCTCATGAAACTCTGTCTTGCTCTCACTCTTGGCCCATCCATTTTCACACATTTTTCTAGCCCGTCATTACATACTCATTCTCTCGTACCAATAACACCGCTGTGCAGTGCAGCGCCGGCATTTTGGTCACCTATTGCAGATGCTCTTGGGAATCCAGACGACCCCTGGGATATCCTTTCCGGCAAGACGTGTGATCAACCCGCATCTGAAGTAAACAGTAGCGGCATCAATGGCTCATCGCCTGCACATGCTGGCACATTGCAAACGAGCAATACCGGAGTAAAACCTCAAAATAACTCGAAAGTTATTGATCCAAATCCTCAACTTCTCACCACAGCAGCTGACTATGGAGTCGTTCACCTTGACCTTGAAGGCGATCCTAATTGTGATTACACAGCCAAAGTTAGGGTTGCTGGATCAGAGGTACCTGTGATTCCTTTTTTTATCCTTCATGCTATGCCACTATTTGGACAGCAGTAACACAAAAAATGAGTCCTAATTCTAGAAGCCACGTTTCGCTTTCGGCTAACTAGTACAATGTAATCATTGACACAGGGAGTGCTCACTTTGCCATTGCTTCCAGTGCTTGCCAGGACTGCATTATTCCTCGCAAGGGTCATTATCAACAAGGCGAGGAAGAGGAAATACCCATTGATCCAGATTGCACCCTAATAGGTGATCTAGGTTCGTATGAAAGCTGTGTGATGCCGGTATCTTATGATCATAATCATGATCTATTCAACTTCATCAACCAGCGCTCAGAATACGTCGCTCACGCTGATCCGCAAGTGCCTATTTTAACAACATCACCTACATCTTCTTCAGAAGCTATGTGGATACATGCTACTACAGAAGTGCCTGTGCCAACCCCAATATTATCAATTTTGCCACAACCTGCTCTCTCGACGACGTCTACCAGGTTCAATTATGTTTTATCGTTGTGGAATAGCTCCAGCACGGTTGTGGCAATAAACAGACAACCAATGGCACTGCGCTTGCAGCTGAATGGTGATGACTGGAATGAGGGCTGTTCCTCTGGTTTCAAAAAGCATTTACGAGCAACGCAACCATACCTCTTGTCAGCCATACCCACAGCAATCCATTCTCTTTTATCGAGAATCAATACCAATATTGTCATACCAACACTTACCATGGTGATACCCGCTACCAGGACTGGTTCTAGTAGCCCTTTGATATTACGTTCTAGTAAAACTGCACCCATACACGGTCCTACGATTGTAACGACAACACTAGCAGCAGTAGGCCAGTTCAAGCCTCCATTTGTAAATCGCACGCGTCGCATGGAAAGACGTCTGGTTGCAGCCCCGGCAAAGGATCTATACCCACTCTCTGAAACGTCTCGTGATATTGGCGAACATGTTCGTGTGAGCTATGGGCTGTCAACCCATTCTGTTGGATGGGATGGTGTGCAAACTTCAGACTTAATGACCATGGAGATGGCCAAAGTTAGTCTTCAACAAGTATCAAATACTACAGGCCTATCATCATTACCAACTTTGGGGGCTTCAAATGGCGGAAAGAAGCCTTCAGGCATAAAAGGGATCATAGAGAAAGAGACTAATGTAGGATTTGTAGCAATCGTCGAAAACAAAGGGTTCTTTAGCCAGGAGTGTGGAGCACAGCACGGTATCTGGGGTCTCGGTTACCGATCTTTGAGCGCCGACCAGAGACCAACATTGTTTGGCACTCTATCGGCAGCTATGAAGATCCCTAATGGGTTTGCCCTTCAGCTCTGTGGAAGGGTCTCAAATACAACCAAGTCTGGCAATATGTTCCTAGGTGGTTTCTCTTCAGCTCATCTGGCAGAGCCTATGCAATTTGTGCCACTGGTGAGAAAGGACTGGTACCAGGTTCAACTGGATGGGTTCAAGGTGATGGGAGAGCCTATACAAGGGATGCAGAACTTGAATCTACCCAAGACGATTGTCGACAGTGGCACAACCAATATCATCATGAGTCATTACAATCTTCGGTTCTTGATTCAATCCTTGGCTCAGTCTGGGATCGTACGCTGGTCACCTTTGATTCCTGATCAGGACATCAGTGACTTCTGGTTCCAGAATGCTGTCCTCCGTTTGCCACGTTCCAGTTTTCGGGTCTCCACAGTGGCTAGAGCTGTTGAAGCCGTCATCTCTGGTGTTTCGATCCCCATTTACACATCTAGCTTTCTAAAGATTAAACCTGTTCCTGCAGGCCAGGCACCAGAGGGTTACGTTGACTTTTGGTGGCATGGTATGTTGATGAATTGCTTTTTTTTTTTTTTTTTTTTTTTTTTTTAGTTGGCTTACCTTTTTTATTCTTTTGTCTATATACATAGGGTTTTCGTCAAGTACTCCTGCCGATATGATTGAGGCGGAAGAAGCTAGTGGAGGGGCAGTGATTCCAGGCAGTGTAGGCACAATCTTGGGAGAAACACTGTTTACAGGTAAAATTGTCTATTTTGAGCGTGGCAATGAAGATGCGCGACCAGGGGATACAGATTTTGGGCGAATCGGGTTCGGGCGTGGTAAAAACTGTTATAGGCCTGCAGATCATGCTTCTGTAGATGTGCTAGCCAATGGAGGCAAGATAGCTGACATTACTGAATCCAGACCTGTGCGTGTGACAGCAACTGGAACAGGACTGAACAATGTCCCCATTGGCGACACATGGCATACACAGCCATCTGGAGCACTGCCGCCTGAGACTACTTTCTTCGATACTCATTTTCATGGCTTGCCAGGGCCAGCTCGCATATTGGGGAGTGCTTCCCAACTATGTCAAAGACTGAATCCTTGGTATAGTGTCATATTGGGGCTTTTCATGGTCATGATTTCTGTCAATATCTAAAGTAATGGCAATAAAAGTCAAAAGATGCAGTCAAATAGTGATTGCATCATTATTGTTGGCTAAATCCATTAAAGTCTCACCTAGACCAATTTCGCATGGACCATGTGAAGGATTTGATGGAGAAGGCTTTGTAAGCCATTCTTCTTGGCACATAATATGATCATGATGGTGTGGCTAACATATTCTAATAAATTCACTTTTGTCCTGACCGTATTTCATTTCTTTTCCTCCTTCCTTGTTCATTTTTCTTCGACCTTGTGTGCTTCTCAAATATTGATTACCATTGATCACCATTGATCTCTCACTCCCATCCTTCCTTCATTGCTCTGAAGATCCCCATAGACACTCTGCACCCATCCTTGTCCCCTCACGGCCAACCAGCACTGATTCTATCCACTTACCAATAACATTTGCATAGCTCTTATTCATCTTCATTTGACATCCTTTTACCCTTTACATTCCACTCCAATATCTTCTGGTTCCTTTCTTCGTCCTCTAACTCTTTTATTATTTGGAGATCCATAACGACATGGCAGATAGTTCAGCAGACAACAATCCTAATCCTCCACCGACCTACTATAAATTCATCGGCATGGCCTTAGCTGTGTCCAGCGGTAAGCAGTAACACTAATCTCCATCCCTGCTCATACCTAATTCCGGAACAACTTGCGAGTATCGTCGCCATACCGCTACCATTGTATAACACATACACACTGGGCATAATCTGATGGATTTTCTTTTTTTGTTCCTTTGGGTATAGGCATATTTATCGGCTCTTCCTTTGTCCTGAAGAAAAAAGGATTACTACGGAGCAGTGCAGTAGCAGGAGAAGGGCATGCATACCTTAGATCTATACTATGGTGGACAGGCATGGTAATGAGTAAGTTGGTTCGCTCTATACAGTCCATAATTCATGTAAGATGCATCATGACAGCAACTTTTGGTCAAAACTAATTTTCTCTCTCTCCTCTCTCTCTTATATATTTATTTTTTTTTTTTTAAAAAAAAGTGATTGTTGGTGAGATATGTAACTTTATTGCCTACTCTTTCGCACCAGCACTTATCGTAACACCTCTCGGGGCACTCAGTGTGGTCGTCTGGTAAAGCAGGCAAAAAAATCGTAATGCGAAACGAGTACTGCTAAATGAGAATGATATTCAACTAACGTTTATGAATTTTTTTTATCTCTTATGTATCCATATTTGTTATCATTTTATCAGCGCTGTCTTGTCATCCATGGTTCTCAAAGAGAAACTCAGTTTGACTGGCAAAATTGGATGCGCTCTCTGTATTGTTGGAGCAGTCGTCATTGTTCTTCATGCACCAGGTAGCCCCTATTGACATCATCTAATATATGCACTATGTGTCGTCAGTGTAACTTTTTAACTTTTTTTTTTTTTTTTTTTTTTTTTTTTTCTTTTAATCACTTGAATAATGGATACATTGGATACACTAAACTATGAATGGAATCGATACCGCTTATTTGTCAATGTTACAACACTATAAAAACAGCCCAGGCAGCAGTAACTGATATTGATCAGTTTAAGAGATTTGTGATACAGCCAGGTATCGATTCTGTCAAATCCATCCAGTATACAGAGCACCAAACCAAAGATGATTGAGCATTTAACATCCTAACCGAGTTTTAATTTCTTGGCTTCTGATTTGCTTCAAGGTTTTTTGGTCTACATGTGTTTGGTCATCATTGGAAGCCTGGCAATTTTGTGGAGACTTGCCCCAAAATATGGCAAGAAACATCTTCTAGTTTATGTCTCTGTTTGTTCGTTGATCGGATCGCTTTCTGTTGTAGCGACTCAAGGATTGGGGGCTGCCATTGTTCTCAATATCACCACAGGAACACCTCAGTTCAACCATTGGTTCATCTATGTCACCATAATCTTTGTCGCCTGCACCCTCATTACAGAAATCAACTATTTGAACAAGGCTCTCAATCTGTTCAACACTGCCATAGTCACTCCTGTTTATTATGTATTCTTCACGGGCGCCACGTTGGTAGCTTCTGTGATCTTGTTTCAGGGATTTTCAGCAAGCGCTATTTCCATTATGACAGTCGTCATGGGATTCATTGTCATCTGTGCTGGCGTTGTACTTCTTCAGACCTCTAAATCTGCTGCGCTCTCAGAGGCAATCATCAAACCAGGAAGCAGTTTAGACATGCACGCAGAAGAGGACATTGCAAGCACCAATACGGACAGCGAAAAGGATGATCTAGAACTGGAGCCGGGTCCTATTGGTGTGCGTGCTGTACCCTTTGTTGCCATTCGTGAGATGGTCAGAGCTAGTACGATGCCTAGCACTTCTACTACGTCTGTTACAGGCCATGGACAAAACTGCGATGGCGAAGGAGCTCACTCTATCCATGACGACCACTATACCAACGCAAAGTTTTTTAATCGATTGAGACGGCGCTCTGAATATTCCTTGGCTTCCAGTTCAACACATGGTCAGAATCTGCATTTTCCACAACATGGAAATGCCGCGGTGCCTCAGGATGAATCAAGCGGACAAGTTAGTAGTTCATCACCACCTAGGCCAGCGGCCTTAGCCCCAATTTCAGAAAAAGCAGAATACAATGAGAAAGACGATCCGATCTCGGAGACGATACCCAGTTATGAGCCACCTAAATAGTGACTTCAACTCCCTGCCCTTCCCTCAATTTTTTTTTTTTTTTTTTTTTTTGCTGTGTATATAATAAATTTCATTTGAAGATCTAGTCACACTAAGGTCTTCAAAATACATTATAAATTAGGCGTGCGTCTATTGTATTTTGTTTAATGTTTAAATGACTTCGTACATATGCACTAACTTAAGTTCCTCTAATTCATCTTCCATAATATCCTCCACAAACTCCTCGCCAGTCACTCTAACATCAATCTCACGTAACCAGCTCGACCAGTTTCCGACTGAAGGCTCAGTGTTGTCTGTCTCAGCGTTGGAAGCTGATGTTACAACACCAGGTGGTTTTGCAGGGACTTTTCTCTTTTTGCTCTTGGGTTTCTTAGTTGGCAGAGCAAACCCAGCATCTTTCAGCTGATCTTGAAGCGATGGTACAGTAATCAAGATAGTGCCTTTTCGCTCACGAAGATTTGTGTAGAGGAACTCCCATAATTCACGTTGGACGTTTACTGGGCAGAAGAATTGGAAGACATTGTTCATGATAATAACATCGGCACTTTGCAACAATGATGCACGGTTCAATAAATTATCATGCATTATCTAGTTGCATTAAATAAAATAAAAAAAAAAAAAAAAAAAGTCTCAGTAGGATGAGTACCTAATTTACTTGCTGTGTCGTCGCAACTTTTTTTTACATATGTATAATATGCTCCACTCGCGGAGTGACATTTACCTCAATTCGATCCTGTAGGCGATGTTTATGTACCATTTCCGTCTGTAGCTTACAGAAGTAGTCATTCATTTCCACGCCAATTAGTTTCTTGGCATCTGTGAACAAATATCCCTAAATAATAATAATAATAGTAAAGAGATTAAATCAGCGAATGAAACATGATGAACAGTGTCGTACTGAGATACTAACAAAAAGAAAAAAAAACAAGTTGTAGATCCAGAATGCATTTTTTTTCTTACAGCATAGAGAACAGCACCTAACCTTGAACCAACATCGAGAACCACTTTGTTTTTAATCTTATCCTTGAGCAAAATTTGGAAGAGGAATTGCAGTTGAACCACCGAGGCAGAATGTGAAATGAAGTTCAGAGGCTTTGTGTCTTTGGAGCCACACTTTGGGCAGTAATTACGCGAGAGCTTCCCACTGTCGCAGAGCTCATCCACATCATCCTCTGTATAGAGAAATCCATCCACATGAACAACATTATCCTCTGTGAATCCCTCAAACTGTGCGATAATAATAAAATACAAGTTGGGTAAATAGAAGTTTTCTTTTTTAATATGGCTATTAGGCTGTTATACATGAACTCTGTGTTTTCATGTATAATTTCAATCGGTTCTTTACCTCCTTAGATCTTGGGATAGTAATTTGTTCATTTGGAGACTCTGCATTCACAGGCAACCGTTCTCTCAGATCTTGGATGATCTTATTAAGTTTGAAGATCTTGGAACCAGTTGATCGAGCTACAGAGCCTTCCTTTTGTCGATTATGATCATGGCTACATCCTGCATGATGCTGGTGCTCGCTATCATCCTGTTCCTCATACTCCTTGTTCAACATCTGGAGACGCTCCTCTACGATATTCAGTAGCATAAATCGTCCATTTAAATAGAACCATAGTAGGACACTATCAGTCTTTTCAGAGCTTCACCATTTTGTAACAAGTAAAAAAAAATTGGTCTCATTACTTTCAATGTATTAATATATTACCAATAGCCGCGCCAACAAAAGTCTCAAAGGACAATAGTTCATCACCCTCGAGCGTGGCTAAAATCCCTAGGAATGCATCCTTAGCCTTGTCCAAGGGAGTCAATTCACTCATGTTTCAAAAGTTGTGAATGGAAAGAAGGCCGATCTAGTTTTTTTTTTTTTTTATATCCGTATTCACGTGACTAATTCGCATCATCCTTTTCTTTTATTCATAAGCTATTGTTTGTAAAAAAATATGGAGTATGCCAGCTTAGAACTTGAGGGCATGGGGGGCTTGACCCTTGGAGAGGGAGAACTTAGCAGTCAAGTACTGACGAAGGTGCTCGACCTTGTTGACAGCCTCAAGGATGAGCTTGTCAGTGGACTTTTGGAGAGCAACCTTGTTCTCGGCAAGGGGCTCCTTCTTCTTCTGGCCCTCGAAGAATGCCTCTTCAGTGGCAGCCTTCTTAGCGGCCTTGGGGCGAGCAAAGTAGGCATCATTCAACTGAGCATCGATCTGTAATTGAGTATACACATTTTTAAAAAAAAAATTAGTATTACACCTAATTATATTTTCGATTGATTGTCTAGGCATTTGCTTAATATCATGATTTATATGGTAAAAGAAATAATAAAATAAAAAACACACCTTGGAGGCATCAATGTCAACCTTAGTAGACGTGGCAATGACGTAGGCCTGGTTGACACGCTTAAGAGGGACGCCATTGACCTTAAAAGGACCAGAGACGAGCAACAAGCCAGATTCAAGCTGTTTCAAAAAGACGACACGCTTGCCGCGGTAGCGACCGGCCAAAAGAATAAGGACAGTTCCGGGGACAATGGAGCTGCGAAGTTTGGCAGTGCCAGCGTGCTTACGGTTCTTCTTGGGGACAGCGACGTCCTCAGCAGAATAAAAGCGAGGAGCCTTGGAGACAGCAATGACACGAGAGCCACCATTCTTGCCGCCCTTGACCTCAACAGTCTTGTTGGCGACCTTGGGGGCAGCAGCAACAGTGCCAGCGGGCTTGCGCTTGTACAAAGCACGCTTAGCAATGACCTGCGAACGGCTGTACTTGGAGACACCGACGGTCAAGAGTGAGTTGCGGGGCTATAGAAGTTCAAGATGACAGATCCAAGAGCCAGAGTTACAGTTAACAAATGCAGTCTTTTTATAATGTTGTCCCTGCCCAGATCATTTAGATCTTTCTAAGCTCCTGAGTAGTTCAAATTTGCATAATGAACGTCGTCGTCTGCTATTGTATGTAGCAAATCCAATGTTTGTTGAACAAAACTATGGGGTCGTATATAGTACTCCAGTGTTGAAAGTCGAGACCGAAATATGATTCCTGAAATCTTCTTTCATCGGTAAAACTTCTATGATTGACATCAGCTCCTTTGAGCAAAAGCGATCTGATCTTGTCGTTCAGAATGAGATGTCGCCACTCAGTTTTCATCGCTAAAATATGCATCATCCTTGTCCTGTAAAAATCACCCTCAAAATTATGATTAAAAGGAAAGTCCTCTATTCGATACTTTTTCTTTTCTTTCTTATACATCGTCCAACGAACTTATTTTGATGTCCTTTGTCCTGCACGAATAAACATGTGTTCCTTGCTGAAGTTATTAGAAAGAGACAGGAAATAATCCTTTTGAGGGTGTACCGGCTGAACAAAAGTCAGAAAAATCGACGCCTCATACCTTGTGAACCATTTCTGATATCTGAGGTCATAATAGAAAGCGAGAAGAAAGAGAAGAAAAAAAAAAAAAAAAAAAGAAATCTCATCAGTCACAACGACGTCGAACTTTCAGTTGGAGATGAGTGAGAAGGCTATTGGATATCCCAATTTGAGTCAAAGATTCCTGCCATTCTGCCTGCTTAATCCATGGCTTTCTTTTTTTCCAGTAGTTGTTAATCGAAATCATGTTTCCCTGACAGTTAATCAGAGAAGCATCAATAAATAATGTTGCCCTGAAAGTGGTGGAGCTGATTAGTAGATCATTAGAACTCCATCTCTTGGTTCACAAGGTCCATAATATTTGGGTCAAAATATGGTGATTCAATGTATATCTACTCTTGAATGTATGAAGACGCAAGCAAGAGAAATAGTAATGTTGCAGACTCGCTGATCGATGGGCCCGTCGAATGAACATATCGATGGATGTCTATCCTTTGTTATATATCTGTGAATGGATGTGTATAAATATGCGTCTAATATCTGCCGATTAATTTACATTTTTTAATATATTGCACAAGAGAGAAAGAACTAAATTTACCACTTCTGTGACCATAAAATCTGACTACTCAAAAAAAAAGAGCGCAGCCACCCACTTTTTTTTGGCTTGATATTATAGATGTATACAACTATATAATGACAGAATGCTCTGGTACGGACTACAGTACAATTGACGTGTCTCCACAGCGTGGCGGTGTCTGGTAGTGAGGTCTTCAGATTGTTGTTGTGAAGAATACCTTCATGTCTCGACTTAAGGGCAAGACAAAATGGAGGAGATTGTTCTCCCTTTCGAAGAGGTATCCAGATCCTAGATACCCTATCATTGCGCTGAAGTAAATATTTTGGGCGGCATGTTGTTTTGTACATAGATCACTGCAAGTCGCGCTGACAAAGACAATAATGAACATACAGGTATCTGCTACTGCGACTATAGTGGTTATGGGTAATTCTCTGTTAAAAAATGACATTTTGAGTAGCGATGCAACTTTGGCTTTAAGTCAATTAGAAGAACTTTATGAAGTTAAGAACCTATAATTGACTGAAATTATTCAGGTATGGTATGAATACACGAGCACGTAACGCAGCTTTATCATGTGATAGATAATCGTGACTGCCGTAGAAGCTTAGGGAAGCAGAGAAGGACCCAGAAGCCAGAGGAGAACCAAATGTTAGAAAGATCGCGAAATTCACTCCTGACATCAACTTTTTCTTCGTAATCACATTAACATCACATTTTCATTCACTCTACATCAATCGACATGAGGTATGCGATTATTCATTTGCATTATGGCTATCAAGTTATGCTTATAATTTACATGCTGATCGTTGTGGCGATTTTATTGAGCTCGAATATTGAAGCACAATATCTTTTTTACAATAAAGGATCAAATACATGGGTTTGATTAATACTAACACATCATACATCCTATTTTAATCATTGGACGCGATTTCATTTATATAAAGCTCTACTCTCACTCCCGAAGGTAGGATTGACAGACAATTGCGTTCGTATACGCTTAGATATCCTTTGTGATATAGATGGATTCGGTGTTGTAACGAAGCGGTGTCATATACGTTCACTAATATTTTTATCTTTCATGGATAGTTTTGTGGGCCCAACGCGCCAACCTTGTTTATGTCACTGTTAATCTTGCCGACACTACACCAAACATCAACTTAACCGAGGACAAGCTCGAGGTTACAGCCACATCCGATGGAAAGAGCTATGCCACTGTGATCGAATTTAACAAGCCAATCAACCCCGAGGTATGTTTGCGTAGTCTGTATCTAAATCTTTTGTTTGCATTTGGGCATAGTTATAGAATGAATAACGTGTGACCCACGCAGGGGCGAGAACATGGGAAACTGATCAGCATGGATTTAGTTACTGGGTACTGCATCGAAAAGCACGGGCTCATAGCACTGCATGAACTCACCAATTTTTTGGTCTACTGCGATATTTGAACCATCAATAGGCATCTAAGACCAATGCAAACCCTCGTAATATCTTTTTTACTTTGGCCAAGAAGGAGGAGAGCTGGTGGCCCCGTTTGAACAAGGGTCCGAAGCTCAACTTCGTCAAGACGGATTTTGCTCGCTGGAAGGATGAGGATGACGATGACGAGAATGATGAAGATCAAATGCGTATGGGCGATATGGGCGATATGGGTGGAATGGGTGGAATGGGTGGAATGGGCGGAATGGGCGGAATGGGCGGAATGGGCGGAATGGGCGGAATGGATCTTCAGAGCTTGATGGCTCAGATGGGTCAAAGTGGCCAAGGAGGTATGGCTGATTCTGACGACGATCTAGAGGTATGTTACCGGTTGCATTGACGCTAAGCAATAATTTGTCTCATTTTCAAATAACATTTCTGGCATTTTATATTTATATTTATATTTTTTATTTTTTTTAACATTTGCAAACAGGATGATGAAGAGGGTGTTCCCGCATTGGAATCGACCGAAGACAAGGAGGAGGAGAAGTAAACGGTTTCAATTTTGCCATCAGATACTTTCAAATAAATGAAACTGCTTTACACAGTCGAACACTGCAAGTCATAATGTGATGGATATAGCAATGATGTGTATGTCTGTTGTAGGTGTATGTGGAAATGAGGAACAACCAGATCTGCCTGTACACATTCATAAATATATAGTGAGATCTCCAAGATTTCAAGTTAAAGAGGGTCAAGGTGGTATAAGAGCGCAGATTAATATCAATGTAGTTGAGCCACGAATCTCCGACTTTTATGTACATGTACATGGTGTGCCTGCTTAAAGAAAGAATACCTTGTATTCAAGCGGAAATGTCAAAAATATTTTAAAATGAGCAGTACAGATTAAACACGCAACACATTGCTGGCGATGAAAGTTTCAAAATAATAGTCAGCTATATTGAGTGTGAGTTTGGGTATCTTACAAGCTCGAATGCCAAGTCCGCGGTCCGGTCCCAGGTTACTAAGGATAAGGGTCAATGACTTCGGTCTTTCCAAAGCGGAATCGGAACAAGGCTAATTGCACGTTTAAAATTTACATTATGGTATGACATCATTGCACTATTCAAATCGTTGTAATACACTAAAAATGCCCTTAGGCTAAACTCAACCGAACTACTCGAGGAGATCAAAAAAGATCCTCGTTGTACAAGCTAACAACGAATAGATGGTCAAATAATCTCCAAACACCAAATAGAGTCCTCACCAGAAGGTCATCGACTAAAATATTTTCATGAATAAAATATCCTCCACTTCAGACAACCAGCCACCAAATCAATTCAATCATCGTTTTTAATTAAAAATGATTTAAAGACAGTATCTTATAAATATTTTTGTCAACGACTCTGGCGAAGACTACGGACACGTTGTACACAGTTTTCGCCACCTACTTTATACTTTCCGTATTACATTAAAACTAGATATTCTTTTTTTCACAGTAAAGCATCAAACATAGACGAGATTTATCCATATATGCATAAGGTGGGAAAGAATGGAGGATTGACGTTTCTTGCAGGCGCCGTTCAGACTGTGGTCCACATCGTTATTTGGTCCTTTCAATTACGTCCTGCTTCGGTCTTACTCAGCTCTTGTTGGTAAGTCAAAACAAAGACATACGCAATAGATTACACTGAATACCGGTCTCATATAATATTTAAATCAATTGAAACCGATACTTTAAAAAAGAAAAGAGTATCCTTTGAAACCTTAAAATGTGCGCGGTTTTAAAATGATTTAAGACATTCATGTCTTGAGTGACTTTCCTCTCTGTACTCTTTCTTTCATTCTTTCTTCTCAACTCTCTCGGTCCACTCTCCACTAGCTTCTTAATCATGGAGAATGCTTACTCACAGGCTGCGGTGGCACCAGCTATGCCTTCCCACGAAGATATCGACGCCAGCACATCAATCACTCCAACACTAGATACCAACACCACCACCACATCAGCCACCCCAGCGCCGATTACAGATGTATCAGATTCAGCTTTCGAACGATCGAAGTCGATCAAAAGGCTGCAGGCTGATCCGGCTACAGTAAATACATCCACTGGGTCTGTTCCTGAGTTGGATGACAGGCATCTGCATGCTATCGTGGGACAACATCTCATCACTACACCTCTCCCGGACACCAATGGGAGTTCACTTGCCCAACCACTTCCCAGCGATAGTCCACCAAAGAGTATTAATGATGCTAATCTTCTCGAAAGACAACGTTCAGCCAACTCCACAAACGCTATAACATCTGCAGCCTCAACCTTCGAGGCTACAGTTCCAGAAAGCTCCATTGGGTGGAACCCACATCTTCAGCTCCAGGGGGGTGCTGATGCTAATGACATCTACAAGTGGCACGCAAAAGAGACAAGACGGCAGCTTGGGCCCAGGGCTCACACCTACCACGCGCCTCATACCAAAGTCCCAGGTATATCCGCGATTAAGCTGCCAGGTGGATTCCGCCGCCATTTCTTGCAGCAGGACGCAGCAGCCCGAGGAGTGGCTGCACCAAAGTTACCAACAAAGTCCTTTATTCACTATCTTGGGCTATTTAGTATGTACGAATTCGATCATTTTGCTGGGGAGAACTTTCAATCGATTCCAAGAAGGTCCATTATTGTGCCTAAGGATCCTGAAAAACGGAGAAGGTCTTTAGCTACAGTCGGTAGTCATCGGTATTTTATGCATAGTGATGAGGTCCAGGAAGATGAGGAAGTTATTGAGGAGCCTGAAGAATTGATCTCATTCTCCAAGGCTGTTGGCATGTTGTTTAAAACGTAAGCACGGCACTATCTTATATTTCTGATGCTGCATGGTGCATGCAACACGATCATTCGATAAACAGCTTTTTTTTTTTTTTTTTTTTTTTTTGAAACTAGATTTATTGCAAGTGGTATCCTCTTTCTACCAAATGCATTCAAGAACGGTGGCATACTCTTTGCACCGATCTTCATGACCTTGATCGCTATATTATGCCTGCATTCCTTCTTGTTGCTAGTTCAATGTCGCGAACTGCATCCAGGCTCATATGGTGATATTGGCCAGCGTTTTTACGGCCGATGGATGCGTTACATTGTCTTGTTTGCCATTGCCATCTCACAATTTGGCTTCTGTTGGTATGTTGGTATATGTTGTTGAAAAAGTTGTCTCAGTTTTGGTAGTATCAGTTTGATTAACAGCCCTTTGTCCACGCCAAACATATCACCACAATAGTGGCTATTGTATTTTTTTTGCGCAACAGTTCGCTATTGTAGTAAAAAGCTTGGGCGGTGCCGACCTGGACAAAATCGTCTGGATTGCCATTTTTTTCGTTATTCTAATTCCCTTCACATTGCTACGTAATATTGGAAAATTGGGCTTCAGTACTCTGGTTGCGGATCTTTGTATCATTGTTGGATTGATCTACTTGTACACCTACGATATCAAAGAGCTTGTCATCAATCAAGGGTCTCCTACTCCCCTTCGCCTCTTTAATAGTAATGATTTTGGAGTTTTCATCGGCACAGGTAATAATAAGATTGATCAGAACTAATTGTTTACAAAAATTATTTTCAAATTTGTATTGCGTTACTTATGACTTTTACTGTCTTTTTTATTGCTATTGTCAGCTGTATTTTCTTACGAAGGAATTGGGATGGTTATCCCCATTTGCGGTAGCATGGCCAACCCTAAGCAGTTCCCACGTGCTCTTACCATTGTCTTGGCTGTAGTCTGTGTATTATTGGTTAGCTTCGGTGTATTAGGGTATGCTGCTTATGGCGATCAAGTTCATACAATCGTCCTTGATAATCTGCCAAACAATACTGGGGGAGAGAAGGCAGGCAAAAACGCGATCCAGTTGCTCTATATCATTGCAATTTACCTTACAACACCACTAATGTTATTTCCTTGTATCCGCATTGTTGAGCATGCTGTGTTTAAGGTAGTTGGAGACGAATCTTCAGGCAAGGTGAGGATGTTGAAGGAGAACATTATACGTATCGTCATCGACTTTGCGGTGGCAGCTGTTGCATATGCAGGCTACACCAAGCTCGATATCTTTATTTCGTTCATCGGTTCCTTTGCCTGCGCTCCCTTGCTCTTTATTTTTCCGCCCCTGTTCCACTTGCGCGCCTTCCCTGGGCAGCCCTTGTGGCGCAAGATCAGTAGTATTGTGCTGATCCTGTTTGGTTTCCTAGTCTTTTTTTACACCCTTATCATTAATATCCAGTCTTTCTCAAAGGACTAATCGCTACATGTTGCACAGTAAAGAAAATTAAAATTCAATTTCCGGGCGGAATCCGTAGACTTGTATCTGAAATTACATCACGCAGTGATTGTGTTGTATATAGAATAACAAAAGAAAATAGAGGCGAATAACCTTGACGGCAAATAGCGCCATGGGATGCCAAAAGGAAAGACGGAAGATTTATAGGCGAGCTCACAAACTGAGAAAGGGAAAATAGAAGTGGACGGCGAGATGAAATGAGAGTGAAAACTGAAGACTTTATCGAGAGAGAAGTTTCTTTGGCATTTACAGTACTAGCCTACAGATCTGGTTGTGGTAGTTCCCAGGCGAGGCCTCAAGAGGCGGACTCGTCTATGACAAGAATCCTTCTAAATGTGGATCTACAGAATATCTCGATTAGTGGATGCTGAATGAAGTTGAGGCAGTGGAGCTGTCAGGTCTCAACTTGTACACCAAAATCCTCGCATGTAGGACTTCTTGGAAGTGTCGTACTCGTTGACACCGACAACAACGTATCCAAGGGGTCGCGCCTAAGGATTTAAAGCAAATCTAGTTAGAGCGAGCCTTTCCCAATAAGTAAACATGATATAAAATAAACAACCCAAAAAAATAAACATCTTACCTTGCAAGGATGACAGCTGGCACCTCGCTCCAATTTTGCCAAACCCAATCCCAATTACAGCCTTATTATACCTCCCTCCCTTTCTACCAATTGATTCTCCGATCATACTGAGAAGACGGTCGGGGATGATATATACATGTACTGTACTAAGCATTCCTAGCCCTTCTGGAGTCCCATTAGTGCCTTGCAAAAAGCCTTTCTCCGTTTTAAATTCTTCGAGCTGATCCTCTACCTTTTCTCGTTCAGATATAGATGTCTTTCAATACTGGCGTTGTCACCACGTAGAGGCGGCAGTCTGCTTTCCAGATCACTGATGGAGTCGGCTCCTGCAGGCGCAGCACTCCTCTTTTCTTCTAGTCACCGCCGAAACATGAACGTTGGCTGGTACACTGCCTTTTGCTTCACAGCAAGGTTGTGGAAGGTATCAGGGTCTGCGACAGGCAAGAGCGCGCTCGCCCCTACACACATGTTTGACTGATATCTATGCCTAGGGTTTTTATCTTGCCGGACTCGCGTCTCCAAATTGTCCTGACATCCTGCAGGCTTTTGACAATGTTCCTAATCTCCGTCAAATAGTAGTCCACACCACCAACTGTAGACGTGAGTTGGGAAGGTACCTTATCAGGTCCTTGCCTTTCCAAAAAATAGTGAGCAGCTCACCCTCTGAGAATGAGATGAAAGGTTGCTGTATTGGTGTGAAGGGAACCATTTTACGGCTGCTTTTAGTGAGTCGATTCAAGTAGGCAAAGTTTTCGATGGCAGAGATGTCTTCCTGAATATTGATGTCTATACCAGGCAACAGGTCATGACACCAGGAGCCTAACGGTCAGTTTTACGAGGTGATGCTTGATGGCATATCGAGATCGGTATCTGCGAGAACTCTGTTGGGCCTCCCCTTCTGTGTCCCCTGGGGTAGGATGATTAACAGCCTTGTATCTATTGAAGGGCTTGGGTTTCTGAGCCATGCCTCGTGCCAGCTTGCTATGTGTCGTAGACGGATGAAGGTTAATGGATGTTCAAGCCAAAATAATAATATAAATAATAATTATAATATATTTATACCTCTTGGTGTTTGCCGCGCCTCTGCTCCCTACCCTTCTTGGTATTATATCTGTCATATTCACGCTGAAGGACTTCATCGGTAACGGGAGGCGGGTCAGATTCCTCAGAAGATGAGGCCAGCGATACAGATGAAGCAGATCCATTATCAAAATCCTTCTCAATATCCTTTAAGGTCTTGTCTAGAGGAATAAGTGCCTGTTTATGATCAACAAATACGGTCAGTGAAAGTTGAAAGTCTGCTTCATGGACATTCCTGAGCTGGACTTTGTTATCGGGCAGATACTATCACAGCATTGAATTGATTCCTAATACAAAATAAATAAGGTTCATATCTGAACAATGGAAAATAAAATAAAATAAGATAAAGTAAAACAAAATAACCACTTTAATTGCATTTTTTTTTTTTTTTTTCTAACATTACTCCAGGCCGCGTTCAGAACTACAATCCATTGATTCAATAAACTATCAGACCCATCTTTGATGAAGGAATGACTCTTTCGTCGTTTTGGCTTCTCATACTCAACGGTGAATAATATTGCGAGAAATTTTAAGCGGATAATCGCCACGCAGTCCTTCAAGTAGGATGTATAGCGTGGCTACAAGCTAAACCTCTACATCAATGCCCACCAATACGTACCAATTATAAAAAAGAAGTCTGCTAATTTAACAACTCATAATAATATTGATGATAATAATAATGATAATAATAATGATAATAATAATGATAATAATAATGATAATAATAATGATAATAATGATAAAAGAATCGCTTACTGTCCTTTACTTTAACCGGTGGCATTCCTACATCTTCTATGTGGAGCATACGCTAAATATGTCTTTACCTTTGGAATGGAAACCTTCAGGACAAAAAAAAACCCCGTACCAGGAATGCGACAAGTGGCTTTCCTGTGCCAAATGGCGCTTGATGATTATACGCGCTGTATGACCGCCTTTCATTCAAGAGTACCAGTTTATATCAGATTTGATTCTCCAACTTGGACAGTCTCTCGAAGAGTTCTTCTCATCTTTGCTACGACAACTACAGGCAGGGAGAGCTGAAGAGAAGGAAAGAAAAAGAATAGAGCGAGAGGAAGCAACCGCTGGATTGTCTAGACAAAATAATAACAAAATTATGGACGCGTAAAAGAGATTGGGTCCCTTCGCGCTTGATACGAGCAATACGCGACTTCTGCTCAAGGAAAAGATCTACAGAGTTTACCCTTGTATGAGTACAGCGCAATCTCGGCCTATATGACGTAATATGAGCGCATTATATGCTATAGTGTGTACCTAGAAGACATTGCTGTCAGTCCGCCACTATCGCTTCAAAACTTCATAATCATTACTGCGATTTATCAAGGCACATTCCTTCAAACATTTCTTTAGACACGGAAACAAATATATACACCTCCAGGCTCCATTGATACGCTACATTGTATCTAGCAGGGACACAGTTTTAGTCATCATGCCACACATTAATCCACCTGCACCGGCGATGCCTCGATTGGCGCCGCCAGAGTCTGACCATTGGTTTGCCAAAGTCAAGTACGCTACACTCTACCCTTTTGACTTGCTTTGGATTTATCTGTGTTTTTACTAATTCCCTAAGTGTTGATCTAATTTTCTTTCTTTTTTCTTGATAGGGCATTGCCCTTTCATTCTGAAAACTTTAACTGCATCCTTCCAGGATGTCCAAACTCATATCAGACAAAGCAAGGTTTGGAGCGTCACTTTATCTCCATCCATATGCCCAAAATCCCAGCACCTACAAAGCACACGCGATCAGATGCGCGAGCGTCGTCCTCAGCGAGCCTGAGTAATACCAACTACCGGAGATCTAGCACTGCCGTGCGCAAAGGAAGAATAAAGTCTCATCGTAAAGGGCGACCGCCAGGATCGGGACTTAAAAACCGCCTCAAGCAGCAGGGCATTCAGCAGGAACTGGACCCTGCTCAAACAGACAATTATCTCACACATACAACAGCTGATCATCATACCAATCATTCCTTGCTTGCTAACCACCCAGCATCTACACGACATGACTATGGATGTGATGATGAAAACAAACCAAGGGAGGAACGCTCGTATCTCGAATTTTTCCCCTTTCTTAATGTCTCCCAAAGACTTGAGATCGTAAACATTGCAACAGAAAAAAGCCTGGTAAATACTGTCAACGCTACAAATAACACAAATCACGGTCATACATCAACGAATAATTTAACATCAGAACAGACTACACAGCTTGAAGTTGCAGCAGAAGAAGTTAAAGCTGAGAGTTCGGATGTATCGACCATTCGAACCAATTTAAATGAAGCCTACTTCGCGGGTCAAAATCCGCCGTTATCAGCGAATGATATGTTTCATAATCCAGGGGAATCCATTCAGCAATCCCAGACACATAAAGCTACGGATAATACTCCATCAGTCAAGACAGAGGCAAACTTGACAGTGGATACTGATGAAGACCGACTTAGTGACATTGGCATGGATGTCGAGTATGATGGTGATGGTGATGCTGGCTCAGATCCAGATGTCTTCTTTGACGCTAAAGGATTTATTGACAGCGAAGCAGAGTCAAGTCAAAAGCCAAATACAAAACTCGATAGGACTGTTACTAACAGTAAAAGTCAGGTTAATACAGCAGCCAAAACAATAAATGGCAATGGATCAGCAATCAAGGATGGAGATGACAAATTAAAGACTCAAGATATGGATGCTGAAGTCATAGCAGAGACCAATCATACAGGGGCATATTCAGCCAAAGACCGACCCAAACTTCAGAACAATGATTCAAGTGTAAATAATCAGAGGAGACAGGAAGATAAGGAGAAAAATCGGTCATCATCACAAGCGCCGGTCAACAGCCACTCAATTGCTCCACTAGCAACAACTTCACTTGAACCTAAGACACCCATGGCTTTGCTTCCAAAATCTTCCTTCAAACTTATCCCACGAGAAGATGACGACCTTGAAGAATACCATCTACCAGCTGGGCATAATGTTCGCTATATAGGTAAGCCATGCTTAATTGGCTTTATTAACTTTAAATACGTACTGTCGGTCTGAAACCCGCTACTAACAGGAAGTGGCCTTATAGAGCCGACAGAGACGGAGCTAGCAGAGCGTGTGGAGTATGATATGGATGAGCAAGGTAATAGCGAGTATTATTTGTATCATGCAGCTGATGCAGTTACTATTCTTGCCTTTTGTTTATGATTAACCCTGGATACCTTAATTGGACTGCAATAATGTTAGACGAGTTTTGGTTAAAGGAGGTTAATGCGGAGCGACGCAAACAAGATTTAGGAGAGGTATCTGCCTCCCTGTTTGAGAAGATTATCGATCGGTTGGAAAAAGAGTGGTTTGATCTAGTATGTTATCTGAATATTAATATATCGACCCTCATTTACTATTATTCATGTGGTTATCGAAAGATCGCCCTTGTTATGGTGAGGTTATTACTAAGCTAACTTCATTTCTGACTTCGGATTATCATGGTAGACCAAAAATATACCAAAATCTGCAGAAAATCTTCCACCGGAAGATTCGGCTTGTAATATCTGCGATGATGGCGAGTGTGAGAACAGCAATGCCATTGTATTTTGTGATGGCTGTAATCTAGCAGTTCATCAAGGTAAAGCGACTCAGATGATTATAAAGGGCTTAATTTGTTCAGGTTATCAACATAACTAACAATGCGCATCTGGATATAATTTACACTGAACTGAATAGACTGTTATGGGATCCCTTATATCCCAGAAGGTCAATGGCTTTGTCGTAAATGTATGCTCTCACCTCAGATGCCTGTCTCATGTATATTTTGCCCAGGAGAAGGGGGTGCATTTAAACAGACCACTAACAGTAGATGGGCTCATCTTCTATGTGCAAGCTGGATCCCAGAGGTTGGAGTTGCTAATACTGTATATATGGAGCCTATCGACAACATTGATAAAATTCCAGCAAGTCGCTGGCGATTGACATGTTATATTTGTAAGCTACGCATGGGCGCCTGTATCCAATGCGAAACCAAGAATTGCTTCAGAGCTTTTCATGTGACCTGTGCGCGAAAGGCTCATTTGTACATGAAGTCCAAGGTCTCAAAGGTTTCCAGTTCAGGGGGAGAAGTCTTGGTCTATCGCGCTCACTGCCACAAGCACACTCCTGTATGTTCATATGTATATTCCATATCGCCTTTGATCGACATTTTCCATGTCTTCACACGAGACCAACCCTCTTTTCCCTTTTTTTCTTCATACGACTTTTCACTCATCTAGCGCGACTACAAAGGCTCAATCGATATTGCGGGGGCAGCGGCGTTATTCGCGCACAAAGGCATAAAGAAAAAGCGCAACAAAATTCGTCCAATAGATGATGACAGTGATGATCCTGATTATGGTCGAAGTGACGAAGATGAAAAGTCGCGGCTCTCAATAGCCAATAATGATAAAAGCGGAACAGTAGGATCTCTTGCTGCTTCCCAGGTCCTCGGAGGGTCCAGGACGTCAAAAGCTGCTCTAGCTCATCAGAAGCATTATACCCCGGGGGCTCCACTTGCGCCCATGTTCATTGTCAACCGCCTTCTTCCATTTGTGAGCAAACTAGGTGCCAAGACATCTGCTATGCGAAAGGTGTCGGCCCTCAATTTTGTCTATACCATCTGCAAATACTGGTCGCTCAAGCGAGAATCACGCCGTGGTGCCCCTCTATTAAAACGGCTGCATCTGGAACCCTGGACAGCATCAGCTTCTGCACATCGACAGACTGAAGAAGAGAAGCTTAAAAAGTTACAGACACAGCTACTTCTGCGCGGCGACTTGGAGAAAGTCAGGATGCTTGCTGAACTGGTGAGAAAACGCGAGAGGGCTAAGCTGAAGCGACAAGAGTTACAAAATCGTTACCTTTGCAAGATCATGTTTCCGCTCAAGACAATCCTTGAGGACACTCTTGCAGAACTAGAGAAGTGGGTTCCTTATTGTTATTCTAACTTGAATACATCAACTCTCTTTTTTTGTGCAGCAGATCTTATTTTATATGAAACATTACTCATACCTTTATTTTACATCTCCCTTTATTTTAGATTGGACAGACAAAAGTATTTTGCGTATCCCATTTCGACTGAGGAAGTCAAGGATTACCATGAAATTATCAAAAATCCCATATGCTTTCAAACTATGAATGAAAAACTTGCAGCTCACAAATATCAAAGTATAGAAGAGTTCGCGGTAAGTCACAGACTTGAGTTTTCTTCATTCCTTTGATCACATTGCAAAGTACCGTGTTTTTCTGGTCGCTAACATCATCTGGCTATAAATTGTACGTAGGATGATGCTCGTCGTATATATCATAACTGCCTGACTTACAACAAAGTTGATACGCCCTACTACCGTGCGGCTAGTCGACAATTAAAACAAGCCGAGCCCTTGCTTCAAAAAGCCAAAGAAGACTATGAGTGTCTTGAAATTGACCCACGCACAGGATTTTTGGCTATACCTATTGACCCTGAGATTTTTACATACAACTTGATTCCATTTCATAAATCAGAGGATGATGAGTCAGCCACGGCAATAGTACAGGAAAAAGCTGTGTCAGAGGATGCGGTGTCAACTCCGGCTTCGAGCCATTCATCCAAGCCCAAGCGTAAAGAAGTCACGCTGGAGACCCCGAAGATCCCTTTTGTAACCTCAAGAGCACTTCGAGCTACTTCAGGAAGAACGGCACTTAAAAGTGGAGGGCCTACTGCTCCGCTCTCGCCTCAGGAAACTAGGCGAGGACTGAACCAGACTCCTGGCTTCCGTGCACCATCAAGGTCTGCTGTTCGGCCCGAGGTACCCAAACTCAAGACAGCTACAATGACGCGCGCTGATGTAGCCAAGGCCCGACAAGCAGGTGAAAGTAGCGCTGTATTGACGACACTTGATGAGGAGGATCTATTGGAGAAGTTGAAGCAAAAGTCGAAAAAGTCAAGATCTTTGGCTGTCAATCTACAATCCCGTCTTAAGCCGTCTATTGTTGATAAGGTAGTGGAGGTAATCAATAAACCTGCACCGAAAGGATGGGCATACGTAGTTGTGGAAGGAGAAGAAGATTCAACAGAAGGGGAAGATGAAGCTGAGGATGAAGCTGGCTCGGTGCAAGCAGAAATGGACCCAGAGGCCCTGGCACTGGCAAAAGCCAAGGAGGAGCACAATATGCGTCGCAAGATGGAGAGAAAGGCGGAAGCCCTGAAAAAGAAGCTAGCCAAGGAGAAACGAGCTAAGGAGAGGGCTGAAAAATACGCACAGATGAAGGCTATGAAGACTCTTACAGCAGCATCTCCGCAACCATCAGGATCAACAAGAAGCTTGAGTAGCGGTGCGCTTCCACCAGCGAAGTTGCCAAGTCAAGAAAGCAGATATGTCACATTAAGATCAAGAAGGGGGCACCCTGGTCAGCAATCAAAGGAAAGAGAAATTCCATCCAATGATTCAGCCAAACCGCAGAAGCAACAGGAGTGTGATCTCGCTGACGGTGTTAAAGACATAATGACTAGGACCTCTGTGGAGCCTATGGACCCCAAGGGACTGACTTTTGTAGACCAGAAGGATTCCTTATCTGCTGTGGAGCATGGTGATCTGGCTGCTGAGAATGAAGAGAAACTTAGGCATGTGACAGCGCAGGCATTGTCAACATCAGAGCGCTTATCAAGAGGCAAACAGAGGAGAGCTGATTCGGAGGAAGATACTATCAGCAATCACTTAGGAAAGCTAAATGTTACTGGTTCTGACTCCAACGCGAACGTTACAGGAGAAATCGGTGATACCGAGAATGATATTTCGTACCGGAATCACCATGGAACTGATGTCCTACCCATGCTAGATGAAAGATCCGTTATCACAGAGTTGGAGCCGCCACGCAAGAGGCAGAAACGAACGGGTTCAGGAAGGATTCCAGTTCCTGCCAAAGACGATACTGAGGGTGAATCGACCGTGACGCGTCGTTTACGGTCGACAGAGACTGCTACGTTTGGACCATCTTCTTTGCCTTCTGCATTGAGCCAGCGGCGTAGTAGTTTTGCAAGTCAACGTGGCTTCACTAAAGGAGTCAGTGACATGTCTGGAGAGTAAAGAAACGCTCGTCACCGCGCGACTTTTCATCTCCAGCAATTAATGTCGAATATGAAAAAAAAGAAATAAAAATAGGTCACCACACCTCTCCAAATGTACTCTATTAGGAAATCGGATTATTTTATTTACATTTACCGACGGTATAGCATTTGACTAGTATTTTCAGTTTCTCCAATGTTTGGCTCATGCCATTTTATGATTATATAATTATGATCCAAAGAGCTTCAGCTACCGCTGTATGCACCTGGCATGAATAAGGACAGATCCCCTAGGCCGCCGCATCGTCCGGTTTATAAATCTAGAAAATGCGGTAATTGAGATCGTTCCTGGTGTTGAGTAACAACAACCCATAAATGTCAATACTAGTTAGAATCCGAACTGATGCTTGCGAAGTAAAATAGAGCGCTAACGCTAACGTAGCCATGGAGGAGATCATCAAACTTTTACCATAACAATTGCCTAACATCTCAGTAACATTTTTTTTCCTCTTTTTTCATTAGTTCATCTTCTCAATAATGCCTTCGAGAATACTTGCTGAAAGAGGAATATACAAAATCTCCACCCCGTCGGGTCCTTTCTTGGATTGCACGATTCGGTGGTCTCTAAACTCAGTCAGCTGTGTTCGGAATGTCAAAGCATTGCTGACAAGGAAGTTCTCCTGACATTTCTTGAACAACGTGTTGTAGGGCATACCCAAGTCTAGCTGATTTTTGGTTACTGTGCCGGAGCCAGATTCAGCGGTTATCTCTTGCTCCGCTTGAATCTGATGCTCTGCAAGAATCTTGAACAGACCCCTGCCGTTTGACGTCAAACTCGCCAACACAAACTGGATACCTCTCGGCCCGAGCTCACCCTGACGGACCATAATAGAGTTTTCAAAGCTTGTTTCTGTCAAATAAGGCTTAAACGTCGTGAGCTCATGCCAGACCCAACGGAATCGTGCAGCTTTGACTGTATCCCAGAGGATGTTGGCATTGATATGATCTATGGAGGCTATAAGATGGATTTGAGGACATGAAGCCAAAAGACTAAGTGCGGACTGAGATTTTTCTGAACGTAGACTTGCTCCATCAATATTATGGATGAGTAAATATATCTTTTGAATTGCGCGATCAGGTTGCGAAAAGTAGGCTTGTATAAGCGCAATTTGTTCCTGTAATGTCCCTGTGGGTTTGCTGTGCCCTAGGGCCCCTGAGCTAATCTTGTCGAGTACCTCCTTGACCGTCACTGTCGGAAAATATCCGTTAACAATAATCAAGGGTGCATCCGTAAGCGTTATCATGGCGAACTTTGTGAGTAGCAGACGCTTGGAACCATAGCCATACATTAACAAATTGAATCCAGAGACGAGCTCGAAGTACCACTGGGAAAATTGTTCCTCATATAGAAGATTCAACATTTCCATCTCTGCTGCATGCTTAACAGGGGCTTGCTTCATGGCTTGGATAAAATCAGTGTGCTCCAGAGTTGGTAACTTTGATAGGGTGTTATTGGATGTCCTTGATTTTTGATATAAATCCTGGAAATATCGCTCCGCACCCATTTCATCTTCCTCGAAGAACGACTTTTGTGGCTCATTCGCATCATGAACTATGGTATCTCTAAAGCTATCCTGCCTCTTCTTCTCGTTATCAGATTCGCTTTCAATGTCTGAATTGTCCTCACTTTCTTGTCCATCGTCATCGTCATCATCCATGTTCTCGTCTTCGTCCTCTCCTGAGCTTGCCTGGTTCATTCTTGATATCGTCTGTGTATAGCGTCTTCTCTTGGCTTCTCGATCAGCTAATGATCTTTTAGCTACAATACTATCGCGCGTTCCCGAGCTTATTTCCAACCCAGATCCGCTGAACTGCTGCTGTTTCTGAGATGTGGACAAGGAGCTTTGACCTTGGTGGTGATGCTGCTGTTGCTCGATCAAAGCTTTAAGACCTGCATATTTGCGTTGTGCTTGAAACCCAAAAACCTCGCGACCACGCGCGTGAGCATGAGCGGCGATATTTGGATCTTGCGAACCATCACTTGCGGTCGCGCCGTCATCCCTTTTGGATGTTTTTTCTCCAGGTAAAAAAACATCCTGTAATCCAGGGTTGGTTTCAAAGTCTTCTTCGCGAGAATCTTTGGCTTTTGTTGCAGTTATGAAGCTGTTCGGTTTATTCACAGTCAATCCTGAATATATATCTACGTGTCTACCACGGGATGCGTGTGCTGGCAATGCCTTCCTAAGGCGTTTACAGATCACAGCTTCTCTTTCTGCATCCTGAACCGAAACGATACAGGTGAAATGTATAGGAATCTCATCATTCCCCTGGTAAGTAATGGTAACCATACTTTTTTTTTTTTTTTTTTTTTTGAAAGAGAGGTTATTGCTCGTGAAATAGAACAAAAGACTAATCTTTTAAGAGTAATGTAGTAGTAAATTCGGCCCACACGACATACCTGATGTATGAATGTAATGTTGAAAAGGCACTTTTTGGTGGCGTGCGTCGAAGATGGTTAATTGAATAGTGGCTTAGGTCACATGCCAATAGATCAAGTCAAAAGCATTCTGCGTCTGTGAACAACGTTTGTCCCTTCTCTCTTTGGAAATAGATTAATTTCAATGGTACTACATTTTTCAAGTCGTAGTTGTTGAAACATCCGTCTCTACCCATCAATCGATCCATCAATCAATCCATCAATTACTCGTTTGATTGCAAGGATAATATACGGCAGGGCTAGTTTCAAATTATGGCTAGTTTTTTTTTCTTTTTTTTCTTTTATTTATGACAACTCCCACATGCACTGAGGCGGTCATCTGAATCAACATCAGATATTTACTTTTTAATTTACACAAGCCAGCATATTCTTCCTTAATATGGACCCCGGAGACTCACTATCCCTCAAATTCGAGACATGGAAAAAAAGGAATCTGTTGACCTGTTGAACACGCTAAAATTTTGAAATTCATACAGTACTCGGTAGAAAGGATGGCATGTCTGACAGCTACAAGAATCATCGGGACTGGTTACTGATCAACACCATACTTTGATCAGGCCAAAACCAATAACCAGTAACTCGTGTTTAGAAGCGTATTACGAATCGGGTTTTATATTTATGTTTATTTATTGTGATGAGTGAGGTGATGAAATCATAAAGTACATTCTGGAACAAGCAGGAAAACAGGATTATCAACATCTGTGCGAGAAACTTCATCTATCTTTGTTAACACCATATTACAATGACTTATCACCTCGGATTGCCTCTAACTATTTTATCTTAGCCTTCCAACAAGTCGTTCATCATCAAGCGCAAGCTCGGAAAGAAGCAGAAGCAGAACCGCCCTCTGCCTAACTGGTGCCGCATGCGTACCGACAACAAGGTATAGTTTTTGTTTTTTATTTTTGTCCAGAAGATCTGAGTTTAATTAATCCTGGTGGAATCTGTCTGGCCATCTTTTTTAATCTTATACCGTTGTTATTGATACTAGATCCGTTACAACGCTAAGCGTCGTCACTGGCGCCGTACCAAGTTGGGCATCTAAGCTCTCTGCCTATGCACTTGGACAGTTGGAGTTCATTTATGAGTTGGTCTTTTCTACTGTTCCATAAAGGTCACAGCGTTCGCTGCGTTTGAAAATATTTCTATTTTTTTTTATTGTGATTTTGCTGTAAAGATATAAGTTGTGAATACATGTGATAGCCTGATGGAAGGGGTAGCTTTATTCATCAATTAGGAGGGTACAAACGGAGAAAAAAGATTGAGATGGGGAGATGATTATGTTTGAGCATGAGCAATCATTAGATGGTATCTACACTGAAACGTAACCGCGACTACTTGTGAAACGTCCCGTAACAGAGTCCCAGACATGACGTACAACATCAACAACAAGATTTGGGAAGTCTCTCCAAAAGTCTATAGTCAACGGGTAATAATAACTTGTTAGAGCAAACAAACTGAAGTAAATCGCTATATTACGCTACATGCACTAGAGAATACTTACCGACGTGGGGAATCATGTCCACACCCGTGGCACCATATACCTTATGGTTATATGCAGCTCCGGCGATTAGATAAATGAGGGCAAATATGGATAGCACAGTCAAGAAAGTTCTAAATCCCCCCATACCTTCAGTAGTTGGGACCTGAATTTGTTGGCTGAATAAGCGAGGAATAAGAATGTGCTGTTAGCTGTTTTCTGCTGCGTGACTCTAATGTCAAATTATTGATTGCTGTTCTTCGACACTGTGTCTCGGTAGACTTACGGGCAAGCATGTCCAGATTTCCACGAAAAATACACGACACCGTTTTCATATTTGGTCAGTGTTGGACCAACTGTTTCGTCCGTCTTGAAAAGAAAAAAGTGATTGAATCGACATTAAAAAAAAAAAAAAAAAAAAAAAAAAAAAAGCGTTACTTTACAGTCGACATCAGATCCAGCACTTGCTCCCTCATTTTACGAGAAAATCTTGCTGTCAATGCTCTTACCACAGCCATATCACAAATAAAAGTAATTGTAGCTGACTGATTCTGACCATCAATATTCCCTCCTCTCAGTGTCAAATTCCAAGGTACTAAACCAAAGAAGAAAAAGATGTGGTAGTAAAATTCATGAGTTCCTCCTCATTGTAAAAGTCAACGTAATTGTTCGTTGCATTTCTCTTTTGTCGCCTACATTCTTTTACATCCTCAATTTTTTCAGCTCGCACCACAGTTGGTGCCACGTCTCTCGCGATCGGACGGAGAGTCACAGTTATGGGTTCACCTTCGTCGCGGACGAGCTTAGTATCCTGGCAAACCCACGTGCCGGCTTTACAATGCGACTTTGCCTCACCTTCCGGAAAGGCAATAGCCTGGCATGGGTTCAATTCATAATCAACGCGGATCTTGTTTGGATGTTCCTCCCTAACTTCTCCTTTAATAGTATATGTACTAGGTATCAACCAAGAGAGAAAAAAAAGAGACGCATCAATATGACTTCAGTAAGATCGAAAGCTTACTATTGCTGCTAATTAGAGGGAGGACTCTGGAGCCTCTTTTTGTTCCTTTGTTGCTTACTTCGCCTTGAAAGCTGAGATGTTATAAGTATGGCCTTCGAGCGAGATATTTGCACAATCGTAGGGTGCAGGTGTTTCACCCTGAGCATTCGCAGTCGACTGCAGTGTAACAACGACAGCCAATGTAGCGATGGCCAAACGGAAGTAGAATTGAGTCATTGACGAATGTATTGAGCAGAATAAAATGGGTACAGGAGTAAGGGAGACAGAACGAGTTTCTTCAAGCTTCTGTTTTTTTTTAAAAAAAAAAAAAAAAAAAAAAAAAAAGTTTCACGTGATAGGGTCTATCCTTCAATGTACCTGTCTGTAACCTTTTCTATTCTCTTCATTCAACCCATTTCGCTTCAACCTTGAAGGCTGTGCGTCCATGTGACATTGTTATAAACAATCGAACCCCTTCCATTCATGGCTGGCCTATATCCTCATCCATCACACTTAAACCTAGTCCAAGTCCGAAAGGAAGAGGTGCATTACGCAATGAAGAGACATGTGACAGACTTTGAAACTGACACCGACTGTGCTACCGTGACCACAACTACAATCACCCCCACAGCAGAAATTGCGGTGACAATGACAATGGCTTCAGTTTCAACATCAACGCCAGCTCTTCCTGGAACTGCTCCTAAACCTAATTTAACCGCCGCCAGGTGTCACATCTCGAAATTACCTGCCGAACTTGCGTTTATAATCCTCACTTATTTACCCTATCGCAGCCTCGTTGCTCTATCTCGGGTTGATCGGCACTGGAGACAATCCACTTTTCAGCGGGATTATATCTTATGGTACAAGTTATGCATAAGACATGGTTTTATTCCTCTTGCAGCAGCAGGAGAGAATAATACGACAGACGCATCGGTTAACAACAGTTGTGGCCTTTACCGTCTACACCTGCAAGATGTACAGAGTCAGCTACCTGGGCTTGCAAGGGCGCTGCTACAAAGCAGTAGGCGTATATCTTCATCTTCAACTTCGTCATCCCAGCAGTCTTCTCCCGGAGCACTATCAGGGACATCCTCCCCTCTATTAGTTGATTTGAACGATGATTCATCCATTGAACAGCATACCACAAAGAAAAAACGCATGTGCATTTCCACTTTAAACTCCACTTCTTCTTTTTCGCCGCCTTCTCAGCCTTTTCAAGGGCGGGTTGAGAGCTGGAGAGACTATTTTGAGGTCATGATGACGCTTGAACGAAAGTGGATTGAGGGTAAGCCCAATATCAGAAGTCTTCGTGAACATACAGAAGCAGTACTCTGTGTCAAGATCCTTCCACAATCGAATCGGATAGTCAGTGGTGATCGCTTGGGCTATCTTAAAGTTTGGTGTGCTCTAACGGGCGTCTGTCTCAAGACATTCAAGCATCATATGATGGGCATCTCATCTCTTGTGATGCAAGATGATATTCTTGTAAGCGGTTCATGGGATAGTACTATTATTATTTGGCGGCAGCTGCAAGAGGCACCCTATCTCAAACCCTCCAAGGTTGTCGACCTGGGTGAGCAGGTTATGAGTATGGATTTGGATTCGAATATGGACTTGGTCATTGGTGCTGTTAGTGGTCTTGTCAAAGTATTCTCTATCAAGACCTTATCTTCCATGAACACGTTCCGAAGCCCTCTCCCTCACTTATGCACAGCAGTCTCCCTCAGCAACACTAAAGTTGAAGCCGCGATTGGACTTAACTATTATGCCTGGGATCGGGCGAGCAACGCTCAAGTAGGCTTTATAGGCGATGCGCACTTTGACAATATCTCATGCATGAAGGTCGATGTTGGAAAGAGACTTATTTTCACAGGGTCACTGGATAGCAAAGTGCGGATTTTCAGTTGGGAAACCAAGCCCATGCTCTTGAGGCAGTACGGAGGCCATCGAAGTGGTGTACGCTGCATGGCTCTACGGGACAACATGATCATCACTGGGTCCACTGATAAAACATGTTTGATTACATTTCGTGGTCGGCATGAATCGTACAGGAGCGACGCAACAACACCATTAGACGGAGTTCAAGATGGGTATGAAGATGAGACTGAACACATTGCTCAGCCAGTATCTCTCTTAAATCAATCTTATGTGAATGCAGTGGACGCGGACACAAGTATGGTGGTGACTGGTGCTGAAGATGGGGTTGTCAGGATATTCGATTTTGGTTGTGATCTTTGGAAACCGCCTACACCCTCCTCTCCTACGTTATGCGGACAGGCTTCATTAATCTCATCCACATCATCTACATGTGTACTGATGGCGCGGCCTGGTAGAAATAAAATCTCCGTGGGTAATCGCCGCCAAACCTGGGGTACTTCTGCCTTGGCTGTGCTAACTCGGGCGAGGTCAATTTTGAGCGAATCACTGGCGCAACATAACATAGATCAAGATTCATCAAAAACAACACCACTGGCTTGGATGAACGTTGATGAGATATACCAGCGCATGATCGAGTGGGAGCTCCAACCCGTCAGGTTGGTTTAGTTTTTTACTTTATCTTTGTTATTTTCTTTTTATTACTTTTTGATATGTGAGTGTAAGACTTACCTTTATTCGTGATTTGTCTTGTAGTCAAGGATCAACCCCAAAGCATACGCTTAATCTTGCCCTGCACATGATGGCTAAATCAAAATCACCAATGATCTTATTAGATAGCACTGTCAGTCCACATCGATTTGCAGTGAAGTAAAGCACATACATTAATACATAGAAGAAACTTGATAAAAAAAATATAAAAAAAAAAGTCTTTATATTATACTATCTATTAATGTAGAGATGTATCATCTACTTAAACGATCGTATTTTCCGTCAAGTCTACATCCGTGTCCATATCCATGCCCATAGTTGCGTCCAGCTGGGCTTGTATTTCTTGCAAGCGTTGAAGAGCAGCCTTGGCAGTTGGTCTCTGTTCTGGATCTGCCTGACACATATCCTTCAGCAGTTGAATGACTTGAATTGGAACAACCTCGCCATTTAAAAACCTCATGACGATCTCTCCGCTCTTACGCTGCTCGTCCTTGCGTGGTGTCGAGCGAGCAGCTGATGATTTGACAGTGGGCGATGGCAGAGGTAGGGGCGATATAGGAGTCGAAGGCTGTGATGATCGAGCAGACCTCTCTGGAGAGTGACCATTTAAAAAATGATTGTTTGATGTATTAAAGGATATTATAGGGCTTTTATACAGCCCTGTGGCTCCAGCTGAAGAGGTTGCTGAGCAAATAGAGGTTGGACTAAGGCAAGAACGAGCAACTGCAAGCTGTGTATTGATTGGAGGAAGGTTAAGAGTGTGTAAAGCAGAGAATGACGCTCGTGTTGAGCGAGGACCGCCTTGTCTACGCTCCTTCGACTCATTATTGTTAATAATTGATGCCTGGGCCTGAGCTTGAGCAGCCGACGAAGCAGATAAACGACTGCTTGGTGTTACTTTGGGGATTGGGCCTCGATCATGAACCCAGCTTTGGTCTTCCCAGAGCCAAAATCCACCCTTCTTAATCCAAACAATCATCTCGATCATGCTCTTAACTTTGTGAAAAGGCTCATGTGCGGTCAAGCCAATGACATATAGCGATACCCCAAGAGAATAAATGTCAATGGGTCGGCCATAATAAGCACACGTCGATGATGAAGCAAACATCTCGGGAGCAGAATAAGGAGGCGTTCCTCGGCCACGTCCTTCCTCCAGCGAGAAGCAATCCTTTGCTTTGGATTTCTCTGCTTCGATGATATCGCCTATAATGGAGCCTGTAGTATCTGGAGTGCTCAAAAAACGCCCTGCACCAAAATCCGAGAGCTTAGCATCAAGGAAAGAGTCGAGCTAGAACAGTGTGAAAGTTGGAAGTTGGAAGTTGATTGATGGTTTCAATAACAAAGAACCAGGCTCTGTCTTTATGTACTACACATCTATCGAAAAAAAAAAAAAAAAAAAAAAAAAAAAATCGAAAATAGTATAGCTGCCTACCAATATGTTGTGCGGCTTTATATCGTGATGAATAAGACCTGCATCATGAATACAATCAACCGCCTGCAAAAGTTGCAAAGACCATGTTAACCATCGACGGAATCCAACTTTCTCTGGATTCTGACGTATCCAGTCCCACATGGATCCATTCTGGCAGTATTCAAGAAGTAATGTCCATTGACCATCTTGATGATCACTCTGGACAGCACGCTCATGACTACTGCTCTCCACGACAGATATGATCTGTTTTTTTGCTTGATCATAGAGCCCAAGGTAGTCAACGAGATAAAGTCTGCCTGGATTCTCTACTTGCGTGGTGTGAAGCCTTCTTAAAATGGCCGCCTCTGCTAGGCCCGCAGATTGAGAGTCGGCATCGGATGAAAGACATTTTGCAGCGCAAACAATAGTGTCGCTTTGAGTTATATCTTCTTTACTCTGTTGAAACACGTCTTGACAAGACATCGCTCGTAAAGTTTTTCTTGTGTGTAGGTACTGTCTCATGTGCGACGACGAAGGGTGAATTAGAGCCTTGTAGACCTCTGAATGCCTTCCATATCCAAGTAGGTTAGCTTTGCTACAGTCAAGGTTAAGAGAAAATGGAGGTGCATTTTCGGCTGAGTCATGTTGAGAACAACTACTGACGCTTGGGCCATGGCCGTTTAAAGACATAGGAGGTAGGAATATCGATGAGGAGGAAGGTGGGAGGGATGGCGAGGGTAGAGAGCGAGGCACGTGGACAGGTGAGCGCAGTATCCGGTGTGAGCTAGAAGTTCTTGGTGTTCCATGTACGATGTCTTGGTGGCTGGATAATATTGACCTCTGTAACTGTCCTTGATCATAACTCAGACTTCTAGAGTTCACAAGTCTAGCCGGGGCTGGAGACCGTAGACCTTTAGAAGATTGAGTGAAGGCAACATATCGGTGTTAACCACAGTGAATGATTGAAATGAAAGGCTACTTCAAGCAATTGCACACTCTTTTTCTTTAAAAACGCCCTTTTTTTAGTGTGAATTCTAGAAGCGATACCATATTTTTTGTGGGGTGACAAAGGAAAGAAAAAGGGAGAAAGGAGGTAAAAGGGAGGTTGGACATTATTATGCAAGGTAGTGGAACTCGATTCTTTCCCTGTATAGATTCTCGGCATCTGTATTTTGGTGTCTACTGAACTGCACTGCAATTTTTTTTAATGCGGTGCTCTACTGATGTCAATAAACAAACAAAAAAAAAAAAGTCCTCCCAACTAGAGAGATTAATAATAAGGTGATTTGACTACTTACTGGAGGTTGCGGCTGCTGTTGTTGTAATGTTTGAAGAGGCGGTTGATTCCATGTTGTAAATAGGGCTGCTGGCTCGCTGATGTTGATGGATTTTGCTCCCATAAGTGGATGAGCTACCTCTGGGAATGGCATCTTTGTTTATGCCATTAGTAGTGGTGACGTTATTACTACTGCTGGCACGGAGAGAGCTGATATTGGGGCGTGAGGCACCAGACCATGGCTGATCAAAGATTGAATTACGGGAAGGAGAAGGCGGTGGGGATGCAAGCGAGACTTCAGAGTGAGCCAGAACCTGGGGATGGGCTTTTTTTGTCTCTATTACTTGTTGTTGTTGCTGCGACGTTGTGGTGGAAGAGGGTGTTGAGGTGTCAAGGTAGGTATATGGTTCGGAGGCAGATTCATTGTAGAAGATGGATCCAGGACGGAAGGGTGATGGTGAGTGGTGTAAACCAGCAGGAGTAGGCTTAACAGTCATTTGGAGTTGAAATGACAAGACAGGACAAGAAAAGAAGAAAAGAATCCGAAAGAGAAAGAAGGAAAATATGTGAAAGTGTTTGTATCAGTAAATGATCCAGTTTATGTATTTTGCTATTGTTGTTTGTAATGAATGAAAGGTTAATGAATGTAGAAAATGAATGAGCTTGGAAAAAAAAAAAAAAAAAAAAAAAAAAAAGTGGAAGCAAGGGTTAACGAGAGTGAGAAAAGTTTTTTTTTGCTCAAAAAAAAAAAAAAAAAAAAAAAAAACAGAAAATGTTTCGTATGTCCATTCCTCTCTATCCATTCAGAGGTTAGATGACTAACAGGCTGACGGTTGATTCTGCGTTCAGGTATAGTATGACATGTACAATGGTGTGGTTGTTTGCATCCCGATATCGCATCTCTTACTACTCTTTTGGTCCATGTTTGCTCTCCGGTGGTTTTCAAGCCTTTAACAATTTCTTCATCCCGGTTTCCTAGAATAGGTAGTTAGAATACTACAATCGGATAGTAAGAGCCAACCTCCAAATCATGCGCCAAATATAAAAATAAAGAAAAAAAAAAAAGACACGGGATGATGAGCATGCGGTTGTTAGAATGGCTCGCTCTTCATTTCCAAGAAATCTATGAAATGCATCAATAGCGTTCAAAAAGAGTTCTCCGTGTTGCTGTACATAAACTTGAACGTAAGACAGGCATATTAATAAAAAAAATAAGAGACATTACGCACGCTCGAAAAAGGTTTTCGTGCGATGCAATCAATATTGCTCTTTGTCCACGATGACGACGCACATGACATATTTATATTGTATACATATTGATATGGATTTTTTCCTTTCTTTACAGAGGGAAGAGTGAAGACCCAAATTCTACATGGAGCTCTACAGGCTATTTGTCATGCACAGAATGTTGTTTTATGCACTGTGAATAGAAGTCATCAACAACGGCACCGCTTTTTAGATTTGTGAGCAGTAGAAAGGCCAGAAATCAAGAGGCATGTGCGAGCCGCATTAAATCACAGCACAGATGCTCAACCAATCATTCTCCATGATCTAATCTTATCTTAATCAGCCAATCATATTAACCATTTTGATCAGTTGCAATTACGTCTTGAGAAAGAGAGAAGAATTGTAACACCACATAAATATGCTCATTTGTTTTGATTATTATTAGGAACAGATTATGTACATAGAAAATTACAAACGGCTGATAAAATGACGAATATGCTCACCCTACTGTTGCCTTCTTAATACCAGATTTTACTTTTATAATACTATACTATATATTGCTATGGAACTTATATTTTGGATTCAGAGGTTTTTAAAAAAAGGATATGGTGAGCTTCCAAATGACTCAGTGCCTCAATGCATCTATCTATTGGGCTAAAATGAATGTAAGGTACAAACATCACGCCCCCACGACGTCAGTGGTGTCAAAGGTGCTTTATATATGTTACACGATTTTCAATCATCTTTCACTTCTGGCATTTCCAAAGAAATGATTCCGTGGCTCCTCTTATTAAGATGAAGTAACCATTCAGGTCTCCTATGTTCTTATGCCGGGATTCGGACGCTCCTGATGGCTTCAAATTAAAAATAATAATTAATCTAAATTGTTCATTGGGGTCATTTTAATATTTTTTTATTTTGTAAAAAAAATATGAAAATCAAGCAGCATTTGTAGCGATGGTGCCGCAAGAAGGGCCTGAAGAGTATTTCAATTTTATATCCCTTTAAGAGCACAAAGTCCTCTATCTTATCTTCTGCAATGCAATTTTTTCCATGGTTTAATGAGAATGTAGAATGTGTAGAAAGGTGGCCAATGATCAAGTACTTTATGAACATTTTTACGCATCGTTGTAAATCATTTTTCAACCCGAATCTTATATTCTCTGAGCTGCTGGTCCGTCATGGCCGAAGGACTCCCTACAACGAGATCTCGTCCCGATGCGGATTTTGGGAATGCAATTACATCACGAATGGATGGTGTTTCGCATAAGATGGCCATCAACCGGTCAAAGCCCAAAGCTAAGCCGCCATGTGGTGGGCATCCAAAAGAAAGTGCGTCAATTAGATGCGAGAAGCGCTTACTTTCAACAGGGGTCATCTAATTTTAAGTGAAGGAAGTGAATTAGACACAATCATTCATGTGAATTCCCTGGAAGAACTTCATTTTAGCTGTTTATAGTGATTAATGAAGGCTTCTATTTACCTTTAATATATGCTCAAAGACATATGTCTGTAGCTTAGGAGAGTGAATACGAATAGAGCCACCACCAATTTCAACACCATTCAACACCAGGTCATAATGTTGTCCTCTGACTTTCTCCGGCGCATTGTCAAGTAGATGAAGATCCTCTGGCATTGGAGCAGTGAATGGATGGTGCGTCGCAGTGAGTCTTGCATTAACTTCACTAACCAAGGAAATATCCTCCACAGGCGAGAATAATGGAAAGCCTTCGATCCATAGAAAGTTATATTGGGATGTTGGAATCTTTATCAAGCCTAAATTCGTTGTTATCGAGAAGATTGAATACAAACTCAGTAGTCCATGCAGCAGAAGAAAAAAGTAAAATAAAATAAAGAGAGAGGAGTTGGTCTAAAGCGATTAGACAAGTGGCCGAGCCATGTACTAGACATGTGGGTTTTTACCTTTGGATTGGAGAACATTCGCAAGCTCCAATCGAACCTTGCCTAAAACAGTGCTACCACCCTGCGAAACAAAATACTCTAAGATTAATCGCAATGGAAACTAAGAATATATAGTCATCGTTTTCAGAATACTTACCGACAGGAACGCTGGTCGTGTATTGAGAATTAGGCAGTCGCCACTTTGAATGCCCAATGTACTATTAACCTCGTTTAAATTTATAGATCCTTTGATTTGTTGTATGAATGGCAATTTCATGATCCAAGAGTCGATATTCTTGTCGTTGATCTTGACAACTGGTAAAATCTAACAATGAAATATATGCACGGATGTTGTTTAGAATTAAAAGCTCTTCACTTGGGCCGCTGCCTTACAAATACTTTGTGATGATAGTTTATACCTTATCATTCAGCTGCGATAGCTTCTTGAGATCCGACCCAGGAAGTCTCATATCTCTTTTTAGCACAATAGCCTCCAAAACATTGTCGCCGATAATATCCGCTACATGCTGAATTTCTAAACCGAAGCGGGTGTCAGGCTTATCGGAACCGTACTTCGACATGGCTACTTGGTAGTTCATTCGAGGAAAACACTCTCCTGCAAGAGGATCGATGTTTTTAAGCCTTTTCCAGACAGATCGAACAAGGCCCTCTACAAGAGCTTGAATATCTTTCGCAGAACCAAATGATACCTCCAGATCTATTTGTGTGAATTCCGGTTGACGGTCTGCTCGGAGATCTTCATCACGAAAACATTTTGCAATTTGGAAGTAGCGATCAATTCCACTAGACATGAGCAGCTGTTTATACTGTTGCGGACTTTGCGGAAGAGCATAAAAATTTCCACTGTCGCGAGTCGGAACAACGAACTCACGTGCACCTTCCGGGGTTGATTTGAACAGTAATGGGGTTTCAACTTCAACGAACGCTAAAGAACAAGAGCATAATTGATAGCAGCGCCAGTTGATAAATAAGAAAAAGATGGTAATCTTCGTATATTACACTTAGTCGGTTACTCACCATTTTGAATCAAATAATCCCTGATAACCCAGGCTGCTAATGATCGGTCGCGTAAATTTCTCTGAAGAGTCTCACGACGCAGATCCAGACACCGATACTTGAGACGAACTTCCTCGTTAACCTATCACGAAAATGGAACCCATCATGCGATTGATATGAAAGCCATTTTAGTCATGATGTCCATACGAACGACTCGAGCTATCACGAGGACATCCTGAAGATACTGTTATGAGATGCTTACTAAAGAGTGATTTGCTGGAAGAAAGGGTAGAGCTTTGTGGGCTTTGTTAAGAAGATGTGCCGAAGTAAGCTCTACCTCAATATCGCCAGTTGCCATTTTAGGATTGATTGCCCCTTTTTCCCGAGCCACAACAACTCCCTCTATGCAGATTACGCTCTCTGGGCTTAGATCCTCAAGAGTTTGTCGGATCTTGTCCCTGTCGGAGCCTGCTCCTTTTAGGACTAATTGAACTATTCCGGAGTGGTCGCGCAGTGGTAAAAATATCAGCTCATTCGAGAATTTTCTAATTGCCCATTGTGAACAACATGGTTAGCCAAAATAAATAAACGATTAACAGAAAAAAGGTGCTTAGAATACCTGATATTTTGTGCCCATCCTGACAAAACGACACGTTCGCCTATATTGAGCTTATCAAGTTCACCGCACTTGTGGGTTCGAACCGGGTAATCGCCTGCGAATATCAATCAGTACATGAAGCCAAAAATTGTGTAGATTGTTGAAGGATTATATCTATTGGCTGACCAATGCAAACTATCAACTGGTGCCATACCAAACGTGACATCTTTTAATAGCTCGGCATGAAAACCAGTTAATGCGCTGGGGCCTAGTGAAGTTGTGTTGAGTGCGTTTATTTTAACAGAAGTCGAGGAATAACAGTGGTATAGGGAATGGGTATAGACAGCTGTCAAGGGCAAAATGCCTCTTGAATTGCGTTCTAAATGCAATCCTATTCCATTGAGTGCTCGGACAGTGCGTAGAGTTCGTGCAGCATTCATGAAAGAGAAGAAAAGTCAAAAAGACAAAAATGGATTTGAAGAGATGTCAAAGGTCAGATCTTTCAGCTGTTTATTTATTGATTTATTTATTTTCCCCTAGGAGTGACTGCATAGAGAGGTAGCACAGCACATAACTCACGAATAAGGAGAAATTCAATCTTTTATAAATGTTCTTTATTCGTCTAAAGACAAAAAGTGTATTATTTGGTATATGGATGGTTGTTATAATGTAGAACAATTAGTCGAGTAAGGAGTCTTGTCTATTTCTCTGTCGTTGAATCATCCTCTTTACCGAAATTAGGAAAATGGGCTAAAATGAGTGGATTGATTTTTTTGGGAGGCAAGTCCACAATTGGCATTGCATTGGGTGAGTTCTTTTCAATGAGATACAGGTTGCACAAGTTACGACCTCCTTCAACTTTCAAGTGCCTGTTCAATGCATCCATTCTCGCAAAATGATGCTGGCATCTCTCACAGGCAAACGGACGTACGCCACGGTGCAGTCGTTCATGTCGATTTTTGTCGTGAAGCCGTGCGAATTGTCGATCACAATGATCACAATGGTAAGGTCGTAGGTTCGTGTGGGTGCGGATGTGCGAGTTTAAATTATATGGACGAGAGAAGCTCTTTGTACAGCCTTCATATTCGCACTTATACACACCGGGGGTATTGAGCCCACTTTGTCCGGTTGCGTTCAAAGTGGAGCTTGTGTCTGTTTTATTCAATGGCGGGCTAGTGCAGGATGCGGGGGTGTCTGCATGATGATTTTGAGAAGAGTCAGAGAAAGAGCGTTCCCGTTGTTCTACGATCTGAGCTGACGACTCTGGAGGAAGCATGGACAATGACGTCGAAAAATCCGGCACTAAATTACCAATCAGATCTCCCTCAGAAAATTGGCGGTCAAACTCATCTGTATTAAGATGTCCAGCACTGACGGTACGACGATGGTGAGAGATAGCCAGCCAGCCAGGCGATCCTAAAGCTGTAATATCTGACAATTCAGGGGATGAAGGTGCCGACAATAGCTGTTTGACACCGTAGGGGTTGATTTCCATTGGTTGCTGGGGTATACAAGTTTGCTGCCGGCTGTATGGATGCCAATGTGATAGTGAACGGGGCTCGGTCGGATATTGGTGGGAATGTGTATGAGTGAGCTCAAAACTGCGAGTCAGTTGCATAGCAGTGTCAGGCCATTGTCCTGGGGGGATTGATGTAGAGCTGACCATACCAGAGCCTACAAATTATCCATGCAGTAGACGATGAAAGTCAGTCTTGTGATCATTTTGAATTCAACGGTTGATTATTTATCTCAATCACAATCAGATTTGGGCTCATGCTTACCATGAATGCTTCGGTGCGACACTTCATATGCTTGCGTAGATAGCGCTCGGGTAAACTGTGAATGAGGATGAGTTGTGAGCTGATAGCTTGGACTACTGAGGTTGATTTGACTAAGCGGGTGTTCATCAAAGAGTGAATCCGGATAAGGACCATTGAAAGATATAGGCATGGATGAAACTTCAGTTGGTAATGAAGTTGAACTGATACCAAGGTAGGCTAGTGGTAAGCTGCATTGATTTTCAGCGGTGACCAAAGGTGAGGGTGGAAAGGAGGCTGGAGATGGAGAAGATGAAAACTCGTTTGGAGATGACATCTTGGGCAGGCAGGCTTGTTCATCGCCAGAAGAGCCGTCGAGAGAAGCGAGTTCTGCACTAGAAAGTAAGCAATCTTGAGAGAAGAACGCTGGCATATCTTGAACTTGGACCATAGTTGTAGTGTTGATCCAGCTACTTGAGCAGTTAGCCGTGGATGTCGTCGGAATATATGTCATTTAGTTTATTTATAAGGCTGTAATTAGGTTAAGTTGTAACGTCAGTAAGCTGAAAAGCTTGTTATTAACGTAAAGTGAGTGCAGTTGAATAGGAAAAAAAATAGGCTCAAGGTGCAAGGTCTTCTACGACTAAAAGATGGGATAATTGTGCAAGAGATGGATGATGCAGATGTAAATGCTTGTTGATATGTAGTGGTGGCGCTATTTTGGGCTTTTAGGTCGTAGCTTGCAGTTAATAGTTGTGTGGTGATTGTATAGACAGGAGTTGTGATGACAAGAGACGCGTTCTGCTGGTGGGACACGAAATGGGTTTTATAGTAAAAATGGATGCACTGCCACATCACTGAAATTTGAATGCCATTTGCTCATTTAAAACCATATGAGTATTACCTCTTTGATCGCTGCATTGCCATAGCTCTCTTTATCACAACGTACATATAATACTTGGAAAAACAAGGCTGAATCAAACACACGCACCGCAGAAAGCAGCCCCTGCAAGATTACTACGCATTTGTGATCGCTTAGTCAAATCCAAGAAGCATGTCATTTCCTGAAAATGATGTATCCCGAAATGTCTAGTATCCATAACCTGCACCAATTGTACTTGACCTACCCCATTTACGAGCTATAGCCTTTCATTACCTATCTCTATAGCCCATCATATATCAATAGATACGAGCTGAGATTGGTATCGACAATGAGAATAACATAAGCTTTAATTTCTTGTTCAAAAGGTATTGCAGATTGATGCCAACTTCATCATGTTCCAGGCATATAGCCATGTATATCTGTAGGTAGTGTACTACAACAACTCTAGAACTCTAGAAAAGAAAAGAGCTCATGCTTTCAAGGCGGATATGGTATAAATATTTTAGATAATGAACATTTGATGGCTTTGATATACAAACGCGTAGATCGAAGGGTACGTTTCCCACCTACGAAAACAACGCAAGGCATGCGATTAGACGCTTTTCGTTGAGTGACTTCAGGTGCACTGCCACATCAACTTGAAATGTCAGCGCTGTTGCTCGGTTCCCAGCTTCCGGACTATGTGTATTATCAATGGATGTGAATGACCTGTCTGAACACAAAAAAAGAAGAGCACACATTTTGCTGAGATTTGGTTTGTGAGCCATAAATTTAAAATCCAAGAGTGGCTTTGTTGCGAGAGATCCTCATATTGATCCAGCACAAGTGGCAGTGCATACAGGACTAACATAGCCTTGGAAAGCATGCTTTTTCTTGGAAAACATGTGTTTTACAGCATGTTTGTACTGATTTTCGATATTAATCATTACGCCTTTAAACTTCCGTCAACGGCACATCATTTCAACTCGTAGGGATAGAATATTGATCGTCATCTGTAAACCTTATAATAGCTGTTGGAGTACATTTCTGCCGACCTGCACATCCGAAAACACTAGATCATAGCGTAATTTATATGTGCCTGAATACTTGCTCTTTTTTATTGCGTTCCAGAAATGGCTGCCTTAGTTAATCGAATGAATGAATAGTCTTCTCTCATAGTCGCGTGTATTGCTGTGCTAGACTTTTTTTTTTATGTACATGTTTTCGTCATTTCTCCAGTATAGTACAATAGATTTAATAGAAAATGGATGAAGGCCAAAAAGGCTTAATGATGGAGCAAGGAAAGGAAGGGCTGTAGGAACAGAAAACAAAGAAAAAGGCTAAGCACCTCGTCCACCCATGAATCAAGACCACGTTTTGTTCTTGTAAGATATATGGAAGCAGACTGACACATGAAAGAGTATCAGTTTGTTACAATTTTGATTGAAGGTATCAAAAGTCAGAAATGATGAATACGATGCCAATTAATAACATCGAAGATAAGCTGCTGGCCGGATCCTACCTACTTAAACGACGCGGTTTCTATCACTAATTGTACTCACACGGTGCTGCAGCTATTGCAGCAGTGGGCGATTATAGCATTCCTAAAGGGAGAAAGACCACTCCTGCAACAGTAGCATAACTTATTGGCAATCTCTTTTCGCTGTTGTTGTCTGATGAAAAAACGGCAACCAACAATATTTCTTATTTATGGCATTATTTGTAATAGAACATTTGACCACAATTGAGATGATGACGGCGGAGACGAAGACAGACTTGATGACATCTTTCCCAGCGATGCTGACACAAGTGCATTAGAAATATCTATGTCGATTCCTGTTCGTGAAAAGTGTGCCTATACTCTTGAGCACAGTCGATCCTCCTCAACACGCATGAGAATGGCATCTCAGCTGCCATTTCCATCTCTACCCTTAATGCCGTCGTCATCTTCACCGTCGTCGCTTCCGGGTTCAGAGTCAAGTTCAGGTCTAGATATACCCATTGCGAATGGCACGTAAGGCAGTATCGATTAGAAATGCGCATAAGTGTTTCCAAAATTGGGAGATTGATGCTTAATGCACAGAACTTTCTTACAGCAATTGACATGTAATCGACTTAGGTGAACTTTTTCTGTATTGATGCGAGGTATTATCTCTTCAAAAGACTCAGAACTTAAACCAATGCTGCTTATACTTGGGAGGGTATGATCTACACGTCTCTTCCCCTTTCCCCCTTTTTTATGATGCTCATGTGCGATTTCAGCGCCTATCATCACGCTCAGTGAGGTTTTTCCCTTTTCCTCCCCTCCTTGCCGCCTCTCAAGCTGTCAAACTCGTCGAAGCAGTCATCCTTACCTCACTTCGTATACTTATTTGAGATAATAATCTAAGTCAGATCGCTTGACTTGCATTCACATGATGCTGACGGAAACACCAGAGCAAGAGGCATCCAAGCATGCAAAGAATAGTTCTGTACATCAGGATTCATCTAAAGCCAACGATTCAAACCACTCTACTGCCGCTGATAACCACGTCCCCACAGCAGGCGCACATCCTTTGAGAAACTTACCTGGAACAAAGGACGAAGTAAACTAATTAGCAAAAATGCAGGGAGTAAACCAGCTTTTCGTATTGCGAACATTGACGAATTGATGCTCACTCTGACCATGGATGTCATTTATCTATTTTATCTTACAGAAACTGTACCAGTGGCCACAGCGTTCTCTGGAATCGATTGAGTCTGCCTTTGCTTTACGAGAATATCTTCAGGCTCTCATTAGGCAGGATCCTCACAACTTGGATTTGTTAATTGCGCTACCAGCTGGGCAAGATGAGCATTCGTGGCTCTACGAGCATCTTTGGTACGCTAATCTTGTGCTTGTGTTGGCGTGGAGAGCTTCTATTTTCTTTTTACTTTTTTATTGATCGTTTACTAATCTATGACCGTTGTAGTCAGATCTGCCTTGAATTAAACTACCTAATAGTGCACCTTGAACCCGAATGTACGCCAGAGGCTTGCCCTGAAATGAGGGCTGAGGAGTGGAAGTATTTTTGCGCAACGCACCCAACTCCTCGCGAGGTATCTTCCCATAACTTTTGCAATGAACTCTCGATTTGTGGATAGGCTTTTTTTATCGCATATTAAATGTCTTTATTTTTTATTTTTTTTTTTTTTTTGTAGTGCTGTGCGATCGATTATCTCACTCACACGCTGGATGGAGCATCCGCTCTGCTGAATAATGTCAAAGTTTTTCCAAGTCGGTATGTCACACTTGCTTAGCTCACCTTAAAGCGTCCAGTTCAACTCGGCGCCCTTTCCTCAACACGAGATGTTAATGTTTCTCTATTAGAATTTGTGTGCCTGAGGGATCAGTTAAAAACTTCCAAAATATTGCACGACGTTTGTACCGCATATTTGCTCACGCATACTTTCATCATCGAGATATTTTCGACGCTTTTGAGGCAAGTTTGTTGATGCAATGATACAAAATACTAAGCGGGTGAGTGTATTGTTTAGGAACTAACACTCCATATGGCATTTACAGGCAGAGACATCGCTGTATGAGAGGTTTTTGAGGCTGTCAAGGACAAGGCAACTGATTACGGAAAAGCTTATCATCATCCCTGGACAGAGTAATGAAGATGATACCACCCATGCTAGTACAAAACAGGTAAGCATACTGACAAGCAAATCTTACAGATAGCTTTCAACTGTCTTTTCAGTACGTCAAACTAATCAATACACCTGCATTACGACTCCATATCTCTTCCCTTTAGATCATGGCACGTTCAAGAGATGAATAGTAGATTCATTAAGGAGCATGATTTTGATATTCATACAGATTAATGATAATTATAACCTGGCAAAGCTCGTCAGTGCATGATAATGTCTATGAACTATGTTCCATACTTTCCTATGGCCTGAATAAGTCTCCGAACAGAGTATCGCTCCCATATTGCGGAAAATATCTGTTTGTTCATATTAAGAATGCGGGATTTCAGTTCAATACTTACATAGTGAGGTACCATTTATAGTTGGCTTAATGTGTTGTTACCATGCTTACTTTCTTTACCTTTATCTTACCCTCACTGGCTAAATACCAGGAAGCACAACCTGCTCGATTGAGATTCAATCGATCAAAATCAATTTTCATGATGGCAGAGCAATGTGCTTCAACGCCCTCTAGAAACCCAGCACTTGATCCTTGTTCGCGACTGGAAAAAGAATGAGAGATATTCATACCTATTACTAACGTTATATCAGAGAAGCATGCAGCGGTAATGTAACATATAAAAGTTCGCTAAATATGGTATAGCGATATTACCTGAGTAGTAGCTGCCGTGTGTCATCTGAGGACAATGATATGGATATTGATTTCAGTCCTTCAACACCCTCTGGGAAGGAGTAATGGAGCTCTATGGGTCTCTCTCTTTTGTACTCTATTTGCGCGGTTTCCAACAAAAGAAAGTGCACACAGTATTAGGGAAATCCCAGCTATCAATTAATGAACAGGGTAGTTTTATCCGAATTGCGATCTTCATACCTCTTTGCGCCTGATTATACATCGTATCCATAGAAGAGTTGACAATCTTTCGAAGCTCGAACGTTTGAAGCAGCAGACGACATATCCTGCAGTCAAATTTCCTTTCAAGCCATTGAATGACTAACCCTCCAATCACTGCTGGTGCTTTCGTGAATACGAGACTAAATTGAGTGAAGGCTACATCAGGAAGGACAAAATATCGATTAAAATAAGATCCTATTTAGTTCACTACTTGTCGTATTCTGAATAATTTAATATCTGGATTTGTGCGCCTTCCAATCTTCTTTTTCTTGAAAAATGAGTAATCCAACTAATACCTGGGTTTTTATTTCCTTTGTTATTTTGCATTTGATCGAGCAAAACCGCACAGAAATACGTCTGCTCAGACGTCTTGCCTATACGAAATGAAAATGTACGGCATAATAGATATAATTCTCAGTGAATGTTTCAAATGCGATATTTATGAAATTGTTACCTCAGCAGCAAAATAATACGGTATGGTAAATGATGTACCTTTGGGTCTGACAGTAATGGTAATAATGAATGACTCGGGATTTGAAGGGTGCTCTATCTCGTCTTCAGCCGTGTGTACATCCAAAATAAGCTTGTCGAAACTAATGCATGTTATTTCACCAGGTTCATCTAAAGCTTCAATAACATTGACTCCAGAGCCATCGATTTGACTCGAGAAATGGCTGTGCTCGCTGACAAATGTCGCTTTTCCAGTTTTTTCCCGCATATCCAACGCAGAGAATAATAAATTCCCGGAATTAGCCTCAATATAGTTCAGTAGTTCCGCCTGGTATTTAAGATATTGTAGCTGATTGAAGGCAAAAAAAGGCGTGGTTTTATGTATGCTCCATGTCTTGTTAAACAGTATTGCTATAAGAGAAAAGGCAGTGAAGAATCTTCAGACAGTCAATATAATGCTTCAACTCCCAAGGCGCTGCGTGGCACGATAATAATATTGAAAGTGTTGCCTAACAAGAATTGATGGCCGCATTACATCCAGAAACAGCTTGTGGTGGAACCTCATTCGTGAGTTGAGTCCCATTGGAGCTGGATTGTCGCTGTTGAGTTTGAGATTTGGGATGATGGGTCTTTTGAATCAGGTTATGTAAAATTTTCCGCGTCCTAAGTCGTCCTGGAGCTTTGATTCCTCCAGTAAGCGAATGATCGCATTTTGATGTCCTGATGGGAGGTGTCATAAGATGTTCTCTGTTGTTCGCCATTAATTTCCATTACCAGATTATATAATGCAGTCACGGTGGAACAAAAAAATTGGTTTTTTACTTTAATGAGAATGCAAAGCAATCTAACAAGCACATCCATTTGCACCTTCCGTGGCACCAGGATTATCTTGGATTTTGACATCGATCAGCTGGCTCTGATTCGCATCTGTAATGGTATTCTCCATGCCTGGAAGCGCTTGGGCGATCTTTCGGAAGAGTGTCTTTACATTATGTCCTGCCTTTGCGCTTGTCTCAATAAACATGATATTAAATTCCTTCGCTTTCTTCTCCCCTTCCTCCGCTGTGACCTGGCGCTTCTCATTCAAATCGGTCTTGTTCCCGACAAGAACAATGATCACATCCGTGCCTCGTTCTGCCCTTACATCATCGATCCACTTGGCTGTGTTCATGAACGAGTTTCGATCTAAGGGTGATGGAGAGGAAATTAGCTCAATATTCTATGTGTTCTATGACGAAATATGTAAGAAACCATTTCCTTGGCACTTACTGGTAATATCATAGACAACAACAGCTACAGATGAGTCGCGAATATAACTTGGGATTAGACTTCGGAAACGCTCCTATATTATAGGGTCAATATAGATGGTAAAGAGGTTCTCTGTTAGAATGGCAGATATTGATTGATACAAGAGGATGCAGGATTTTTCTCCTCCACTTATAACAGTAACTAACAATGTCTCTCTGGGGTTGTCTTATTTTGTTCCTATACACATTAATTTCAATCTTCGATCAACATACCTGGCCTGCAGTGTCCCAGAGCTGCAATCGCACTGTGCGGTCTTCGAGATACATGGTCTTGGACAGAAAGTCAATGCCGATTGTAGCCTGTATTCATATAATAAATGCATTAACGTTGGTTTATTTAATGCCACGTTAGATAGAACGAAGAAAATGTGATAATTGGATGAAATCTTGGAACACAATTTGCAGTGTGTTACCTGGTATGTATTGTCGAAGGTATCATACATGAACCTGGTAATTAATGAAGTCTTTCCGACTAATGAGCGGATTATTAAGATGCATGACGAGCATCAATGTGAGCATATTTAAGAATGAATGCCTGCATGAGCAAAAATGGTTTATTGTCGAATAGATTGTTTCATTTCCTGAAGGATGACATCAAAGCCCATTACCACTCTGTTCACCCAGGAAGACAAGCTTGAACTTGCGAAGAGGGTTGGAAAATTCAGGATTAGTGGCCATTTGTATGTACAATTATGATGAGGGCGATCAGATGGATGGATGCAATATAATTAAAGATGATGGACCACGAGGCACACTAAAAAATTACAGGTTCCTGGCAACTCATCTCATGTGACAGGCAGAGACCCAAAATGGACATTGATCTTGTGGCTTATCAATGTAACGAGAAAGGGTTCCAGAGACTTCTGGAGGGAGAGCTTCTTGCTCGCTGTTATATTTCCCGAGCAGCAGATTCAAGCACGGATTCTCTTTGTTCTCTTTTTTTGATCTGCTTCTCCTTCCTCCGACAGCAATTCCTTTGCCCTTCAAAAAAAGCCATGCTCTCTATCACTCGTGCTCTTAAGGCAAAAGCTCCACTCGCTACCAGGGCCACTGCCCCCATGCAACTGCCCTCGCGTCTTTCTAATGCTCGTCTCTACTCATCCCACAAGGAGATCAGCTTTGGCATCGAGGGTCGCGCAAAGCTGCTCAAGGGTGTTGAGGTTCTTGCCAAGGCTGTCGCCGTCACTCTCGGTCCCAAGGGACGCCACGTCCTTATCGGTCAACCTTATGGTAGCCCCAAGATCACCAAGGTAAATAAGGCTTGCTCCCACGTTCTTTTTAAAAAATGTGTGGGAAAGTGAATGTTTCAAGATTTTTCTTATTTTGATTTGATACGCAACCATGTTACTAATTTCAGCATGTATTCATTATTCTATTCAGGACGGAGTCACTGTCGCAAAGTCGATCACCCTCGAGGATCCTTTCGAGAATCTCGGAGCTAAGTAAGTGGAGTTCTTTTTTTCTTTCTTTTCCTTCTCTTTTTGTCTAGTTTGCTTATTAGTGGTACAGAGGTTGATTCTAGCTTTATGCTTTTACGTTTGAATGGATTAGATTAATTCAGGACGTTGCAAACAAGACTAATGAGACAGCTGGAGATGGAACTACCACGGCTACCGTCCTCACTCGCGCCATCTTTGCTGAGGGTGTCAAGAATGTCGCTGCTGGGTGCAACCCTATGGATCTTCGCAAAGGAGTTCAGATGGCAGTGGATGCCGTTGTCGACTTTTTGCGCGAGAACAAACGCGAGATTACTACTACTCAGGAAATTGCTCAGGTCGGTACTATCTCTGCTAACGGCGATAAGGCCATTGGTAACCTATTGGCCCAGGCCATGGAGAAGGTTGGTAAAGAGGGTGTTATCACCGTCAAGGATGGCAAGACTACTGAGGATGAGCTCGAGATCACTGAGGGTATGCGTTTCGACCGCGGTTACATTTCACCCTACTTCGTAACTGATACGAAAACCCAAAAAGTCGAGTTTGAGAAGCCTCTCATCCTCCTTTCAGAGAAGAAGATCTCTGTCCTTCAGGACATTCTTCCTGCTCTTGAAGCCGCCGCCACTCAGCGTCGCCCACTCCTCATCATTGCTGAGGATATTGATGGTGAAGCGCTCGCTGCTACCATCCTCAACAAGCTCCGTGGTCAGTTGCAGGTTGCTGCTGTCAAGGCCCCTGGATTCGGTGACAATCGCAAGTCTATTCTCGGCGACCTTGCTACTTTGACCGGTGGTGTCGTCTTCTCGGACGAGCTCGATGTCAAGTTGGAGCGTTTGACCCCTGATCTTTTGGGAACTGTTGGTTCTATCACGATTACCAAAGAAGACACCATCTTGAACGGCACTGGCGCAGGTTCAACTGAAGCTATTGCTCAGCGTTGCGAGCAGCTCCGTTCTTTGATTGCTGACCCTAGCACCTCAGATTACGAGCGTGAGAAGCTTGAGGAACGTCTCGCTCGTCTTAGTTCAGGTGTTGCCATCATTCGTGTTGGAGGACAGAGCGAAGTTGAGGTTGGGGAGAAGAAGGACAGGTATGTTTTCACAATTTAAACATGATTATCTTTTGTCAACATTCATCAAGTGTATCTTAATGGTCATGCTGTTTTGTATTAATGTTCGCATTATTATCATTATTATTGTTGTTTTAAGGATTGTTGATGCTTTGAATGCAACTAAGTGCGCAGTGGACAGCGGTGTCCTTCCTGGCGGTGGCACAGCTTTGCTCAAATCTTTAAAGGTTCTTGAGAAATTGAAGGGCGAGAATTTTGATCAGCAGCTTGGAATCAATATCATCCGCTCTGCCATTCAGGTTCCTTCCAAGACCATTATCTCGAACGCTGGTGGGGAGGGTGCTGTTGTGATCGCAAAGGTTGTCGACAACGACAACTTCCACTATGGTTATGATGCCTCGAATGGAGAATATGGTGACATGTATGCCCGTGGTGTTCTTGATCCCTTTAAGGTTGTTGTCACTGGTCTCAAGGATGCTGCAGGTGTTGCCAGCTTGTTGAGCACTTCCGAAGCCATGATTGTCGATGCTCCTAGCAGTGATAAGGGCCCAATGGGTGGTATGGGCGGCATGGGTGGCATGGGTGGCATGGGCGGTATGGGTGGTATGATGTAAAATTCTTTGACCTTGTAAATTCGTATACTGGGTAACTTTTGTAATTTAAATCCTCCGAGAATAAAAAATGCATTTTCCTTCATTGATCGAGAAAATTGAAGCAAGTCACATCAAAACAATTTGTACTTTTGAATTAACCCTTCTCTTCTCTTGACCCCGCCTCTAACACTTTTGGCACATTCACACTCATTTGTCATCATCACTCGACACTTTTTCACACTTAACTTCCAACCTTCACAATGGTACTACAATTTGCATTACTATTCATTACAAAAATGCACAGAATGTAACGATTTGTTACACTCTAGACATTTATCTGTTTCATTTTTCATTTACTTTTTATTTTTTTAAATCGTATGGTCATGTGAATAGGCTGCGCGTCTTATTGCTCAGGTTATCGTTATGGGAACACAAATTGTTGGCAAAGCTTTCATGGAAGCCTACCGCCAGGCAGCTGCTAGTATGCTCCATTCATCTTTACTGTCTTTGAAATGAGCTGACAAGGTTCAACAAGTAGATCGGATCCAACATTCTAAAAAAAAAAACGTTCATTCTTTTTTCCTTTTTTGATTGTTGCTATTATTATTATTTTATTAGATGCTGCTAAAAATGGGGGGCAGCAAGCTGCTAAAAGCGGCAGTGGTGGATCCAAAGCAGCAGCAGCAGATGCTATCACACGTAAAACTGGTATGACAGTGGATGAAGCCATGAATATCTTGAACATCACCAAGGATGCCGACCTTGCCAAGATTGTTAAGGTATGATCAATGTCCAGCATGGTACTGAAAAGCTTCCTAATAGTAATAATAATAATAAATGATTTTTATTCTTTGATCTGATTCCTTTAGAACTATGAACATTTGTATAAAGTAAACGATAAGACAGTCAACGGCTCCTTCTATTTGCAGTCCAAAGTAGTAAGAGCGAAGGAACGTTTGGAGATGGAATGGGCTGCACAAGGAAATCCTATTAAAATTGCGTCCGAGGCGCCAGCATCAGAATCAGCAGGAACATCAGCGTCAAAAGCAGACCCCTCAGCGCCATCACATCAATCTGGTGGAGATAAACAGACATAAGCCGTTGAAAGATGAAGATGGGGCGAAAATCTCGTGTATTTCCATTGTAAAGCAAGATGCCGTTGGGTTTATTTGGATCATTCTTTCTACTCTAAAAAGTAGAATCATCAATTTGCATTTTAGGATAGATGTTATATAATGCAATATACTGATTATCGCATACTATTAAGTAGTGACAGGCCTTGGCCATAGAAGCAATGTGAATAGGATCCCATTTATTCAATCGCGGGTAATACGTAATATGTAGAAAGAAAGAGACTTTACAGGGGGTTGATGCTTTTAGATCTTCTGCATGGCAGCAACGTCCATAGACTGAATGTAGTCCTCAGCCTCCATGATCTTCTCCTCGAGAACATCCATGGAAACAAGTTCATCCTCGATAACGCAATTGACCTGGAGCTTCTTGATACCGTAGCCAATGGGCACAAGCTTGGACTGACCCCACAAAAGTCCCTCCATCTCAATGGAACGGACGTGAGCCTCAAGGGCAGCCATATCAGTCTCATCATCCCAAGGCTTAACATCAAGGGTGACCATGGACTTGGCAATAGTCTTGGGCTTGAGAGCCTTCTTGGCAGCGTACTCAGCGAGACGCTGCTGCTTGATCTTCTCGGCCTCCTCATCAACCTCATCATCAGAGCCGAAGAGATCAACGTCATCATCATCCTCTGCCGCAGCGGCAGGGGCAGGGGCAGCACCTCCAGCCCTATAGAATGTAGTCAACAAGAGAAAAGGTAAGTTCCATTGCCCATTAAAGATACTCCTGGTGCCAATGCGTAGGAAGCAAACGCAGCATGAGAAAATTTGAAGCTCCATACTTGGTGGCAAGACCCTTGACCTCAGCAATGTGCTTGTACCAGCGGGCAGCGTGGGGGTAGGCAGCCTCGTTAGGTCCTTCGGTCAAGGCATTGAAAACCTCAGTGTCCTTGTCAGAGACCTCATAGCTATTGGAAAGTTATAAAAAAAATTTGTCAGAATACTTGAAGCACAAGATAATCAAGTGATTGCTTGGAAATGTAATGGTCCAATCCTAATCATAAGTCACAACACGCAGAGAAGTGTGAAAAAAAAAAAAAAAAAAAAAAGTACATGTAATGTATACCGGATAAACACATTAACGCTTATCGAGTGAAAAATGAGCGCGTTTGCTCGGAACCAATGGGTGAAGGAAAGTGGTATAGTGGCATTAAAAAAAAATAATAGTATTTCTTATTCCCATAAAAAAGCGCATATTGCAGTATGCAGAAACGAGATCGAAAAACTTCAAACGGACTTTTGCCGCATGAATTAGTTTTTTTTTTTTTTTTTTTTTTTTTTTTAGATCAGATTCTTGAAAAGTAAATTTATATTTTAAATTGTTCTCATAACGACTTAAGCCTCGCAGCCCCATTCGCTTTTCTTAGTTTCCTGTTGCATGAAGCCTCTTTTGTATCATAATGGTGAGGTAATAATAAATGCATAGAGGAAGAAAAATGCATCTTTATCATCGGTTACTTACCCAGTAACGTAGGAGCGGGCCTCGAAGAGGGAGTTGAGGATGGTGAAGGCCAAAGGAGAAGCGAAGGTGACAGACATGGTGCAAGTGATTCCGTTCGATGTGAGGATAAAGAAGAAAGAGGAAGAAAAGCGTCGAACAAAATTTTTCATTTTATTTACAGTAACTGGCGGAGCTAGTTTTAAGCCTGCACTTGTCCTAAGCGATTCAGAGAATAACAAAAGGGTCACGTACAATCCAGTCCCACGTACATGCTAGAAGTCTGGCCCCAAAAGCGACTTGATGAAAAGACATTTAAATGAGGACAGACTGATTTTGCATCCAAACCAAGCAATCATGTTCCATCCAACGCGAGGAGGTAACACAAAATCAGCCAGAAGCTACTCGCTGGAAACTTATGACTGGACAAACTACCTTTGGTATTGAGGGATAGAAAATGCAAAAAAAAGGAAAAAAAGCTAATAACTGGTTGTAAACTCCTTAGGTACCCGTGGAGGCCATGACCAGTTTAAGTGGGAAGATGTTAAAGAGGACAAACACAGGGAAAACTATCTTGGAAACTCATTACATGCTGCGGTCGGACGGTGGCAGAAGGGTCGGGATATAACCTGGTACGTGAAGGCGAGTGACAAAGACAAAAGTCTCGCTACTCTAAAGGCCGAAAAGAAATTAGAGATTCAGAGTATCAAGGATGCAGAAGCCGAAGCCATGGCAGAAGCGCTGTAAGTCTCTACGCATCATGAAAAGCTTTTTTTTTTTTTTTTTTTTTTTTTTACAATAAATGTACTATTATTTTCTAAAACTGCTCTTTATTTAGTGGATATAAAACCAAGCGCAAGGTTACTACCAATGTCACCGAGAAGGAACTCAAGTCTGCAATCAGCAAATCTGATAGTGTAGTGCAAGATGAAATGGATGAAAAAATTAAAGAGTCTACTGTCAGTGAAGGACTTGGATTCAAGTATGTCGTACTTGCTGTAAAGAAGGTTATGCATACGAACTTTGGTCTCGTGAGACTGACACCTTTTTTTTTCTGTTCCTTGTAGAAATCGAACACAGCGAATGTATGCGCCATTAGCCAATGATACTACCTCACGGAAACTTGTTGCAACCAGCTCAAATGCCATCCCTGTCGTTCCACTGATTCCTCAAATGAAACCAAAGAGCTCTGTTAATGATGAAGATGGGACCACTAAGGAGCAGTTAGGGGACCATAAGGATGTCCATATTAGACATCGTAAACACCGACGCAGCAGCCGCAGTTCTAGTCCTTCAAAGAGAAGCCGACGAGGTCAAGGGCGTAGCCGTAGTAGAGAGAGAGGAAAGCATAGAGATCATAACAAAGACGCAGACAGAGACAGAGACAGAGACAGAGACAGAGACAGAGACAGAGACAGAGACAAAGACAAAGACAAAGACAAAGACAAAGACAAAGACAAAGACAAAGGAAGAGAAAGAGAAAGTGGAAGAGAAAGAGAAAGTGGAAGAGAAAGAGACAAACACAAAAGCAGAAACGATGAAGTTGACAAGGATAGATCCAGGGACAAACATAAAGATCGAGATAATAACTGGGAGGAGGGTAGTTTATCAAAATATCGCCGTGAAGAGAGGCTACATAGTAATAGAGATAGGAGTCGAAGCAGAAGCATAAGTCGAAACAGGGATGACCATCGACCTGAACAACGTCATAGCCGTCATAGTCACCATAGTCGTGATCGTAGCCGTGATCGTAGCCGTGAAAGACGTGTATGAGTGTTATCACACAAGTTCGTTTATAGTTCATAGGAACTTCCAATATAAATATAAAGAAAATAAAAAATAAAAAAAAGCGATGAAAGATGGCAGCGATGATGCACATGCCATGCAGAACCTTTACACTATGACTATTGTTATTCTCAGCTCGTGCAGACTCTCCAAAATCAACTTATGATGATAACTGCTACCTGGCCGTATAGACTTTATTGGCATATTGACATGAATCTATCAATCATACTCTGTTGAAAAGATATATAAATCCTTCTTCTTCGTATTGGGCTCTTCATATCATCGCCTACATCTCTCAATACGTTCTTTCACCGTCCACATCCACAACACTCGAATCACACATGGTATTGTCAACAAGCCCAGTAGGACGAAACCAGTCCCACGATTTTTTGGAAGGGATTACCAATGCGCGTATACATTTGGAAAACATCAGTATGAGAGCCCACAAAGTACAAGCCCATGGAAGAGTCGCCTGCCTGCAAAGCACTACGCTAGACACAAATATTTGGATAGGTTTTTTTTTTTTTTTTTTTTTGATAACAAGGGAACCTTTAGACGCTCTGTTTGTTTCCGTCTCCTGCATCCCTCTACCTAATGTTTTGCCCATGAATTTCTAGACAACAGACAGCAAGCATTGACGCGCCATCCTTGAACAAAGCGCCACTAATTTACACGTAGACATCGCCCATTCGTTTATCAAATCTCTCACCGTAAACCTTGCCCCAGGAAAACGTTTATAAGCAATCTTTCTTTTTCAATTCTCTCAACTAAGACTTACACAGATTTCCTTCGTCTCCTTGCCACTCTATCCTCTTTATGATGAGCAATCAAAAAACTAGAAAACTCGATGAGGCTCATAAGGAATGCAATTCGACAATTGCATTACAACGATCCTCCTCAAGGTGGTCATCTTATCTTCCTGCAGTGGTCTTGGGTCTCCTTTCGTCCTCTTGTTGTACCGTCCAGCTCGTATTAAACGCTTTCTCAATTGGCTGTGCAGGATTCTCTATACTTACACCTTTCCGACCTGTCTTCAGTGTGATAACGCTGTTGCTGATTACGTATACTACTGTTAAATACCGGTTTTCTTCAAGAACTTTTATTACACTTTCCATCGCCATACTACTGACAGCAAGCCCAGAAATGGCCTCAATCTACAATCGAGCGCCCTCGTCAGCACTACAGCTTAATCTCAATAGTGTTCTCCCTGACCTGACCCTTTGGCCTCCGAAACTTCTTTTCCAAAAAAACAATTTCCACAGACACACATTAGCAACTCAGCAGGAAACGCAAGGCGCTCTCACTACGAACCAAGCCAGCTTTAATACACCTTCTAAAGCTCTTCTTAGGTACGATGTCCATATTGAAGGCATGGCTTGTGAGGCCTGTGCAAATCGCCTGCGCCAAAAATTTATTAGTCAACCAGGCATTGAACACGCCAAGGTTTTTTTCGACCAGAAACGCCTTCAATTCTGGACCAAGTATAGTCCAGGAGCATTGATGTACTCTGCGCACGAAATCGAAAAGATGGTTTCACAGGTTGACAATAAGTATTTGGCGAGGTTAATCGGAACGTTCACTGTGGAGGAAAGTGAGCAATAAGAATAAATCTATCCCTCTCTTCCCAATCAGATCCTCCTCTCACTCTCACCTTCACCCAGCCTCTTTTTGAAATAAACGCGTCTCAAAAAGGTTTCATTGCAGTCTCCTATACTGATCAGTTCTTTTTGTGGTCATACAGTGGCTGCACGCGCCGAGACATATTTGCATGCAACTCTTAGAGGAGTATGGCTCTGTTTCCAGAGCTCTTTTTTGCCCTTCAATGATTTTCATACTAATACATTTCAGGTTGACCCAATAGGGCTGAGCTCGGATGAATTCACTGACCATTTCAGCACTCTAGTATTAGCCTTCTTTATAAGACCTGATGAGTGCATCTTTGCGTTACCATGCACAAAAAAAACGTTTAAGCTCATGAAAGGCCCTGGGAGATTGACACATTTGTATCAAGCCTTACGTGTAAATATGAACAGTAGACATAATTGCTATCATGCCTTACTACAAGAAGTGCTTAGGGAAGGCTATTTATTCATAAATGGTTTAGCTATCGCTCGTCAAGTGAATGCGACCCAGCCACAAACTCTACAGGCTGAGAGTCCGGCAGACTGGTTGCGTCAAATAGCCCTGATCTTTCATCAGAACCGAGCGCAGAACTGATATCATGGTCAGCTATTGGAAGAGTTGTAATTCCTTCAACCACAAACCGTACAACCATGGTAGATTGCGCTTCTTCGTTCGGATTGCTGGCGATGGAAACCTGAAGGCCCCTCTGATGGAATACGCCTCTTGAAGATTCGAGAACAATCTGTCCTGGCTTGACATAGAAAGACACCCTCCAGAGTGAAGGAATAGGGCCCTTGCGGGTTCGGATGCGTACCTGCGTTCTAAACCTTGTATGGCTTTGAGATCCAAGCTCCACATTGGAGCTTGCCAACTCGGGACTCACATCCAGCGGAGTAAAATCAATTAAGAAAGGTTCCGCGGCTTCACTAATGTCTTTTACATCATTATTTGAGATCTTAACCAACGATGGTGCAGAGAGAGGTCTTTGGTGAGGTTCTGGGCCTGCTGCTGCATCATGGACATCATCCGTGGTGGCATTTAGGTTCAGTTCATTCTTTTGGATCCCAAGATAGCTCGCCAAGGATGAGTCCACTGCATTTCCAAGCTCGCTCCATAAATGTCCCACTACGTCTCGCACAGATCTTTTGGACTGACCCTCTTGCTCAAGCTCGCGGCAGCTTTTAACTAGGTCCTTAACGAAATCGCACCCATGTGGTGTACAGTATGTGCCTGCCGCGCATCGCTGGAAAGCCCAGTGGCCTATTCAATATAAAGATACAATATTAGTCACCCTACTTCAAACTTGGACAGTGTAATGGCTTAATGTGCGAGGCCAACTTACCAAAAATGCAGGTTGCAAAGCTATATCCGTCACACAGGAGGCCTGTGCTGGATGATGAGACTTGACACGGTGCTCCTTCAACAGGACATCTACTCTCATCGCCCTTTGCTCCAGTATTAGTTGGCTGTGTTACTGGGAGATTTGAATTGGTTCCAGGGTTATCCTCTGATGACCTAGACCCTTCAGAAGAAGGGGTGGAAGAAGATGCTGGAGCGGGCAGGGGTGCTGATGTGGGCGGAAGAGTGGGCGTGGGAGTTTTAATAGACGGTGGGGTTGGAGGCAGTGGAACCGTGGTGTTATTACCACTACGTCCGTGACACACAGCTTGTCGAAGCTTCTTGAGCCTACGATCAGTAGTAACGCCATATGGAATACCAGAGTCGTCAGTGTTCCTGTATGATTGTGATACATCCCATATCATTACACCTCCGAATGAACTGTACTTGCAACGAAGAGTATCAATGATCTCTCCTAGTCGTTCCGGCGCCACATAACCCGCATTGGCTGCTGTATTGCTGGCAGGGACGCCAAAATATATTTTGACATTTTTGTTGACTGAAGTCCTAGTTGCCCAATTGTGCCATTCCTCGAAATTGAAATTGTACGTTCCAAAGGCTTGAGCCCCGCAGTAGTTGTTGTAAAATTGCACAAAGACCATATCCACCCAAGTGGTCTGCAGCGTCTCCCCAAGGAAGGCATCTATAAACAAAATATTTTACCATGATAATTGACATTTAGTGACTTGAGCAAGCGCGAAATTCTGTTCTCTAAATAATAGAATGTAACTATTCATCATTGAATTACCTGGAAAAGGACACTGTGGAGCAGCCGAGATGAAATAACGCTTATGCGAGTCTGTCGCGAACAGCGAGCGAAGCTCATCAACGAAAGCTGAGTAACCAACGGGTGCTCCGGCTTCGATACTGTTTGTAGTTTAGAATAGAGTTTCAACTAATGGGGTTTTGTTTGTAGTGCCAACTGTATCTCTCTCCTAAAATAAATAATAATAAAAAGCTTACTCTAGATCTACGCCATCTAAGATAGCGTCGTCTAAGGGCCTCTTGTCAGATGTACCTCCAAGAAAGAGATTCCATACCAAGTGCGCAAACTCTCTAGCTTCTGCATCATCCTTAAAGCCGTATGCGCCTGCAGCTCCTCCCAACGATAGCAAAACTGCCTTCCCTTTGGACTGACAATGCTTTACACCTTTTCCTGTATCAGGGCAGTGAAGCAAGGATGTGCCTGGGCTAATTATATTAAGTAAAAAAAAAAAAAAAAAAAAAAAAAAAATTGAGTCCTTTATTTTTTTCAAGAGAGAAAGAGAGAACTTTGTATTCTAGAAATCCACATACAAGGCATTGCTTGGAGTACATTGATTGGAAAGATCCATTTGGGGTAGACCTGTAGATGCGCTGTTAAAAACATGGAGGAAAGCAAGTACTAGAACATCCTCGCCTCCTTCTGACTGACAGTACTCGATCAATGGTTTTTGCCTAAAAAAAAAAAAATAGAATAATCTGGTCAGCTAGTTTGTCAGGCAATTAGTAGAAGCGGAAGCAACGAAGCAGAGAGTATGTCTTTATTACGAATTACTTGCCAGAAACGTGGATTTCCACCAGCAGCACCAAATGAACTAAATAGTGTTAAAAGTAATTCAGATATAAATCAATCAAGAATGATAATTTATGACTTTGTTCAACAAATTAATAGAAGGCACATAGTACTTCTGGCCCCAGTAAGCGACGAGGTTATTGTCAGCCAATGGATTAAACGCATAGCAGAAAGATGATATTATCCACGCTACTGTGAAGAGTATGATCCGTAGGTATCGCGGTTTGAACATTCCTTCTTTGTGTGCTGACTTCAAGTGAAATGTTGCCCAGGACCCACTACTTTTGCTCAATAGGTCAAAATAGTCGAGTAGCAAGGCTATTGGGCGAAATGGTAAGCTGAATGGATACAAAATAAGAGTGATGATGCAGAATGAAAACGACAAGTAGTTGAGGAAAGTTAAAAAAAAAAAAAAAAAAAAAAAAAGCTGAGGGAATGTTTAATCCCACCAAGGATGACTCCTTTACTTTCTCACTTCTTCCCAATGTCAGTGTGGATTGGTAAAGAAGGGGATCGAAGATTAGTTCACATAAAAAGCGTTTATAAAAATTCAACACCCATGTAAACCATTTAAAGGGGGCTGTTCTGTCCGCAATCAACTTCAAACGCCCTTTTTTTGTTGAATAATACTGAACTTCTTTGGGATCCCTTTCTATCGGTCGAAAAGCGTTTGTGTGATTTCAACCGAAGTATGATTAATGAAACAATTGTTTTTTTATGAGTATGGTCTCATTAATGTCGTGAATGCTGATCAAAAGTCACCATGAAGAAGCAGAGTGGATACGAAAAAAGGGCTTGAATATCACGGACAAACTCCATGTAAAGATCGTTTGAATGCCTTTTGTGTGCACCGAAATAATGACATGTATTTAGCATGAATGCTTTGAACGCTATGAACGCAAACATCAGCGCTGTGCGGATAGCGTATTCACATTATCTCTTTTAAATCTCTTCTACTGGTTCAACTCATGTGGATTTGCAACTGAGAGACTTACCTTTCAATAGGCTTTTTTTCTTTAGTTGAGCTTATATATTTTTTAAATATTTTATTTTCCCATATCCCACATATTCTTTTTTGCCATCTCTCAAGGAAATTCAATTCTCATCCTTTTCCATCTTGGTCTTTCATTTTATTTCTCCTACTTCTTTACCGACCTTGACGCGTCTCTAAACAGATTCCTGCGCGTCGAGTATCGTGTCCCATTAACTTTTTTTTTTTTTTTTTGTCTTCTTCATAGCACTACCTACTACATATTCATCCCATGTCCGATTCCAACACCATCAGTCGCGACCCCCTTCCTACCCCCGCTCCTGCGTCCACACGCCCTCCAGCTAGTACAGGGCCATGGCGTTCAGCTTCTGTCGCTGGTCGTAGTTCATCCCCTGCTCCTGGACAACCCTCTTCGTTCAGAGACCAGTTTGACCACCCCCAATCTCATTCTCACTCGGGTATGACTCCCTTACGAGCCAACAGTTCTGGAGCTTTCTCTACTGACAGGCACACTAGAGCACAGCCAAACAACCTATCCTCGAATCAGTCTGGCATCTGGGCAAGTCCCACAAAGCGAGCAACACTTACAAGTGGTACATCTGTATCTTCAGCAGCCGCTATCCCTACTTCTGACCGACACAACGGCAGCTCAAGTGATTTCCAGTACCAGGCCTCGTCAGCCTCGCCTGTTCTTGGTGCTTTCAGCTCATTTTCAAGGTCTTCGTCTGCTTCTGTATCCGGATCCTCTTCTTCGTCTTCCCCTTTTTATAACTCAACCGCTTCAGCAGTCCCGACAATAATGACTGAGCACAGCCTAGGCGCTCGTACTCTGTCCACGCCATCCTTGACAACTCCGCAAAAGCAACCCCTGAACATGGAAGATCTGGCAAAGTTCGCATTTTCCAAGGAGACCAAAGAACAGTTTGCTACACTGCAACTGACGCCTGCCTTGACTCCAACTACTTTGGCAGACAAGGAGAGACGCACCCCGATGGGCTCCTTTGTTGCACCCAACATTAAAGTACAGCGCACTGCAAGTCTGAACCAAAATGCACATTCTTCCTTGCTTCCGAAAGGTATGTGCACTTTCAATATCCTCTTCTAGATCTTAGCCACTGAATCCGAGATTGCTTAATAACCTTCGATTGTGTCCTTCTAAACGTCTCCAATTTATCAGGTCCTGGGAGTAGGTTGCAACCTGGACATCCGACCCAGACGACAGATATGCGAAGGACAGCCAGTCATAACAACGCTTTCTCATCAGGACTAGGCATGCCTCTAGGAGCCATGGGCAGTGGAGGTGGAGGGGGATTTGAGCACAATAACTCGGGACATACCAATGGTTCTAGTCAGAGTTCGATAGGCCATATGGCAAATAGCCATATGAATATGAATAGCGGGCATCAACTTGGCCCTTCCTTTGGAGGCTCTTCTCAGCTGGCACCATTTTCACTTAGCCAAATGACACGCTCCCCTCGTCGACCTCCTTTGAATCACCCAGATCATACCAGTTATCATTATCAGGATCAGGCTTCGCCATTCCATTTTTCTGCACCTTCCCCATCAATGGGTGATAAGCATCCACTTCAGCACTCATGGTAAGGATTTGGATTACAATTTTTTTCTTTCTTACATACCGTCGGCCCAGTCAATTAATGGGTAATCCTTTTATACAATCAACTTTTAGGACTCTATACTACGATAGCACAGCAGGGTATGCCAGACAAGGCTCCTCCCTTCATAGTTATGAAAATAACCTTAGAGCTATAGGAACATTTACCACGGCAAGTTCAATATGGAATCTAGCATTTGGAACTTTGGCCCCTAAACACCACACTAAGCCCAAAAAAAAAAAAAAAAAAAAATGTCTTGATTTTTAGGTTGAGCTGTTTGCGCGCTACTTTAACTGGATAGAAAAACCGCACAAGATGGAGAATAGCGCAAACTACCACTTATTCAAGGATGGAATCAAGCCCATGTGGGAAGATCCCGCTAATGCTAATGTAAATACAACGGCTTTTAGAGCCATTGGGCAATAGTAATTTTGATCTATACTGTCGTGTACGTCGCCATAGCATTACTATATGTTAAATCTAGCTGTTATATACTTATTGGCTTCAAATAGGGAGGTCGATGGATTGTTACGCTTTTAAACAAGAATGCAGAGCTCCTGGATCGTTGCTGGATGGAAATGGCTTATGCATTGGTTGGAGAGCAGCTAGATGCAGGGGACGATATTTGCGGTGCAGGTAGGGATAGTAACGAATCGACATTAGATACAACAGCTACTTTCCTGTCTATCTATATCTCTTTCACTTACATGAACATGCGTTCTTCTTGATGCATGGACATCGCGTCTCTAGTCCTCTCGCGTAGGATAAAAGCAGATAGATTGGCAGTATGGGTGAGAGATAAGGAGAATGTTGAGGCTATCAATGGCATAGGGTATGCTTGTTCACAGCAGGCGCATAGACCAAAGTTATGCTAGATTATGAGCAAGTTTTAACGAGTATCTTTATTTATGCTTGTAGCAAGCGGCTGATTCAAATTCTTGATCTCGCCAAGGAGAGAATCACATTAGAGTTTCAGGTACGATGAGGCAATAGACTCTGACAAAGTTACTGTGGTTGAAATTGGATCGACGATTGTTATTAAGAGTGAACATCCGGTGGTATTCCTTTTTTAGATTACGACTGATACTCGATCATCTGGACCACCTAAGAACTACATTACTTTGGATGCGATTAGAAAAGCTCTTGCTCAAGAGGCGCCGCAAACTGCACTAGCAGCGTCCGAGCCTCATTCATCATCAGGAGTCGATTCAACGCCCAGCCTCTCTGTCGACTCTGTGTCAGCTACACCGGCATCAATTGCCACACCATCTCCGATCACACCAACATCTGGAAATCCAGAAGGCGAAAACTCAAAGAGCGGAGTCAACAACAAGGAGAGCTCTTCTACCCTTCACACAACCGGTCTGCTCATTTCAGTTGAAGGAGAGAATACCATGTTTTAGGTTTTCGTTGGTAGCCTATACTTTTCGACGCTTTAGAATAGTTGATAGCACAAAAAGCATGGCAAGGATCCAATGAGGAGGCTTGCCACACAGACACCCAAAATAAAATATTAACAAAAAGTAAACATTCTATGTCAAAAATTAATGACATTGGTAGCTACACTAACTAAGCTGTTACTGTGAGATCGGAACATCTATCAGTTTTTAATATATGACTGAGCAGCAAGTATGTCTATCAGTTAGTGTGGCCCGCTTCTCAGTGTATCAGTACATATGCCAGTACTACCATAGGCCTTCTGGAATGATTGAATAGGACCATGTACACGTATAACATCCAATGTGCATGAGAACAAGCACGGTAGTACACAGGTGTACGACATGCGACAGAACGAAGCCTGGCCTTGCTGAGGCCTTGAGTGCAGTAACTATTATGCTCATAAGAGGTTGAATGAAGAGGAATGTCAGTCATCCGGAAACGGAAACGTCATAAAGAACAAGTATAGACGTCAATGGATTAGGACTATTAAGGCATTTATATTATCAATGACAGGTACTTGATAAAAAATAAGCAATGCTTGAACAAGTAAAACGCTCAGTACAATGCAGCACAGCCATATGAGAAACAGCAACCATAATTGGTGAACGAAAGTGATGTCGAGTAACAAAGAGCGAAGGAAATGGAAATACAGTGGGATATGCGGTGCAAGAAGAGTAGAGATCAACAAAGAGAGAGAAGGAATGCGGAATGGTGCTTCGAGAGTCTTAAATATTTTCTCCTTGATCTAGGATATGCGTGTGTGGTAGAGATTGTGCGTTGCTACTCCTCCATAAAGACATTTCACAATTGGCTGTCAAACAAAGGCAATGTACCAGTCTGCGCCAAGGTAGATGGGCAATTATTGGCCGTAATAAAGAGCCCAGGACTATTGCAGGCATCGAGAGCAGATTCCTCCCTTATGGTATTGTAACAGGTCGTTTCCCTGCTTGAAAATTTGAATGTTACCTAGAGTTTTGAAACAGAACAAGGTGGCCACCACCTTCTGCTCTCCTTACGGGGCATAATACCTTTGTGCAACCTAAATATTAATTACCTCTCCATCTCTTTTTACTTTTTTTTTTTCTTTCTTCTCTAATCATCATATTCTCCTTTTCCCTTCATCTTGTCTAACCTTTATACTCCATTCACTTCATTCATTACCATCTCCTCTTTTTATATTCACATCTCTCCATCTGTAATACCTTCCAACCATGAGCCTTGACGCAGAATCCACCCAGGTACAAATTGGCTTCCCTCAATTCATATTTTCAATGCTAAATCCATAGGCAATATTTTGCGTTTTCCTCTGGCTCTGCAATGCGTGCATTCCTCTATCTCCCAGTTATTTGCTCTTTTTTTAATGTTCTATAACAATGAACAAACTGTTCTTCTTTGTTTCTATCTCTAGCCTATCCTCCAGAGCTATGTTGGCTTTGATTCGATCACATCTCAGATTGAAAAGAAATTGCTTAAGCGCGGTTTCCAATTCAATGTCATGGTTGTTGGTGAGTCTGGATGCTATTACTAGTTCATTAACATAAAGGTTGCAACAAAGCGAGAAAAAAAACTGAGCAATAGCCTCTTCGGATTACTTACAGACCAATCTTCTTTCTCTATCTATCCTTTTTGAACTGTAACAGGTCAGTCTGGCTTGGGCAAGAGTACACTTATCAATACCATCTTTGCCTCTCACCTTATTGACTCTAAGGGTCGCACCCAACCAGATGAACCCACCCGCCAGACTGTTGAAATCCACTCCTTTACAGAGAGTAAGTGTCTATTTTGCGTGTCCTAAGTGCCAATTGTTTTGTTATTGAGCGCGCTACCTTGGAGCAGAAAAAGAAAACATCAAAGAGCACAATGCACTACTCCAGCAAAAGACAGCGATAGAATTGGTATCCACTCTATTTTTTGCTACCATCAATCTACGTGCCCTTCTTTTTTATTTAAATCTCTTATTTCCGGCTGGGCTCTCGCTGCTCGTTTCGTTTAATTTGGAGAGTCAAAGATGTGTGGTTCCCCACCCTGCACAACCCACCAGAATACACTTTTAGCCCTAGGCCTCAAATACTTGTTGGCAATACTGGCTTATCTATAGTATTAATGCAGCGTGCCAAGGATGAAGAGGTCATGTCATGAAGGAAATGAATTGACAGGAGATGATTAAAAAAAAAAGGCATTGACCTCAAGAAGGGAATATCAACTATATAAACGTCAAAAAAAAAAAAAAAAAAAAAAAAAAATAGTTAAAAAAAAAAAATAGTTAAAAAAAATCATGAGCAAGGAGCCAAACACATAATTGGAATAACAGATTGAGAGCAGCAGGGCTCGTCCTTTCCATTTTGAACCAACAGAAAAAACAATCTTGGCTGTGATACTGGCTTTTTAGATAGCCATCACCATAACTAACAGAGCAGCTTGTTCTAAATTCTATATCATGCCCATATTCATTGGTTTATTTGGCTCGAGCACCAACACAAAAACATAATAGTACGATGGAATGGATATTGTAGTCTAACAACATAATATGTCTACCTTTTCAATTTTTAGCTGTTATCGAGAATGGTGTTAAGCTAAGGCTCAACATTGTCGACACCCCTGGATATGGTGATCAAGTTAACAACGAGAACTGGTAAGCATAGTGCATCCAAAAGCAGTTTTTTTTACTTCTATGGATGGATCTTCAGTGATTAATTTAACATGACATTTCTCGCTTTATGTTCAGCTGGGAGCCCATCATCAAGTACATTAAGGACCAACATTCAGCCTTCCTTCGCAAGGAATTGACCGCCATGCGTGATCGTTTCATTCAGGATACTCGCATCCACTGCTGCTTGTTCTTTATCTCTCCCACTGGCCACTCGTAAGTATAAACCCATATTCGGAAAAGAAGAGCTTTTTTATGCACATGCTATTTTTTCCTAATGCTCACAAAATCTCTATTTCTGGACTGGGGTACATTTCTAGATTGAAGCCAATTGATATTGTTGTTCTTAAGAAGTTGACTGAGGTTGTCAATGTCGTCCCTGTTATTGCCAAGTCAGACTCGTTGACTATCGAGGAACGCATTGCCTTCAAGCAACGTGTATGTCTTAATGTTGCTTTTATGCGCACATTTTGCTTTCTTTTTTCTTTTTTTACTTTAGAGTTGAGATGAATTCTAATATCTGTTATTGTGATTATTTACTGTCTTTAAATCGTCTCTTGCTTCATGACTAATGCGATCAATAGATTAAGGAGGAAATGGCATTCCACAACATCAAGCTATACCCCTATGCATCTGACGAGGATGACGAGCAGGACCAGGCCCTGAACGAAAGCATTCAGGACTTGATTCCTTTCGCGGTTGTTGGGTCAGAAAAGACGATTGTCGTCGATGGCAAACCAGTTCGCGGTCGTCAAAACCGATGGGGCGTCATCAATGGTGAGACATACCTTCGGATTTGATCTTGAAAAAAATGCGCGTAATCTTGGCTAAATTTAATTAATAGAATTAACGTATATTTCGTTATCTTTTACTGTGCGTAGTCGAGAATGAGAACCACTGCGAGTTCATCCATCTTCGTAATTTCTTGACACGTACTCACTTGCAAGATCTGATTGAGACTACTGCTATGATCCATTATGAGTCTTTCCGCTCTAAGCAGCTGCTTGCCCTCAAGGAGAATGGTCAGCAGCAGCATCACTAAACCGGGGGTCGTCTCTCCTATGAATAGAGAAATAATGATATCTCAGGAAGGACTTTTTTTTTTGAAAGTACATTGGAAGGAAACACTTTTTTTAATATAACTATAATTGATCAACAATTGGAGCAGCATGTGCAATGATACCACCACGGTCAAATATTCATACAATTTTCGTACTTATCTAGCCTACAATACTTAATCCCATTTGTTTTCTTGGTAACGATCGAGAAGCCTGGTCCATAGAAATGCGAAGGAAGTGGCAGACGTATTTCTGGCAAATGCGACTTTTTTTACTTCTTTCTACACAACCATTGTCTGCTTCTTTTTTGTTTCAATAAATAATAACAATAATAATAATCATAATAATAATAATAATTTAGATAGGAATGTGGCATCAAAGAATTCTAAAACTTTTTTGTATGTAGTATTATTAATGCAGTTGAATTCTAGTCTAAATATCTTTATACGGTGTAGTATCCAGGCAGGAGATACTCCAATTTCTTGACAGCCTCCTTGTTCCTCTTTTCAGGCGCAGTCATACAGGCAAACCTCATACTACCCTTTAAACCCACCAGAGCCTTGCCATTTTCGACTACATCCTGTAGTCCTGGTAAGATGGCAACCAACAATTTCTGAGCGTTGCTGGCGTTCGACTTAAAGTTGGCGACGACAGCCTCGACTGTAACAGGTTCTTCATGTTCTTTCCAGCAGTCATAATCGGTTGACATGCAAATCATCTGATAAGCGATCTCGGCCTCTCTTGCCAATTTTGCTTCAGGCAATGCGCTCATGTTGATCAAGTCTCCACCAAGGGCACGGTACATGTGAGACTCTGCACGAGTTGAGAATTGAGGTCCTTCCATACAGACCAAGGTTTTACTACGATGGAAATCACCTCCTTCAACCACGTGCTTTTGATCCCAGATCACCTCTTCCAAGACTCTAGAGAACGGATCTGCAAACATTGCATGAGCCACCAATCCCTTTTCAAAAAAGGTCGAGTCACGGATTCCCTTCGTACGATCAATGATTTGGTCAGGCAATACAAAATCACGGGGTTTGAGCTCCTCACGCAGAGAACCGACAGCTGAAAAGGCGATAATGACTTCAACGCCGATGGACTTCAAGGCTGCAATGTTGGCACGGCCAGGAACTTCTGAAGGTGTCAAATAATGGCCACGACCGTGGCGAGCCAAAAATGCAACATGAAGTCCAGTCGGCGTGCGGGCAATGACAATTGCATCACTAGGCTTTCCCCATGGCTATGGTTGTCAATGAAGGGAGAGGAAAGAGAGAAAAAAAAAAAAAAAAAAAAGTGTCCATGTCAGGGGTAATAAAAATGTATTGATGTCGAACAATCAAGTTCCTTGGACCATTATTATTCTCTGCCACAAAAAAAAAGTAAAAAAAAAAAAACATACTGTCTCTGGGTTGACCTCTGTGACAACCTCGAGGCCTTCGAGATTATAGAGACCGCTGCCACCAATAAAAGCAATTTTGACGGGCTGCACCATTCGTATCATTAATGAAATGAGGTGGGTTCAAGTTTGGTTATTAAGCAAAAAAAAAAAAAAAAGGAAAGAAAAGAACGTCGTTAGTTATTATGTCAGACTGTCAGACTATAGACAGTAACAATTGGTATCGCACTCAGAGTAAGGTTCTGTGTACTTGCCAAGTACGATGCAACCATGACGATGAACGGACGAGGAAAGAAGAATGTGTGGTACAATTGAGAGATGCATGTGCGAACATGTATTTTATTTAGCAGAAAAAATATTTTTTTGTGACTGTGGAGTGACCACTCATGTCAATGGTGTGATTTAGCAAATGGATTTGGCTACTAGCCTAATGGCTTTAAAAGAACTCGAGATGTGCCTCTCCCACAGCACTACCAATAACAATGTTGCCCTCGACTTTCTCGCCATTGTGGTTGCCGTTGTCATCGTTGTCATCGTTGTCCTCTATAAACTTATATCCGACCTTGGAGTGGATCGTATCTTTCTCATACACAATCTTCGAGTTGCTATTCTTGGCTTCTATCACACGAGCAGCTCCTAGGCCAGAACCCACATTGAGTTTACCCAGAAACTTGTCTGATACCTTGGCCATAATTTTGCCACTCACACTACTGCTCCTAAAACCAAGCTGTTGGTCTTTCACCAAATCAACAGAGGTGTTAACACGGCCTGCCACAGATTTGGCTCTGACCACTACCATGCCTGGAGCGGTCTTATCATTGTTGTTTTCATGCTTGTCCTTATCGTCATCCTGAGCGTGAGCAACATCCAGATCAATCGCACCAGCCACCGAATTCACTATAATCAAATGATGGGTAAGGCGCTTCTTTCTAGGTTTGTCTTCATCCTCGTTGTCGTTGTCGTTGTCGTCATCGACATGGCTCCAGAGCTCATTATCGCCGTCATCTTCATCATGGCGAGTAATGGGGCTCGTTTTAGCATTAAGCTTGATATCTCCGGCTGTCGAACGGATACGGGCATTAAGAGGGGAGCCTTCCGTAGCAACCTTCACTGAATCGACCGACGCAGCGCCTGTCACAATCTCCGCCACCAAACGATCGGCAACAACGGCCCCTGCCTTGATTTCTCCAGCCACCGATCCAAGAATCAGCTCCTTGAAGGCAGCTTTTTCTACATCCGCAGCATCGATGGTTAAGACAACACCACCAACCGCAACGCTATACAAACTGTCTTTATCATTGGGCGGCAAAACGATTTGGACCTCAATTACAGCACAAAAACGCTTGTAACTATGGCCACCGTGTTTCTTGGGATTACCGTACATACGCGTCATCATCTTGGTTATCAAATCCTTGTCTTCATCTTCATCTTCGCGGTCGTGATCATGGTGTTTTTGGTGTTTGCGATGATGCTTGTGATGCTTGTGATGCTTACGATGCTTGTGATGCTCGTCGCCGTTATGGACATAGTTGTTGGCCCAGAAGCTCACCTTCAAAGTCTCTTCAGTAGAGTTGACTTTCAAATGAAGACCTTGATGTCTCTTATGAGGGTGGCCATCATTTTCGTCGTCCTCATCACTATCATCATTATCATCACCATCATCATCATCATCATCGTCCTCATCATCATGGTGATGATGATGGATTTTGGTCACGTTAGCACGGATATGCAACGTTGGGATTGCAACATCACCAGTACGAATGATGACATTTGACAGCAAATTGCCCTTTCCAAAACCTAAGCGGATGTTCTTAGCATGGGTCTCAATAGCCTTGGGCCCGCCCCATTCGACCAAGTCTCGAGAGCAATCGTCATTCGACATGTCTGTCATAGGTGTAAAGCCAGCCAAGGCGGCCTTGGTCTTGGCTGAGTAGGGATTGAAGGCTGTCCACGGTTGAAGATCATCAGACATGCATTGACCATCAAATAAAAGCTCATCGGATTCACACTCGAAGCCACTACCATCCTCATTGCAAAAGAAGGCCATGAAAGCCCAAACGGCGAGTAAGGCAATCAAAAGACGACGGAACATTCGGCGGAAAAAGCCCTTTGCCTTGGCTTTGCCTAGATTTTTTTATTAAACAGATAGAAAGTTGACAAAGTCAGTTGGTCTGTGCTGCTTTGTCATCGTTGCACACTATTTTTGTAAATGAAAGAGCAACGAAGTTTAATAATTTAATGGGAACAGAGAAGAAACACCTACACTGTGCGCTCTGTTCGTTAGTGCAGCGGCGGCGAGAAAAGGGGCATCGGCTACGAGGAGGTGTCTCAGCCTCAGCTCGGAAAGCATCCTGGTGTAGGTGCTTCTTTTCATCAGCCAACAGAGGTACTGCATCCTCGGCGGAGAAAGGTGGAGGTGCGTCGTCATGGTTGGTCATGTCAACCTCGACATCCTTGGGATACGGCTGTTCAGCCATAGTAGGAAAAAAAAAGGAAAAGCGAGTCGTGTATGGATGAGAATGGGTATGATATGTATAAGTGTATGAGCTTGATATTGCAAAGGAAGTGATGTTTACTTTGATTCAGTGGTCCATGAATGCTAATGTAATGGAAATGAAGAGAAAAAGAAAAAGAAAAAGAAAACAAGTTTAAATAGGTCTGGACCAGTCCTGTCGACTTTGAAGATACGTACGCCGCCTTATTGCACACAGGCCTATCATCTTTGAAAAAAGTACATTTCGAAAGACAAAAAAGTCTTGGCAATCCTGTTTTTACGCAGCATGGGAATTGGTGTGACACACCCAAAACTCCCACACATTCCCGATCGAAATGCGATGAAGAGACAACCTACACACGCAACCCATTTATCCACTCGCGTTCGTGTCAGGTATACGTAAGATTATGCAGGATTGGCAGTCAACATCTTGCTATTCCCCAAGTCTCTCGATATCTCGCTTCTCTCGCATATTCTCTACGATAATTAATTTTATTTTTACAACATAACCCATGGGTCACTACTAGATGCTCCACTTGTCCCACCAGCGCTACCTGTGCCTGCGACACCCCCTACGGCTGCATTTCCTATTCCAGACCTTGCTATTGATCCTGCAGAGTCTTGGCCTGCGGATCCAGGTCCAGACCCGCCTATGCCTCCATTACTACTATTGCTGCTCCGCAAAATAGGACCGATCCGTTCATTCTTCATTTCACGCAAGTGATATACCTTCCGAAGTTCACGGTATTGCCGAATGAAATCCTCTTGGCCCAGTTTGCCTTCAAGAAATGATTGAGCAACAGATTCTGACAACTCATCCGACTCAGCAGCTGCTGATCGTAACTTGGACTGCAGGGTCTCTGGTTTAAACCGCTAATTCAACCAACATTTGCACAATGTAAATAATATGTGAAAGATGAAGTAAAATGCAAATAACTGATAGAAAGTCTTATTTACCCAGAGTGCATCCTGCTGTTGTTGAAGTTTTTCTTCCAGAGACTTCTGCAGCTGCAAGGCCACTGAATAGCCTTCTTTTGTACTTTTTTGTAATTCCAACATTTCTGATTCTAGAGTCAGATTACGACCTAGAATAAATACATAAAACGCACGTCATTATCACATAGACTGGCAAAAATACCAAGATTAGAAGCAAGCCTGTAGGCAATAATACTCAGTACACAAACCACTTACGTGCTACATTATCGTTGCCATGCCATAATTCCCGCCTAAGTGTTCGATTATTCACCACTGTATCTATCTGGTTAAAGAAATTTTCAAATGCTATTGGACTTTCCAGATATTCCTCAATCTGCTCTGAGGTCAATTTCATAACAATACGTGCTTCCGGCGACTCTGTAGAGCCATATACGGCAGATGATGATGATGATGATGAAGTAGGATGGTTTTGGGGATGGTGATGATTTGATAAATTCCCAGTGGATGCTGTTGAGATAGATCTGGAAAATGTGGCATTTGAGCCTGGTCCTGTTGCTGACGGCTGGTGAAGAGAGCCGTTGGTATTAATAAAGGATGACATAGTCTGCCCAAGGCTCTTGGTTCGAGGTCCTGGGATTGGTGGTGGAGGTTTGAACGAATATTCATCGTACCCTATATTGCTATTTCCGCTTGCATTGTTACAATTGTAGTGGTTGCCTGCACTGCTCAAGATAGTGCCCATAGGAGTAACAGCGTTATTATCGCCATATTCGCTAACAACAAGAACTCCCGTTTTTTGAATACTGGCAACAATCTCCTTGACAATCCTGCCTAGATTTGCATGTGTTGACCAACCACCAGGAACCAGTCTCTCATGTCCAGTAACAGCACAAGGCGCTACTGTGCTATCTACCCAAAAGTGTCTAACTGTAGGCTGGATTGTAATTTTAGGCTCCTCCTCCGGAAATGCAGGCGGTAAGTAAATGGTCATTGTTGCCGTTGAATTGCCCTGACCACCTCCTATTCCTGAGATTGCCAAGGACGCTTCTGGAGGAAATTGGTTACTTTGAGATAAACTTTTATTGTTGCTTGCGGGTGACGAAGAATTGCGGGAGATATGTGGTAAAGACGATGAAGTTGTAAGAGATGACTCTGAATTGTTAGCCAGCTGGAGTGTCAGTTGGAAACGACTGTCGTCATTAGGCACAGCCCGCAGCTGTGGTAATTCCATGAACAGTGATTCAATTTGTTTCCGTCGACTAGAACATGAATACAGGATGAAGTCAAAAACGTTAATAACTGCCAACATGAAAAAAAAAGAAAAGAAAAATATGCCCCTGGATTCATCATGTTTCCTCCCGATCCTTGTCACTAATACTTTCAATCCAGAGATGCATTTTTATGTCGAGGCTACTTGACGACCTTTATCATAAATTTAATGTTACGCTCCAACTCTATCCTGCTTATTCCATCTGTGTCCTGCAATGACTTTATCTTCCTTGGTTATAAGTTTCTTTGACTTATATGGGTCTATCTTTATAGCTCTACACTCATAACTTCAGATGCAAAAACTAAAGAAAAGTAGTGTACAGTGATTCACTCCAGTCATTGCTAAGGATGCATTTCCGGCCAGAAGGAAGATTTGATGCTGACCGATGGTGCTGATCCTTACACTCATCAGGAGTTTTGCTTGTTTTTTTTTTTTTTTTTTTTTTTTTTTTTGACTCTCATAGAACAATAGCCTGATGCGTGTACATGACAGAAGCGATCATGTAAATCATCATAAGAGAGTAAAAAATCCAAGAAAAAACGTACGGCTCACGCTGGTTAGCGTCATTGTCCATGGCGGTTTTCCTAGCCCAGAGCCTGTCCATTGAGTATCGGTGAAATAGAAAGGTGAAGTACAATAAGAGAGATTAGGGAAAGAATGCGACTTTTCAAAAAAGTTGTGGACATACAAAAAGCTCTCACTGAAGTAACGTCACGCGCACAAGACTGAGTTACATGTACTTTATTAGATTATTGCAAAAAAGGTAGATAGCGATTTAGTCGCGATCCTGGCCTACAGCGAGCTTCTTGATTACGCGCAGGCCTCTCTTACCGCTGACCTTGATGTACTGCTGCTGTTCCAACTCTGCAAGCACTCGCGAGAATTGCTCCTCAGAAACGCCCTGTATTATTTTGTTCGCCATAATACAGAGAAATAGCAGAGGTTGTGTCAACATTTATGACCACATTAAAAAATAATAAAAAATAAAAAAAAATAAAAAGCAAACTTACCACCGTGCTTTGTGCATTGAAATCCGTAAATACATCAGCCCATCGGAGGTTAGTTTTATCTGTAGCATCTAGCAAGTTCAGTAGTTCCTTTCGCATATCTTCAAGGTGACCGCGATCATAAGAGCCCTGTCCTGTCGTCAGTAAATCCATGTCCAATAAACCGGTACGAGGGTCCATAGCAGACTCCTTCAAGCCTTCTCGGATCAATCGGGATGCCTCTTCCACATCTGCCTTCTCTACCGTATTAGAGAGGCGAAGTTTGGCCCTAGCTTCTGCAAGGCGAATCATTGACTCTAATTGCCGTGTCGTTGCTGTGATTTGTTTACCACCACCGAGCTTCCTAAGGTCCAGGTAGCACTGAATCAATGTTGAGCTGGCATCCTCATCTAGCACAGGGTGACAATGATTGCGAGCGTAACTAATATATGACGTTAAGGTGTCAATAGGGATGATGTGTGAGCCACCTGTTTCAGGGGCATCTTCGAGATATAGAGATAAGATGTGGCGTGCCAAGCGTCGGTCGTTCTGTTCGTTGACGATATCCAAAACGAGGTAAAGCAAGTCAAATCTCGAAATGAGTGTAGGTGGCAGATCAATATTGTCAACCATTGGAAGACGGTGATTGTACTGTGAATGAATGGGATTGGCAGCGGCCAAAAGAGATGTTCGGGCGTTTAATGTCGTAATAATGCCTGCCTTCGCCACGGACACTGTTTGCTGCTCCATGACTTCGTGAAGTACAGACCGTGTCGCATCAGACATTTTGTCAAACTCATCAATACAGCAGATGCCCCCATCACTGAGAACCAATGCACCGCTTTCAAGTACCAATTGGCGAGTATCAGGGTCCCTGGTAACATAAGCTGTGAGACCCACAGCAGAAGAGCCCTTTCCAGATGTGTATACCCCACGAGGAGCGATTTTGTGAATATATGTGAGAATCTGTGACTTTGATGTTCCTGGGTCGCCAACTAAGAGTACATTAATGTCGCCTCTGAAACGTGGTGACCCTGCTTTCCGGAATGTCTTATTCGTACCACCAAACATTTGCAATAATACACCTTTCTTGATGTCATCATGCTCAAAAATGCTGGGGGCAACTGAGCGCGCCATGGTTTCATAAAGGTTAGGCATCTTTGAAATCTCAAGAATCTTGGCAATCATATCCTCGCTCTGTACTTCAATTTCATCACCGCCCTGATATGTAGATCTCTTTCCATCATGATTTGCAATATCATCGTCAATGGTCAATCTCTTTTTGTCCGTTTTTTTAATATGCACGACGTCCAAATATGTCCTGTAGAGTGCTTTGATAGTACGCTGTCTGGGATTGACCCTTACAGGAACACCACGGAACACTGCTGTAATCTCAAGTCGATCACCAGGCTTGCAGACGTCTACCAAATCATCATGGACGACCAACGAAATACTCTGTGGCGTCTGTCCATCAGGGATGGTTTCTACGATTTCCATTAGATCGATCGTCAATCATGTGTTTAACGTAGTTAACATTACAACAAATCAAGGTCGGATATCATTTGTTCTGATCTTACCAGGCATTTCCTGCATACGGCAAATTTGTTTATCAGCATACTCTCCGCGGTTGTGCATCAAAGACATCGAGTTCAATGCGCCACATTCCTGACGTGGGCACTTCGTAGGCTCAGTAATGCGTCCTCGGTCTGCCTCTGATGTAGCAGTCTGTTCGCAAACTAAGCACTGAAAGAAAGCTATCGTTTTTTTTTTTAACATCACAGGTTTGAATCAGTACAGCTATTCAATGACAAATACAGAATGGCAGTGTATCATTGCTCAATTACGAACCTTTTTTAACGTTGGGAATGATGCTTGAGGTGCGAAGCATAAGGCCCTTGACAGTAACAAGGCGATCAATATCTTCAGGCCCTAGATCGCGCGTATTGATAGTCTTTCCGAGGTTGAAAGGCCGAATCTATAAAGAAACATAAAAATTGTTCATGCTCGATTAATTCTTACGTTATTTTTTCCTTCGCCTTTTACCCCAATTCATTTATAATCAATTATTGTTGATTCTCTATAGCGTTCTTACCATTAAACTGTCACCTCGAAGGTCGATTTCAGGATGGGTCTCATCAAAAAATTCATTCAATGTGAAATCCAGCAGAGGCAAGACCTCAGCAGGATAGTCAATAAGGAGGCTGTGAAGCTTAGTTGCTGGTCTATATGCCAAGAGATTTTGACAGTCAAGGTTGAGTTGGCGAGTGTTTGTACGAGCCATCTAACCGACCAGTGTGCAACAACAATATACACGTTAAAACACTAGCTCCCAAAGTAAGTTCACTAGGTAAAACTGCTCTGGATTCTAGAACTTGCCTGATCTATGAGTTGTGGATAAAATGGTCTATTCTGGCTCTCCGTGATGATCTCCACGTGTGGATTCTCTTTGATAATCCTGTGTTTCTGTTTAAAGTGCTCCAAGAAATCCTTAAACAGTGCAATGACATCATTAATCTCTACGGCTGTACCCCAAACAACCTTAACGACCTGTGACGGATCATAGTCCTGCGATGTAGGGAAAGCCGTTGACGATCCAAGTTCGCTACCAAGTTCTGATCTAGCGGCGATATGCCGTGTAATTTGAGGGCTGCTCACAACGTCATTGCGACGCCTTCGTGGTGTGCCCGGGATAGTACTAGGATAAATTAAAGAAAATACATCACTCAGTCCAGTACAGCAATCATAGTATGCCATTGACTTATTAAATGATTTCAACCCTGCTTTTAGCCTTCATACCTTCGGGAATCTTGAGGAGTGCCGTATGATATGTCAGACCGAAAATGGGAAGATCCAAGATGACTCTGGCTACGCATTTGAGGCGAAGATGGTAAACCCATGCCAATTGGTGATGAAACATCTTCGGAGCCTAATGTTACATAAAGGCCGTAATATCTGATTAATCCCTACTATCAATAACACGTCTTTATTTTCATTCTCTATCTTATTTAAGAAAAAGAAAACAACCATATATAGGCCTACCATGCATTTGGGAAAATCGTCCTACAGGGGTCCGAGCATACTGACCAGGTTGATATTGAACCTGAAAGCCAGGTGTAACTGCAAATGGTAAGGGCGATGATGCACCGAGCCCTGGCGATGATGGATAATTAAGACCTGGAGACGAAGGGAGCTCTGAAGAGAGGTCGTCATTTCCTCGTCGAGGGGTATGGGGAGTTCGAGGAGTACGAGGAGTGCGAGGAGTCCTTGGTTCAGACATGGTGTGCTTTTAGTGGAGAATGAATAGCCCCTAGGTCAAAAATACCCTTATCGAGGAAATGTATTAAGTTGACAAGAGATGCGAATTGAGTCCAGGGATGCGCTGGAAACTAGGGGTTAGGCCATCAGGCGAGAAAGCAGGATGAACCACGAGAAGTGGTGCGACTTTAAAAAATTAAATAACAACAAACAAAAGGACGCAGTCCGATAAATTACAAACGCGCCTATTTTTAAGGGGCTGTTTTAATGTCTTTCTACACTTTTTCATCTTTCTACTTGAAGCGCTCGTCCTGACGCATTACATTAATGTCGTACAACAGATCTAATAGCGTCGATGATGACCACGCCTGCGATTGGCATGCATCTACACAGATAGCACCATCCAGGTTCGTTAACTCTGCCAATCCTGCCCATGGACTCGTCTCCAGTTGAGCCTTGTGAGGAAGCATCAGCCGTTGCAACTCAAAGATGGTATCCTTGAACTTTAAAAAAAAAGAATAATTTAAGTTGAACATTGTTGCCATTTAATGCGATCATTATTTAAACAGAACATTTAATACACTAGAGCTTACCAATCTCGGCTCGCATTGGACCTTGAATCGCAGATAGGCTCGGAAAAAGTACCCAGTGCACCACAGCCACTCCTATTCATAATTTACATCAGTAAAGAGAATGTGACGTCTTGTTAGAAAGCATGTTGTTTTACTAAAGGCCCAACCAAGAAACAAGCGAGTGTTAACACTTACAGGCCCTTGATGATAGTTCCAACCCTTAGCAATCATCTTATCATCAGAGTCATTCTGGTTATCATAATTAGGACGGTACGCCCAATCACGAGGATCTAGAGTACGCATTCCAAGAGGACCGAGGATGACGTCCTTAGCCAAGTTCAGGGCAGTCATAGCGTGGTCCTTGTCGAAGAGCTCAGGCGCAACACACATTGCAACAGGGAAGTTGGGTCGCAGCTGATAGTCAGCAAAAGGTGTGATCGATCCATATGTATCCTTATACATGCCACGACGATTGACAAGGTTTGTTTGAATCTTATAATTCGAATCCTGAGTCGGATCCAGTGGTACATAAAAGCATTTTTCAAAGTTTTGTTGAATTAGATTATCCCACTCAACGATTGTCAATGTTCGAGCAGGTCGTGCCACGCCCTTGAAGTGCGTTTCACCTATCTGAATCTCTGAAAGCTTAAACTTATTTCTCTTGTGTAGGTCCAGGACCCAACGAAGCGAAGATTTGAGAAGACCGATAATCTCTACATCAGCTCCGTCACGAGGCGTTGCTGGAACACCCTTCGTACCAGCTTTCGCACTCTCGCCCATCTTGTCCATCCAAGTTCCACAATTATGGACGCTACCACCAGTGACAAATCCAGTATTGAAATCGAGATCAACATCCACCTGGAAGCCTTTGTCTGACATTTGTTCATCTAGGCGTGGCCCTGCATTCCATTCACGATAGTGGATGCCATTGGCATGGCACACTAAGATCTCTGTAAGAATATCCTCGAGCGTAACAGTAACAGAGTATGCCTCAGGGCTTGTGTACTCCACAAATGTGTGTCCATCGGGGAAGCGGCGAGAAACTGATTCTTTTAGAATATCCTCGCCATTCGGAACAAGTGTGCAGTAATCTTGTACAGACTGGAAGAACCACCAAACTGAATCTCTAGAGTTATAGCGGGGGTATCTAAGACTGTCCAGCAGGTTGGGAATCATACCATGCTTAAGACTACTGGCAAATGCAAGGATGTGTTCTTTAGCAGCTTGGTACTGCCCTGTGACGATGAGGATTCCTCGCAAACTGATGAATACATCGCGCCCCCAAGTACGCATGTGTCGGTATGTGAAGTGCGGCAAACCAGCTGCAAGGCATGGCATCTTGTTGATTGGATGCAAACTGGCAGACTCAACATAACTGTACACCTGAAGTGCTGTCAAACTAAGCGAACGAGTGAAATAATCTCCGTTGCGGATAAAAGATGGCATCAACGAATAGGCCCGTTTACGAGCAGCCTCATACGCAGTCATAACGGCGAGAGCAAAATATCTTGGCACTAGGTAGTTCGGAAGCTTCTTGATGGTATTCATGCGGTCAGAGTACCATTCATGCAAGGCAGATAGCGCGGGGAAATGGGGCAGATGCCTATACAATAAAAGTAGAAGGAAAAGAGTCAATAGTAGCCTTTGTAATCTTTCAAAGAAGTTTGCCACCTTTGCTAATAGAAGACTGCGAACCTTTTGATGCGATCGCTGATATAATCCAACGCCCAATGCCCCTCCCGTAGATGTGCACAGAATGGATGCCCAAGATCATTTGTCTCGATGATAGGCTTTAGTACAGAGATATAGCCTTCCAGGCCACAATATACCAAAGCCCCGTAGTTTGGGATATTGTATACACCATTACCAGCTAATTGTATTGTAAAATGAATATCGTAGTTGAAAAACCAGTTAGTTGATTTTGCCTGTTCGCCTTTTTGAAATTCAAACAAACCATCACACTCTCTACAAAAAAAAAAAAAAAAAAAAAAAAGCATACATGTCAAGTCTCGCTCTTCGCCATCGCATCGATATAGCGCGATATTGAGCTCCAGCCAGTTTAAACTGTTAAAGACTGAGTCAGGGATGGTCTTTACAAGCTCTTCGATGTTGTTGGGGACTTTATCATCGGCCCAAGTTTCAAGCAAGATGATACTTCCTCCAGGGAAATGGTCAGGGATCTCCACCTGGGTGAATGCTCCTTGAGCATCTGAAAGGCGCGAAATAGTGGGCTCGGCAAGTTGTGCAAGTTTGCATGGAAGGCCCTCAAGGAATTTGTCATTCTTTTCAACAGTGCGAGAGGTCACCTCCAGGCTGACAGACATGAGAACCTTAACTGTCGTGTCGCGCAACTTTATAGGCATGATATCTCCTCTGTGGGGATTATCATAGAAAGATGTATGCGCAATTAAAATATAGCCCCTCAATGTCGTTGGTTGTTGTCGATGAACAATAATATACTAATATAGAAGAAAAAACAAGAAAAAAGTCAGTATTAGATTTTGATTTCAGTCCAAAATACCAAAACACTAGCCAAGCTCCAACATCATGGATAACAGTTCTAGTCAACTTACTTCGTTTTCATGGTGCACATGAGCTTCCTCATATCCCTGGAGAGCCAGATCTGTGTGTAATTTGTTCAACTGCGCCTTGACTCCGACGATCCCGACGCTCATAGGATCCTTGTAAGTGACGTAATGCCGGTTTTCAGTGACCAAGTTCAACAACGCTGGATACAATTCATCATACCCTTTCACAGATCCAATTGCACAGGAGGCCATGCAAACTAGACCGGCATTAGAAAGTGTATCCTAGTAAACACAATAATATAGTTGAATAATTCTACTCTGCATTTTATAATAAAAAGGCAGCTAACGGTTTCAACTGTACCTCGGCCCGCCTCTTTTGATGGGGAGTTTCATTGTCGTGGGTGCAATCCATGAAGAGAGCATGGGGATGAGAACCGACAAGAGGTGTAACTCGGCTAGGGACGCTCTTGCCATCTGGCCCTGTCAGAGCAACATCCTCACAAAGACTACTTCGATCCATGGAACCTGAAAAAGGGAAATCAGTATAAGGAAGCGTTGGCCCATTCACATTATCAAGATAAATATCACATCCCAGTAGCATGTTAAAAAGATCAAAAAAAAAAAAAAAAAAAAAAAAAAAAAGCTTACCAACGGGTTTGAGACCATGGCGATGTACAAGGCGACTCAGTTCGCGAGGCTCCCATGCCTGCATAGCTTCTCGAATGAGAGAATTGATACCCAAACGACTCACAAAACGGATATCCATATCCTCTGAACCCGTGAACAACTCAGCAACCACATACAGGTTGGGCCGCACCTGACGTGCAGCATCCAGCAAATATTGTGCCAAATGAATTGGGGTTGAATGGCAATTGTCAATACGAAAGCCGTGGAATAGTCGTGCTGACTGAATAGTATACTCCTTCATGCGTTCCCAGAGCCAAGGCGCATCCTCCTAAAACAGATTCAAGAGGAGATCATCAAAACTAGGAATCAGTTTAAGTTCTTAATCTAGTTACTTGTTATAAATTCACAAACGGAAAAGTCATACCGGCCCCTTTCCATAGCGGAGTTTTACACAATCGCCCCAGATGATGACTTCTCGCCGAAGGTAAGCATGACTGTCTTTGCCAGCAAAGTCTTGTAATGGGTTTGCGTTCCAGATCCAACCATTGTTCACTAAAGCCAAAGACCCTGGAGGGTGCTTCTTGGTACGATCATTCAGAGGTAGTCTGGTGAAGTAGGTCTCAACCAAGGGGTTTCTAGGAAGCAGTCCAAACAACATTGAGATGAGAGCCACTCTCGATGGAAAAAGGATAGCACAAATGCTAAAATAAGCTTCATACTTACTCTTCTGTGATCGGACCTAACTTGGGACCATGTTCATCAAGGCGGATATACTTGAATCGATTCTCGATATTAGTCGCAATAGTTTCCACATCCTTATCATAAGCCTTATAAAACTCGAGGTTGACTTCGTTCAGGATGGCCTTGTATTCTTCAAGTAAAGTTTCCATCGAAAACGTGTCTGGCCTGGTCAGATCAAAGTTCAGCAGTGCTGACATGAATGAGAGCGCCACTGAGGTCTCGATCTTCTTATGATGACGGTCTCCGTGTGTGTCCATCCCGACCAAACCTGCATCAGTAAGTATATCTGCCTTCTCTTTCAGAGTCATTTTATTGAGAGAAATGTGCTCAAACAAATCGGTTGCGTAAGAGGCGCTGGCTTCAATCGCTGTCTGTAACTCCTTCAGGGATGAGATGACGTCAATCACGTAAAACTCCCAAAGCTTAATGTCATTGAAGACTGTACGGCGAAGTTCAGTCATGATCGCCTTGAGGTCCTCTTCTGTCTTGACATCTGATTCAAAAGGGGAAGAAGGATCTGCTACCATGGCAGAGAACCGTAAGAGTGCACTGTCCAACTCAAACGCAGGAATTAAGTGAGGGGAGTTGTGAAGATTATAGCCTAAATTACCACATTCATAACAAAGGGTTGGTCAGCGATGTCAGGTCATTTTAACTTAAACCACTTCTTGTATTGTGAAAGTAATTGCTAGTATCAAGAATAAAATAATGGATTTGGTATTATTACTATTATTATTTTCCTACTGCGTACCTGATTCTGGATGATCCCAAAGCCAAGTTGAGTTACATGCGGTATGGTTCCACACGATATCCGTCAATGAAAGAGCGCCATACTTAGTCTCGATATCACTGATGACTTGCTGAACAATTGCACGCTGCTCCTCCTCAGTCTTAGTCAAATCTTTTTCTTCAAATAGATTGGGGTCAAACTTGAGCTGGTCAAAGATGGAGTAGGGCGAATTAGAAATGCCTCTATGCTGCAGAGGCACAAAGTGGATCATATTATACCCGGACTTTGCGATAATCTCCAGATGTGGCTTCCACTCTGAGAACTTGCCCATCCACTTGGGTACGACCGATTCAATCACAAGACCCTCTAGTGGAAGTGAAGTACGGGTTCCAGAGCCATCGCGATTGATCAATGTCAGCTGGGGATCAACAACAAAGTAGCCTGTCTTGGAGCGACTCCACACAAGCGACCCATCTTGAATGTAGGACGAATGCTCCACATAGTACTCGAAAGCGCCCGCCCTTACGATCTTGAGATCGCATTCAGGCTCGATTCCCTTAAAGCTAATAATTTCCAGAACACCAAAACACCATTACAATCCCCAAAGAGTCCAAAGAGAATAAGAAAGAAACAAAGATGAAAGGTCGTTGTGAGTACCTGAATGTAGTATATTTAATCATGTGTTCCAAAAGCACAACATCTTTATTTTTTCCCATCATACCGATGTTGATAAAATTCAGTACGTTTAAATGGCTTCCTATAAGTTATAAATCATTAACAGAAATGATAAAACACAATAGAGAAAAATAGCAAAGTGGTTACTGCAAAGTGGAAACACTCAAAAGGCGCACATTCGAGGACTAGCTATGTATGATCCTGCCATAAGAAAAGATATTGGTACTTACCCTTCGGGAGGATAATTTGTCCATAATACGCCCTGGTTGGATGCTAATGAACCTGCAATAACCTTGAATCGCAGGATGTAAGGCGTGTCGGGTGGAGGAAGACGATAATACTATAAAATAAAGAAAGGAAAGAAATTATATGAGTTCACTAATACTTGCAATTTGCCGATCGCCCTCTTCCATCAACCGGTGTTGAAATCTATTGTTTAGAAGGAACAGAAGTGGCGCAACGACTTTGTACGTTCAAAAATGCCTTACCAGGGAATTTTCAGCAGGCGAACCATCATCGTCAAGTGCGACACGATAGACGGCAACAGTTGCTGGCTCACTCATAGTTCTTGTTTCTGTTTTTAAATTTGACCAAGTTGTTGACTAAATGACTTTTTTTTGTTTGAATGATTATTTCTCTGCTCAAGATTCTAAATCTCTTAAGCAATGTCAATTACCGGCAAGAAAGTTACAAAAAAAAAAGTGAAAGAGGGGGTTCAAAAGTGGAAGAAGGAGAAGAAAAAAGGAAAGAAAGACGACAAATGACTGAGCGACAGATAGAAGAAAAACCAATTAAGTTGTATCAATGATTACCGCTTGGATCTTGAATCACTGTGACGTGAGGGGAGTGCAGCTCAGGGCAAGGTACACAGCACAGCATGCATGTTTCAAAAGACATACGCGTCATTCAAAGATAAAATCACCAGCCATTGACATGGATAAAAGTAGCTTTCCTACTTCCATGATCAATTGTACTCACATTGGTTATACTTAAGCCCTATCCCTCGATCAACCTGTATGATATTATGACGAAAACTAATCCTCAGCTCAGACAAAGGGAGTGGGCTTGGCCCCGTAAACTCTGAATTTTTGATCAGATACCTAAATGAATAATAAATCTATGTTGTCAAATATCAAAGATGTTCCTTGGAAGTTGGCAACAGCTTGAAAGCGCAGTGATATATTTGCTTCAGGCTCCTTCCAATAGTCCCTTGCTGATGCTGCAGCACCTCTCCTTTGGCACATCCAACATCCTTGAAAGACGAATAGATCTATGACCAATAGTATCTTTTTAAATTACAGATACTCTACCATTGTTACTCCTCGACTGTCCTTGATGGATGTAACTTTCTCTAATCCTCAAGTGGTCTGCTAAAGCAGCATTTTCCATCGACAGCACTATTGGCAGAAGGCAAGAAGCTCGGGGGAGGTAGATCACTTTGCTATATTAGCATTGCCTGAACATCAGTTAGTAAAGAGTGCTGTCTACATGAGACAGGCGTGCTTTAACTGAGCTTCAGTGAACAACAGATTACACTGGTCACAAACAAGATTTTTTTTACGAAACTGGCAAAACAACTCAGGACGCGTGTGATACATGGTTCTTGACCTTCAAAATTATCATAATGCTCCACCGCCCGTAGTCATCCCAATTAGTTGGTTTCTAATGTTCTTCGAGACACAAACAAAAAACTTGATGTTAGTTTCTCCTCTACATACAATTCTCATTCCAGCGTAGGCGATAGCAGAGTGGGCGTCGGTCTCCAGGCCTGAGACTTTGCCCTACAGGTGTAGCCTAAAGTGGATATGATATTATGTAATCAGATGATTATGATCGTAATGTTTTTGGAGCACAAAACTAACGTTCCTGCTTGATATCATTCCAAAAGCTAGGGTAAAAAGGATTGTGGAGAACCAAAGCAAGGATATGTCTACCACTGGCGCCTAGTCTAAGATAGTTTTCTAGCCGTACTGATGTGGGAATAATACTTTATCTGCATAGCCAAAGCCTTATGCCGCTCTTTAGATGCACCACTATGAAGAAGAGCTACACCTCTGATAATCAGGATCGCTCTGATCAGTAAGAATCAAAATCCTGACACCCAACTCCGGCATACCCAAGGGATAACATAAGAGTAATAAAATTTACGTACTTTATACTTTTTTTCAAGAAAAGTAAAATAAAAAAAAATAAAAAAAGCTTGATCCAACCCAGGGCGCACCAAGCCGATACTGTTGGTCATCCTTTTGCCACCCTATATTCCCATTCACCTCCATATTGATGGAGCCCCTGGTGGCTTTATGGAAATCCTGAGTCTTAAACATATAGCGGTTGGTGGCGTTGATATCATTAGATCCTCTTGTTTATTTGAACGTACAATCCAAGTAACCCCAGAAGCTGACCATGGTCATCGATGGGGCGTTAGACTTGACTATACCAATACTACCCAATCCTTCGCACTGTTGAAGCATGTAGGGAGATATGGCTTTTGTCTACATCGATACAATGATCTATTGTTGTTCCGAAATGAAGGATATTTGGAATGCAAGTTTAAACATATATTTCCTGGAGAACCTGTAGCCTTCTATCCACAGTTGCTCTAGAAAGAACGATATATGGCTTCTGTATGCGGATGGGAAGTAATGGAGATGGGAGAGTGAGAAAACGCGAATTAATATTTTAATATGTAATGGGCTTTACGTGTAAATAATTGAGAGGTAGAAACACATCTTTTTCTTCTCTTACAAATACTTCTCAATGACTAGTCCTTTTACTGTTATTGCGTCCTACCTCAATTTGTTTTAATTCATGGGGGGAAAAAATATCAATGGTTTTCGTACGACTTCTGTAAAATATGTATATCTACATATGCATCATGTATATATTCTTGGAATTCGGCAAACGGTGGGAGCGATAAAGAAGTGGGACAACATGAAAGCAGTAACAATGTCTTTTGGGTGTGAAGTCGAATGTAGAGATATGGCGCCATTCTAATGGTAAAGATAAAGAGAGGAAAGAGTTAGAGTACAATGAATAATAGCAAACTCAATTCTGAAGTTAGTCACAGCATGTGCATGTATCAAACATTTGTTGATACACAAAAAATAACCGATTTAGACCACATTGTGGAGTACGAAGCATGTCAGGAACAGCAATAACAACAACAGTAACTACGATGGCAATGATATGAGAAATGATCAACACCTTCCTGTATGGATATCTACGTTGCGCGCAGCGAGAATTCGAAGAGATATGCAGCGCCCCAGTAAAGGATATTTGTGATGCATGATCACTGCTACCACGTCATATATCCTTGAGTGAAGAATAAAATAAAAAAATCGACGCATACAGGAACACAAATAGTTCTCTCCTCTATCGATAATCGTAGTCTAGTGATCTAGCGACACTGACAAGCAATCAGAATTAAATAAAACAAAAAAATTAGCTAGAAAGAGAGAGCATGTAAAAATTTGGATATGTGTGTGGGGTGGAACACATGATAACGAATAGTCAAGTGTCCATCCATGCACAAAGATTGTGCGTAACCTTTCTGATATCAAATTGCAGCCTCAAGTTGGGATCAATTTCCTAATAAATTTGCTCAATCGCGTCATAATTTCCTCCTGTATTTTCTATGGTCAAATACAGGGCTGCTGGACTCGTACATCCTTTTCCTCCGGAAATAGGGGGAAAAGAAAACGTTGGAAGCAATAATCCCATTTTCCTGTGAAAAAACTTATTACTCTGTGCTCATTTCCTCTCTCATCCTTTGTGTTGGTCAGCAATGACAGTGGGTGTGAAGACAAAAGTAGAGACAAGAATTTTCGCATCATTGAAGACAGAAGCATTGGTAAGCAATTATCTTTTCTTTTCTTTTTATTCTTCTTGCTTTTATTCAAACTTATTTCGTCCCTTTTTGGTATTTATTTTACTTTTCTACGTCCATCTTTCATATTGAAAGAAAAACCTCCCCTCACCGTACTTGCGTATCGGTCATATTTCAGTTTTGGAACACACCCCAACATCCCAAAGCAGCTCTCTTGACTTTAGGGCTATCCGCTATCATTTGCCACTCTACCATCGATCATTGCTGAGCACTCTTTAATCTTTAACTTTTCAGCTTCCTACCTGTATCCGCAACAAATATATCGACAGAGGAGCTGATCATAAGGGTTCTAGATGGCAGATCAGGAGCTGCGGGAGTATGGGCGATCTATAGCGGAATGGTTGAAGGCCTTGCCCTCCAACTCCCCTCGCTACATTCAAGAACGCTTTCCAATCACTCGATGGTAATTTGATGCCTCCCACATTATATGACTGTATCTCTACACTCCTACGTCTCCTCAACCCCTACTTAAAAAAAAAAAAAAAAAAAAAAAAAAACTCAATTCCAACTTTTATATGGCTAAAAGAGTGTTCTGCCACCATAAACATAACTGCGCTAGGCTTCCCAAGTACAGTCGATCGTGGGCCACGAAGGACATTGTCGCAGGGATTACTGTAGGGCTCATCGTTGTCCCACAGGGCATGTCGTATGCAAAAGTAGCTGACCTACCTGTTCAACACGGCTTGTATTCCGCTTATATTGGAGCTATCTTTTATTGTTTCATGGGCACGTCCAAAGACCTGACCATTGGACCTACAGCAGTCATTTCTTTGATCACTGGTGAACTTGTGGCTCAATTGACCCATTTGTATTCACCAGCACAAGTTGCGGGCATTTCATGTCTAGCCGTAGGCGCCTTGACCATGATCCTCGGGGTCCTTCAGTTAGGTATCATTCTTGACTTCTTCCCATCAACAGTTCTCGTCGGTTATACCACAGGGGCTGCTGCAACCATTGTGATCTCGCAGATCCCAAAGTGGATTGGGGTTTCAGGCGTGAATACGCGCGAGCCTGCGTACTTCGTCCTGGTGAACACGATCAAGGCCCTGCCAACACTGTCATGGCTAGACCTGATATTCGGATTGGGTTCTTTGCTTGGTCTAGTGGGTATTGGCACCATTGTCGATCGTTTAGGACGTGGTCGATTCTCAATTCAGCTGATCAAGATTTCACGGTTCTTCATCATTACAGTGCTTGCCACTGCTTTGTCTTACCTGGTCAATATGAATGCTCCAGTCGATTCAGATGGTAATATCATCCCTCGGATATCGATCCTCAAGACTGTCCCCAGCGGGCTCCCTATGCCACAATCGCCACCAGTCAGTTGGAGCATTCTTCGAGAAGCTGCACCAAAACTGCTGGCGATCGCGCTGGCAACGATATTAGAGCATATTGCGATCGGAAAGGCTTTTGCGCGCAAGAACCGATATCAGATTGAGGGCAATCAAGAGCTGTTGACATTGGGCTTGGCCAATGTCACGGCATCGTTCTTTGGCGCATACACTGCGACAGGATCATTCTCTCGGTCAGCTGTCAATTTCCAATGTGGGGTCAAGACACCGCTCGCAGGACTAGTGACTGGCGCATTGGTGCTGCTCGCTCTGCAGATGCTTACCCCATTGTAAGAGCGGCTTCTCTTTATGTATTTAAGTTTTTAATTCTTGATTCACAGAATTTAATTCGCTTCTATGTTTGATGACGTGATCCTATATAGATTCTTCTATATCCCTGACGCAGCACTGTCAGCAGTTATTATGGTCGCAGTCTCCAGTCTAATCAGTATGCCCGAAGTATTTCACGAGTTTTTCAAAATCAACCTTTGGGATTTTCTTTCTTCTCAGGTCGCACTCTGGATGACTCTTTTTTTCTCGGTCGAAGCAGGTATCGCTTCAGGTGTTGGGTTCTCACTTCTTGTACTTCTCTTTCGTGTGGCTCGACCACAGTTGCATGTATTACAACCACTCCGAACACGGCCTGATATTTTTATAACCTCATATAATTCTTCCCACAGAAGCACCAATATCATCTTGGACACTGTTAGCCCACCTCCTGGTATTCTGGTTTTTCGAATGGAAGAAGCCGCCACATTTCCTAACATGGAGACCTTCAAAGCCTGGGCACAAGACGAAGTTTATAGATATACACGTTTTGGAGGAATGGTTAAGACAGCTCAAGATAGACTCTGGTCAGACGATCTAGAGCTCCATATTCAAAGACTCCGAATGCAACAACAACACCAGCATCGGCAACAGCTGTCGAAGCATCAGGGGCAGCAACAGCAACAGCAAGAACAACAGCGATGGAGACAAAAAACAAATCAACACAATCGCGATCGACTATCGCTTCTTCCATCCAAAACAACACCACCACCGTCCCCACTGGAAGACAAGGATTTACCATATCTGCGAGCTGTTATTCTGGATTGTTCAGCGATGAACAACATTGATATAACTGGCTTACAAGGCCTGCGAGACCTGAAAGAAAATTTGAAGGACTATGCAGGAGTTCGTGACGATCCCAATGTATTTTTCGAGCTTCATTTCGTCGCTGTTCAAGATAAAGTGCTCCCGACCCTAGAGCGTTCAGGATTGACAATACCAATTAGAAGTCCTGCTGCGAAGGCTAAGCTACAACATGTCCAAATCGCTCGTCGTAGTTCTAGCAGCAGTAATAGTAGCGATAGCAGTGGCAGCTATTTTCATTCAGATGACGACATATGCCAGTACAGCAGTAGTAGAAGTAGTAATTATGGCGATCATCGGAAATCGGCAAGCATGGGATCTCCTAAAGCAATAGGATCTGTGCCGCCTTTGAATTCTCTAGTTCATCTTACTATACGAGATGCCATTGATGCAGTGTTGAACCATGCAGAGGCATGGAGGCATGAGGTAGGAGAGGATTTAGGGTAATTGGAGGTGATACTGTTGGCGACAACGCCGATTTTACATCTGAACAAGAATCAGATCAAGGCTCAATCCATAAACCATCTTCAGCGCACGAACTTCAGTCCATCTAACTAAGCAAAATGCGTCGTAAAATATATATAGTTAATGTAGATCACTATCCCATGTTGAGTAATATAATTTTTATCAATGAAAATATAGAAGCGTTTCTACACACAAAAATAATGGTCAAGGCCCTCTATCATGAAGCTGACGTGTTTAAATAACTAATAATGAATAAGCATAGCATGGCTCCCACTTATGAGAATATTGGTCGCGTAGAAGGATAAAGATACTCAAAAAAGGTCATATCCGGTCTCAGACAATTTGCAATCTTGATGGGCTCAATCTTATTCCAGAGCTGGTCCAGCTCGTAAAGTGGCATTTCTTGAACATGTTCCAAGGTGTTTTGCCGTTTAAGAGGCTTTGGACGGATCGATTTAGTTGCGGAAGATCCTAGCGTAGAAGACGCGGCAGGAGCAGGAGCCATGCTTAATTCGCCAATCGAATCCAAGTGAGTAGGATGGCAAATGTAGACCAAGCGTTTGCCGTCCACTGCAGTTTTACCTAGTTGTTGGTTGAGGAAATGAATAAGAAAATAGTTTAAAGGGCATGTCTATTCGTATGTCGTGGCTCAATGTCTAGTACATCAACATCATAAATCTACTTACTGAAGGAAATCAAACCATAGAACGCGCAAAGCGCATGAGCCACAAATCGTAAAAACTGATCTTGAATGTCCCACCGAAGGTAGATCTGCGGCCGCTCATCGTCTTTCTGTTGAAAAGCCGCATTTGGTTCCAAATTTTTTTCCTTCACATTTGTCATTCTTACAGAAGATGAATCCTTCAGCTCTAAAGAGTCCCGGATTGATGGCTGAACAAAAACCCAGTCAGCTTGCTCAGATGATGATTCAAAATCACTGTCCTGCTCCACGCCACCTTCCTCAATTTCACATCGCTCGTCGTTATCAGAAAGCGTGAGTTGGTTTAAAAAGCTGACGAGCTCACCTTCATATTGCATGACGATACCCTGTGGGACATGGGCCTTTTTGATATCTTTACGTTGGGCTCTGGTCAATAGATGATGACCAATCATAGGACCAGCAGATGTAACGGGAACATCATCAGTCGTTGCAACTGAGGATAGCTTGGAGCGCAGTGAGGAAGGAGGATTGTTACTGATCAGAGACTCAATCGTGGCGTCATACTTCCAATGGAAAGAGGGTACATCGTGGTTATACCCTGGGAAAGGCAGGTCAACCTGATAGAGCACAGCGAGCGGATGGTACACAAATTTGTCTAGAAGTGGCGCCGCGGAAGAGAGGCAGAAGCAGGCAGGCAGGCAGCAAAGGATATTGGTGAGATGATGAAAATAAAGCCAGAAAGTACGAAGGTACTACTGTTTGTGTAATTATGACTGCGGCGCTACCCTAATCTCTCAACCTCCAATCAGAGGATCAGAGGAGGGACTAACGCACCAAAAAAGAAAAACTGTGTAAAAAGCAGTCCACTCTCCCCCATTTTTCAATCGGGACCAAAGAACAGCACATTCTGTGGACCCCAGGTAGTCAACAACGACAAAAAAAAGTTTGTGCCTATGAAAGAGCACAAAACCCGTTCTTCTCAACGGAGGTTTTTTTTTTTTTGCGTCTTTATACCCATAACACTAATTCACTTCTACCCTTTTCTATCTCTTCTCCATATTCAATGATGATGGAAGAAGCGCAATGTCCTATAGACAATCAGATCAAAAGGGCGTGTGAATTATGTGTGAGAGTTCGTTATGTGAGTGAGGGAGAGATCCATAGACTTGCCATTGTCGTGCCGTTGTCGGCGTCGGCTGCCAGGAAGACCTATCTTATCACGCTGGGCTTGAGAGTCACGTTGGATCCATTGATAGAACTTTTTCTTCTTTTTATTATGGGCTCGCTGCTGCTGCTGTCGGTTTAATTCAGCAGTGGCCTTGTCGTTGTCAACCATGGTTAAGGACTCGTTGATGGTCTTTTCAAGCCGCTTCTGGTGTAGTTTCATCAGAGTGTCCTTACTCTGTCCGTGAATCGAATCACCGACAAATGTTGGACGAGGATGACGATCCATGGCTATGAAATGAATGAGATGTAATATGTGGGTGTAAGAGATAAACAAAAATCGACCCTGATGAGCCTGGGAGGGTTAGTGAATGAGAATGAATGAAGAAAGATGAAAGAGAAGCAAAGAAAAAGTGCAAACGCCCAAATTAATTAACACACATGCCAACGTGAACACCTTACCCGCAGCTGGATCTGCCGCAGTTCTCTCTTGTGCGCCAACCGTGATTAATCGGAATTTTTCCAATATCCAATCGTATTTTCGAAACCTCTCGCAGTGGACATTTGACACAGGTCCCGAACTGGGATGGATAGTTAACCTCTCTTATTAAATAATAGAAACCAAGTGAACCCTTGGTAGTTTCAATCAAACTTTGGGAGGATTTTTTGTTCCATATGCTATTTGTGTCTTGATGCGCAATCATCACTCACAATGACATGGTTGTACAAAAGTTGGCCATGCTGTGGAAGCGCTGTTGAAGATCGCACTCTCTAGTCTCCTATAATTTTTCTTTTACGTTGGGGTTGAGGACGTTCTTTTGTATCTAAAAGTCCTTCGTCTCTATTTTTGAATATCATGATCAAAACTCTCCGAGATATCCAAAGACACTACTCAAAAATGCCTTGGTGGCTTTATGCTTGGTCAGATCTGACAGAAACGCAATGGATCGTCACAGGACTAGTTGTGATTACTTTACAAAAGCTCATGGATACGGTTTCACAGAGAATATTACTACGACGAATGACTACCAAACCCTGTGTTTACGAGGAGGCTAATTGATTGCGCGGAAAGTATGCTCGTAACTCTAGTGGTCTAGTAGATGAGTTCCGAACACTGATCTTCTGCTGATGTCATCAGCGTATAGTCGCAAAGGGCCGAACCTTAATTTGTTCAGATTCAGCCTGCAACATGCAGCGCACAGTACCCCCAGACCTGCAATGAAATTGAGATCATAACGCCAGTCGGAACGCGCCTAACGCTATACTGCCCTAAGCCTTGAATCAAAAAACCCAGGAATAAATATACGGTCTTAAGTTCGTGGATCAGTATTAATGCCTTTTCTTTGAAGCTTATATGTATTATCAAACTTTGAGTCGTAGCAGGCCTATCGTGGTTAAGAGAAGAGACCTTGTTCGGATGCTATTGAGAGGGGCTCGAATTGTTCACCTGGTCAAGCCCTTGGAACTTGCACATGTCACATGCAAACATTTTTACAGCATCACATTGACTATCATCTTAAAATCAGGTAAAAGAAATTCATTCTTCAAGCTCTTCTCGATAAAAAAGTAATTCAGAAGGTAACGAAGACTAAGGATCCTTACATCATTGATCACGATGATCCCACCAAAGTCTAAAAAACTGAGCATCTTCGAAATTCGGAGAGCTTGCAGATACACTTTGCCATCCAATTCGCACAATCAACTTGACAAAAGTGAAACCTGCAATTTAGTCAAAATCCTACAAAATCCTGCAAAAAAAGAAAGGCAAAAATTAGTGGGGTCTTCGCTGGGCACAAACCACCTAGTCTAATTAAATGTTATCCCTAAACATCCCAAATGGAAGAAATAAGAGATGTTGTTCTTTCGAATAAATCTGTAGAACAGTAGGCTTTATCTCAGCTAATCGTAGCAACAAGGCTACTCTACAACTTCAGTACACCGTTGCTTAAAACTCGTCTACAATGGATTTATCTCTTCCAATTTTTGAAATTAACATTAACAGGCACCACACAGATCTTTCCGCCTTGCATGACTTGAGTGGAATAAACATATATTTTATGCGGAAGTAAAGAAGAGTTTATCAAATGGTGTAAAATGACATGAATGACATGATGCGTTATGTTGTGTGCTATATACTATATTATGTACTCGTTACTATATTCGTTTCTTACACGTATTCTTTTTACTGTACAGTTTTGATCATGCTTAGGTTTTTTAGAAGCCCAAGCTTTTTTTTTTTTTTTTTTTTTTTTTTTTTTTTTTTGTTTGTTCATGATCCTTTGTTACAGGTGTTGTTTGAACTGACGGAGACAAAGCCCAGAGACCGAGCGCATCCGTTTTGACGGTGTTTGCGACCGTGCCTTGAATTCACCTCGATCCTCAACAAATGGGAGGAAAATGGCCTGGGGACGATAGGAGAGCATCTTATCTAGGATAGTCTCCTGAATCTTGCTGGGTAAAATGTTTAGGAACATATTCCGGATAAGTGTCTCAGTCCATTTGTGTCCACCACTAAGTCGCCCCATGTGCCGACTGCCCTGTACTGCGGCTTTACCACATACGGCTCGTTCTCGGTAATAGGCCTCAAACGTTGCTTGAATATCTTGTGGCGATGTCGACGGTATCTCATATAATAGGTTGGCAAGGCTCACAGCATCCAACATTGCCTGTGCTGCTCCCTATGATTATTCCAAAGAATGTGATAGCAAACAAGAATAAATATGATAAGCACAACCGAATCAAGTGCCAAAAGTCGTGTTCAGTTATGTTAATGCATATATTCAAACATAAAGTCATTTACCTGTCTGCAATTCAGACATACAATGTTAAATTGACAACATGGAGTTTAAAAAAGAGAATAGGAATAGTTAAACAGAGAGCTTCATGTGCATGTTACATTCACATATACAAATAGAGCTAAAAGCTACTGGTCAAATGTAGCGCACTGATCCCTACTTACCCAGCATGAGGAACAACCTATAGGATGAGCGCAACATAGCACAGGAGGAAGATGACAATAGTTGATTGATCAAGCACAAATGGGATGAAGAGTGTTAGAACACGTTTGGCTAAGATGTATCCCGTTGAGTCAATGTGATTACAAATGGGTTGGGAGCAACTTTTTTTTTCAGTGCATTAAAAATGCACATTTGCGTTGTTCCAAATGCACACGTGTCTCAGGGATGAAAAAACGTTTTTCTTCTGTTGTTACCTTGTGGCATGCTGTTTGAGGATGCAGATGCAAGATTAAAAAAAAGAGATTAAATAACTATCACATCAAAACAGACATGGATGTTTATTTGTTTATTTGATCGTGCTTCCAAGCTGCAATTACAAACTTACCATCACCCATTAGCACTGTTCGCTCATGATACCAGGTTTCAAAGAACTGATCACAGTTAAAATAAAGAAAAAGAAGGATGTTATTGCCAGGTCAAGACCCACGTTGTACGACCACAGCAAGATAAATGTATATCCAGGACAATGTAGGAGCTACTATTACCTTTTCTTCAAGAAGAACCTTTGATATTCTATCGGTTGGTGTCTTGTCAATCACATCTGCCAATGTGCCTCCATATGGGCATACGAAATCTCTACATTGGTTAATCATCTCCTTAACCTGCGATGGACCCCAGTCTGAGGAACGGATATTATGCTCTTGTCTGATCTGCGTTGTAGGGAGGTTATAGGTGACACGCCATGCCACTCTATTCTTAGTGAGAGGAATCAACCACCACTGTAGGTAAGAAAAAAAAAAAAAAAGAAAAAGAAAAAGAACGGATAAATTAGTATGCGGGTGAGCCATGCCATGTGTTTTCGTTTTGCTTCCGTTGAGTACAAAGCATGCAAGATTGCGCAATTCTAATCTGGTTCGTTCTGTTCTGTGCATTGTGTTTTCTTGTTAAGCGTGTAATTATTTTCATTCTCTTACCGAATAAGGCTTGTCTTTCCCAATGACTACCATCATATCACAGGTGTCTCTGGTCAAGTCGGGAAAATAGATGGGATCGATTGGATCTGTGATGCCTAGAACATGTGTATATATATGTTATTCATATGCCGTGTAGGTAATAGGCGTTAGCGAAGGATATATATTTAATTGCTTTTCCAAAGAAAAGAATAAAGAGAAAAAGAGCAATGGAAGCAGTGAGCCTGCAAAAAAAAAAAAAAAAAAAAAAAAAAGCAGCCTCAATCTCTCTTCTTTTTCATGTGTAAACGGACTTGGTCTTACCTACAAGGCAGTGATGATCGAAGGCTAATGGGGCCATATCCGATTTAGGAAGCAGGTTCTGAAACTGCAAGTCTCTGTAAAGAGACTGTCGCACGCAGGAATAGGCGCCATCTGCACCCACGAGGATATCCCCGACAAAGTAGCTGGAATCTGTACACCGCACCAGTACACGTTCTTGATTTTGCTCGATGTCACAGACGCGCTTCCCAGTGATGATCCTTTCTTTTGGGATTCTTGATAGGAGGAGTTTGTAGAGCGAAGGACGATCCATGATTCTGAATACGCACAAATAAAAATAAGCACACGAACACAAAGAATAAGACGTTCACTAGTTTAGACTATCGTCACCATAGCATATTCCGACACGCTGTAATTTGCTCTGACATGTAGTCGAAGCTTAAAAAGAACCCAACAGGGATTGAGACCATCCAAGAGGCATCGTTTTATTTCCCCCCTTTTCCTTCTCTCCCCTCACCCCTTGCTTCCATCAGCAAAGTGGCTATTTACCTGTTGTGATATCCATATCGACTATTAATTAGGGAAAGAAAAAAAAAAAAAAAAAAAAAAAAAAAAAAGATTGAATGTCCAACTCTATTTGCTTTTTTTTTTTCCTTTTCATAAAACTAATATGAAAGATAAAAATATACATTAATTAGGTGGATGCATATCTACCTCTTTGAATCGGAGTAAAGATCAATCGAGCCAATTTTTGTCATACTTTCTTTGAGAAAAGTCATGGAACTAATAGGCTTGGAGATGGCTTCAAGTTCTGGAAGCATTCCCAATTGTTCAAACAGGGGTTGGATTGATTGATTTAATGAGATGCTGCTACCCAATGGGATCAGCTCCCCTGCATGCTTTTCCAGGATGATGAATGGTATGCCAGCCTGTTCCAATAAAAGACCTAAGGTGAGACCACCAAGGCCAGCTCCTACAATCAAGACTCTGAGTTGTGATGAAGCCATGCTTATCTGATGTATCAGGTCAATCAGGTCGTCAGGATGCGAGAGAGCTTTTGCACAAGGATTTTTTTTGTTTGTGTCAAAAAAATTTTGTGTATGTGTATGTAAAGTAACCGAGTGAATGGTACAAAAGCAGTTGTGGTTGTTGTGTTCAAGACAAAAAGACAAGTGCAATTGGCCGTAATGATCTCCTTTCGAATTAAGGATAAATTACGTCTGAGAATATGAGAATTACACAAAAAAAAGCAAATAGAGCGAGAAATGAAGAATGAGGGAAAAAGAGTGAGCAGACGAGAGAAAGAAGCATAAAATAGTAAAAACGGAATTTTCAAAGAATAAAAAAGAAAAGAAAAGATCAAATCAACGGTTTTTATATGTTGCTGCATTGAGTCAAGTCGTTGGATCCCGCAATAGATTGTTTGCAAGATGGACCGAGGTCCTGTGTCTTCTTTTCGGGTATGGATATGGGCGCAGAGGGGGGATCAATACACGGACCCCAATCGGGTCTGGCAAAAAACACATTTAGGCATCAAACTATCAATGCGAACTATGCGCATGAGGGTAAGAGTATGAGAATGAACTCTTTTTTGTTGATGTTTATTGCTTTATGCAATTTCTTCAGCGCTCACGAAAGAGAGAATGGATAGGATAGTCTACCATTAGAGATGGACAGGTTGAAAAAAAAAAGAAAAAAAAACGAACGAATGGGTGACTAGCTCATTGGCTGGATGGCATTCGATTGATTTACACACGGATAGAAACTGAAAAAAAAAAAAAAAAAAAAAAAAAGTGCATATTAGCCCTATTGCTTCACGGAAGGCGGGGTTGTCGTCTTTTTAAAGTTTGGGTAACTGAATCCAATCCAAGTTGTTAAAAAAAAAAAAAAAAAAAAAAAATATGGGATGGTATACTTATGCAACCCGAGGTTATACGCTTAGACTATGCAAGATATACCATGGAAATGGTCAATAATAGTTAGAATACCGATGGATATATTTGTTACATTGTATATATCTATACATAACCAATTGTATATACCCTTGCTTCTGCAAACAAACAAATAAAAAAAGGTCGAGACTGTTGGGTGCTGTGATCCTGCGATACTTAAAATGCTGTGGGCGTACGATCGTGTCATATCAAACTCGATCTTCGATCTTTGCTCTTACCTACTTTTCACTTTTTTTTTTTTTTTTTTTTTTTCTCGCGCTATTCATTCGCTCTTTCACGCGTGTATTATGTATATTTGTGTTTGCACGAATGAGACGTCCGCCGCCCGGGGGCCCCGTTCAAACGGGGTAAACCATAAATGATTGAGCTTGATAATTGTTGACAACACTGATAGCAACAAAACAACCTCTCAATGGATGATATTATATAATTATATAAATATAACGATGGTAATAAAGACGAAGAGCTAGAGCAATAGGGAAAAAGGAAAAGGGAGAAAGGAGGAAAACACTGGTAGATTTGTTTATACGGTTCTATTTCCGCTGTTTACAATCTATTCATTCGGGGTACGTGAATGAAGGTTTATGAGCTGACGGATGGATATTCTTTCCAACGGCTGGCTAGATGAATGCTTTGCTTGTTGACTCTCGAAGTTACACATGGAATTACTGAAGGATATTTTTTTCTTGATTACACAAAAGGTACAAGGGGGGTAGTATATTTATACACCACAGACAGTTTGTAGTGGATACCTCTCAACTGATACAAACTAGTTCCTCTTGTATTTTATTTATTTTTTTGAGCTGTGCAATGTGCATTATTCATTACATATTTATATCAATACCCGAGGCAGATTCAAACAGCATCTTCACTCCAATTTTTGGCAGGAACATGGCACATCTCATGTAATATTGATTAAATAAAGGTTTTCAACTTCCCAATTGGCCAATGCTCATCTTCTATCGCTCAACATCTTTTCTTCGTCTCCCTAGCTGTGCTTCTACGGTCCATCTCCTTCTCTCTCACACACACTCAAAGGCATGATCTTATGCATTCAATCGCATATACCACTCTGGATAAATATCCCCGAATAGAAACGGGATATCCTGTCAGAACCGACCATGCGCCAGGGTGTTAATCTCAAACACCTCATACATGGATATAAAATATATTTCTCTCTTCCCAATCTTATCTCTTTCCATGCTTCTGCAGCTGTCCCAATCAGGAGAACCCTATTGTTTGGTCTATCTTCATCCTTTGGCATTGATGCATCGACCTTACCCGGCTCTTAGTTTAGTAATCAGAATATTTTCTTATTTATTCAACAATAACAGGTGCATATTCGCCTTCCTCTTTATAATCCTCATCCTCATCATCGTCATCATTCTCAATCTCTACCACTTTTTGGATCTTTTTAAAGTCCCCTGGGATCCGCCACTCAAAACTCTCTTGTACAGCTACCTGCAATGCACGCATAGGTTTGCGCAGCTCTAGACACTGTCCACGCCGTAAAACAGACTGGATATTACGCCCCATGGATTTAAGTGCCTGTTCCAGAAAGTTTGCAGTCATATCATCTTGATCAGGTGATGCGAAAAGTAAATCCATAAAGAAGCTAGAGGGTATGGAAGTCAACTGATGGTGAAGCGTTTGGATAAACTCGGAAAAGAAATGAGTGTAGTTTGATGAGGATATGGCTTCGATTGACTGACACACTAGGATAGTCATACTCTTCCATTGACGGAAAGCTCCCAGATGATAGCTTAGGAGCATGGTTACAAAGGCCACTTGATATTCACCGAGGTATGCAGATGTGTCTAATATCGGTGCGGTAATCCAGTAAACGAATAAAATAAAATGAGAAAGCGTAGTCAGCAAACTTTACTCTGTGCAATTATCAGATCTTCGCTGTATGCGCATATTAATAGCTACTAGAAACGAAAAAACCATCACATACCTAAATTATAAACAGTCGTGAAAAGGTGATTAAAGAGCCAGCTTTTATCAAGACTATAACGCGTCACTTCCTCACCAACAGCGCCTTTTCGGAATGATGACCGGAGATCAATAGGGGTAAATCTAACAAAAGGATTTCTCTTGTCTGTATTCGACATTGTAAATTTTGATTGGGAAATGTGAGCCTTTTCTTTCGTTACTTCTGCTGGAGACTCCGGATCAATGTTCATCTTCATTTCTGCGTCAGTATCGATTTTTCCCTTCTCCTCCTTCTCTTCTTCCTCTTCTTCTTCCTGGATCGTCTCCGTCGCCTGAGTCTGTTGAGCTTGTCGGTGAAAGTCCTCCGCTTCAGCCTTCGTCTTTTCTTCCTTTTGCTGGCGGTCAATAATTTTGGTTGCCCTCTCTAGTTCTTCATGTAACTGATCGTCATGTGAGTCCACAAACCCTTCACACTGAAAAATCCTGTTGATGGTTTGCTTTGAGATGTGATTCGAAAGCTTCACCCATGCTGGATAGGTCGATTCTGGAGGCAAAAGTGGGTATGGCCCGAGGAACGGATCAAATTCCTGGATACCTGTGATCATCGAGACAGACGCGCAAACTTTATTAATCCAAATATAAAGAATAGAGCTTTTTTTTTTTTTTTTTTTTTTTTCTATTTTCCTACCTGCTTTGTACCGTGCAATTTGATCTTTATCTTTCTCAAGCTCCATTTCCTCGTTGTACGCGCTCCATTTCATGATAACAACCTCGCCACTCTCAAAATAATGCCAAAAGCCTACTCTAACATTGCCTCCCGTAACTCCACCCTCTGTCACTTCAACCGTTTCCCTCTCTTTAGCATCTTCTCTTGCTTCTGCTTGTGTAGTTTGGGTATTGTGAAGCGAGTAATAAACAAAATGTGCACCAGGCGGAATGATCTTTATCCCTTTGAAGCGTGGCCCTGTATTCCAGCAATTGACGTCGATTCCAAATTCAAGTTGATTGTGTGGTGCATCCAAAACCAAAAGAATAGCACCAGCTTTAAACAATTTTTTAAGTGTTTCGTTGTCCATGCTATTTTTTTTTTTTTTTTTTTTTTTTCAATGTCAAAAAATGAAGCGTAGAATGAAAAAGTTTTGTCTATAAGCAAGTGTGGCACGGCACTTTATGCACACACGTGCCACAGGCTTTCAGCAGTCGCAGCCAAAACAAAAAAAAAATTACACTTTTATTTTTTTTGACTTCGCTTCTTTTCTAACATACACCGCTACGATCGCTGGATTACCATGTATTACTATATCCGCTTACTAAAGAACACGCCAGTAGAGGCTGTCATCCAGGAACCCTTCAAAATAGTCTTCACAATCACTACAGACCTGACGGAAAAATTTTACGACAAGCCATGCAAACTCAAATGCCAGGCTGTTATCAGAGCAGCTATTACACATCAAGACTCTGTCAGTGATGCAGAAAACCTCACGACTATTATCCCTCAAGGGCTCTCGCAAGGGAGCTCGCTTGACTATGATCCAAATATTGGATATTGCTCCGTTGACCTCCGCATAGCACCTTGTTTAACCGCCTATGATGAGTGTCAGCTCGTTCTCAGCCTTGATCCAACCGCCTTTAATACTCGTCAACTGGGAGCTAAATGCTTGGTTGAGCCACCAGAGTATGAGATCATACCTGCATGGTCACTACCTATCCGCTTGAGGCCAGCAGCATTGGATTTTTCAAGGAAGACCAAACATCGCCAAGGCAACAAGAAGAATCTTACCGACACACGTCAAGATCTGGTGGAACGTCACTTCCGCCTACCGCCACATTTCGCAAGTAAACATGGATCCGGTCGATCGCTCCTTGTTCGCGAGGATGCAACAGAAGGAATTATGGCGAGGCATATTTGGGACTCGGGCGTATTCATGGCTAAATACCTAATGCAGGAAGGGTCATGGCTGAGTCAATACATGAGCGAAACAAGAGAACACAGAAAGAAGGAAGAGGCACCTATAGAAACATCCCTATCTAATCTCTCAGTAACAGACATGACAAATACCTCTAGTGATTCAACAGCCGTTTCAATGCCAGTAGATATACCCTCTACGATATCAGCAGATGTAACAGCAGCATCACCTTCTTCCATTCCTAATTATAGCAAGAACGAGACCGAGGGTGAAACTAAATCTGAAGCCAAGACTAAGAACCGAGAAAGAGTCTGTCTCGAACTTGGAGCAGGAACAGGATTGGTAGGGATTGCAGTTGCTATCGCTTTCCCAGAACTGAATGTACTATCAACCGATTTGGATGAAGCGTTGACTCTGATGCAACAAAATGTGGATGCAAACGCAGCTTTATTACCTGATATGAATATAAAAGTCGGGTTTTTGGACTGGACGGAGAAAGATCGAGTGGTAAATCCAGTTGAAATTTTGCTTTTAGCCGATGTGGTCTACAATGATTTATCGCACGATTGGCTATTGCAGACAATCCTGGATTACAGCGATGAGGAAACTAAAGTATTACTAGGGTATAAATTCCGTCATGAAGCTGAACAAAAGTTCTTTGACCGAGCCAAAGCTTACTTTGATATTGTGAACGTGCACCAGCAAGACACCATGCAGCTCTTTGTGCTGACACGCAAAGTTAATATATAGAAAGGGAAAGAGCTAGCAGAAATAAAAAGACTGCTCCTCAAATGCAAATGTGATAATGCCAGGAAGCTGAACCATGTTTGACAGCCAGCCACAATTTGATCTATCCAAAAAAAAAAAAAAAAAAATTGTTAAGTATTCATTCAACTTCTTTTTGTTACTAATCGGCCTCGATCGCATAACAACATCAAACACATTTAGGACTCTAATAGGAAGTAAAAAAAAAAAAAAAAAAAAAAAAAAACGCCATGCCTGACTCACAACAACCAATGTCGAATCGCCAGCGCAAGATCATGGAGCGTCAGGCTGAGCGTAATAGAGAGATGGCTGCCTTAAAACAAGCCCAAACTAGAACACCTTTTCGTGAAGCAGAACTTCAGTTTCTTTCACGTCATCCGCCACCAGACTACTCCAAAGCTCTGAACTTTCGACAACCAGCTGAAATCTTGCTTCAAGATAATAAGATCAAGCGAGTGCTGCTTAAAAAGCAGATGGGCCAATATTCAAATTTGTTTGGCGTCAAGGAAGATCAAAGTATGGATGCAGATTCATTGGAATATGCATATCTTCACGATGATCATCCAGGTAATGTATATAGCTTAAGTTATTTTCTTTAAAAAAAAAATGGATAACGTTCATTATCTTAATTCATTAGGCATACTCTCAATCTTGAATTGGTGCTTTATGTAGGTCTAATCTACATACCAAATGTATTTACACCTTCAGCCCAAAGAAAACTCATCAAATCGTGCCTCAAGGAATATTCGAGACACCCCAATAAGAGCAATCTCGACACACATTATTTAGTGCCTAATAGTGGACTGTGGGACCTCCACGAGGATGTTTACACAGGAAAGCGATCCCTCAACGACCATTATGTATATGTTCAGCGTAAGGCAACCACAGATGAGCATGCTAGCGGCTATGGATCCGAGGATGACAATGTTGATAGTGCTGATAATAATGGGAGCAGAGCTGGAGTAGCAGATCAAAATGAAAACGAAAATAAAAATAGGAACAGAGACAGAAATGGCCAAGGAAGTGAATGTGAAGACCCTCAATCTGGCAACAAAAGTAACATTAACAACATCAACAATAGTAATGATCAAGTAGAGAAGCTCAATGATATTCAACATTTCAAGTCTAGAGGCAAAACTAAATCAAAACAATCTCAACCTTCTGTCCGAACATTGGTCCCTATCATCGATGGAACCCCCTCAGTTCCAGAAGACATGACAAAGGATGATCCAGAACCATCTGCACAAGTGCCTATATTGCCACCAGGCCAGCTCGTCCGAAAGATGCGCTGGGTTACTTTGGGCTATCAGTACCACTGGCCTTCTAAAACTTACCATTTTGATCAGAGTGCTCCCTTCCCATCTGAACTTTGTACTCTATCCAAAGCAGTGGTTGAAGCTATCGATGGGGTTAGCCCTTATCCATATAGCGCGACCGATTTTGTGGCAGAGGCTGGTGTGATCAATTACTATCAACTCAAAGACCGTTTAATGGGACATGTTGACCGTAGTGAGTTAAACAAGGATGCGCCTCTTGTGTCATTTAGGTAACATTAAACCGTTTGAACTTCTATCCTTTTTTTTTTTTTTTTTTTTTAAAAAAAAAAAAAAAGCTAACATGACTTTTGCGTTCAGTTTTGGGCACTCTTGTATATATCTGCTTGGTGGGCCTACACGTGAAAGGTTCCCTACACCAATTCTTCTCCAGAGTGGAGATATACTTGTAATGACTGGACCATGCCGATCTGCATTTCATGGTAATGTGTTATTAACTGTTAGATCAAGAAGGTATAAAGATGAGCTAATTACTTTTTCAAATAAGGGCCATATAACGACGTTTCTGATCCTTATTTCTTTTTTTAAAGGTGTACCCAGGATCATCGAAAACACCCTTCCACAATATCTCCAGTCTCGTATTGATGATCCGGACTGGGATATTTATGCTGAATATCTTGCGGAAGCACGTATCAATCTCAACATCCGCCAAGTATACCCACCTAAGCGATCAGAAGAGACATTTCCACCATCTATCTTATAATTTGAGCCTAACGAGTCTTTCAAATCCTCACTTGTTATTGTATTGTAAAATATATTACATAGTCAGATCAATATCTCTTGATGCAGAAACTATTACAAGTACAAATATTTATTACAAAATAAAACAAAATAAAACAAAAAATCTGTATTTTTACAGCAGAAGAATTCGATCTTCGGACTGGGATACAGGTGTGATATCATAGTACAAGTCTTTTGGAACAGCAGAAACAGGATGACGGTTCAATGAAATAGAGCTCGTTTCAACCCCATCCATCACACCGCTAGTGACCGAAAAGAGGCTATCATTGTTTGTAGGGGTTGCTGTAATCAGGTCAGATGTCGATGATGTTGAAGACCAACTACCAGAATAGTGGTTCATGCTTGCAGGAGTATTTTGTTGAAAGCTTGATGATGAAGGGCTAGTACTCGGGTATTCTAGCGGTGTGTCAGTTTTGGAGCCTCCAAGGCCATCCCAAGAGTTCAATCTATGGGAAAGAGCGTCCGTAGTCGGTGAAAGTACCATCTTCAACGGCGATTGAGGCAAAGGAGATGTTGGTATGGATGAACTGATGGATGGTGGTGATAATGGTTCAGGCTTGGTCGAGTACGACGCTGCCGCAGCAGGCCTTGTGATGGCCTGTGCACCTAATGGCCAGAGAACCGGGGACACAGAAGGCTGCTGTGACTTCTGACCAGAGGATGAAGAAGGGGACGAAAGAGGAAAGTCTGCCCGTGGATTAGGCTGTGACAGGCGTTGGTCGTTAGGGACGGTCCTGTTAATTTCTGGAAGAATATCCAGCGACGGTGCCATGAAGCCTCCCACGGGGACACCATAAAACGGTCGAACTCCTTGATGCACAACATCGAGAGACGGGTCCAAGGACTGCTGTTGCTGGAAAGATTGCATAGAAGTAGATCCGTGGGGCTGGCTGGGAACTTGTTCGTGTGGGAAGTGCTGTTGGAGAATACTTAAATAATTTCCTCCATCGAGAGCCAATACAGGCTGCAGGCGCATTGGATTCGAAGTGGGTACTAAATCTATACTCAAGGTAGCTTCTGTGGTGGGTGGCGTAGCTCTGGTAGTAGCGACACTGGTTGCATGAAAGTTAAATCCAGGATACGCGCTGCGTTGATCCTGTTGCAAAGAATGCAGATGAGCAAGAGGCGGTTGTTGTTGTTGCTGCTGGAAGGGTGACTGAGAGAAGCTATTGTCTGGTGGAAAGCCAAACTGCCGTTGGTTTGGATGCTGATGGTGCTGAGGTTGATGGTGCTGAGGTTGATGGTGTTGAGGTTGATGGTGCGCAGTTGGGCTCATGGGTGAAGTATTGAAGCCATGCACAGAGTGGCCTGACTGCAGCAAATCCGATGGGCCATTCACAGGGCTATTCAAGTGTAGTGATGGCTCGACCTTGTCGAAGTTATCGAGAGGTGTGTCCTGACTATAGGAGCCTCGATGGCGAATAAGCATATCAAACTCTGTGCCAAGCTCAATCCCAAGGTCACCGCTGCTGGAGCCATGAGCGCTGGGTTGATTTGACTCACCAAGCAGAGCAGAATAGTTGGCCAACCCAGAAGGGTTTGGGTTACTGAAAATCTCCATCAATGCAGTTGAGGATATTTGTGGGGGGTCCATGGATTCGTCGTAGCTCTCACTTGACCAGTTTGCTTCTTCATTTGAACGCTTCTGTGAGGTTTGCTTGCCAGTGTTATTGGACTGAGGATTCCCATTTTCATAAATAGGCATGGACATATCATCGGAGCCTGCATTTCTTATACTGTCTTCATCGTCCCCTGTATCAATATCTAATTCTGGTAATGGGACAAACGGATTGAGGATTTCAAGCCAACTCTCCGTTCCATTTCTGGACTCAACGCCATCCTTGATACGAATATTGTAATATCGAATCCAGATCCTCTGGTCATGGTACGCGAGTCTCATCTCCAGATGGTCCTGCCCTGTGGTACTACCCGCACGCCCTTCTGCCTCCTGCTGACCACTGCTCAAAACTAAATCTGCCTCTGGAGGACTTCTGGGAAGGCGATAATAATATGAGCCACGCTTATGAGCCATCATTTGCTTGATGCTGCGCATGAGCCTCTCACGAGGAAGCCCAGACGCGATTTGCTCCTTGCTCAAGAGATCAAGCCTACAACCACCAGACATGGTAAATTGGTCTAATTCCTTGACTGCCTTTCTAAATCCTCTGGTTTTCCTCAGCTGAGCTTTTGCCTGTTGTCCGCTAACGTGAGCTATCAAGCTAGGCCTACTACTATTGATTGCCATAGTCACGTTTAAAGTGTGTACTCTCTCTGCAAAATGAAGCGCAGACTCGACCTCGTTGTGGCATACTAGCCATTCCGGCGTTGTCCGAAGGAGATGTTCGATCAGGAACGTAATTGCTTCAGCTGCCTTAGTACAGGTATTAAGGAATGGCGGCAATGAACGCGTGGCCGCATTGAAGCCATCATCAGCTTGGGGTGTAACGCTAGATAGATTGGTTGAGAACGAGGACCTTAATGGCGTACTCGAGCTTCGAGATCGAGGACTTCGAGAAGAACTTGTGCTCGATCGGACCTTTATGTTTTTTCCAGACGTCTGTATGGCGTAGTCGCGCTTGGATTGGCTTTGTGAGTCGGCCAGAACCAAGAAGGGATGGTGAAGGAGAATCAACACCTCATTAAATATGATCTGCAGCATTGCTATGGTTTGATATCATGTAATAGTGATGAGTGATTATGTCAAAGCTTTGTATAAGACTACCAATTAAATGCATATAAAACCCCATCGAGACTGCTTAACGCGCTTCTTACCTCCAAGGCCATTCACGCGCACCTTGAAGGGGCAAGGGTCGTCCTGACGTGTCAAGGCATGATCGAATCGCAGGTGCTGAGGAAGCTCCATTTGCCATTGAGCAAGCTCAACATCCAAGATTCTTCGTGCTGAATCTGCTCGCCAAACCCAAGCCGGTTGCGAAGACGACGGACCTGGAGCCTTACTTGCTCTGATCTGCGAGTAAGGTGGCTGTCCAAAAGTTCCATTGGCCGAGTGGCCTTGATGAGGCGACATAATGTTTGTTACAGGTGAAATATTTGCGCTTGAGCTACGATACAAGTTTGAGCCTTCACAGTAGCTCTCTGAGGAGTTTTTGGATGCTTGACCACAACGACGGATCTTCTTGACGATTTTCCAGAGCTTAGCTTGCTCAATCAAAAAGCCAATACGTTGTGTTTCGTTTTCAGCATCGATTTCTCCAACGTCGTCGCCTGATTCGATGGAAGGAAGCGTCGGAAGGCCGATCGTAATATAATCCTCAGGGAATCTCTCTGGCGAACTTGAATTAAGACTATAAGAAGCGTCTACCACATAACAGACCCAAAAAATGTTACGGCGCAGTTGGATGACAGAACGACATAATATCCAAGGTTCAGGATCCCGATGAAGGCCAAGCGCGAGTGCCATGGCACATGCCTGCTCTCGATACAAGTTTTGAATGCCAGGAATAGCCGGACATTTCATGAGGAGTAACAACCCCTGTAAAGTCGATACTCGTGGCTGGTCCAAGACGTAGGTAGTCAATGCTGGGACGAAAGCAATATAAGACAAAATAATCAGCTTATCACGATCTTTTCATTTATATATATAAAAATAGAAATATGTACTTATTAAAAAAAAAAAAAAAAAAAAAAAGGTGGAGGGGGGTTTTGATACATCCATATAAGATATACTTACCACGACACGTATCAAAGAACAACTGAAAATTATAGAAATCTAACTTCCCAGACTTTGGATCCCTGAGAAGCCTGTGTGGGGTGTTTTCTTTGATAGCGTTCGAGCGATATGCTGCGCCTAGCGCCATAATGGCGTTCAGCAAGAAAACAGCACTCACACGGCCCGTGATCCTATGAGGTAGCGAACCATCATTCCCACCAAGATCAGCATATGCCTGAGAGCTATCAGCAGCCAAATGTGTGTCTTCAGCCTCGGGAAGAGCGGAGGCGAGGGCATTTAAGATGGTGGCTTTAGTGAGAATGGGAAAATAAGTGTAGAGTGGGCTTTGAATCATCCACTCAATAAGGTCCAACATTTGCTCAGTTGGGGGTAAAGTCAAAAGAGCCTCTGGGACTTGCGGCTCGGGAATCAGCCAAGGGATAGGAAAACGCATTTCTTCTGCCCATGATGTTGCCTTTGTACCGGCCACTGGACCAAGGTACTCTGTACAATCATATATGGAGAGCTCAAACATAGTTTTGTTTAAAACAGATAGTGGGACGCGCGTCGGAAATGGCGTGGCTTTTGGCGCAGGGCATATAAAACTCCCAGTCTCTGACAGCGTCGCCTGCAACGCAGCGTTTGCCCCAGTAGCGGTTGCTGTGAGTGTCTGGATTGGATGCATAGAAGATATTGGCTATATTATTAGTAAACTAAGTAGCTAAAGATTACAAAAGATTATATGAAGAAGGAATAGCAATAGTGATGGCTAATCGCCTTACTTTTGGATACGCATGGGCGGTTGTTGGGATCTGTCGGACTTGCCTTGTGGCCTGCAGAAGTGGCATCAGCTGTCGTACCCAGGTTACAGATGCACGAGGCCCAAGCTTTTCTGCGATCTAGAACATAAAAGCATTAGAGACATAAAAATATAAATTAGTACGAGAACCATGCTAGCAGAACTTGCTTCAAACTCCTTTCACTCCAAAAAAAAAGTCTTAGCATACCTCTTCTGGACGATAACCGACTTCAGTAAGGCCTATAGAGTTCTCTTGCTGTACTTTAATCTGCTCCACAAGCCAGCGCACTTCGTCCAGCCTGGTTTCATCGATGCCAGCGATATCAAAGAACTGTTCAATACGGCGAAGTCGGTTCATTTGCAGAGATTGGACATTGCGTAGACATGAGTCTAGGATTTCGGTCTCTGTCAGATGACGGTCCCTCTTACCTGAGGCCAAGCCTCGGAGACCAGGGCCTCCAATGGCATCAACCGACACTGTGGAGAGAGGTACACCTGCAGGGAATGCAGTCCTTACACATGTAGCTTTATATTTTATGCAAGAGGAGCAAGTCGGTTCTAATCGATCGCACTTAATCTAAAGTGGAAAGAAAGTCGCAACGGTTTAGAATCAAGAGAAGAAGTGTGACTGTCAACTAAAAAAAAAAAAAGGACGCGCGTAAGGCACGCGTTGCATGGACCAAATTTTAGAAGGGAGGGGGCGCAGACATAGATGCTGTGTACGCTTGGATGTGAGACTACGTAAATGTGTATATAACACTTCTTTACAGACAATCAAGGTCTAATTCAATAGAACGATCTAAATTGTTGTGCAGATGAAACTGGAACCAACGCCACGTTGCTGTGCTCAGCCTCACGTGGCTACGCTCTGATTTCCATAATTCTTTGGGGAGACCCTATGAAGCAATAGAGCACACACAAGGACTTACTCGACGTTGACGACACCGATCACAAGGTGGCGTTGTTTTTTGCTTTTTAGATCCACTATTATTGTTGAGGACGCTGGGATCGGATGCAGTAGAAGTAACATTCATAGTAGGATCTTGATACGATCCAGATGTGCCTGGATGAGGGATGTGTTGAAAATGAAATGAAGTCTGTGGCGGCACAGCCATTGTTGAAGGTGGTATGGAAATATTATTGTTGTTGTAAACAACCCCAATGATCAGAATGAACTGTTTGTCTCCAGAAAAAAAAAAAAAAAAAAAAAAAAAAAGAGAAAGAGAGAAAGAGGTATATGGTGAAAACTGAGTTGATCGTACGTATAGAGCCCTAGCAAATAGAAGAGAAAAGATCATTTGGAGTTTAGAAATAGGAATAGCTGATGACCTAGACGGTCGTAAACAAGAAAGAGTGTGTAGGAAGAGAGAAATGACTGCCAATTAGACAGGCGATAATGGCCATTACTGCCACTACGAAGTATCCCATCTGATTGAGAAAATGAAGTAAGAGCTAATGCAAAGCTCAAGCCACGGGCCAAATAAAGTGCCAATTGATGAGACGCAAGGGGAGTGAAGATTACCAGGTACAGATAAGATTAGCAAGGCTGAGCTGTAATATTCATGACCTGAAAATGCGAGGAACGAATGGTTATGATAATGCAAGTGTATGGAGTAAGAGAGAGATGTATGTGTTTGAGTAAAGTTGAATGCTAATAGAAGTAAAAGTTGGGATGAGAAAGAGGAAAAGAAAGGGAAAGAGAAAGAGAGAATGAGTTTGACAAGGGAATGAAATGGGGTTTTGCTGACAAATGGATGTGAGTTCGAGTAATGAATGGAAGAATGAAAATAAAAAATGCTAGAGCAGACAAATAAAATAAAATGATAAAGTAATGATAAAGTAGGAGATCATTGGCAAGGACAAGGACAAAATTGAAAGAAAGAAAGAAAAAGCAGCCAAAAGAACAAGATCAGGATCAAGAAAAAGAAGGAAAGGGGAAAAGAGGAGAAAGTGAAAGGTGAAAGAGAAAGAGGATACATATTTGTTCTGAGATGAAAAGGTATTGAATAATTCAAATTAAATTGAATTGAATCATGTTAGACTGAACAATTGCAGTGAGCAATGGACAGGACAATTATCCGTCCACTATCTCATTCTTCCTCTCAACTCATAGCCATCGATTCACAGGAACTGATAGGTCTACTGTCCCATATCCGTGATATAAAAAAGAAGTGTATCAAATGTGGCCATCCCACATGAGGACAATGGATGGGTGTGTAGGTGTGTGTGTGTGTGTGCGTGTGTGTGTGGGTATTTGTTTTGTAAACTACTTTGTTTGGTCTCCATTTCACTCAATCGCCCTGAGAGTGTTTGTTCGATTGAACAAATTGTTTATGATAAAAAGTATATGTACAATAACGGTGCATTGACTTAAACTAAGGTTATCCGAGTGATTGAATTGAATAGAATTGAGTAGTATCACATTTGTATATATAAATATATATTATAAAAAGCACTCTCCATAAACTCAAATCAAAACAAGAATGCAGCACACATTTTCGTGGATTCTATTCAAATAGGGGACTGAATTGAATCTTACAATCTTACAGTAACACATTCCTTTTTTTTTTTTTTTTTTTTTTTTTAAAACCCCTTCTCCTTGGTTCAAAGAGACGCGTTGAATATAATTAACCGAATAGGACCAATCTGAAATTGGTCGACAGACAGCCATCAAAAAAAGAAAAAAAAAATACAAGGGATATGTACATTTGCTAGTATATACCCTTCATATTAAATCATGAGTGCACCCTCATTTATACATTCATTCATCAACTCCCACATACTTTCTCATATAACAGCAATCACCCATGCCTCACACCGGCAATAAGGTGGTGAAAGAGAACGAAAGCAAAATAAACGTGACATGGCAAGAGCTTCCTTAAGAACATCACTAAATCTCATGCAAACATTCATATATGATGTAAAATTGTCCCAGACACGGACAAACAAAGCCGCGCATGCAATGATACTTCAGGCCATTGCTGCGTAGTCATCAATGAAAAGATTGATTTTCTCCTTTTTCCCTTCACTCATTGTGAGCCAATAATAAACAAATAAATAAAAACGTCAAATGAGCCTGTCCGTGTGCATGGAGGGTGAAATATTGGTGATATGAGTGGCAACAAATTGAAAATGTTATGAAAGCGATGCTTTCTTTTACTTCAAAAAAAAAGAGAAAAAAAAAAAAAGCTTGGTACCTTTTTCTTTCTTTTTCGCTGTAGTCGTGTAAGAGACGGGGTTTGTGGTTGTGGAAGTGGTTAGAGAGTAGGTCAGAGAAAATATTGTAATAGAAACAGGATACAAAAGAAGTGTCTACTATAAGAATGAGGATAGTATGATTCAACAGTCAAATGCCTATTAAAATTGGTGAAGGATGAAGGTAGTAAAATGGCGAGGATATAGCTGATGTAGATGACAATAACAATGATGAAAATAACGGTCTTATGGTTATTCCAAGCTGGTTTTTAAAGAATTATAGCAGGAGAGGGCTGTAGTAGATATCAAAAAGGACGAAAAGGAACAAGTAAGATTAAGCAACGGCAAAAGGGAGAAAAAAAAGGATTAAGGTCAAATGTTTTTAAATACCTGACTAAGAGAGCTAGCCCATCGACTCTGACGATTTAGCAATTAAATATTATGTATGGGCTGTACTTAGGTGCTATTACTTGTTTCTGCGTGAATATATGCTACATGTGTGATTGATCGAACGTAGATCAGTTAGTCCGGAAGGGAAAAGGATGGTGGAGAAGTAGAAAAATAATAAATAAATAAAAAATAAAAATAAAAAATAAAAAAAAAGCAGATAAGCTAGTAAACAAGCAACAGCATCCACATTAGATTAGTGTCTCTTGTATCAACTGCTCAGCTTGGCCAATCTGTCCCTCATCGACTTTGCTTAGATGATTTAGAAATTGGATTCCATAGCAGATCGCCACTACCCTCATCGAGCCTTGATGTCTTAAACATGATGGAACATGTCCATGCCAAAGAAAAAATAGTAAATACAAAGACATGAGTGGTGCTACTGCAAAATTTATGGCAACAATCAGGTTTCTGTGACAAATAAAAAAAAATCCTTGTGTTCCCAACATTATGAAATTAAAGGTGCGAGCAGATGGGGAATTAATAGCCAAAAAAGGATAAAACCATGGAGGGAAGTGGCCGGAGCTGTGTCGTCTAGTTTACTTTTAAGGCAATAAATGGCAAGCAATAAGTATACAGTATATAAACACCCGATTAACTGCACCGTGCTTTCTTAGGTGCGACAGTCATACTGATGACTTGCACATTCTAGCTCCTTTGCTTCCTTGACAAAAGCCAGCGCCTGGGGGGTTTTTTTTGTGGGCTGAACATATTTTCCATCTTCTCTTTCTCATTCCTCCTAAATAATAAAAATGGATTGATGCTTTCTTCGGTGGATTTCTCAAAGAAGCTCTCCCCTGGTAGGTCGCCTAAATGATGACAGCATCCCATACAAATGTTCCTTGATCTATGCTGAGTGAGTATTAATAGCAGAGCGAGCTTTATCGTGACCGAGTGTCAGAAGAATCCTGTACGCCCATCTATTTTAGCATTTAGTCTCGTCCTGTTCTGTTTGCAATAAGTTCATCTGCATTGTTTTACCATCTGGCCGATTATTCTTGTAGGATACACTCTTGTGACTTCACCCCTTTTACTTTCTTTGTCTCCTTTTACTGCTCGTTGGATTGGCTCCAGTCCGCCATCACAAATGGTATCTTGAGCATCAAATGCATTATTTTGTGGTTTTGCATACTCTCTATTTTTATTTTCAAGAAGCAAAACAAAAAAATAGAAATGGTTATTTCGATGGGAAATTTTGTGAGGTTTGATAGGCGCTCTACCAGAGCTGACCACCTAAAGGTCTGAAGGCTTTTGCACTCTTGTACCTTGGCAGTAAGGAAACAAAAACAAAACAAAAACAAAAGCAAAAAGCTAGACCAAGCTTTAGGATTAAAGATATTTCTGTCGTTCATTATAAAATAATGCACAGAAGTCTATTCCCAAGCCAATGACTATACGCTTCTGTTCGGCTCAATTTCTATGATTTCGCGTCATATTGACGCCTAACATCAAATATGCTCATTCGTAGACTACAGTAGGCATTTATAACATTTATAACATTTATAATTTTTCAAAAAAAATAATAATAATAATAATAATAATAATAATAATAATAAAGGCATATACATATATTTGATCACCATGTCATTTGTATACCTTTGTATTTGTTCATGAGGAATACAGAACCGTTGTAATGAAAGAAAACAAAGAAAAAGCTCTCAAAAGTGGCAGTGCAAAATGACCAAAACAATGATAATCCTGGAACGCAGCTTTTCCAACTTTAAAACTATCACAGTATTTTTGAATATCATGATTATTATATTTAAACAGCACGCAGGACTCTGGCCTTCTTGGCTTCCCCGACTCTTAGAAACTGGTTACGAGAGGTCGAATGAAGCAATGATTTGCAAGTTAGAAGCGAGAGTGTAACTCCAAACATTGAGGAGGGCCCGAGATATATTCTAAACTCGTACATTCCTATCCTTAGTAATAGCATTGAGCTCAAGAATCTTCAAGAAGGAAGTATCAAGCTTTTTTTTCCTTACCTCACGCCTGCATACATGAGCAAAAGGACATTATCAAAGAGCCCCCGGAAGATGCATCCTTATTTTCGACTCCATGGTTGCTAAAACATGAGAGACAGCGCATGAGTATTTTTTAAGGAAAACAGAAAGGCTTCCTGTTTGTCAATTTGGCAGTGATATTAAACTTCATCCACTGATATCTCTGATGAAGTATTGGCGTTGCAATGAAGACGCATTACAATGAAAAGTATTCAACCTTTATATGCTATGTCTAATGTAGACTTTGAAATAGATCCAATTGCTCATTATAATTGGCTCTGAACCTATCAGTATCCATAATTACGAAGGCCCTTCTAGGTTGGTCATTACAGGTTTTCCTTCATGATATTACACGTAATGAATAGCTTTTGGTTGAATTCAAATCTAAGAAATTCACGTTTGATCGGTTCGAAATCGTACTTGGCTTGAAGAAGCTGCACTACGCGCGTGCCAATGGCCTAGTTGATCCCATGCTTTTTTTATGCCAAAGGATAGTCTTTCTGCATTTGTGGATGGTGTTGAGGTCAACAAAAGAATGAGTGGGACAAACAAGTGACAGTAGACATGAGTAAGAGGAAGAGGAACATCAGAGGAGGAGCGTTCATTGACGCATTCAAGCACAGGCGCAAAATAAACACCAGTGATTAATTATTTTTCCCTTGGGTCATTAGTGTGATTGATTGACATGCATTCAATGAGAGCGTTTTGCACTGCCACACGTACTTAATTTTAAAGTTTGTCCATTCTCAGTTTTGAATTGACCAATATATTAATCACTGGTCAATGATTACAACATTTCCTACCCTGTCTAAATGAAAAACTGTCAGGTCTCATTGCGCGTGGGTAGGAGAAAAAAGAGCTCGGATGCATTCTTTTCTGTATCAGAATAAACATGTTGCACCATGTGTATTTACTACACTGCGACTACTGGAAGAGGATCGTTGCCATTTTGGTCCGAAATAAACCAACCATTTTTTTAACACATGGAATTGTCTACAGCTCGTACTTCATTCGTACCCATCTTTTTCCTTACGAATGCGGATCCATTTCCGACGCATGATTGGATTGGAGTCTTTTTTTTTTTTTTTTTTTTTTTTTGAGGACTAGGCTCTTTTAAAAAGCTGATCCGTCGAGGAGGTGAGGTGTATATTGCTAATCCAAGTGCTTTGACAGATTCTCTGCCCATTTTTTCTTTTCCTTGCGGCATACATATTCAACAAGCATCGACCACATATAATTCTGTTGAATATGTACAATATGTACATGTACAGTTATCATTTCTTTACATCAATCTATGCTCCATTTTATATACTGTTTTGTGAATATTTTTTCAGTTAGTTGGTCTATTTAGTTCTAAAACTATAGAATGCTCAACTTGGCTTGTATAACCCTTGAATATACATTGTTACCATAACCCCCTCTTTACGACTTTACTATTTCATCAACACGAAGTACCACAGTTTTTTCGAATCTGAGAAAAAGGATGCAATTGATCTGGGCTATGCTGGTATGCTTGCAAAAATGAAGTTCAGCACCATGGATTGATATTATGTTCCGAGGGATCAATATACAACATTTCATATCTATTGATGAACGCCACCCTTGGCATCTACCATCCATCATGATATAGACGTGTGTTGTTGTAATGTCTACACTGACTGTTTCTTTTTGATTCTCAGAAGCTGTTTGAAGGCGTTTTTTTACCAAACGCGTGCGCAACCCTTCCTATTGCCTTTTTTTTTTTTTTTTTTTTTTTTTTCTTTTTTTCAATAAGGTATGAAGGAGAAGGAGAACTGATGAAATCATTCTAACCACGCGGGACATCGAACACAATCTACGTCTATCAACCGTAGCGAAACAACACTGACAGCAAACTTGCTCAATCTTGCCTTGAAACAACTGTATAAATGTGTTGACAGTAAATTCCACGCTCATCTTTGATTATTAGTGAGAGCACGTTCAAGAGATCAAAAGAAGTTAGAGAAAAGTTTCACAAGATAAATCTTATCAACACTAACAAAAAAGTAGTCGTTAATTTTCGATACTCCTGGGGTAAATGCAAACATATTCTCAGACCTTTATAAGAAGCAGGGATGTAATTAGAAGTTGTTAGTGCACAACAAACATTAGAAAAAGTCTCCGGCAACCTGGAGAATGCTTAAAAATAAATAAGACAAGGCAAAGAAAGAAAGGGGAAACTAACCAGGAACTCTTTTTTTTATCAAGATGTATATAATACACATAATGCAAAATACTCGGCGATTGGTATTCAAGCTATCTTTTTTTTCTTTGTCATCAAGCACTGGTTTGCAACGCAGAGAAACAGACCAGATGTGGCATGGTGGCTCATCCCACGTGACATAACGCACGTGCACCACATCCACGCTAAGTCAAATGAAAACATTGGCAAAACGCGTATCACACTACAACGCTCTTTGCAATCATCATCTGTTTGACTGGATTACTTGTCATTTTATTACTCTACATCGCATTCCGCTCGCTGTTTCCTTTTTCTATCAGTTACGGTTGATTACTTCTGGATAAAGGCAGGCATCATACGGAGAAGCCCTCTTTCTCCCTTCATCAAGCCTTCGCCCAATATAAACAACCTTTCCTCTCTCGTATCCTTGCAGACCAGCATTAGTTCTCATCAAACATCTTTATTTTCTTATTTTCGACTATGGAGCTAATGAAAGAAAATCGACCGGCGCTATTGGATGGTATGCTTCGAATTGCATCTTTTGCCGGATAACGTTGATTTTCAACCGCAGCTCATTCTTCTCGTTCAGCTAATGCCTTTCTAACATATTCACTTCGCTTTCTTCATAATTTGTGTATTGCTGATAGTGGCTTCGAAGGACAGTGCTAACAGGGATAATATCAAGAAAAACAACAATACCAACAACGATAACAACCATGTGGATGGACTGGATCTTCTTGTGAAAGCAGCTCAGAAGGTCTCGCTGCCATCTAAGGGTGTTTCACAAAAGAAACCCAAAGCACCAACTATGCATTTGAACGGTTCATATGAGACACCGGTGATTGTTGGCAGAGGCTCTCAAGCAACACTCAACCTCGGTAGAATCAACAAGCAGGTGTCGAGACGTCATGCAATTATTCAGTGGTGTCACGAGGTTTCGGCCTTTCAAATCATAGTTCTCGGCCAGAACGGGGTCCGTATCAATGGTACGGGATATCCCTCCGGCCAGCAGACAATACTTCGCGAAGGAGATGTTGTCGACTTGGTGGGCGTCAAGATGCTTTTCTGTGCGCCTGTGGGAGCACCTCCTCCAGCTAATAGAGATTATCAGGACTTGACACATTTCGAAATTAGTGACCTGGACCAGACAGACGATAACCATAGAGTCGACTCAACACCTGCTGGCTTAATGACACCAAAACGCACCCAGAAAACTAACCCAGCTCATCAACTTGCGACACCAATCCATTCATCGCCTATCCGCGAATCGCCTCAATTAGCTTCAACTGCACGTATGAGATACAAAATACTCAAACACAATCCTTCATCGGACAATCGGACCTCGTTGAACTCGCCGCCACCCTCATCTGACCCAGCCACAGAGTTTGATTATGAATCACGGCCTATCTTTACACTTGCAATGGACAATCCACCCAATCAAAGCTCCTTTGGGCCGGAAAGCCCCAGATCAGAGCATGATGTTTTTGTGGATGACCTTTCACTCAAGGATCCACCATTGAAAGCTTTGAACCAACGTCTGCCTCTTGCGCCTTTAGCCTTGCAGGAGAACAGACAGGTGAATACACCTAAATCTCTGCCAACAAATATTCACATGGATACCAAATTTGGCGGCAAATCAGTGTCTAACAATATACAAAAGTCACCTGCACCCCTAAAATCAGTTTCCTTAGACGTTAACGCCAACCGACTTACTTCGGAATATAGCCATCAAAAAGCGCATGTTGGTGATGGTGCGGCTGCTGAGAACGGAGCCAAAGCAAGTATCGAATCCAAACCAGAGAAGCCCAAGACAACCAAAGCCAAGTCTAAAGAGCATACTCGTTTAACACACACGAGCCTGGATAAGCAAGAAAGGAAGAAAGAAAAAGAAGTAGAAAAGAGCTTTAAAGATGTAAAGTCGACTTCAAAAGAATCGACAGCGCGGAAGATCAATGTGAGCAAGCAACAAGATATAGCGACTACCACCACAAAGCCTTCCTTGGAGGAGGATCAAAAGAGCGAAAAAAAAGAAGCATCAAGCGTCCCATCTTCGTCTCAGGAGTTGTTATCGGACATACCAGTGCAAGACAAGAAGACAGGCATGGATTATACAGAAATGATCATTGACACACTTGTATTTGCGCGAAAGAAAAAGTCAATGACCTTAAGTGAGCTGTTTGACGAAATGATTGCGAGCCAGCCATCGTTAATGCGATTACAGACCCAAGAGGAGATCAAAGAGCAGATGTTGCAATGTCTCAGTGCCGCCCGCTGTGTGGGCAAAATTACGCGTAAGGGCAAAGATGCATACAACAAACCTCTGGAGAGTCAGTGGTATTATATTCCGGAATACGACCATAATGTGATGCGTAAGCTTACGCGCCAGGAGGTCATGCCAAGTGCTCGTAAATGCACACTGACGGTAAGAACAGCGTTTATATGGGTTAATGAGCACCATTATCTCACTTCTCGCTTTTATTTATTTGACTTTTGGACTTATTATTATTATAATGTACTCGCAGGATAAACAATATTTCTTCAAAATGCCGCCTAAATTACCATACCATCGCAAAACGACATCACCCTATGCTGTCAAGTCATCCAGTCGCCGTACGAAGGAGTCAAGCAAGCTATCCTCGGCGGTCGTTAGTGATGACGAAGGTGCAGACGAGCACTCATCATCTTCGGGTGAGGAAGAGGAGGATGCAGAAAGTACACTATTGCAGTCAACGATCAGAAAACGCAAATCTGCCAACGTTGGACGCTCAGATAAGAAACGCAAGAGCACGACGGTACAGCAGTTGGTAGTAAACGCAGTTTCAAGCTCGACTCATGATGGCAGTGGGGGCAACGGTAATGAAGACGAGGAGGATGATGATGCCCATAATGATTCGTTAGATGATCTTTCTGAACTCTCGGGATTATCAGACTGAAAGAAGATACACAGTTTATTGTTACTCGAGAAAAGGAGTTTTTTTCTTCTACCAACGCAACAAATAAATCATTGTTTCTCAACATTTTGCACAACGATAGCATCCTTTTTTTTTTATTTTTTTTTATTTTTATTCCCAAATTCTCTTAAGTGCTTTTCTAAGTGGCATTCCGTAAGAATAAAGATTCGCTTCCTGAACTAGAAGGTGGTGGCAGCTGTCTCGAATGTGACTTTCTAATAAAAGGACCTGGAATATCGTCGTCCCACTCCATAGGCAATTCATCATCGTCTGGACGATGTATCCTCGGTGGCGGCATGCTAGTGCCCCCTTTATTAGACTGTACTGCGTCTTGTGTCTTGACTGGAGTTGACGTTGTTATTGTCGTCCTCAAGTCCTGTACATTCGTTGCCGAAGTGCTGTCGACAATTGTATTAGCTGTTAATGATGGGTCACCATTATGAATAGCCGATGTAGTAGATGCCGTAAGCGTGGTAGTACTGATAGCGGTACTAGATGTGGTGCTACCGACATTCAGAGATGATGGGGTTGTTGAGGTGGCATTAAACCGAATGTGAGCCATCGAAGGAGTGGAAGTTCCCGCTGTCTGGTTTCGACGTGATGAGAAAGAGGGTGCATGTAGCTGTGAACTTTGACTCTGACTACGAGCGGACGATCCGCCGATCAAAGGCGCTGGTCGAAGAAAAACACCCCCATTATTGCTAGTGGATGCGTTTGATTGTTGTGAAGACGAAGACGGTTCAACAATTCCAGACATCTTAACATCATGCGTAGCTGATGAGAGAGATGTGTTGGGAAGTACCAAAGTCGACGTAAAATTGAAGCTTGTGGATGGCGCTGTGTTGGATGAAATTCCTGGTGATGCTCGTATAGATGGTGTTATTAGCGCTACGGGTTTGACCAGCTCTGGCACAAGGAAAGGGTTGGTATTATTGCTGTTACTGGCGTTGATATTACTGACTGATGGTCCCGAATCGAGCGACATGGACGCGATGAGGGTAGAGGCTGACCTCGACTTAGCCCGAAGCCTGTGAGTGCCTGACGCTTGGTTAGAGTTCCCAGCACCGAATTTTCCAGAAAGCCTGGACTCCTTACCGCCCGGACCGATGTAAACATTTGATGATCCCTGAAAAGTCTTTGGCAAACTGGATGCGCTCTCTCCTGGGCTGGCAAAGAGGCCAAGCGTACTCAGTCCCTGCTGACCATTCACGTTGCTTGAAAGGCGCGACGTAGTATGTGAGCCACCACTGTCTACAGTGTCCGATGTAGTATGTTGATTAGCGGTGCTTGCTGCTGCTGATGAAGCTGTGATACGATGTGAATTAGATGGTTGTAAGTGTCGATTACCAATAGATAGGGCAGTCTTGCGTCTAGGAGCTGACCATGTCTTTGAGGTTTGCATATGCTCTCCTGTTGATAAGTTATCTTTTCCTCCCGTAGCCAGATACTGTCCCAATGTATTATTTGTGCTCATAATGGGTGGTTGCGAAGACAAGGAGGCGGCCTTAGAGGCCGTGGATAAATTGCTGGGTTTGCTGGAAGAAGCCTCTTGCATATGCGGATTATCAATGATCATGGCTTCGCTGGATTGCTTAGTTGAAAGAGCTTTCTTGATCATTGACTGTTGTCTTTCGTGTTCTTGAATGAGCTCTCGGCGCTTCTCCTCTATCTGCTGGCGCTCCCATGTCAGTTTCTTCTCTTGCTCAACCAAAGCCATTTCTTTGCTTCTAATCGTCTCCTCTTTCGAATTTAAAATGGTTTCCATTTCCCTTAGCCGTTGCTCGTCAGCTCGAAGCCTTCTTTCAATATTCGCCAAAGTTGCCTCCCGTTCGCGATATTTTTCAATGTACTCGCTTATGGCACGTTCACGACGATCCAGTTCCTCGGCCCTACGTTGCGATATAGTCCGAATCACATTTAGTCAGCGATAAGGCTTAAAATAGGACAGTGTTATAGATATTATAAAATCCTTTCGGAGTAACTTGCCTTTTATCAATTTCGAGCTGCTTTTTGCAGAGCCTTATTCTGGGTGCAGCAAGGAGATCTGACGTTGTCGGTCTTTTACGTGGCTAATGTATAGAGATGCAAGGGCCGCAGGAGGGTTTATTAATAAGTATTCTGATGTCGCCATTTGGTCCCAATTACTTCGCGAATGATTGAAATTGAGATTTGACATACGTTCACCTGCAGCATAGACCTAACTACATGATTTAGCTCATTTGAGTACTGGGCAGGTAACGCTTGGATTCTACCCATCTTGATCTTCAGAGAGAGTTCGTGTTGTGAGTCTGCAAGGAATGGAGGCCTGTGGTCAAGGAGGAAAAAAAAGCGTTAATAAAAATATAATAAAATAAGCACAATGACTCAAGGCCAGTCAAGAAAAAAAAAACGTAAGCAATCCTCACGACATACTTTAATGCACACATCTCGAAAATAATGCAGCCAAGAGACCAAATGTCTGACTTGACATCGTATACTGACTCGCTTATAAGTTCCTGTAATCATTAAAGATGAAGATTAGTCTCTATACTATATCCATGCCTTTCACTCATTTGTTTTTGAGACAAGTATTGATATTCAATCTTACAGGAGACATGTAATACGGTGTCTATTAAATAATTATATAAGAATAGACCATCTGTTAAAACTGCAAGCGAGCTCAAGGTCTGAAAAGAGAGAAAGTGGAAATAAACAAGCTGAAACTAGCTGCCTACCCCAACATATGTTTCTGCAAAAGCCTTCTGTGGGTTTGTGAGGGACCGTGACAATCCAAAGTCTCCCAACTTAACATTTCTATTGGCATCCAAGAACACTATCTCGTTGGTATCAGGTACATAACATTAGTCTAATGACAAGATAAGGATAAGGCCTCATGGTTTATCGCCACATGCTTATTTTAAACTGTTTATACCATTATCAGGTTTGAGATCTCGATGAAGAATAGGAGCCCGTGGCTGAGGTGGATTGTTGTCGTCACCTTTAGTCATGCCGCAGTGGCACTCATGTAGCGCCATCGTCAGCTGGGTCATAATGGTCCAAATGAACTCCTCAGGGATATATAATCTAATTGAATAAATAAATACAGAGCAACACGGATAATTGACAGAGATTGTTAGCCATACGGCCAATTTTTCTCGAAGTTGGCGGAGCAAAAATCTAACAGTGACATACGAGCTTTCTTTGTGCCGCTTGATAACCGCTGCTAGATCCCCTCCTTCACAATACTCCATAAGAATATATATGAAGCTGTTTTCTCGATCAATAACCCGCTCCAAAAATTCAACAATATTTGGATGTTTGAGATCTTTCAAAATGTTGACTTCTGCCACAAGCTGCTCCTTTTCCTTGACACCCATTTTTCGATAGTCAATCTCCTTCCTGGCGAGTATCTGATGAGAAGCAAAAGCATAGAAGGAATGGTATCGATTTAGAAAAAGTATCGCCTGTTATAAGTCCTTTCCCCTCAATGCCTGTTGAAATGACAAACAAGGATAATGAGAGTTCTGTTTGATATCAATCCAAGTACTCATGAATGCATCATTGCAATGTAGTTGTAATAAATGGTAGCGTGGCATTTCAAGCATGTAAATGCCGTCCAAGCTCTTGATGTTTCGTAGTACCTTGCCATCTGTCTTCCTCCTGACTTTACGAATCAATCCAAAGGAGCCTGAGCCGATGGCTTCCAGGGGCTCGAATTCATCAAATGTCCAAGAGTCATAATGCATACTGGAGCGCCCCACTCGAGGAAGACTGATCGTGAAGTTGATGGTTTAGGATGGAAATGAAAAGGAACTTATCCTGACAGTGACTGCATGTGTTTTTACAGGGGCAGTAAACGCCACTAATTTGGCCACTGTATTTTGCATGTGTTGTATGTGCATTGTGGTCAACATTATTTTGAGTTCATTGTCTTCATTCATCCTTTTTTTATTTCCCTTCTACTCTGTTTTTTCATCTTCTCCATCTATATGTATATTTAAAAAACCCATGACAGTGATAGAGCTTACTACAACTCCTAGTGTGAACGGACAAGGCCTGCCTTCCGGAACATTGATACGGTCGTTCTTGTTAACAGATGATTCTTCGCCTGGTATGGCCTGTCAGGTAATCTCACTCGGCGCAACTCTCACGCACCTTTGGGTCTTAGACAACACGAATAGCCCTAAAGATATTGTACTCGGTTTTGATGATCCAAAAGCTTATCGTACCAAGTACGATCCTTATTTTGGAGCGACCGTGGGAAGAACAGCAAACAGGTGACATTCCGACATAACGTTACTTTTTGAGTGGCAAATTTTTTAAAAACAAAAAAGAGTCTAACAGATAGTACACGAATGGCACATTAGAATTGCCCAAGGAGAGTTTTCATTGCCTGACAATCCTCATGTTGTTTTCAAGCTGGATCAAAACAATGGCCCAAACTCCCTTCATGGAGGTATCGACGGTTTCTCTCATCGAAATTGGGATGTTGTACCGCCATTAGGTGACGTCTCGGATGGTGATGGATGTCGAGGTACTAGTCTTCGACTGAGTATGGTATCGGAGCATATGGACCAAGGATTTCCTGGCCGTCTCCGTGTCTACTGCACCTACCGCCTCCTCAACTCATCGCTTGAGGTGGAATACGAGGCGTATCTCGAACAAACTGAAGATCTACACCGAGAGCCAGTTGAAATGACGATTGTATCTCTTACGAATCATACATATTTTAATCTTAATGGCATACCCAGTACAGGGACAACAAACAAGTTTACAATCACACCCATTACGAACCATGTAATCGAAATGGCACACATTGACAGCTTCTTGGAGACCGATTCAACTTCTGTTCCTTCAGGCAAAATCCTGAAGCTTGATGAAGTGCCAGCTATGGATTTTCGAAAGCCGAAAAGCATTGGTGATCATTTCAAACAGGTCCCGGGTGACGGTCAAGGTTACGATCACTTTTATCCCGTACAAGCAGCCATCAACAATCCACACGACTATTATCTCAAAAATGACGTATGTCGTATACCACCGACTGCTTTAGTAAACATTTATTCTCCAGAATCTGGGATCCACATGGCTATGACGACAACTGAACCTGGATTCCAGTTTTATACGGCTAACTTCGTTCAGGTTGAACCCAATCAAGTCGACACTCGTGTTGTTGGTAATTATGGCAATGCTGACTCCCGTTTTTCGTACATAGGCAAGGCCCGGGGAGGCTATGAACCGCATTCAGGCTTTTGTCTGGAGGCATCCAAGTTCCCTAACGCGATCAATCATACCGAATGGAGAAACCAGGTCATCCTCCGCTCTGGAGACAAATACCAATCTAAAACCATATTTACGTTTTCAATAAGATAGTTACAGCGGCTCTTCAGGGTATGTAAGAGTACTTTAATAATATCCATGTAATATCATGCTTGTATCAGTATTCTGTTTTATTATGACTCAGCTAAACTACACAGGATTGAAACAGTGGTAATATCATAGTTGCTGGGTACAAATCTCATGTCCCTTGATCAGTCTGGCTGCTCAGGAGACTACAGGCGTTGGGGGTTGGGGACGGCTGGTGTAAGATGTATACCACTTGTGGGCCTGGGAAAGACATAGGGCAACGTAGTGGACACGGGCGCTTAAACATGGCCTGCTGTTCCTTATTATTCAAGACGTAGATTGCCTCGAATATACTGAATCAAAATCAAAATCACGATAGACTGTTGATCAACTTCGACACGTTGTCCTGAGTGTTTGTGATCATATCCTCAATCTGTTCGCCATCGCACAGCTTCTTCGCAAAAATAATACCCGGAGTTGCGAAAACCATCATGTGAAGACAGAATTGAAGACCAGATATAGAGGGCACAGGTACTTTCTCTGTAGCGATCTGTTTGGTCAGTTGCGGTCGAAAAGGGATCCTGGACGATTTTGTAACTGGCAGTTGTGCATTTGCATACAACGGAGATATCTTCGTGAGTGCAGCACTGAATGTCTGCTTGATGATTCCTCCAAGCTCTGATCTAGACATTGTTGGTCATCGACTGGCAGTTGTGAGAATAGTCGTAAGATGGATTCTTGAGAGGCTGCAGGAATGGAGATTTAGGTCTCGAGTATCACAATTATAGCCCAAATGACGTTTCCAAACTGACGACGCGCTTGGCGTGCCTAATGGAATGAAATGTAGAACAATTCAATTTCGTGTGTACACGTACTCTTTTTACATTTCTCTTTAACTTTTGAATCAGTTTTGTATATTTTCGTCTCTGTTTTTTCTTTTTTTTTTCTTCTACCCGACAACACTTCATTGGGCAGGAAAATCTTTTAAGCTTCACTCTCCAATTCATTACTCTACCTCTTGGACAACTCAACTAACAAGCAATAGACAATCATGGTTGAGCGAAAGGAAGTTGCCATCCCGGTTCCTGCTGCAGACAATTCCTCCATGGAGGAGGACAAGCCTTTGAAAAAGCCTCCAAGGGAGCTTAAGGATGCACCCATCAAGGAAGAATTGGTACGACCTATATACATGATATGCCATTCACCTTAACTCCTTGTAATACTTGATCAGCTCACAGCCTAACTTAGCCTACTCTACTCTTGCTCTATACTGCCGAATTCTCTGATCAAAAATATGAATGGCTTTGATAGTCGGAAGAGGATCAGGAACTTAAGGACCAGCTTGAGATGTTGGTCCAGAGGCTAAAGGTAACCTCCCCTTTTATCTTTCGCAATAATAAAGAATCAGATACTGATCAAGAAAGGAATATATGAGCTATGCTGACTGATGTTTTCTGTAAACGTGTTTTCTTTTCATTTATTTTTTCGAATCTCTTAGGAACCCGACACAAAGCTTTACAATCCATCTCTTGAAACCCTTCGCACTTTGATCCTCACCTCGACCAGCTCTATGACCTCTGTCCCTAAACCCCTAAAGTACTTGCGTCCTCTTTATCACGACATGGTTGCCATTCATGACTCCTGGCCAGATAATGCAGACAAAAAGTTTTTGGCCGACATTCTCTCAATCTTGGCTATGACTTACGATGATGATAAGCTGGATACTCTCAAGTATCGCAAGTTGGGCTCTCAAAATGCTATTGGATCATGGGGTCATGAATATGTTAGGTAATAATATGTTATTAATATGAAGACCTGAAGTCTCAGTTTTGTTAAGCAAATCGCTGTTTATTATATATATTTACTTGTGAAAAATGTCTGCAACGTTTTTCTTTTCCAGGCACTTGTCCACAGAGATTGGGCTGGAGTATGAAAGGCGTCAGGAAACTGAAGCTGATACATCAGACCTTATCGAGCTTGCATTAGAGGTTGCACCATTCTTCTTGGCCCACAATGCTGAGGCTGATGCTGTGGATCTGTTAATGCAACTGGACATTATGCCTAAGCTTGTCTCCTTTGTAGACAAGAACTCATATAAACGTGTTTGTCTCTACATCAACAGGTGTGTATTAAAATGAGCTTGGCCCAAACACTCATGAAATGGTTTTCGGAATAGAGCATTAATAAGTCACCTTTCCATCGGATAGCTGCGTAAACTATTTGGAATCGCCAGATGATATTATTTGTTTACGTACTGCTCACGACATTTATATGAAACATCGCAAGCATGCAGAAGCTTTGCTAGTCGCTATTCGTATGTCAGATAAGGAACTCATTCGTAGCATTTTCGATAACTGCCAAGATCCGTAAGTGATATCTGCTAATGTTTTTCAGCTTGTTTAGGCGGCATGTAGTAGAAGTCTATTTTTGTTACTAGCAAGCATTACTTGGCATCTTAATACTTTCATAGTTTATTGAAGAAGCAGCTCGCTTTCATGCTTGCAAGGCAGCAGCTATCTGTGGAAACTGAGGATGAGGACCTTCAAAACTGCATCAATAATGCGGACTTGAGCAAACACTTCCTCAATCTTGCACGTGAACTTGATTTAATGGAACCAAAGACACCCGAAGACATTTACAAATCTCACTTGGAACATAAACGTACGAAACAGAGTTTAATGGCATTGGCAGCAGTTGGAGTAGTGTAAAAACCATGAGATCACGGAGTTAAACGCAAATACTCACGATTTTTTGAAATGGATATAGGCTCTGCTGGCGTAGCTCAGGTCGATTCCGCACGGCAAAATCTGGCGTCGACCTTTGTCAATGCATTCGTCAATGCAGGATTTGGAGTGGATAAACTCATGCTAACAGAGGAAGAAGATGGTGGCTGGATTTTTAAGAACAAAGATCACGGCATGCTTAGCGCTTCTGCTTCTCTGGGTATGATCTTGCTTTGGGATGTTGATGCAGGTCTTAATCAAATCGACAAGTACATCTACTCTGAGGATGAAAACATTAGATCGGGAGCCTTGCTTGCTATAGGTATTGTCAATTCCGGTGTCCGCAATTTGGCTGACCCTGCATTGGCAGTCTTGTCCGAGTATCTCGAAGATTCTAAATCAATTACCAATCGCGTTGCCGCCATCCAAGGTCTCGGGCTTGCTTACGCTGGCTCTGCCCGTGAAGAGTTGTCAGAGCTACTTCTGCCCATTGTCAGCAACTCTAATCTTGCCATGGAATTATCATCTTTTGCAGCCCTGGCACTGGGTCAAATCTTTGTCGGTACTTGTGATGGCGAGATCACTAGCACTATTTTGCAGACAATGCTCGAGCGCGCAGATGGTCAGCTCGGAGAGACCTTCAGTCGCTTCATGGGACTTGGTCTCGGTTTGCTTCACTTGGGTACGTCTTTCAACTTTTCTAAAGAGTAAAATTGCGTTACCCATGGCCGAATTGTTGATCACCATCTCTAACTGTTTTCTTTTCTTTTTTTCTTTTTTTTTTTTTTTTTTTTTTTTTCCTCATTTGTGCGTTGATATTATACATGACATGTGGTAAACAGGCAGCCGCAACCGATGCGATGTGACGCTGGAGACCTTGAAGGCGATTGAACATCCCATTGGCAAGAGAACAAGCGTCATTGTCGAAATTGCTGCGTATGCTGGCTCTGGTGACGTCCTTCACATCCAGCGTATGCTGCACTACTGCAACGACCATATTGATACTGAGAGTGGTGGCGATGACGAATTCCAGGCGTATGCTGTCATTGGTATTGCTCTGATTGCAATCGGCGAAGATATTGGCGCAGAGATGGCTCTCCGATCCTTTACGCATTTAATGCATTATGGCGAGCCTGTTATCCGGAAGGCTGTTCCATTGGCTATTGGCCTCCTCTGTGCTTCCAACCCTGTGCTCTCAGTCTTGGATACTCTCGGAAAGTACTCACATGATACTGATATTGAAGTTGCGTTGAACTCGATCTTCGCTATGGGTATGGTGGGTGCAGGAACCAATAATGCTCGTGTGGCCCAAATGCTTCGCCACCTCGCATCTTACTACCATAAGGATGCTAGCTGTCTCTTTGTTGTCCGCATCGCACAGGTATGATACTGTCACTTTGACTTTTTTATACCTTGAATTACCTTTTGAAATAGAGGTGATCCTAGTGGGTTAAATTTAATCATTTCATTTATTTTATATTGTTTTATTTTTTTATATAGGGGTTGCTACATATGGGCAAGGGAACATTGACTATCAATCCACTCAACACTGATCGCCAGATCCTATCGCCTGTGGCTCTGGCTGGTCTCTTGACGACGTTATTTGCATTTATAGATGTCAAAACTCTAATTTTGGGTCGTCATCACTACCTGCTCTATTCATTAGTTACGGCCATGTACCCACGTTTCTTGATCACCCTGAACGAAGAGTTAGAAAGCGAGGCTGTGACAGTCCGTGTGGGACAAGCTGTAGATGTGGTCGGTCAAGCAGGAAGACCCAAAACCATTACAGGTTTTCAAACACATTCAACACCTGTCCTTTTGGCATATTCAGAGCGTGCCGAGCTCTCAACAGAAGAATACTTGGCTCAGGCTCCTGTGCTGGAGGGTTTTGTATTGTTAAAGAAGAATCCAGACTATGTAGAGGAAACAAAGGCATAGAGGTTGATCTTGAAGTATATCTTTTTTTGTATTAAGAAAAAAAGTCAAAAAAAAAAAAAAAAAAAAAAATTGAATGGCCGTCTCTCTCTTTCTCCCTCTCCCCAGTGTTCATATTTTACGTTTCCCATGCGATCATTGGAAATAAAACAAGATATAAAAATATATGGCAATATTATTTCGAAAACAAAATGTTGAGACAGGATCATGATAATGGCGGTGGAAGCGATGGGCCGAGAACTCTTGGCTTTTTCGTCTCACTTTCAACAGGAGTATCGGGTTCATTCGAACGCTTGGTGCTATTTGCTGAAGTATTTTTGTTTGCAGTTAATGCATTCGTGCTGCTACTACTGACCTCTACCCTCACCCCAGCTCCAGCTCCAATCTTGGCCATGATATCAATTGGCTTTGTGAACTCAATCAACTGAATTAATCTTTTCTCTTCCTAAAAAATAATGAGAGCGCCATCAGCCAAAAACAAAAAAGACATCTTCACTCTAAAATATAGAATAGCAATGACCGAATCAAGCTGAAGCTCTACCTTTTTCATAGCAGCCAGGTTTTGTTGCATTTTAGCCTTTGAATCGCCTCCCGACTTTTCAAGAGAAGCCAAGTAGGCGTCAAGATCGCCCGAGTTTTCAAGTTCCTTCCTCGTTGCCGCTGTTGTATCATAATCCCGGATTTTCGTCTCAATCGATGCCATATCTGCCTGTAACGCTTTGTACTTTTCCTGGAGCGATTCATATGTGTCCGCCTTTTGCTCCGCTTTTTTAATTGAGGAGCTCTTTTTCTTTACTAAATAAAAAATATAAAAAAAAAAAAAAAAAAAAAAACACCAATAATCATTAGATTATGCAAGGAAATATACGTCCAGACATTGTATAAAGCTTACCAGTTCTGTCATAAAACTCGTCGTCATCATCGTCATCCGAGTGCTCAAATTTCTTGGTCTTTGCTTGAGAAACTCCTGAAAAAAAAAAAAAAAAAAAAAAAAAAAGGTGCACGACAGTAATGTTAGCTTCTTTTAAATACACTTTGGCCCTATTTCGAATTTTACTTTTTTTTTTACCTTCACCGGAAGATTTTTGCCCAAGCATCCCTCGGCTGTCCAACTGGATGCAAGCATCGAGAGCGGCTTCCCTTTCAGCATCACGTCTCCTTCCTGCGGTTGCTTCACCATAAACAGGACCCATGGCGGTCTCGATGGGAAGACGAACACGGGCCGTGTATTCTCGAGCATGCCCTGGCCCACTTTCTTCAACCTCATAATCGCAGCTGTAGCCCTTGTTCTCGAGATAATGGCGGAGAGCCTTCTTGGGATCCTTTCTATAATAAGCATCTGGATCGACAGCTCTTCTCTGCGTTGATCCATTCTCCATGGATTCATCCATTTCGTCCTCGTCCATAGCATCTTCATGCATCCCCCTAGATTTCACGATATAAAAACATTTAGCGCGGAACACAAAACAAAAAAACGATTGGCATCAAGGCATTCAATGGAAACAAGCTTATTCTTTCATACCAATTAAACTCTTCTTCTTCCTGTTCTTCGCCCTGTCGCTCACTTCTGGATCGATTCTGTTTTTCGATCATGGTAGCCACTAGTTTCCGATCCTCTTCTTCCTGATCAATAACCTCTTCGGTCTGGAAGAGATAGATACGAGTACTCTCACCAAATCGAAGTTGATCGCCTGGCTTAAGAGAGACATGCATGCCTGGAGGGATTTTGTTCTTATTGAGTCTTGTACCGTGGCTACTGTTGAGATCATAAATAAAACATTCACCATTGCTCTTGAACTGAACCACTGCATGATAACGTGAAAGGGACTATCCATATCGTTTTTTTTTTTTTTTTTTTTTTTTTTTAAAAAAAAATGCACACATTTGTGAGACTGGTTAACTAATCGATCACGATCACGAAGTGAAGAGATATTTTTTCTCTTGCCTCTTGCCTTGCAAACAAAACAATCAAAACCTTACTGGATGCTCCATTTCAAGATCACACATGGGTAAACGACCAATAACCAGAAATTCCTTCTCAGGAGCTTGGATTTTTTCGACAATGACCCCGTTCTTAATGACCTCGAAGTAAAACTGTTGATTAGGATAACCACTCCAAGCAGGTTTCTGATACTTTAATGGGGGCGCATTAGGGAGGACCGTCTTTATCTTCAACGTCGTCGTTGTCGCCGTGACTGGTTTGAATATTTTGCAGAAAAAAAGAGAGAGGAGGAGGGAGCTGTTAGTCGTGAAACGAATTTGTCCTTTTTGTTTGTCTTTGGGTTTGTTGCGTGCGTGATATGAATGGGTTGCTCTGTATACCTGGGATTGAATCATTGGCTTGGCTGTCTTGATCTGGATGCTTAGAATGTTGTTGCTGTTGCAAATGGTCCTTTGGGAACAGGGGCACTGGTGGTGGTGGTGGTGGCATAGCAAGGCTATTATTTTTCTTGGTGGCAGGTGCTAAAGGCATTGCAAACACTGAACCTGTGGTCTTTGCTGATGCTGTTGTTATCGTCGAGTCCTGATCATTTACGACGTCAGTAGTTTTCGCTGTGCTTCCAGCATTTGAAATGGTAGCATCGTCTGCTACATCATCTGTAGACCTGGTCTTTGCATTATTTAAGGACGCTTGAGGAGCTGCAAATGACATTGTTAGTTGAAATGTTGAGAAGGAATAAAAAAACTTTGAAGTGAAAAGCCCGTGGCGCAATTTTTAATTATCAATTCGATCTGTTCTTAGAGCCAGACAAGGCCAATGTCACGATTTTTTTTTTTTTTTTTTTTTTTTTCATTACTTTATTTTACTTCTGGTTCCTAAAAGATATAATAAAGGGAGCTCTTTACTTTGACTTTGATGGGAGTAATAAGCTGATGCCCATAAAAATGCATGCAAGTGATACGTATGGGCTAAGACGCTCGCCTGTTCACAGGAGATCAAAAAAGAAAAGTTTCCCGTTAGATGTACGGTAACAACAAATTAGTTCGAAAGGCAGACTTTTTTTTATCATTATCGTTTTACCTATCCTTGCTGCCTTCCAAAAGATGCCAAGAACACTATAATAAAATACGTGATAGCGAAATGATTAGACAAATAAGCACCTTTCAAGCTGTTTGATTGTTTTCATCCAAAGTATTTGAAGAGCATACCCAGTTTTGTTTTTGTCGAGTAGACGAGTCTGTGATTGAATGTATGTGCATGTACAGATGACTAAGAGGATCACTAAGAGTAGACTTTGAAAGTTGAATAAAGCTGACTAAAGGTCAAACAGAGAGAAGAATCCGTTTAATCAATCAGTATAGTTTTTCCTTTATTTTTTTTATTACGCCACTACATCCAGACAATGTTTTTTTCTTTCTCTGCTGTAGACGATAGCGATTTTGAAATGGAGATACCATCGTGATGTTTTATATTGTAAGTCTTGTGAAATGAGCGAATGAAGAATGATGGACATTATGAAACATAGAAGAAAAGGGGACGCTCATGTTCCACGTGATTAGTTGGAAGAATACACTTTTTTTTACACGCGTCGTTCCACGTTACGCGTCTCCCCTCATTTATCGATAAAAAAAAAAAAAAAAAAAAAAAAACATGTGTATGTGCCTTGTTCAATCCCGACTGGCATTTCTTTCGTTTACTCTGTTGGAGCCTGTTGTATCCGATGGTCTAAATTTAAATCGTATGGCATTGCTCTTGGTGGCTTCGGAGATGGAGTAGATGGTATATATGTTTTTGTACTCTTGATATTCAAGGCTTTTGTCTTGAGGTTCAATGATAAAGTACTGAACAGGAAGCAAAGGGACGCGTCTTTTTCCATGAAAGAAAGAAGGATACAAAATGATTGGGCACAACATGCTTGTCCTCAAATGAACCAGATCCCTGGATACGTTGAAATAGGATCATGAAGCGAAGTAAGAAAAAAATTAGCATGAGAGAAAGTAAAGGGCAATAAAAATGCAAGACAATCAAAGGAACCTGTGGATCACATCATTCTTGCACAAGGGCCACCTTGATCACAGCGCGAGAGTGTTTAAGACTGTTTCTCTCATTGTCCATTCGTTCCATTTCCATCGCCCCATTCCTTCCTTTCTCTCTTTCTCACTTTCTCTCTCTCTTTCTCTCTTTCTCTCTTTCTCCTTTTTTCTTCTTTCAACTTTCTTCTTTACATCTTATTCATTCCTCACCTTTTTTTTTATAACCCATCACCAACAAAAGCCATGTCAACTTTAGCTCCCACACAAGGCAACAACACTGGCAAGCAGCCTCACCATCCCCATACCCTTTCTACCTTGGTAAGTCGGCTTTTTTTTTTTTCTTTTTTTTTGTCGTCTAGAAACAATCCAATAAAATATTGATCGATGTTAGCATTATCGGAAGTTTCAAACAGCCAACAAAAAAAAAAAAAAAAACTCTGGCAATGCGATTAAGAACTTGGGATGGCTATTCTTTCCCTTTTCTTTTCTTTATATTTGTGGAGAATAAATACGTGCGAAATCGAACCGACTCACCAATGTCATATGCCAAGGACACGCTACTATTTAATATATATTAAACGGAGCTCTTGTCAGGATGCAATGTGAATCAATATCAAGTCTGTTTTCACAGTTAACAATATGGAGTCATTACAACAACAGCAGAAGCAACAACACTGATGGCAATGATGATCTTAATTCGATCAATTTTTTTTTTTCTTTTTCCTTATCCTTCTTATTAATGGACATGTTTCAACCGCTCCTCTTTTTTATTTTATTTTTATCTCTTAAATAGGACTTCCAAGGCGCCAGCGGTGCAGCAGCTGCCAGCGCTATACGCACTGAACTCAACCGCTTGATTTCTCAGGTCAAGGATGAGAAGGAGAGACAGGTAATAAGCTATAGCATGGATACATTGCATCAACGCATTTTATCTTTTATGATTGTCGCGGTCAAAAAAAAAATAAAAAATAAAAAATAAAAAGCGAAACTTTTGCTTTTTTTTTTTTTTTTTTTTTTTAATTGCTGCACACTATGGAAGAGAGGGACACGACGGCGCCTTACTGGCCCCTTCGTTTTTTTTATGGCAATTCCTGTTATCGTTAGCATCATTAGTAAATCCATTGGCAATGGTATAGTTGCTTGGAGAAGAAAAAGAAGACCCTTTATCGTGGAAAATTTTAATTTTTCCTTTCGACGTCATTACCACATTTTAAAATGACAAACCTTTTCTTATCTATTCTGGGGAAACTTTAAAAGATTATTGCTTGTTGAGAAAATTAAAGGAATTAAAAGCCGAGTTAGTCGGATCGTGTGTAAAAACATGCTATTTATTCCTTATCACTGCTGTCTTTTTATTTATTTATTTATTTTTTTAAAAAAATGGCAAACTAGCTTTTCCAAAATGAGATGGGTAGCTTCTTCTTGCTCTTCAACCGTTGGCTAGGTGAGCGTAGCAAGGGCACAAAGATCAATTGGGACAAGGTCAAGTCGCCTCCAGCGGACCAGATCGTCCCCTATGACAATATTCCCAAGGTCGAGTCCAGCCCCCATCTCAATAAGCTTGCTGTTCTCAAGCTCAACGGAGGCCTTGGTACCACCATGGGTTGTGTAGGCCCCAAGAGCGCTATTGAGGTCCGTGATGGGATGACCTTCTTGGATCTTAGCGTTCGTCAGATCGAGGTAAAATAGAAACCATCTATGGATGATGAATGCCCTATTGTTTTTAACCATGATGGAATTGAGCCAAACACATACTAATAAATCATCTTTTACTCTTGATCAACTTTTTGTTTTGTTTGTTTGTATTGGTTTATCAGTATCTGAACAAGGCCAAGAATGTCAATGTGCCCTTCATCCTCATGAATTCATTCAACACAGACGAAGAGACCAAGCGTATTGTTCAAAAGTACGCCACCCACAACATTGAGATTCTGACTTTTAACCAGTCCAGATATCCTCGTGTCAACAAGGATTCACTTTTACCCTCTCCTCGCCATCCCCACAGCGATATTGCTGATTGGTACCCCCCTGGTCACGGAGATTTGTTCGACTCGCTTACTAACTCAGGACTTTTGGACCAGCTAATTGAGGATGGCAAGGAATACCTCTTTGTGTCCAACGTTGACAACTTGGGAGCCACTGTTGATGAGGGCATCTTGAATCACATGGTCGAGTCTGGTGCAGAGTTTTTGATGGAAGTCACAGACAAAACTCGTGCTGACATTAAAGGAGGTACGCTGATCGATTATGAGGGCTCGATCCGCCTTCTCGAAATCGCACAGGTCCCTTCCGAGCACGTCGAAGATTTCAAGAGTATCAAGAAGTTCAAGATCTTCAACACTAACAACTTGTGGGTCAACTTGAAGGCAATTAAGCGTGTGGTTGAGAACAACGAGTTGAGTCTGGAGGTGATTGTCAATAACAAGACTACAGAATCTGGGGAAAAGGTTATTCAGTTGGAGACTGCTGTTGGTGCAGGTATCAAGCATTTCCACAACGCCCACGGTGTGAATGTACCTCGTAGCCGCTTCTTGCCCGTCAAGTCAACTTCAGATCTGTTCTTGGTCACCTCTGACCTGTACTCTCTCAACCATGGTGAACTCTCGATCAATCCTAAGCGCATGTTCAACACTGTTCCTCTTGTCAAGTTGGGAGATCACTTCAAGAAGGTTAACAACTTTTTGTCTCGATTCAACAACCCACCGCATATTCTGGAGCTAGACCATCTAACGGTCACAGGCGATGTAACATTCGGGTCAGATGTTGTTCTCAAAGGAACTGTTATTATTGTTGCTAATGCTGGATCTCATATCGACATTCCTTCTGGCAGTATCCTTGAGAACAAGGTCGTATCTGGAAATCTTCACATCCTTGATCATTAAGAGATATTTCCCATTTCAATCCGATGAAGCATTATGTAGCATGGTATCGCTTCTTTATATTTGAATAAAATATCTAACATAGGCAAGTCTTTCTGAATAGCCAAAGAGTTTTTTTTTTTTTTATTTTTTTTTTTTTTATTTTTATTTTTATTTTTTTTTTAGACATGTATTCTAGTCCTAGATCTAGGAAATTCACGTTCGTGTTAGACTATGAATTTTTTTTTTTTTGAGGTCAATTAGATGGACAAAAAGCTAAAAACGGAACTCTATCGCTCAGGATATTCAGAATAACCTAAAAAGAAGGGTTAGCAACGATGAATGTGGCCATCTTCGGCCATCTATTTGATCTAGTCTAAAAAATAAATCTCTTGCGGATCTTCGCATTGTTTGCTTTTTTTTTTTTTACCCACGATAAAATTTTTATGCATGGAGATATAATTTAGAAAGACAAGGTTATCCTTCCTCGAGATGAAAGATAAAAAAGATTGAGTTCTTGACAATCCTTTTATGTCGCAAACATTATATATATACATGTATACTGTATATAATACTTGGAACACATCTAAACCTCCGCAGAGCATCTAGTGCCCATCTTGTACTTGTACATGTACGTAGCTGATCGTTAGTATATATATATTTGTAACATAAGAGTTAAATTGTGCGGACCCGAAGGGATAGAGATGGAAAGCCTAGAACCGAGATTGAGAAGGAAATAATAAAAAGGCATTATATATTTATATATATTACTCTTGTTTATGCAAAAACCTGTCTGTCTAGCCATGAGATCGACAATTGAAAGGAGATGAAGTAAATATGGTATATGATTTATTCCGAATACTCAAGAATAAGGATATTGCCAATGATCTGATAATTGATCCTGTCCATTTATCCGTTACAAATTCATGTACCATGTACGGCATACATTTCAAGGCAAAACACTAAAAAAAAAAAAATCGGGGAGATGAGATGAGACGTAAATATGGTAAAAACTTTTCGCCTTATTCCTTATTCCATCGTCCTTTTGACGCAGCCGATGGTATGCTATGGCTGTGTCTTTGGCTATGGCTATGGGTATGGCTATGGTCATAGTTGTAGTTGTGGTTGTGGTTGTGGTTGTGGCTGTGGCTGTGGCAATGTATGGCTTTGGTCAACATAGGCAGTGCGAGAGAATAGGGAAAGAATGAGGATCAAAAGAGGCAGTGCAGTACCAGCATTCCACACACATGGTTATTTTTGGGAAAAAAAGACATCTGATAACACTTGCCATATAAGCATATAAGCGCTTTAATATGGAGCACATTTGTAAAATGAAAAGGTCAATGATATTCTATCAGAAATTATATGAAAATAAGCCTTCTTTTCTTTTTCTTTTTTTCTTTTTTTTTTTTTTTTTTTTTTTTTTTGTTTTTTCCTCTTTCATCAGAGTCGAATGCACCATAGAAACGATTACAAAGAATCATTGAGACATAACAATGAAAAGAACAAGAGCAAGAGCAAGAGCAAGAGCAACACCGTTTAGAATCGTCAAAGCCCAACAGCTCTGAAAACTTTTCTTTTTTTTTTTTTCTCTCTCTCTCTCTCTCAGAAAAAAATAAAAATAAAATAAAATAAAAAAATAAAGAGAGAGACGAGGCGCAAATGAAATAGTCATCGTGTGTTTTTTTTTTTTCTTTACGTTTGTCTTTGTGCAGTGCCAAGGTCTTTCTTTCACTCTGAACATTCATTATTCTATGCATGTGGAGAGTGGATGAGTGAATGAGAGGATGTGATAGGACAATAAAGATGTAGGTTGCATAGGAAATACTTATCTAAATGTATTAATATACTCAACTTTGTTTATGTTTATTGGTAATTGTGATTATTGTTGTTTGTTGTTTTAATGGCAAAAAGTAAAAATGCTTTCCGGGATGGAAAAGACAGAAGGAAGCATTTCATTTGGAGCCCTCTTTTTCTTTGCCTTATCCGAGTACTGTACATGTATATACATTGCTAGCGACAATAAAAAAAAAAAAAAAAAAAAAAAAGATATTTTTTACAGGTTTATTTACAAACATGAAGATTGTAAATTCAACTCTGTGTTCAGTTACAAGAAGAGGTTAGGGAGTAGTTGCTGCTATTTGATTGATGAAAAAAAAAAAAAATGCAACTTTGAAATGAAGATCGTCCTGTCAACAGGAGACGTTGATGGTGATTGCTTAAAAGATTATGGACTAGTGCAAACACACTTTCACCTAAACAACACCCAAAAATAAGCCAGGATGGGAAAAAAAAAGATAAAAATAACCAGCTTTTTCATTAACAAACCTGGAACAACCTCGATCCTTTTTTAACTTTGTTTGATACTGAGAATAACATAGGGGGGAGAGAAAGGAGGACTAATAGGACCCTACTTTTTGCTGCAACAATGGGTACATTTATATTTTATCTAAATGATGATAAATATGTATTAGAGTGAGACATCCTAAAAGACGGAACAAACCTTGGAACACGTTCCTTTCTTGGAAACTTTACACAATCTGACACATCAAATGCTGTCACATGGCTAAAATTATATTTTTAAAATACGCGGCAGCAGAAGTGCTTTGTCGTGTCAAAGAGAGAGAGAGAGAGAGAGCCATGATGGAAAAACATTTGTTGTATGTATAAATCTGTATAAACGTTGTAAATATTGTATATATATAATATATAATAAAATAACATCAGCCTTTCCTTGCACATCCAGCAAGCAAAGACCGATGAGAGCTGAAAGAGTCCGTTGGGCGTTCACCTGTGATGAAGAAGTGGTCATAGCTCATGTAGGATACATGCAAATGTATTTTATATATTAAATCTCTTTTACCATTGCCAATGGGGAAGGGTTTCTTCTTTGTTCTGTGGAGAGTTTGAACTTGAGAGCCCTCTCAGCCTCATTCACAACCGTTTTTTTTTTTTTTTTTTTGCCTATAGCCTAAAAACATTATCAGGCGATTATTATTATTATTATTTTTTTTTTTCTGGGTAATTAGGAATATGAAGGATTTATAAGCTATAGTTTTTATTTTTATTTTTATTTTTTTTTTTCATAATATGCTTGTACAGACAAACAAGCAAGAAAAAAAAAAAAAAAAAAAAAAAAAAGATCGTTGTGATGGATCTCAGCCTGATTCAGACACAAGAGGCCACAGAACGCACGCTCCTAGACTACGAAAGACTAGAAAAAGGAAAAAGGAAAAAAAAAAAAAAAAAAAAAAAAAAAAAAAATTTATGTTTGCGGGGTAATAATTAACTCTGTATCATGTTGGGACCTGGCTGGCCCAGAAGTTGTTCTGGATCCTCCTGATTCTGTACCAATAATTGAAATCCGATATTATTCATGTATCCCTCCCTTCTCTGAACTTTGCATGAAAGGCAACGTTATTTTCAATTGGCTGAATCAAGTTTTTGCACACGATATTGGTGAGAGCATGAATGAATGTTTGCAAATTTTAATTCACCATGTTCTGTACGACCCAATGTTAGTTGATGGATATTAAATAATATTTATATAATATTCATATTTATATAGTATATATATGCAATACATTTATATGTCTATATATTATAGTTATTTATATAAAATAATCATCATCATCATCATCATCATAAAAAGGCATCTTCTCCATCAATGTTTATTCGTTACACAAAGATATGTATCAGGCTTGATCAAGGAAAGGGAAAAGGAGACATGGGCAAAGACGAATGCATGAAGGAAGAGAGTTGATCTATTTTTTTTTTTTTTTTTTTTTTTTTCCCTTTTGGAAGGAAAGAGAGAATTACAGTTAGAATCATCTTGAACGATGGGAGTGCGGGGATATAAAAAATCATCATCAGATATGTTTTAAAACCTTTTTAGACATCTGCGCTTTGTTTTTTCGCATGTAGCGCTAACTGATCCATTTTGAGTTAAATCAGCTTTTTCTTTTTTTTTGTGTGTGTGTGTGAATATGCACCGTTGTCGTGTTTGATCATATCATCAATGTTTTGCTACGTTCCGCGTTCCGAATCGTTTTGGTTTTGTTTGCAGTTGATTAAAAAAATTTTTTTTATGCTTTTTACAGGTCAAGGTTGGTAACGATGCGTGTCATCTTACGATCAATTTGATAAGTTATTAATAAATCCTGCCTTTTTCATTAAAGACGTTAAAAAAAAGGAGGTCCAACAGACTGCAACATGACGCCTTCTTCTGAGGGCGGGTTCAATACAAGCATCTAGGCTTAAAGTGAAGTGGCGCAAACATGCATCGCACGCGAAAAAAGAAAAAAAAAAAAAAAAAACGGTATCGAGGGATCATTGTCCGAATCTTTTCTGCAGCTGCCGCTGTCGCAATCAGCCAGCCAGCCAGCCAACTGGCTTTAAAGGCAGTGCATTTGCTGTTGAAACTGAACAGTGGATGAACTACAAGCATTAAAACTACCACACTTGCTTACCGAGCAGTGCCATGATGGGTTTTTGGATTTCTATTTTATTCCACAGACACAGCCTATCGTGTCGCCAATGAACTCTTGGCTTATTTGTTTTTGCTTTTGCTTTTGCTTTTAGAGCACCTTATCCAATGGCACAGACGTGAGGCTAGGGTATTTGAAAAGAAGACTCGAGAGACGCCAGGGCAATAGCAGAGAGCACACACATAACAGGGATAAACAAGAAACAGGAACTTTTTGAGCCAGCTTGCTGGGCGCATTAAAAAAAAAAAAAGACGCCTTCGTCCTAGATTATTTGTAGTTTCTGGTTCCTACTTTTAGCCTTAGTCTTAGTTCTAATCCTCCTCAACTCCTGTTTCCTGCTCCTTGCCCCTTACTCTCAGCTCCACGTTACTTACTGCTTGGTCGTATTTATGGATGAGCGCATCAGGTTTCATTTAACTATTGGCGCGGCAATCTGAGAAGACTACAATGTCAAAACTTGAGCTTACTGCTATTGCAAAAAAAAATTAATAATACATAATAATAAAAGAAGGCATGACCACCAGGATACCAGGGTTTTTCTTTTTCCATGTATTAACAAGCGGAAATTATTATGTGGCGACGCACTCGGGAGAAAAGGAGAGAGTGGTATTCTCTTTCTTCGACAAAAAAAAAAAAAAAAAAAAAAGTGGGCAATCGCTACTTATTCGCTGTTTTTAGTAGCATCTGATAATGGACGAATGAGGGTAGGCGGGGACTTTTTTTTTTTTTTTTTTTTTTTTTCTCTCTCTCTTTAAACCAGAAAACCCTGCCTTACCCCAACTAAACAAATATTTCTCTGCGTTTTTCTTTTTTCCATTTCTTTCTTTTTTTTTTTTTTTGCTTATGTTTTTCTCTGTGATGGATGTCAAAGGAATGGACGACAACACCCACAAGAAGAAGGAAAGCTAGGCTTTTTTGGCTGGACTACTCGAGTGAACTGGACCCGGCTACTTTTACAGTTAGCGTAAATCTTGTGTAGCGTAGCGAAGCCTACTCTTTGTGGCATGCTCACTTTATTTTATTTTATTGATTGATTGATTGATTTAAAAGAAGCAAGAGAATGAATGGAATGAATTGGAGAGAATAGGACAAATATTCTAAATCTATTAGATGATATTTATTCACACAACTAGTTTGTTTATATATACCTTATTTTAAGAAAGAAAAAAAAAGTTGCCAATGAGAGCATCAAGACAAAGAAAGACCAAGGACATTGAGCATCCGTCAAAACAAAAAAAAAAAAAAAAAAAAAAAAAAAAAACATTTAAAAGGGTTCCCCTCCTCTTCCCCTCCTCTTTCTTTTTTTTTTTTTTCTTACTCTTCTACTCACACCTCATCTCACTCTTCATTCTCTTCACTCTTGCAATCCACACCCGCATCTAATCTCTTAATTTCATTTATTGTATAATACCTCATATATAATCATCATGCTCTTCAAGTCCATTGCCACCGTCCTCACCATTGCAGGTCTCGCTGCTGCCCAGACTCCTACCGAGTACACTAAGGGTGTTGCCCACATCAAGAAGGGTATGTGATGTGATGAGATTCCCTCTTTCCTTGGCTTATTAATCTCCCCGATACTACATTGTCTCCAACAACGCTTTGCTCAGCAACTTTTGTCTTTGACGCGCAACACACAAAGAATTAATCAATCAAGGAGCAAACCATCATTGTCAATGCCGTCAGCAAAAAGAAAAAAAATGGGCGCAGTCTGCGTACGATTTTTTTTATTTTTTATTTTCCTTGTATAATAAGGAAAATCTCATGGTGCTCTTACTGCAGAAGAAGAAGAAGAACAACAATGGATAGAATCTTGCTACGTTTTATTCATCACCATTTTTTGGTTTGAGAGTAACCGGAAGGGTGGTGGGATGAACCTTACTTGCAGGTCCCATTCCGACCCGGCCTAGCCTCTGTTCTCTTTTATGATTTTCATCGTGTGTTCTAGCCACATTTCCTAATTTCCATCATCAACTGCCCAAGCGCGCTTTTTCAGTTGTTTACGTTCCATGATGGTGACAGAGACAAAGAGAGAGAGCACCAGGAGCAGAGGGTGCTATATGCTAATAATACCACATAACACAACAAATATTTAATTTGCGTTTGTGTGACCAACGGCTTCCTATTCGATAAGCACCTTTCTAGCCAATGACCGCTAAAGCCTCAACAGCCTGATCGCTCTTTTATTTTTATTCCTCACTAATTCGTCTAAAAAAAAAAAAAAAAAAAAAAAAAAAAAAGAGTTGTCTAAATATATTATTGACATTTATACGTTTTTTTTTTTTATGACCTGTTCTAGACAATATCGACGCCATCTTCACCTTCGAGAAGGTCGCTGAGGGTACCAACGTTACTGTTGATGTTAAGAGCGGTCTTACCCAGGGTCTCCAGATCCTGCCCGCTGGATTCGAATACCACATTCATGTCAAACCTGTCGGTGCTAATGGTGACTGCATGGCCACTGGTGGTCATTTGAACCCCGGCAACGCTGGCAAGTATCCTTGCGATAAGACCAGCGCCAACTTCACTGCCTGTGAGATTGGTGACTTGTCTGGCAAGCACGGAAACTTGGTCGCTGCCAACAACGACACTGGTGCCATCCCTCCTTTGAGCTACGTCGATAGCCAACTCAGCTTCTCAGGTCCTACTGAATCTGCTTTGCTCGGTCGTTCCGTCGTCATCCATAACAACGGTACCCGCATTGCCTGCGCTAACTTGGTTGTTGAAGGCTACACCGCCCCTGAGGCCAACAGCACATCCCCCACTACCGTCGGTTCTACTCCTCTCCCCACCAAGGATAGCAGCGCTGTCAAGCTCGTCGCCTCCCTTACTCTCTCTGGACTCGTTGCTGCCATGATGTTGGCTCTTTAAATATCCTTTTTAATTACTCCACTCTCTCTTCTCTTTTGTCATATAGATGCATCTCTTTACTCCCCTTCACCATCAAACAAAACAACGAAAAAAAAAAAAAAAAAAAAAAAAAAAAAAGTAGTTAATATCTATCATTTTAAAGACAGGTAGAAGCATTATACCAAGTTTAAAAAAAAAAAAAAGAAAAAGAAAAATGAGAATAGTTTCTCTTGTCGTCAAGAAAGTGCTTTCTTGATGAGCTTTTCTTCATTTCTGCTCTTTTTTTTTTTTTTTTAATAATAATAATAATAATAAAAGAATAAAAAAAAACTTGTATTGTACACTTGGAAAAAAAAAAAAAAAAAACGTTTGGTTGTTGTTTTCGGGGGTCATGCTTCATGTTATTCTGATAAACACGAAGTAGTTTTTATATACAGCACAGAAGAGTCCTCACTAGAAGGTCATGAATAAATATATATATTATTTATATATATATTTGTCGCTCTTTTTTTAAATTGAATATTATACTTTTATTTTTGATACATTTCTACTGAAACTTATTCAAACTAAGTATAAATATTTGTTCTGGCTTTACCCACGTAGTTGAAAGATCCCTTGGTGCCTGAAAATAATATATAAATAAACTATTGTACGCAAATATAACTCCTAGTTTTTATTTTATTCTTTATTTTTTATTTTTTATTTTTTTATGGCTCTATATTTGCCTATATACTTCGCCCAATCAGACCCGTGCTTGATTAGATGACGTATAAACCATCAGAGTCTTTTATTGTCCTTCCGTTTTTTTTTTTTTTTTTTTTTTTTTTCATGTGACATACAACATTTGTAAGAGTTGAATTGGAGGTCGATCCTTTAACCTACATTATATGTATATAAAAGAGACCACTGTTGATACCGCAAAAAGACTAAGAAAGGAAGAATACAACCACAAGTTTAGTAACTTAAAACCTCCCCCGTTAAATATCCGTTAATAATCCAAGTGGTCTTTTTTTACGCGTAAAAAAGAGATCTGGTCCTTAAGGTGGTGCTTCATTTTTCACTAACACGCACAATAGATTTGACCATTCGGAAGGAATAACTAAAGCACCAAGGTAAAGAAAAAAAAAAAAAAAGAAAGTCTGTCTGTCATGACTTTTTTTTTTTTTTTTTTTTTTTGTCGTTGCTGATGCTGTTATCCTTGTTATTTCAATAAGCGGTGCTTCGCGAATTATTGTAAAGTATGACACCGAAGATAACATGAAGAACGATCACACAGAAAGACTCGGAAGCTATAATTATAATAAAATAACAAATTAAACATCCTACAATCGCCACAATAGACCCTTCATTGCCCAAACTTGTATAATACATCTATCAAAAGAGAACAAAAAGCGGGTAAGAAAAAAGGCGGTTAACAAAGACTTATCGAAGTTTTAAGGAAAAAAAAAAAAAAAAAAAAAAAAAAAAAGATACAAAAAGAACCTTGGGATCTTCTTTCTCCTCATCAAAAAGTTACTCGTCAAAACCCCAAACCCAAAGCCTACAACGCCAATAAAAAAAAAAAAACAAAAATCTCCCATTTGAACGCGCTCCAAAAGAAATACCAACATTTCCGATGACAGAAACCAGGCGCCAAAAGGCCAAACGGGAAGAAGCTGCTGCCACTCAGGGACAGGGGCAGAGCAATTCCCCTTCTACTAATTCTATCGTTTCAACTACAGCTACTTCAGGAAATGACCCAATCCGAATCCAAGTCCTAGACCCAACACAAATCCCGATCCCAGTTGATGAAACAAATCCAGCGGGTCTGAAGATTCCAACACCTCCACAAACTAATGTCCACACCCCTCGCACACAGACACCAGGCCTAACGGGGCATTCTAACGAATGCGAAGATACCGCTCCCACTGCAAGCTCTACCACTCAACAGTGTAGGGATAAAGGGAAAAATAAATCCGAAGTATCCCATGCCGCGCCTGTGACTCGTCCTCCGCGTGGTAGACCCTCTACCTCACGTTCGAACCTCTCGCCGCAAATAGAACCACAAGAGGGTACCATTACTCTTTATGTTGGAAACGCGAGCTCTTCCAAAAGCTATTCAAAAAAGAGAAAAATAACTCTTCAAGAAGATCATATTTCTACTACTGCAGGAAGAGATGCCGAAGGCAACAATCGCAGCTATAACAGCAATAATGACGAACAGTCGCAACAGACGCAGCACCAACCCAGGCCTCAACACCTACAGAATGGTGGCTCTAGCTCCGCAAAGAAGCCTCGTTCAGACCCCTCTACCCTTGCCCCTACGGCTAGGACACATGGATACCGTGATATTGCGCCTTTCCCGTCGAATGTAGTGGACCCTAGAACCTCTGGGGATTATAAGCTTCCGCAGAGAGACCGTGATCATTTAAAGGGTTTAGGGCCCAGTTCTAGTTCTAGTTCTAGTTCTAACTCTGAGGACGAAAATATTGCGTCAAGGCCATTAAAAGGAATAGATGCGGCTGAAGCCCTCATTGAGTACCATAATGAAGAGCGTATCTTTGAGGATCGCAAGAGCTATGGCACAGCGTTTGGCGGAGAGCCAACTCTTCAGCAAAATTATGATCACGGCCAAGAACCCAGAAATAGTTCGGCCACAGAGGATCCAAGTTTTCATGAACTTGAGAGCCACTGCGGCTCATCTGTAGTTACCTATTCTAATCCTAGTGTCGTTAGTTCTCAACTTGCAAGGAGCTCTTTGCGTTTTCCATATCCTGGAAATTGCTTTTGGGACCGGGGCGAAGAGATATTTAGAGCTCATATCCCTCATGAAGCTTTTCACGAGAATATTAATCATCTAGCTCATGTCTATGATTGGGGTTTCCAAAGAGGGGTTGCCACGCGTGGATTCCCTAGCGTCATATATACGGAGTTTATACCCGATCCTAACATATTAACTGTTGATCATGGACAAAATCAACGCCGTTATCCAAGGACCGGTCACCTTCGACTGGATGAAAGAATTGTGGATTTAGTGGTGGCTATGCATCAGGCCTTATATGACAGAGGCTACCGTGATGGCCAACGAAGCGTTCGACCCAATGGACCTTCAGGGTCAATTGCTAACCCTTCTCCTCCTCCACCGCCACCCCATCGCCCTCATCCTCACCCGGATCGCCGCCATTATACCCCGAATATCTACCAACAGCCGCCCCATCCTCATGCTTACGGTAGGCAGTCTCCGAAGCCTATGTATGACAATCGCTATCATTCTCAACAGAGTCACCAAAACTATCCCCACTCAAATGAGTATCCTCAAGAGATTTCTTCTCGACAGTATCCGTCACACAGTCCAGAAGGCCCTAGGCGGTCTTATTATCTACCTCAACAACAACAACAAGAACTACCTTCGATGGACCTACCTCCCTATAACCACCGACAGCCAACACCCTATCCATATTATGTAGCTGCGCCCTCCCATCAATCACAGCAGCAACAGCCAAGGTCAGACGATGGGATGTATACCTACCGAGGATCATCGTCACCTGAGCCCATATATCAACGATCGATGCAACGAGATCGTCCCATCCAAAGTGCTACACTCCCTGCAGCAAATGTTGGACCATACCCAGGAGAAAGAGCCAGGGATGTGATCCAGAGCGACCCAACCAGGACTATGCCTCCGCTCACTGTGGTTACGCAGAATGTCCACGTGGGCGTGGATGGTACTAACGCTTCTGGAGGCTATCAAAGACTTGATTACAATACTGATTCCCCCTGCCACCGTTACTACGGCAGACCCCAACATCAGCAGCAAGATCAAGGTCGATGGCAACAGCAAATATTGTCACCAATGGGCTCTGAATACACTGCCGAATTGGACGCGGCTACTGAAGATGAGGAAAACGACTATTTACCACATGCAAGGGAAGAAACTCCATGGCCACAAAGTGACAATGTGCCAATGAATCCTCTACGTATTGGTAATGGCAATGAAGAGGAGACGTTGTATATGATCGAGGAGGATATTGAGAACCTGGAATGGGCGTTACAGAATGTAAAGAAGCAAGAGCAGCAGCGGCGGCGGCAGGAAGTACAAATACAGAGGCAGAGAGATGGAGAAGGGCCTTCAACCTCCACTAACAGCTTTCTCGGCCATCAACCACAAGTATCTCACCAAGTTCCTATGGTTTCTACTACTGATATGCCTAGCTCTAATATCAATTCATTGCCATCGTCATCATCATCGACATTTCAGCCTAGAGACACGTCTTCACAAGCACCCAAGTCATTGAGCTTTATCCATCAAGGAGTAGGGGAAGCCAGAGGGACAGGAGCAGGAGATGGAAGAGATGGAGAAAGGGGAATGGACGTAAGCACAACGTCGGTAGCAGGACATGCACGGGAAAAGAAGATTAGAAATAAGTTTGTAAACTCATTTCAAGCTTCGTACGTACACAGCAGCAACAACAGTGGCAGTAGCTCTAGACGTAGCGGCGGCGGAGGAAGTATGACCCACAGAATGAACAACAATGCTGCTGCTACAACTAGTGTTGCGAGTAATGGCGCTGTTTGCGCTACAAGTGTTGCTGAGAAGTCATCAGACAGCCTTAGTATTACTACGACTGCTACTGCTACTGGCACTACCATCGCTGTTAGTACTGACGTTGTTGGAGCTAGAACGATGAATGATGTTCGCTATCGTCCCTACCCAAAGGCTAAAAAGTCCTCACCTAAGAAGACGCCCAAGCCATCGTCTCTACGTAGCGAGGCTACTCAACAGAGCATGAATAAGGATATTGCTATTCAGAGTCAAGGTCAGAACCAAAACCAGGACCAAGACCAGGACCAAACTCTGAAGAGAGCGATATTATCGGAAGAATCAGGTGGGGGTGAGGCAGTCAAGAAAGAACGTGAGGCCAGTGCAGAAGAAGGAGAAGAAAAGAATGAAGCCAAAGAAGGAGGAAAAAAGAATGAAGTCGGAGAAGATTGTAGTAGTAAGAAGTAGGATATCGATACTATCATCGACTAGCAGAGGCAGAGACAGCAGGACGAGATTGAGGTATAGCCAATGAGAGAGATATCGAGCGTGAAGCTTGAAGTGGCTGACTTGAAAGTTACAAGCTTTCATTTTTTAAGGCTTAGTTTTTTTCTTTTTTCTTTTTTCTTTTTCTTTTCTTTTTTTTTTTTTTTTTTTTTTTTTTTTCAAATAAAATAGTAAGCCATTTCTCTCTTCTTTTTTACTTTATTTTTTTATTTCATCTAACTTTCATTTTAAAATACTAGTGGTCCCGTGTGGTCTTGGGATGCATTCGACGCCGCATTCGTTCACGCTTTTCCTTGAGTTTTTTCCATAATCGCTTCTTTTGCTTAGAAACATGATTGACCGCATCTCGACTCTCGTTCAACAGATCAATATATTGGTTACTGCAGTTGATATTTTCCTAAACGATGTTGGAAATCAATGAAGAGGATCGTAAAATAAATGAGAAAACATGTCAAAAGCCGAGAGAAGGAGAGACTACTAAAAGACTTCAGAGATCATTACCATAAGTAGAGAAAGAGTCTTTTGGACCTGTTCCCGATCCTCTCCGTTCTTCTTCCACTCCTTGTTTCCATTAATAAATTCTGCTTGGTCTGGCATTCCCCTTAGAGCCGTGGAGCAACCCTCGCCCATACCGTAGCCTAATTGTGGATAAAGTGGATCGTCTCCTTGGAGGATCAAGGCCACACGACTCATCATTTTGTTGACAGCCTTCTCGCGTTCAATCATGGCCATGGCATGAACAGCCATGATCTGTAGCTGAGGACTCTGAAAGATTTTTCTCAATTGAGGTCTTTGTAAAATTTCGGTTGAGGATTCAAGAGGCGATAAGAGTTCATTGATTTTGATACCCGCATAGGGGTTTTCATCATCCGAGAGCGCATCTTCTGCATGACCGTTCTCATCTACACCATAGGATGAACTTGACGTGGGTCGAATTTGGATCACTTCACGTTTACTGATGGCAGCAGCTAATTTAGATCCTGGTTGTATAGTTGTTCCTAATATGCCGTTCATGATGGAGGATGTTCCTGCTCCTGCTCCTAATCCTGATCCTGGTCCCGGTCCTGTCCCTACTACTACTCCTGAGGCAGCGAGGGAGCGTCTAAAGTTGGATCGAATCTCTTCCTCATTGGTATTATCGTCCAAAGATTTTGGATTGTTATTGTTGCTGTAGTTGCTGTTAATTCCACGCAAGTCAGGAATGTGGAGCCTACAACCTCCTGTAGTTGGGTTGGGTTTACGTTTGAGTTTATTGCCTCGGTTATGCGGCACGAAGCCAATTTCTTCTTCGTCCGAGCTTTCCTCCCTGACTTTTCTCGCCCCTGCAAAAAAAAAAAAAAGTAAAAAGTTAGTCTTTTTTTTTTTTTTTTTTTTTTTTTTTTGATTTTGCAACTTCTCGTAAGTGAAATGACAAACACATACTTGATGTAGGAATGGGAGCTAGGACCGGTGCTTCTGTGTAAGGTATCGCTCTGCTTTTTTAATAAAGTAAAAATAAAAATAATAAAAATATTGCTTATTTTAGTAAAAGGAACAGTGGCAGAAAAGGAATTCGAATGCATCAGCCTGAAAATTCTAGAAATGAATCAGATTTATAAAGAAAAATAAAAATAAAAAAAACCTTTTGGCATGTTTGATTGTCATCAAGTGGTCAGTCTCCATGATTGGGAGCGTGTAGAATGGGTGATATTATGTGAATTATTTACAGATGACCAACAATCAGTGATTAAAAATAAAAAAATAAAAAAATTAAAACGCTTTAAATATGATGGATAAAAAAAAAAAGAGAGAGAGAAAGAGAGAGAGAGAGAAAGAGAGAAAGTAAGAGAGAGAGAGAGAGAGAAATACAAAAAGGGAAAGAGACTTGCGGTCAAGAAAGAGTAAGTGTGTGTGCGTGAACAAGAAGTTGTGGATGCATGCAGAGACGAAGAGGAAGAAAAAGATTTGTCTGTCCAGTGTGACTGCGCGTAGAAAGTAAAGCTCACTGTAGTCCCCAGAAAGGAGTCGGTGTAAGAACGTGGTCTCAGCAAAGAACTAAACCTTTATTTTCTCTCTCTCTCTGTTCTCTTTCTCTTTCTCTTTCTCTTTACACTTCTTTTGTTCACACACGTAACACGTATCATTGCTCCTATCACCTATCAATCAATCACTAACAACCTCCATTCAATACTCTAATATCCATTTTTGAGTCATGTCTGCTACCTCTACTCCTGCCATTGTGCCTTGTCGGTACAAAACTGGCAAGACCCTGGGTCAGGGCACCTATGCTGTCGTCAAGGGTACTGATAGCTGCTTCTCTTTGCTCTTACATTCCATCTTAATCTGTCTTCATCATTATCTCTCTTTTGCTTTTAACGAATAGTCCTCTCATACAAAACTTTTTTTTTTATTATTTTCATTGCTCGTTCGGGATTACAACCCAAATCTAAATCCATATCCATATCCATATCCATATCCATATCCATATCCATATCCATATCCATATCCATATCCATATCCATATCCGTATCCATATCCAAAGAGGCTGTCCATGTAAAGTTATTTCGATCGTTACTGAATCTTTTATGAGAAATAATCTGTTTTTGTTGTCCAGGAACAGCTGCAACGATGAGTGGTTGAGTGACTAATCTGACGGCCCTTGGGATTATTATTTTCTCACCCTTTTTCAAACAAATTTATGCTCAAAGATTGAGACTGGAAAAAGATATGCTGTCAAGGTGATCAACAAGAAACTGATGGAAGGCAAAGAACACATGATCCGCAATGAGATTGCTGTCCTTCGTCGCATCTCCATTGGTCATGCCAACATTCTGACCCTCGTGGACTTTTTTGAGACCATGAACAACCGTGAGTTTATTTTTATTATTGTTATTGTCAATTTGTCTTTAAACTATTTTTTTTTTTTTTGTTTCCTTGATGTTCCTCATGATACAAAGGGTCTAACGCGTCTATGTTGTTTACTTTTTCTAGTTTACCTGGTCACAGATTTGGCTGAGGGTGGTGAGTTGTTTGATCGAATTTGCAGAAAGGGTAACTACTATGAGCATGATGCTGCCAACTTGGTCAGGACCATCTGTAGTGCCGTGGCCTATCTGCACGAGCAAGGAATTGTTCACCGAGGTAAAAAAAAAAAAAAAAAAAAAAAAAATGCATGAAAATAAATTTTGGCTAATGTGAAGGAATATACTTGAATACAAGGAGACAGGTTAAAAAAATGATAAAGAAAAACAATACGATTTGTGGTGGTCTATTCTACCCTGGCATTACTATGTCTTCCACTGATTGCTCTCAGGTTGTGCTCATAGAGCCGTGGCGTCATCACTAATTTACGCCATCATAAAGCACCATGACCATGTCTCTTTATTCCCTTTTTTTTTTCTGATTGTCAGTTAGCCGCTGTTACTTTTTTCCTGGGAAAGCAAACATGGGGTTGTAAAAAGAGAGCTTGGTTCAATGAAACACAATGGACGTGAGGAAAGACATCAATAGGAAGTAATGATGGAAGAGAGCCCTGCGATTTAGTTTCGCGTGGATATGGTTCGAGGACGGGGCACGAGTAAAAAAAAAAAAAAAAAAAAAAACAACAAAACAAAACAAAACAAGACAAACTAACTGTCCTGGTTCATTTCTGTTCTTATACTTGTTCTTTTTCACTTGATTGCTCCATTGATATGAACTGGATACTCATGGCTACTAGATTTGAAGGTAAGAAAATTCCTATTTGTAAAAGGATTCCCATCAGATGTTAAGTATAGAAAAAACTCCTCGGAAGAATTTTTTCTATTTGTTTGTTCCATTTTATTTTATTAATGTAGCTGGGCTTTGCTTTTGCTATCATATATTGTTGGCTTCCGTATTTTCCTGTCTCATTTGAATCGACTATTCTCTCTAACTCTCGACGAGCATATTTGCCATCTTTCTTTGGCTACTACTTCCTTTCCCCCCTTTTTACGCTTTCCCCCTTTTCTTATTTGATATGTCGTTGATATGATCGTTGATTGACCTTTTTATTCTGTTTCTATCGACTTGCCCTTGATATATTGTTCGGCAAACCTTGCGCACAGCCCGAAAATTTGCTTTTCAAAACAGCAGCAGAGGACAGTGAGCTTCTCATCGCTGACTTTGGGCTTTCAAGGATCATTGATCAGGAAAAGTTTCATTTACTGACCACAACCTGTGGAACTCCAGGATATATGGTAAATATTTTTTTCTTTTATTTATTTTATTACTTTGTCAACTTCAATGTGCTTGCGCCATGCAGAATTCTTAAAATGAAAGCGGTTGGATTTTCAATACTCTATTTGGTATTTTTTTTAGGCTCCCGAAATTTTCCAAAAATCTGGCCATGGCAAACCTGTGGATATGTGGGCTTTGGGCGTAATCACATACTTCTTACTCTGTGGTTACACACCATTTGACCGTCAGAACAGTATGGACGAGATGCATGCCATCCTTCATGCCGAGTACCAGTTCAGTCCTGTTGAATACTGGCAGGGTGTTTCTGAAACGGGTATGTATTGCTTTATTTTAATACCATTGCATATTTCACTTGCATCAGTAAATGACCCAGCTATTGTAGGCCAAAAAAAAAAAAAATAAAAAAAATAATAATAATAATAATAACGGTCTGAGATCACTTTAAAAAATAGCCAAGTCCTTTATCAATGGCTTATTAACAGTGGACCCTAGTCGCCGGATGACAGCACAGGAGGCATTGAATCATCCATGGTTGGCGCTGTCTGCGATTCATCACCAGGAAACTCAGCAACAACAACAGCAGGATCAGGAAATGGAGGGCGTAGCACCTCATGACTTGCTACCATCGATGATGTCGGCACGTACAAAGTTCCGCCATGTAGTGGGCGCAGTCAAAGCACTCAACAAGATGGGTGGCAAGCGTCATGAAGACTTGCGAGCAATTCATGCTGAGGATGTGTCTCATGTAATCCATCAGGGAGACGTGGATATGGTCTAAGAATGAAAGAAGAATATAATAACTATCAAAAGAAGGAAAAAAAAAAAAAAAAAAAAAAAAAAAAAAGACTTTCTTAGATTGAAGGAGGATAAGATGTATTGCACTGAAAGAAGCAAATTATGACTGATTGATGAAATGTAGACACATTCACTCATACACGCGAATAGAAAATGATTTGTAAGAAAGAACGTATTTGGGATGGGTGGATGAGTAGAAGAGGAGAAAGCCATCCATGAGGTGTGAAGGAAGTTTTATCTGACAGGATTAAATCTGATGAAGGAGGAAAGAAAGAAAAGAACCCTTGCATGCGTGTGGATGCATGGGGCAATTTCATTGTGGGATATATATATGACATGAAAAGTGTACGAACATGAATTATAGAGAGTTTTCATGATTGCTCAATATCTTCAAATGCGGCGATGTGGAGAGATAAAAATGTGGGTGGAATGCTCTCTCTCTCTTTCGCTCTCTCGCTTTCACATTCTCGTTCACTTTTTTCAATCTTTTTTTTATTTTTCGGTCATCGTCAGTTTGTTAGGCTAGCTGGTTTTTTTTTTTTTTTTTCTTTTTAAAGCAAAAGATTGAGCATTGATTGCATTGGAGGCGGAGGTGTATGTTCAAAGCGAAATGCTGTTGAACCCTAATTGTTTTTTTCCTCTGTTCTCCTGTTAGTGGTCGTATTATTAGCCTTTTGTTTTCTTTCTTTTTTTTCCTCATTCTCTCATCATCCCACGCTTTTTTTTTTTTTTTTTTTTTTTTCTTCCTCTTCATCCTTACTAGTCAATCTACCGCACTACTTCCATCACCTTCCCTTTCACTTTCTCCTGTGTGTGTAGCATGTGTGCCATTTAGACCACATTTCCTCTTCCACTCATTCTTAATCTTTAAATCTTTTTTTTTTTTTTTTTTTTTTACTTTTCATTTCTTATACAAATATATATATATCAACATCAACTCTATTGACTATTATATTTAGTCAAACTAATATTTTAATAGAAAAAACAAACAAGCAATGGTGCCTGAAGAGAGTGCTGATATTCAGGTCCTGGTCAGGGCAATGTATGACTATGAATCCGAGGATAGCACCAACCTGAGTTTTAAAAAAGATGATGTGATCCAGGTTTTAGCCCAACTTGAATCTGGATGGTGGGCAGGTCATTGTGATGGTCGACAAGGTTGGTTCCCTTCTAACTATGTCCAAGTTTTGGGGGAAGAAGACCTTGATAGCCAGGAGGAGGATGTAGAAGACCAAGATGACCTAGATGTAAGTATCTTTTTAAAATACCCTCAAATGACCAAAGGATACATTGAATGCCATTAGACTCTTTTTTATATGACAAATCAACCAAAGCAACCATCGACAAAAAGAACCCTCTCTTTCTTTTTACTCTTTGTCTTTTGTCAGTAACGTACGTCGTACGGGCAATAAACACACAAATCAAACAGAGCATTGATTTTCCGTCTTCCATGCACATGTACATCGAACCACATTTTTCACATTCAACACAACGGCATTTGTTATAAGAAATTTATTTTTTATTTTCTCTATTTTACTTTTGCTCAGTACCGCAGGCTCATCTTGTGGAATTGAGGCGCGTCGGATGCAATGCCTCTATCCACTGGGGTTATTGAGTCCAACCCCTTTCTCTCTTTTTCTCTTTTCTCTCTCTATCTGCTCAATGAAGTACTTTTTTTTTTTTTTTTTTTTTTTTTTTTACTCGCCACAAATTACGTTAGCCCGTCAGTCGAGAGCATACTTTACTGCTTGATTACAACGACCAGCCCAGTTTAATATTAAGAAAAAAAGGGGGAAAAGAGGAGAGAAAAGGTAGAAGAGGAATGATCGAGAGAGAGAGAGAGAGCAATGGGTTGAACTTTAAAGAGGAGAGAGTATCCTTCAAGATGCGATGTTGTTTTGTTGTACCAACAAGACTAACAAAACGGAATTGAGGGTTATATTAAAGCGCAGGATGCACATGGAGTACACAAAAAAGCATGCGGCAATCATTTAGACAAGGAGCAAGCTTTTTTTTTTTTTTTTTTTTTTTTTTTTTGCATGTGTGTTTTTCATTAGCATGAATGTTTGGGCAATCCTGACAAGTTTAGAGGATGCTTTAGTATATACAAATGCTTTAGTAAAGCAAACAAGAGCACACACATCATCCGATTCTAGCCTATGGTCCATTTAATATTGACATGTTAATATTGAAATATTTCTGGTTTCATGATCATAGAGTGCTGATGACCTTTGGTTACCCCAAACAACAGATGATGGGCAAGTCTTCTACTATAACCAACGCACACATGAATCAAGTTGGACGATTCCAGAGTCCGAAGATCGTACCAGCATCGCCACAGACCTGGATGCTATAGGCAAGTTTTTTTTTTTATTTTATTTTATTTTATTTTTTTATTTTTATTTTTTTAGCTGGACCTTTAATTCCCTATCAAACAAATGAGCTACTTTGTGGCATTCTCTTGTCTTGTTGGGGATTCCCGGATGGAAATTAAAGAGCTTTTTTTTTTTTTTGGATGTGGAGAACCCCTTCCATTAAGATCATTTCATTTCTCTGTAACCTTAATCTTACTATCCTGCATGCTATCGATTTTATTAACATGAAAACGACAACTCTTCTTTTCTTCGTTCCTTCTTCTCAATCAGGTCAAGGACAATGGTCGGTGCGCCAGTCAACATCCAATGGCAATGACTGGTACAACTCTGAGGCTGAAGAAGAAGACCAGGAGGACGAGGAAGAACATGATCAAACTCAGGAAACTCGACCTGGAATCTCTCGAGCCTCAAGTACACAATCTGTCAACAAGGTAAAGAAAAAAAAATGATTGATGATCCTTTCCCCCAACAAGTGCTCGATATGCGCAACCTAGTAACAAAGTTACATCTGTATAGAGCCTGCTTGGCCCATGAGGGTCAAGTAAGCTTTTTGGTTTACTCTGTTATTTATATTCTCGTAGTTTTGTTGTGGTAATATATATATATATATATATATATATATATAAAAAGGGAACGAAAGAGAAAAAAAAGGACTATTGAAACGACAGCCGAGTGTTTACCCTTGTTCTACGCCATTGTTCAACTTTATTGAGCTATAATGAGCTTGTCTTCAATTTACTTTATCTGCCCAATCAGCGGTCGACTCATAACCTTTCCTTCCTCAATTCTAGGCTTCCGCTGGAGACGTTGGTTCCTCCACAGACCCTTCTCCTTCTCTGACTTCCGTGCGTAAACCCTCAGGTCTGACGCCTGCAGTGCCACAAGACTCGGTCGAGGGTCTACCACCATTGCCAATATTACCTAACCCATTCGATCCTGAGCCAACTTGGCAATCCCTCCAGGAGCATACAAATGCAGCCGTGGATAACCTGTTACTATCTGCAGAGAAGGGTTACAAGCCTTATTATCTTATTCAATCATCGATTGTTGTCGAAGCTATCCGTGTCATGCTCTATGCTTCCGGCACAGTCGACAAGGACGCGGCAGTAATGCGGCAGCATCGCGCGCTCAAAATGCAACACCGACAGATTATGGCTGCGCTCTCCAAGCTCGTTCTCTCGGCCAAGATGGCCTCCGGTGTCTGGCCTGCAGCTGACGCTATTAGCAAACTTCAAAATGATGCCAAGGAAGTCAAGGTTGCAGCTCAAAACTATGTTACTACCGCTATGGCTGTGGACATTACAGTTCATCAGGTGGATGCCAGGCTGGTGACTGATGTCAAGAGTCCACTCCGTGCCAAGGCTGCTGCAAAAACACTTGATCGAGCTCTCTCAAATGCGTCGCTCAGGGGCGAAAATGGTGTTGGGGCTGTTAATAATGACCGTAAAGTGTTTGGTTCACAGATGAGTATTCAGAGCATTTTGAGCCAGCTGGATTATTATTCCAAGAGCACTTCTAAAGCCGTCAATGTGCTGGTGATGCAGATTGAAAAGATTATCGAGAACCCTTCACCCGCACTTCGCAACAGCGGCCAGAATGGTGTTTCGGCCTCTGCGCCTGTTATGAACACTGCACAATCTGCTCAATTAGTCACACAGGCACGCCAGACCATTTCACAGCTTGGCTCCTTGTTAACCCTCGTCACCGATTTTTATGCTAGCGTCCACCACGAGAACTCTACTATCCCTGAAAAGTACTTTGCAGACGTTAGAACGGCCAAGCAGGCTCTCCATGGCAACACGGCTTCATTAGTGATGGCTATTCAGTCAGCCACGGATCTGTTGGCCATTGGTCAAACTTTGGATTTGGCCCTCAATACGGCCCTCACTACAGAGAAAACCTCGCAGACCTTGGTTGATGCAGTCCGGACCTTAGTTCAGGAAAAAGATGCGGCTGACCATGCAGCCTTGAAGCCACAACACGAACCATATGGTCGCAAAGCACCCGTCACACCCGGCATGGAGCGTACGACAGAGGAAATTATTTACAACAACCATGATAATGACTCTGACATTGAACCAGATATGACACCACGACCACCAACTTCTCAGAGTGGCTATCATGGTTCCGGTACCGGTACTCTTCCACGTAATAGATCTGATTCTCAACCATCTATTTTCTCGAGTCACTCCAACCTCTCAAATCAGCCACAGACACCCGGCAACGAGTATGGATCCCGAAATCCTCAAGGAGGATTCCCTTTTCCAACTTCGCCTACTGACTCGATTTCAGGAGTTCCTAGTACCACCCACCCAGGTCGGTTTGATACTCGAGATAAGCTAAGGAAGCTTTTGGGAGAAGATGTGCCTGGGCGAGTGTCTACTCAGTACTGGTTCTTGAATTACGACTACCAGCCAGGAGATCTGGTTTTAAATGCAGATGGGCAGGTGAAAGGAGGCACGCTCCCTGCACTGATCGAACGACTGACATTGCATGATGGATTGGATCCCAACTTTATTGCAACGTTCCTACTCACATACCGATCATTCACGACCACGAAAGAATTGTTTGAGCATCTGTTCCTTCGATTCACGATCCAAGCACCACTGGGACTGGAGCAAGAAGAGCTGGAGATCTGGAATGAGAAGAAGCTGACGCCGATTCGACTACGTGTCTTCAACATTATCAAATCGTGGTTAGAGACATATTATCTGGATGATGAACCGGATGATAGGGAGGCTCTAGCGATGATCAAAGACTTTTCAGGCTCGACAGCAATGAGAGATACAATGAGCTTTGCAGCAGTACAGCTGATCAAGCTGGTTGAGAAACGCGAACAATCTGAGGGAACGTTTAGGAAGATGGTCTTGAACTTGACAACACAGGCTCCACAGCCGATCGTACCCCGAAATTTGAAGAAAATTAAATTTTTGGAATTAGATCCTTTGGAATTTGCGCGTCAGTTAACAATCATGGAAGCAACAGTGTATAACAAGATTCGACCGGTTGAGTGTCTGGCTAAGGCTTGGATGAGTGAGGACCCCGATATTGCTGCCAAGGCTGTAAACATCAAGAAGATGATCGAAACCAGTAATTTGTATGCAAACTGGATCAACGAATTAGTCTTGAGCGAGAAGGAACTCAAGAAGCGCGTCCTTGTCATCCGCCACCTTGTTATGATTGCTGAGGTGAGTATTAAGTTTGAATTATTGGATGCCGTGGTTAGAAGTATTTGTCATTTGGTGACTTTGCTGAATCCTTATATTTAATGATATTGATCTTTTATTATTATTATTATTTTTTTTATTTTTATGTATTTGGCGCACTTAGAGACTACGCCAGTTGAACAACTTCAGTATGCTGTCTGCTACGATGGCAGCACTTTCGCAGTCACCAATCCATCGTTTAAGACGAACTTGGGAACAAGTTCCAGCCAGGACGATGACTTCATTTATGGATCTCCAATCCTTGATGGGTGTGGTCAAGAACTGGGCTGAGTACCGTGAAGAGCTTCACTCGGTCAATCCACCATGCGTACCTTTTGTGGGCATGTATTTGACAGATTTGGTGATGATTCAGGATGGAAATGGGGATTTCTTGAAGAAATCCAATCATCTGATTAATTTCTACAAGCGTGTCAAGACTGCAGAGGTTATTCGCGAGATTCAACAGTACCAATCTGTTCCTTATTGTCTCACAGCCGTCCCTGAAATCCAAGCCTTCATCCGACGCGGTCTCGATGGCACAAAGTCAGTCGCAGATTTATATGACATGAGTCTGGCCTTGGAACCTCGGTAAGTTCCTTTCTCCTCACCCCCTTACTTTATGATTATTCTTGTTATTATTGTTGTTTTATGGAGGATGTATAGCCATGGATAGTTTTTTTTTTTTTTTTTTTTTTTTTTTTTTTTTCTTTTTTCTTTTTTCTTTTTTCTTTTTGGTTGCGAGAAGAGGTGGAAAGGAAAGGGAAATGTTATTTTTCCCAATTTAAAGAAACTATCTGACTGAAATATTTGATGCTCTGCCATCTCTTACACACACAAAAAAAAAAAACTATCGTTCGCTTCCTCTTCCTTTCGTCCTTTAACCACAAACCAGTGAACGTGGCGATGAAAGAATGGCAAGACTATTAACAGAGTCGGGCATGCTCTAGAGAGAAGAAGAGAAAGGAACAAAAAAAAAAATCCGGCGACTCAACACTTTATCACACCATACGCCTACAGTCTACACATCCGCAGTGCCTGGATATCCCTGGACCACTTCCTTTTTACTTTCTCTTTCTATTTTTTAATTTATTTTAATTTTCGTTGGCAGTTGGACAATCAGAACAATTGGACATTTCCCAACAAGAAACATCGACTTCTTTTTTCACGGCAGATCATCCAGATCATATAACCTTTGTCATAATCTTGAGAGAACGATGGCTGTCTACGATTTTTCTTTCTCCTTTTCTTCTCTAATTTTTACATTAAAGTTATATTTTATTTACGAAAAAAAAAAAAAAAAAAAAGAAAAGTCCTTCAAAGAACTGACACCCACTCTCTACTCCCATTTTTCTTTCTTTCTTTCTTTCTTTTTTTTTTTTTTTTTTTTTTCGATCACTTGCTTTCTTTTTTATATTTGGGCTTGATTTTTTGTGGCCCTCCTAGTGAAAAGGTCACATCACCCAACACTGTCGAACATATCAACCAGGTTTTTCATGCCACTGGATTGTAGATTATCATTATTTCTGCTACAACTACATTACTTTATATACTACTTATTATTATGACCTCAAGCTTTTTTTTTAAGGTTTTAAGGTTTTAAGGTTTTAGACTATTCAATCACGGCCAATGCGCAACAGACAAGCATGGCTTTTTTTTTTTTTTTTTTTTTTTTTTTTTTTCCTTTTCAAAAATAATAAATAATTTATTGTACAGAGCTGGGGCTATATTCCATAATTTTTTTTTTTATACCGAATTGTAAAAAAAAAAAAAAAAAAAAAAAAAAAAAAGAGAAAAAAAAGAGAAAAAAAAAAATGAATACATGAGTGAATGAGCGAATGCACAAGAGATAATAAATTATGAAAAAAGAAAAAAAAAAAAAGCCAGAGAGAGAAGTACAGGATGAGAGAAGAGAGGATGAGAAATATCGACAATTCGGATGCGGACATAGAGATGAACGATGAATGATAAAAAAAAAAAAAAAAAAAAAAAGGTATAAAATTAGAAAAAAAAAAAAAAAAAAAAAAAAAAGAGAAAAAGTCAGGTCAGTGAGGAAGGCATTGAAACAGTAGAAAACGAGAGAGAGAGAGGATATAAAAATGTCCTCTTTTTTGGCCCGCGGGACTGGAGGAAGGTCGCCAATCTTTTTTTTTTTTTTTTCCTCTCTCTCTCTCTCTCTTTTTTTTTTTTTCTTTTGTTTTTGTTTTGTTTTGTTTTGCTTTGTTTTTTTTTGACTTCTTACAGGAATCCAGATTCGAATAGCAATCGAGTGATTTTTTCTTCCTCTCCCTCCCTGTTATCGATTATTCATATCATAAAAAAAAAAAAAAAAGAAAAAGAAAAAGAAAAAGAAAAGAAAAAACATTGACGAATTGGTCAGAACTCCATCGAAACCCAGAAAGTAGATACTCGCTTTATCTTTAAACAATCGCCGTCATGACGAAAAGCGAAAGGAGGGAATGAAGGAAATCGGATGTAAAAGTATAAAATAAAAAAAAAATAAAAAAAAATAAAAAAAAACGCACCTTGGTTCCAATGCAACGCTCATCTCATGCAGGTCCTGAACTGATTTGGCATGATCTAATCCTTTCCGGATATATGTCTGGATCTCTTGCACAACCGTCAGGCAATAAGGCACCGATTGGTATTGCTGAATCTCCCGGATAACCTCTGCAGTGCTGACTCGCTTATAAAAGTTGATATGTTGATCTGTACCCTTTAAGAAATCCGGGTTACCATCCTGAATCATCACTAAATCTGTTAAATACACACCCACAAAAGGAACGCACGGTGGGTTGGCGGAATGTAGCTCCTGTCGGTAGTCCCGATAGCTCTTTGCTGGACTTGTCATCTGCTGTAGCTGTGTGAATGTATTCATGACTCGATAGGGAATCAATTCCCATGTCCTTCGCAGTCGATGAACGGGTGACAATGCTAAAGCTGCTGTAGTGGAGTACAGCATACTAAAGTTGTTGAGCAGACGCAGTTTCTGTTTATAAATATAAATAATATGAAAAAATAAAGAAAGACATGTACAAATAAAAAAGATAAATTTGCCTTCAGTATTGACTAATTTGATTCTTTAACCACCACATATTGCAACCAAATAAGCATATATATATATATATATATCTATCTTACCTCTGCAACCGTAATCAGGTGGCGGATGATGAGCGCACGCTTCTTGATGTCCTTCTCACTCAATACAATTTCATTGATCCAATTGGCATACAGATTGCTGGTCTCGATCATCTTCTTAATGTTAGCGGCCCTGGCCGCAATCTCTGGGTCAGTACTCATCCATGCATTAGCCAAACACTCGACTGGTTTGATCTTATTATACTGATTGGCTTCCATGATTGTTAGCTGTCGTGCAAACTCTAAAGGATCCAGGTCCATAAAGCGCACACGCTTTAGGTTCCTTGGCGTGATCGGCTGTGGTGCCTGTGTCGTCAAGTTTAGGACCATTTTACGGAAAGAGCCATCCGATGTCTCACGCCTCTCTACTAATTTGATCAACTGTACAGCTGCAAAACTCATCGAATCCCGCAAGATACCCGATTCCGCAAATTCTTTGATCTTTGGCAAGATTTGTCGATCTTCTTCTTCATCCTCCATGTAATAGTTCTCAAGCCATGACTTTATGATATTGAATACTCTCAATCGAATCGGTGTCAACTTTCGATCTGTCCAAATCACCATTTCGTTCGCGTCTAAACCAGGGGGTGGCGAGATAGTGATACGGTGAAACAAGAGTGCAAAGAGTTGACTAGTCGACGCAAACGAGCGATAAGTGAGCAAGAACGTCTGCACAAAGTTCGCATCATAGCCGTCATGCACAGTTAACCTCTCCACAAGGGCCGGTAAAGTGCCACCTCGTACATGGCCCTCCATGTTGAAAGAGATGTCAGTAGGTGAGTAGTCGTGGCCCAAGTACCAGGGAGTTTCGACTGCCTTGGCTGGCTTCGGTGTGGGTGCATCTTCACCCAGCATCTTTTTCAGCTTGGCGCCCCGAGCATCGGCTTTCTGTGACATGGAAATGCTGGGGCGGGATGTTGGCGGCATGATTTCGAGGGGAGAGGAGGGCGTAGGTTGTGAATAAGGATATGCGGTCGAATTGGACCGGACCGTGTATTCTGTTCCTGGCGTGGTAGGCGCGGAGAGGCCAGAGGCGGATGAACTGGATGCTAAGGACGATGGACGGGAATCAGACCGATTGCGTGAACTCCTGACTGTTTCGCTCTCTATGTCCGAGTCCCGAGCCAAAAAATAATCATCAATCTCGCTTTGACGATGGACACTACTGGCTGTATAACTAATACCACTCACTAGTGTGGAGCTAGCCTCAGACACGACTCGAGGGCGCATAATCTTCTCTGCCTCGTCATTCTCAGCTGCAAGTGAGCGGGCTGCGGATGTCAAATCCATGACAGATGTCTCTGCAGTTTGAATGGCCTCCAAGGCCATCTCTAAAACCGTCGTCTGTGCCATAGGATCTGTTGCCAATTGAATCGCCATTACAAGTGCAGCCACATTGTTGTACAGAGCTTGTTTCGAAACTCGGACATCCAAAAAAATGTGATCTTTGATAGCTGGATGATCAGCCAGCACTTTGGTGTAGTACTCACTCACTAGTGTCAACAAAGATCCGATTTGAGAAATAGTCTGCTGACATTGTGCCACTAGCTGTGATGACTGGGCTGAGTTCATGATAGCAGAGCCAGAGAGTGGGCGCGGATTAGGTGCTGCGCTACTCATCCCAAAGCTCATGCCTTGAGGGCTTTCCAGGATTTTGTTGACCTGAAGCGAGAGAAGAGAAATAGCTTTGCAAGCGCTCTTGCAATAGTAGTCCAATTGAGTCAAGACACCTGCTGATCCCAGTGATCTTCGATATGGGATCTTTTCGGAGCCTGCATCAATCGAAGGTCGAGGTCCATTGCTGGAGGGGGCACGAGTCAGCTTCATGGGCTTAGACTCGATTGGTATGTCAGTATCGAGAATTAGCTTTGCATCCACATCATGGACTGTAACACCAAGGGCCTGGGCCATTGTGATGTACTGGTTGACAGCATTCGCAACGTCGTCTGCATCAGCCCTCATCTTCGCTAGAGCGCCTTCAGCAGGCCATACACTAGAGGCCATCTTTGAAGAGAGCACAAGTCTCGAGAGAGCAGCCATGATTTGACGGTGATGGATCTTGAGTGCCCGATGTCGTCGAATTGGGGCCGCGTCCTTGTCAATCGTCCCTGAAGCATAAAGCATTACCCTGACAGACTCGACCACATGTGATGCTTGAATCTGGTAGTAGGGCTTGTATCCACATTCTGCAGACTGGATTAGGTTGTGCAATGTACCAGAAATGTGCTCTGCAAGAGAAGCCCATGTAGGACCAGATTCGAAGGGATTGGGCACTGCTGGTAAGGGCGGTAAGCCATTCACCTGATCAATCGGCGCACTGAGTGTAGTTGAGGGCTTACGAACGCTTATTGGTTGAGGTTGGTTCGAAGATTGTTGACCATCTTGCGACACTGGAGAGCCTGCTCTTGTCTAGACCATGCAAAAGCGATAGGAAAAAAAAAAAAAAAAAAAAAAAAATCCATAATATTAGGATATTTGAAGAAAGGCGAATAGGAGGACAGGTAAGGCAGGTATGGAGGTATGTCTGCTCCACACAAACATATTTATAAACAGAGCACAAACATTCCATGAGGAAAACCATAACCATGTCAAAACACATAAATTTGAACAGCAACCCCGTATGTTGTTGTTAGTTATCGGATCATTCCCCATCAGAACGAAGGATGGTTGAGAGTAAATATGCAAGCTCCTTTTTTTGCTTTTTCATGCTTTTCATGCTTTTCATGCTTTTCATGTGCTGCATTTCAGTTTCTGGTATTATCTTCAAGCATGCTGCTCTGAACCTGTACGCACATGCCAACTCTTCTAGCCCATGTTTTTTTTTTTTTTTTTTTTTTTTTTTTGGTACTTAATATGCTGTTGTCTATATGCATATTAGCCAATGTCATGTCTATATCCATCTCTGATACTTTATAAACTAACGAACGACCTGGATAAAGAGCAAATGACAAGGCAAGTTCAGGATAGGACAACACTTGGTAAAAAGCTCTCTTTTTTTTTTTTTTTTTTAAAAAAAAAAAAAAAAAAACTCAGTCCTGAGCTTCTCTCTTGTCATATCATAATCTTTCATTGCGCTCTTTGTGCTGATAGGAAAAAATAAAAAAAATATTCCCTGTTCATTTTTCCGCTTGCTAAACCCAGGACAAGCTCCAAGTCCCATTTCTAATCCTTGTCCGTGTTTAGGCACATGCCAATAGACAACAAAACAATTTTTTTTTTTTTTTTTTTTTGTGCATCCATAGTTACCAGCTCCGCCCCAAAGCTTGCATTCCTCTTTTTTTTTTTTTTTTTTTTTTTTTTGCTTAGGTCATTCATCCTAATCATATAAATGTTCCCTTGCATGATCAATCAATAAATAAAGCAATAAACACTTACAGGTACTGCTGATGCTTGCCAAGAATTGGGACGCGTAGACCCTCCGCGGCTGTCAGTCTCAGCTGGCTCAAGAGCATGAGTATGACTATTATCACTACCACGGCTACCATTGTTAGTAGTGTTTTGGCTTTTGTCTATAATCTGCTCATGCTCTTGTACATCTTTTAGGCCCCCCTTTTCATCTGTTGGCGAAGAACGAATTAATGTTGGGCTATGCTGGGTAGTCGAAGTAGCTGTAATCATGGGTTCGAGATTAGGCGATGGCCCTTCAGCCGTAGCAGAGTCTGGAAGCACATTTCAAAAAGATGGGACGCGCGGGTACGTCGGAGATGGTATAAGAAATGACGGTAATAGTAAGAATGGTAATAGTCAATCCATCAGTAATAACAATAGTAGTAGTGTTAATAATAATAATAATAATAATAATAATAATAGTAATAGTAATGATAATACAAAAAGAGGATCCTTGTCCGTTAATGAGATGTGTTTATGGATGAGTAAATGTGTATATCAATGTCCGTTGTTCATGTTATTGTTGACAGGTCATTTTTGGGTCAAGTCGAAAGTGCCAGTGCGCATATCGCACACATCGCAAATCAGCATCGGATGACCAACCATGTCACAACTCATGAAGACATTCAATAAATCAAAATAAAATACTCAATAAAGAATGGCACAAGAACACAAATAACGCGAACTTTAGTCCGATTTCTTTGTGTATCGGAAGACAAAAAAAAAAACTCGCCATGGGAAAAAACACGGTAATGATAATGATAATAATGATAATCCCACATAAAAAAAAAAAAAAAAAAAAAAAAAAAGTGCATTGGATCATATTGTTTCGTATTGATGCAGACTTACCAGCACGATAGCGATGAGGAGATAAAACCGATGGATTAGAAGATGAAGGAAGGGATGTGATCGTTGATGTAGCTGTAGATATGGACGGAATAATCGCATTGGTGTGTGCACCAGGCGCTGTGCCGGTTGCAGAAAAGGCTGAGGATGATGATGATGATGATAATAATGATGCATTGACTCCATTGCCAGTTTTACTATTGCTGCTGCTGCTGCTGCTGCTGTTGTTGCTGTTGAAGTTGTCCTGTTGTGAATGTCCTGCTTTTGAGGATGGCGTAGGAATGGACCAGGATGATGCCCCTGTCCGGGTATTAAAGTAATATAGCTGACCATCTGGTGTTGCCTTGGGTAGCCAGAAATCATCATTACTCTATTTAATATTTTTACCATTATTAGAAGTAGCATTACATGATCAAGCAAGATGATATGCGAGATCCGGCAGTCCCATGAATTATTAAAGGCAGGGGAAAAAGATGATGTTAGTTCACCATCCTCTTCTTTATCCTTCATGCGTTTGTAAGCACACATTAAAAAAGAAAAAAAAAGAAAGACCTCAACACAACACCCAACATAACCAACATTACTACCAGCAAAGGTTTAAAAAAAAATAAAATAAAATAAAATAAAAAAAAAAAAAAAGGAGAGGCACAAAATACATCAGCATGTTTATGTCTGAATGGAAAATAAAAAGGCCGAAGGAAAAAAAAAAAAAAAAAAAAAAAAAAAAAAAAATGCTTGCCTGGTCATCCTGTGAGTCCTCGTCCTCGTCCTCGTCCTCGTCAGTGTCAGCACTGTAGCTGAGACCTAGTTCATTCTCTAGGTCGGCCTGAGTGATCTCCTCTACAAAATTAGATGGAAACCAACCACGGCTATCGTTACAAAAGCCATACCACCAGCCAGATTCCAGTTGGGCCACTACCTGAATCAGATCATCCTTTTCAAATGAAAGTGAGATAGTGGTTGTGTCTGTGGACCGATAAGGGTAAAGTGCCTTGACAACAACAAAAGGATATGTCTCTTCTGAAGACGGAGGGAACTCTGGTTGGGATCCTTCCGTTGTCGTAATAGTGGTGGTACCATCTAATGCTGATGGTATTGAAGCTGTTGTTGCTGCTGTTGCCGCATTTGCTGTCAAAGAAGTTCTTTCTGTCTCTATTGCGTGAGGCATCCTGACAGTGTCCATTGAGAAAAAGAAGGAGAGGATGAAGAGAAAGTGGGAGTAGAATGTTGTTGAAACTTGGGAGAAACTGGGCTAAAGAGGTAAGAAAGAGAGAGGAAGGATGGTGTATATAGAAGAGTAAGGGTGTAAGGATTGATTACAAGGTTGATAAAAGTACAAGTAGACACACTATCACAATAATAAGAAGAGGGAAAAAAAAAAAAAAAAAAAAAAAAAAAAAAGATTGAAGAAATGAGTTTTTGGTTGGAATGATTGAAATGAGAAGAAAAGAAAAAGGAAAGAGGAGGAGGAGGTGGAGTGAGTAGGGTGAGTGAGATGATGGCGACGAAGAGGATGGACGGGTGAAAGAACGAGTGGATGTAAAAGGTGCAGGGCAAGTGTGCGATTTTGTTTTTCGTGTTATTAACCCAATTAGGTTCTGTCAAGAAAAAAAAAAAAAAAAAAAAAAAAAAAAATGTCGAGTGATTAAATGGGAGGGCCAGTCCTCGATACATTTATTGATCAAACAAAACTGCTCTCTGCTATTTTGCTATATTTTACATTTCTCTCATGAACAAACAACAATGTGTCAAATGCGGTTAACTGGTTTGCTCTTTTTCATTTTGCATTCGAGCATGGTCCACAATGTTTCTGAAAAACATTAGCAAAATTAGGTTATCTGAATAACACGATTCAAATGAATCTTGGTCTCAAGTGAGCATTGTTTTTATCCACTGGCAATGCCCTTCTTCTTTTCTTTTACGAAAGAGTAAGGACGACATTGGCCCACTTGACCCTCTCTATTAGCCAATAGGTTCATCCTCTTCGCATTGCTTTCTGGGATGATTCGAAGAGAGTGGAGGAGAGAGAAATGTAGTATAGACTAACAAAAAAAACCCCCCATCTCAATCCTTTCTTATACGTTCATGTGCAATCACCAGAATGAAATATTGTCCAGTAATCACAGTTCATGATTCAAGATCCTGCATGCTCTAAATAACTGTTGGACCATGACACTTTATACTTCCTCTTCTTTTGATTTTTTTTTTTTTTTAAATGTGTTGAGTATTAATGAGTTCTTGATATTGTCTGTGCTCTTGCACTTTACCTTTATTCTTGTTTGATGGGACAACTTCTAAAGAAGCACGACCGATTCAATATCGTCATGTCGAACTATGCATTAATGCACATTTGTATGAATACAATAAACAAACGGAAAGCAAAAACTTGAGCCATCATGTTTGTATTGTTTCTTTTCTCTTCCTTCTCTTCCTTCTACATTTATCCTCATGAAGAAAATCAAGACGGAAACGAACCCTCCATCCTGTTCACTTTCTTTTGACACGTGTGCACCACAAGAGACCATTATCATGAACATATTCCTATGAGCATATTTTTCTTCAAACAGAGGAAAAACACTTTTTTTTTTTTGTTTTTTTTTTTTCTGAACCACATTACACATCGTCAGGAACATTGAGCCGAATCACATTCATTATGCAGGTCCAGTTCGATTGTAAAATTATAGTGCTTCATGAAAGATCCCTCATTGGTGACTTGTTTTCATTGTTGCAACCACATTTCACATTTCGCTTTCAATAAAAGAATTATAATCTTATTCTTGTTTAATGCTACTATATTACTATATACAAATGATGATGACAAGTTCTATGGTCCGATGATATTTTTTTTTTGCATGACAAAAAGAAACGACGCCAACCAAATCCATCTCTTTTTTTTTTTTTTTTTTTTTTTTTTGTTCACTATTGTCCGACTTTTTACTGCTGAACCTTGGAGAAGTAAGGGGTCATGAACTCAAAGAAGGCGAACTGGCTAGGTTCTGTTCCGTATCTGTACACGAAGCGGGAAGCCAAGTACGAACCAAAGATGGCGCGCACATAGTTCTCAGGGACACGCTGAATCAAGTTATCAAGTCCAACCTGCTTCAACAACATGTTAGGGAAAGCCTCCTCCAAAACGACCTTGCGAAGAGCCAAGTTATCCCAGAGAGAGGTGTGCTGCAAGTTCTCATTCAACTTGACAATCGCCAACGACAATTGATCCGACAAGATCGAGCGAGGAATCTTTGTGCGTTGGTGCTCTCTCCAGAGGGCCTCAAACTCGAGGTGAGCGTTGCGCTCAATGATCGTCTGTACCTCCTTGACATACTCCTCGTAGAAAGCAGGGGTGTGTTCGGGTGTCACCTGCATGTGCTCAGCAAACTCCTCATCTGTGAATGCCAAGGCAGCCAACACCTCCAATGAGGATGAAGTCACACCTCCCTTGTTGGCAGAAGCGTCCTTGAACACAACAGCGCCAGCGCGCTCCAGACGGAGACGAGCCTCCTGGGTGAAGAACAAGTTGGCTCCCTCAACAATGTACTTGATGCGGGGGTGGTTCTCAGCATCCAACAAACGGCTAACGTTCTGAAGGTCAACGGCCTCAGGGCGACCACCACAGGGAACAAAGACATCGACATCGACCATCGAGTTCAAGTGGAAGTTGTTACGGAAGGAAAGACCATCATCAATGATCTCACCAGAAGGCAGCTTCACATTGGCCTCATCAACCAACACACGGAATCCCTTTGGCGACAGCTTCGAGACATCAAAGTTTGAGATCATGAGACGGTTTTCAGCCAAACGAGCCAACTCTCCGCGGTTAATGCCCTCGGGGTCGTACAAAACTCCGGATCCATCGACAATACCGCAGGTCTTGTCCTTCGAGATCTTGATCTCGTTAGAACCCAAGTCACCGTCAGGGCCTCCAGTCTGGAGCTTGCGGCAGTTCTCCTCCTTGAGTCCCAACTTGCGGTAGATACCGAGGACATATTGGTGAACAGAACGAGTGGTCATACCATAGGTATCGTGCGGAATACCTCCCAAGGATTGCGATTTGCCAGTAGTGAAGGCCTTCCAGAACGACGCACCACGCTCGCGGGCATGAGCAGATGCCCAGTCCATGTAGTCAGCTGTACCCTCATCAGGACCAAAGAAGAGAATCTCTGGCTTCTTGTACAAGTCAACGATGCGCTCTTTGATTCCAGGGGTCTCACCAACGATCAAGAGGTCAAGAACTGCATCAACATACTTCTCAAAGGCAACCAAAGCCTTATCCTGCTGGTTGACGTCCAAGAGAATGGTACCCTTGGAACCACCTTCGGGAATATCCTTGTTCTTACGCTGCTGAGTGTTGGCAAGAGCATAGTTCTCATCGAACAGTGAGCGCAGGTTGATAGAGTAGGCTTCACGGTTGCGAGAGCGAATGATACGGATACCGCCACGAGCAACATCGCGGAAACGCAAGTGGAAACCACGGAATTCGGAGCCGATGACCAAGAACATGCCATAAAGCTTGGTAGGGTACTCAATCTCGGGCAAGAATGATGGGTCCATGCGGAAGGAGAGAGCGACCTTAGTTGGCTGGTAAAAGTTTGTCTTCAAGACGTGCTTATTGAAGATCAAGAACGACTCAAAGACCATGAGCTCATGAGAATTGGAGGTTGTGCGCTTGATCTTGTCATAAAGCTCCTCATCGGTCAAGACATTGTCAGTCTTGAGACGCTGGTATGAGAGAGTGGGCTGAAGCGAGTTGACAGCGGGGTTGACATAGTGGATCATAGCAAAGTTGATGTAAAGCAGCTTGACGAGCTCAGGATAAGTCTTGATAATCTCGAGAATATAATCACGTGTGAAAGTGTCGGTACGGAGACGCTTCTTCATCTTGGTCAAGACGTCCTGGTGGGTTGGGTTGCTGCCATCCAGGATGTTGACAAGAGAGACATACTCGTTTCCGAGACGGTTCAAGAAGTGCTGAGCAAAGATCCAACCAATGTAACCATAGATGGATTCCTGCACTGACAACTTGTTGGTCTGGAAGAAGCTCTGAAGAGGGGTGGTAGGTAAGCAGTAGATGAGCGAAGCTTCCTTGATGATCTGGTGGATGGAGTGCTCAATTGGGGGGGCAGTCGACTTGGGGAGCTGGTTCAAGTAGAGAGTGACGATGGTGATACCATTGGAGAACTGCTCAACATATTTACGGGTTGAGTACAAATCGTAGTAGTGATACAAATCAGAGATGGCCGAGAAAAACGACTGTGTGGTCTGCTGCTTGTATGCAATGACGAGACGGCGCTCACGAGTGCCTTCGACCTCGAACATCTCAATAACAGGGCCAGTTCTGGCGAGAGCCAACTTCATGATATTAGAGTAGATCTCAAGGGTGTTCTCGGTGGCCTTCTCGAGGAAAGACTTGTCGGCAGTCTCACGAATGTCAGTCTCTTGCTCCTTGGTGGGCTTGGGATTGATAAAGTGGCACTGGCGGACAAAGTAAGTGCGAAGCTGAGTCGAGGATGAGGACGAGACCGTGCCCTTGGAGCGGTATGACTCCAGACGGAAGGCGCGCTCAGTGTTGCTGACATCAAGGTACTTGGTATCGATTCTAAAATGAAGAAAAAAAGAGAAAAAGATAAAAAGATAAAAATAAAAAAAAATAAAATAAAAAAAGGGACAACAAAGGGATCATTGATTAGACGCATATTCTACCAGTGCCTTTTCTGTTGTATTAAATCTGTTGCGGTCCTGCTCATTTGTCCATGCTTTTAGCCGCGGCTAATTAGTTGGTTGTTCTGTGTTTCAGATGGTTTACCTCTTCTCATGCTGGGGTCCATGGAGCTGCGAAACACCAGGGCGAGAGGTGTGGATGTAAACGGCACCCTCCTCAGTCTCACGCTCGAGGTTGATGTCAAGAGCATTGTCGTTCTTGGTATAAGCAAAGATCTTTGCTCCATAAAGGGCCATGATGTGGTTGGCAATGGACTCGACAGACTCAGAGGCAAAGTACATGTCATCAATACCAAGGTTTCTAGGATATTCCAAGAAGCAATTGAAAAAGATTTAATACGTGCAAAATTTCAATCACCGTCCAAGCTCGCTATTGTAACAGACCATTACGCCTTTTTGCTTTTTTAAAAAACAAAAACACTCGCTTACCCGTAGAACCAGGAGACCTCATTCTCAGCTAGAGCAGCAGGGATGAAGCCCTTCTCGCTCAGGTACGAGGTAACTTGGACCATCTGGTCGGCCTTTCCGGAGAAGGCATTCTCGATGTATCCAGAGATATTCTTGAGAGTTTGGGGCTGACCGTTCTGGGTCTCAGTAGTAGGAGCAGTCATGGTATATCTATATGAATGCGGTATTAAACAATGTCTATTGGTATGTATAAAAAAAAATAAAAAAAAAAAAAAATGCTAATGGAGAATGCAATGAAAAGAAGAAAGAAAGTATAGAGAGTGCAAGAAGAGAAGAGAAGAGAAATAGGAGTGAAGATGAGTTGGAGATGAACAAAGCAAAGATTAAAAGAAGTAAAAAAAAAAGAAAAAAAGGCCTTGCAGTGCGGCTTTTTATACGAACCCATGGAAATGATGGGTATACTCAGATCTTAAGGCGTTTGCTTGACTCCTTAGTTGCTTTGTGTTGGACCATCTGGAATGCGTTAGCAGTGTCATCTTGGGCTGAATGTTTAAATTGTTATTGTATTTGGTCACTCAAGTCAGCATTTCTTTTTTTTTTTTTTTTTTAGAAAAAGAGCTTGACTATTGGTGTTACATTTAATTGAATTGAATACAAGTATATACGTATTATGGTTTTCCCTGGGGATCGATTTCCTTTTTGAATTTCGTGGGAAGAACCAAAAAGGGGCAGACCGCTCAGTGTACCCATTCATTCACTCACTTCTTTGCCTTACTCCTTCACTCTCTTGCTCATCCTTACCTCTGTTCACTTACTCACGGATACACTCAGCTCCTAAACAACCTACCTTCCTATGCAATTATCTTTTTCTTAACTTCTGTTCCTCTCGTCGGCACTGCTGTCTTGTCAATTGGATGCAAGATGTGTCTTTCAAAAAGAGGCTAAGAAATTAAAATGCGGATAGAATTGTGGGGTAAAAAAAAAAAAAAAAGAAAAAATAAAGATTTAAAATATCGCTCTGGGCGCATCTTGCTCTGCACGTCAAAAATGGTATTCAAAAGCGACCTTGCAACTACCTCAAAGTATACATCCTCGTTGTATCGAAGCTGCCCATACTTACACTTTTCTTTTCCACGGATACAATTTGTATTAGCAGTATTAACAAAACAGTACTATCATGCCATGTAAAACCAATGTTTTTTATCCATAAATCAATGATATACAAATATTAATATCGAGCAAACAAAGAGAAAAGAACGACAGGATTGGGACCCATTTTTTACGCATTGGAACAAAGAAAAGAATCTACAAAAGCATGATACCCATTATTAACAATTATCTCTTTTTTTTTTTTTTTTTTTTTTTTTTCCATTTGCTCTGTGCCTGTTTTTTTACACTACGCACGGCACTGGGAAATGATTGGTTCGCGGACGCTGGATTATTTCTATCCCTTTGTTCTGTGGTCTTCCTTTCCCCATCCCCCATCCTCGCAAATCGCTCCTTCAATCTTCATCCAAAGTCTCTCGCCACGCAATCATAGTAGTGGATTATTTACGTACACAATAGTTAAAGACACACGTCACAAAAACTCTTATGGGTAGTAATTCTAACTGTGTATATTTTATAATGTTTATTGAATTAGCGGTTAAAATCCCTAGTCATAAAAGGAATGATGATGGTGCCATATCCCTTTACTTTGACACACATAGTTTTCCCACCCGACTTGCGCTTTTTTTTTTTTTTTTTTTTTCAGTCGCTTATGAGCAAGAGTAGCAAGAAAGACTCGAGTGGCCGTTTCTTTTTTTTTTTTTTTTTTTTTTTTTTGGCCATTCAATGATTTCAATCTCCACAAACCAAAAATTGAAAAATAGGTTCAAGCAAAAAACCAGCTTTTGGTCAGTGTGTTTATTACTGTTGGTGAAAGGAACACCAACAATAAACAAATCATCACCCCCATCTTCCCCACATTTTTTTTTTTTTTTTTTTTTTTTTTGGACAATAGAGCCTGCCTATTGTAAGAACACTGCATATAAACATAACTACGCACACAGGCATAGATACCACATTTAGACCGCGTGTACATTCTATAAGGATTGAATGTGATCAAGGATTAGGATAGAGCAAGTCCTGCTTTGCTAAAATTGGGCACAGTTGCAAAAAGAGATCCTGCAAAACTACAGTATTCACCGCTACAAATCTCATCTCGAATATGATTCAGATCTTACTAACGCTCGCTGATTTTTTTTTTTTTTTATTGTGATATGAAGCAAGCTTACTTAATGGCCTAGAAAAAAAAGAAAAAGAAAAAGAAAAAGAAAAAGAAAAAGGGGATGTACTGATGAGCCTAAGAGCAATCATTCGACTCTAGTCCTAGGTCTGGCTTCTAGTTCTAGGGAATGCAACATATTGAACCTCTCAGTTGTCAGTTATAGGTGTATTATTTATATATATATATTATATTTTGGACCGTCGCGCAATACACGTTTGTACCAGCACATTTTAGCGCAAATAGGGAGTAGTTTTTGCTTAGACCACTCTAGCCAACCATTCTTTTTTGTGTGTGGGGAAAACGACCGCGCATAACAGTGTCAACAAATAAGCAAATAAGCTGGAATTAAAAAATTATGAACGAACAGAAGGGATGAGAACAAATACAAACTACGATGATGGATCCGTGCCATCATTTTTTTTTTTTTTTTCTTTTCAGTCTGGCCCACAACCTTTTTTTTAATATACTCTGGCAAGAGAAATAAACAGCAATGAACGATTAAATGAGTCTTTATACTCCTAAAGTAAGGCCAAGCCCAATTGAGTTTGGCTCAGACTTGGTTGCTGACTCTTTTTCTCTCTTCATCCTCATGTACATGTATAGAAAGAATGAGCTATAGATGTACCATACCCTTTTTAGGACATTCCGCTTTGAAGCAATAAAGCACTTGAAGCCCCGCGTATTTTCTCTTTTCTAGGTCGTTCTCAATGACAATTAGGTTACCAAAAGCATAGCACCTCTTCCTCCTTCCTCTCTCCTTCTGGGGACCAAATGAGTTGGTGCTTAATGGTTCTGACTGACCAAATGTGAACTTACTTGAATATCATCTGTCTATATGTGTATATAGACATATTTATGTATATATACAATGTCGTTCGCTTATTCTCAGAGACAAGGATATTCACATTTGCAATTTTCGATTTCAAACAACATGAGCAAGAACAAGGACCAAAAAAAAAAAAAAAAAAAAGGCTTCTGAATCTCAACCTTGGAAGGCTGGAGGCGCTCTCTTTATTCTTGTGTACGCCCAAATTCTCTGTTTTGTTTTTGCCCGCTATTATTGTCGACCCTTTTTTTTAACAAGCGCTTTGTGGAAAGGAGGGAATGTCGGTCTAATCGATTAAAGAGAATGAAAAACGGCGATCTTATTCAATTCATTTTGATTTTTTTTTTTTTATTGAAAACAAGGTTTTTTCTTCACGCCGACATGACTTTTTTTTTTTTTTTTTTTTTTTTGTGGACATCTAATGATCGCCCAAAAAAAAAAAAAAAATACGCACCCGCACCCAATATGAAACTATTCTTGGCTAATTTCATGTTGTCCAGCTAGACTGCACATTTTACACAAAGTAGTATTTGGCAACAAGGAACTCTGTGTGTAGGAATTTTAACTGCCTATCCAATATATTGTAAAATATATTCCTTTTAAAATCACTGTCTGTGTGATATTTTTGGTATCAACCTCCCCTTTCCTCTGCTTCTCCTGATTTGAATGATATTGGGGGTCTCAACCATGCTGATTAAAAAAAAAAAAAAAAAGTTAGACAGATGTCTTTTTTTGCAGTATTCTCTCCAAAAATGTTGACTTCGAATTCCATTACTATGTTATGGGTCAAGCATGCCCCTCATTTATCGCCTCAATCGCAGGTAAAATAGCTCATAACCATTGCAGACTCTAGTTACATTCTCTGTTGCTCAAATTTGAAGTCGATCTCCGTCATATTCTCAGAAGCGGAGACTGATTCCATCGATTGCTAGCCAAACGGGTCTTCTCTTATGAATCTCTTGGTTCTTGCGTGGTCTCTGCCACATGTACTTAGAACATCGGAGACCTCAAAGTCCTTTCGAGCGACTGCGACAGTCAGTGACGAAATTGGCTTCGGTGGAGTATATATATGCTCTCTTCCTAGATTCCCTCTGTCATGCTAAAGTATATTGTTCGAATGGGGGAAGGAGAAGGCCATGGTTCAAAATGGCCTTCATGACCATCCTGTTGAACCAACAGTTCGGTCGCTGCTCTCAGCCTGAACTATAGGATTAAAGTCTTTTGCACTTAAGGCGGTCACTCTTCAATTCTAGATCGGAAAGTGTGCGGGAATCATATTGTGGGTGATTATGGAAAAAGAAGCGTTGAGCTAGGCATTCGCATTGGTATGTAGTCCAGACGCCATAAATATGTATACATCGTAGGCACGGACTTTTTTAAAAAAATGTATTCAAAGAATATAAAAGCACTATCAAGGACGAGCCTTTGTTGCTGTTTCTATTTTGTCAATTATGCGTTATATGCCTAATAGGATTCTTTTAATTGACTAATACAACCAAAAAGGGAAGAGCCTAAGCTCATCACCAGCCTGTGTAGCTTATGGGCATTGCAGTAACGCTCACTGACAGGCTGGGACCAAACTTGATATTTTAGAGGTAGGAAGTGAGATCCCTTCTTCCTTTTTGGTAACAACATCGACTTTGCATTAATTAAGTCTCTCTTCCTGCCTTGGTCACCCATTGCATGTATAGCACAAACTTTAATTTAATATTGATCAAAAATACGTTTCTCTGAAGGAAAAAAAAAAAAAAGTAAACGGGGTCCTCTTTCAAATGAAACTGCCTCCTTCTTAAATTGTCTCGAGAGTGAAACGAGCTACCGGCTCACAGACTCGCTACAGATGAAGAGGGTTCTTCTGAAGGTACTCTTCTAACGTGGTCAGCTTGTCATGAATGTTTTTGGTTGACCATTCGATACGCTCCCTCTCCTCTGGGCCAAAGTAACCGTATTCCTCCATAAAGAACATCTTGTGGCTGAAGATCTGGGCCGGAGTAGGTGTCAATACGCCCTCATACTCATCCACCGACAGCTGCTTATATTGGACGGTCTTGCCTGTTGCTTTACTGACCATCTCTGCCATTTCCTCAAATGTACGGCGCTCTGCTGCCGCATATAAGATTTTACCCTCAAATTTGTCTGGTTCCATAAGAATAGCACCCACAAACTTGCCTGCGTCGCCTACAACGTCGAAAAACGGGAACACACTCTGAGGAGAGGATACATTGAATATCGCAAAAGTTCCATCGTCTTGGGGTCGAGGAGCCAAATAAAACATGCCGAGGTTTTGGTAAAACATGCTTGGTGCGAAAAAGGCACTCTTGATGGAAAGAGAGCGAATATATTTCTCGATATCGGCCTTGACGTTGAGGATGTCCAAATCACGATATTTACCATGGGAGATATCGCCTGCGTGGCATAAAGTGGTGAAAATCATATACTGGGCACCTGCATTGACGGCTGCGTCTGCTAAATTCTTGCCTTGAATGATTTCTTTAGCATAGAGGCTGTCGTCAAAACTCGTGAAACTGGGGCTAAAGACAGTATGTGCGCCTCTGAAAGCATTACTGAGCGATTCTTTGTCATACAGGTCTCCCTTGACGACCTCAACTCCTCGCTCCTTCAAGGCTTGGGCTTCAGGTTTTGACGGATTGCGTGTCACAGCCCGGAGCTTGAATTGCTTGGATAGCTCTGGATGGTTGAGGACATAGTTGATAACAGATCCCCCTTGCTGGCCAGTGGCTCCGATGACTGCGAGGATTTTAGGCGATGGTTCCATTTTTTAGAAAGACAGTAGGGCTTTAAAGGATTGTTCTTGTTTCTAAGGAGGGTGTTTCAACTTGTAAATGTGTTAGAATTAGGATAGAGAGCGACGCGCGTTATGTCTCTTTAAATACTCAGCTGCTAAGTATAAGGACAATACATTCATGATGAATACAATATAGTAAGATCAAAACCAGAAATGACGGAGAAAACCCCTAGGGTCTTTGTGTAATACTCTCTCTTTTTTTTTCTTTTTCTTTTTCGGCATTAGATCTAGAGCGTGCGATCGGGCATATACAGGGTACCCCTTGTAGGAACTTTATTCAAGGAAGAGTAAAAAAGGAGGTTGGGTGGATGAACAGAAAATAGGGCCTACTGCTCTAGTAAGGGATGTTGGTCAAAAAGTGAAATTGTGTGAAATAGGTGATCATTTAACTTTTTTAGAACAGTATACCAACTTTTCTCATTTCTGCAACGGAGCCGAGCTTCATATTCTTATACCAGTTTTTGGGCCCATGACCAGCAACTGATTGTTCTACACTCTTTTTGATTGGGTTTGCTTAATAAAACTCTTGGAATTGAAAAGGACCGAAGCAAAAAGAACGAGCAGTACAGATCTTTGGCCTGAAAGCCAAATCCACGCGTCAAAATAATCGCCTCTTTCACTTGCAATTTCTTTGTGGTAGGCTCGCTCGTCACCAGTCCACCAGCCTAGGAGTCGCTTTGGGCAAAGCCAATCGTCTGTGCATTTGGGTTTGTGGCAGTGCCAAAGCCACCCTTGCGCATTTACGTGGGAAACCATGCACTTTTACGATCCTTCTACCTCCTCTCATTCATCCCAATAAAACCAATGACATCGGAAAAGTAATTACATGTTGTCTAAAGCGATGATCTCTTCTTCTTGAGCGAACTAAATCGTTATATTGAATGAGTGAAACCGCTGACTTTGTTGAATATGTCTGTCATGGTGTATTATAATATTCTACGCGAAAAATGTCTTTTTTTTTCACTCAGTCCCAAAAAGTCGCAGCTTTACACACGAACAGGCGACCGAGGTACTATGAAGCATCCAAATAAAGAAAACAAAATAAACAAAATAAATAAATAAATAAATAATAATAATAATAATAATAATAATAATAATAATAAATAGATGGCTCATATCCAGTAAGGACAAAAATTGATTTTTATTATTATTTTATTTTTTTTTATTTTTTGTTTCTGAATAAACAACTACGCAGGCGAATCTTCTCTCTACAATGGCGAACGTCGCCTCAAAACCGACAGGATCTTTGAGGCTCTTGGATCTGTGGATGAGCTCAACTCGAGTATTGGGTAAAATATTCTTTCTTACTTAATACATACATACATACATTTTCATTTTTATTTTATATACTTATTTCCTTTTTTTTTTATTTTTTATTTTTTATTTTATTTTATTTTTTTGATTTCGATTTCGATTTCGATTTCTTGGGTATGGGACCTTACCCCCATCAGGATTGCACATCATTATTGTGCAAAGTCTGCCAATGGTCTCGAGAGTCAATTGATTGAGGTAAACATAAAAGCCAGCCATTTCATCTAATCTTCATTCCTTAACTAAAAAGTAAAAAAAAAAAAAAAAAAAAAAAGCAAGCTTCGAAGAGTATAATAACGCGCGTACAAACTAATTTTTGCATCACGCATGCAATACCTTTAAACAATCCATAAAAAAAAAAAAAAAAAAAAGATCCAATGCAATCTTCAGGATATCGGATCAAACATCGCTACACCTAGACATGATGCTTCTGAGACTCAACTGCGTAAGGATCACTACGGGAAGATCTGAAAATTGGACGTAAAAAAAAAAAAAAAAAAAAAAAGAGGCTTAATTGTAATAGTTTCTGTTCGCCATCCTTTTTTTTTCCTTCTCTAATTGGGCCTTTAGATAATACAACTTTCGATGAAGGTCATGTAGAGACATTGGAACGTTGGATTGATGTGTTAGATTCGGTATGAATTTTTTTTTTTTTTTTTTTTTTTTTTTTCTTTCAAAAAGATATTGCAGTCTTACTTAATTTCTTAATATTCTAATTAAAAAAAAAAAAAAAAAAAAAAGCAACTTCCCCCACTTCGTAACTTCATCTTGCCATCCGGTGGTGAGTCTAGCATCTTTTTGCATCAAGCCCGTTCCGTAAGCCAAATGAAAGAATGTTTCTCATTTTGTACTTCACCGAGTATTCTATCATCTCTTTACGATAATTAATTCCGTCAACTTTAATAGATCTGTCGACGTGCTGAACGTACCACCATTCCAGTTGTCGAGGCTCAGGATGCGGACGAAACTGTGCTAAAGTATTTGAATCGGTAATGACATCCTTGGTTCCTTTTACCAATCATTTTTGGGTCGTTTATTTTATCTGTTTAAAAAAACGAAAATGAATAAGAAGAGACTTATATTCTATTCTTTGTACACTTTATTAGTTTGAGTGACTATCTATTTGCAGCTGCTAGATATGCAGCCAAGCACGATGGATTGCAGGAAAACGTTTACAAGAAAGCTAAGAGTGGTCGTGAGGCATCTGTGCAGACTCGCGCACTTTAGTACAAAACAAAACAAAACAAAAAAAAAAAAAAAAAAAAAAAAAAAAGAGCAATAAAATACTTGATACAAAAAATAGGACACCGTATAATGCCAGCCTTAATTTTATTTATCTTTATTTTTTATTGGTTTTCCCGAAATTCCATTACATTGAGAGAGATTAGGATATAGAATGTTTTTTTTTTTTTTTTTTAAGAAAGTTCATCACAATTGTATAAATGTTGTTTTCTCTTTTTTACTGTCTTATTTTATTCTTTTATTTATTCTTTTATGGCAGGACAACATATGGCTTGGGGGCATAGCGATCTGAGTTGTAGACAGACTCACCAGCCTTCCAACCCTTATGGTTCTTCATGATCTCGGCCTCACGTTGCTTGGCAGCGACCTCGCGACGGTATGTATCACGATCAGCCTCGGCTTGCAAAAGTGGAATTAAGTGAATACGCGACCACACCTTCTCACGCTCAAGTTCCCTATTTATTTTGCACAAATTAATAGTAATAATAATAATAAAGAAAATAAAATAAAATAAAATAAAATAAAATAAAATAAAAAAAAGCCATGTTGACAGTCAGGTATAATGCTTCTTTAAAGTCTCCCTGTTGCTTTTCCAAATGAACCTTTTTTATGCCTTAGAAAACCATAATCCTGTCTGTTTCAAACAAAAGGTATTCTCAGCAATAACGCCTCCATTATTTCTCCATGACGATAATGGTTCCTTGGTAATCACTTTTAGCAATTATTGTACTTTGGCTCTTCCTGTTCCATTGAAAGGGATGTGCGGAAAGGACTTTTCCTTCTACATCCTTCAGGATATATAAAAACACGATCAAACACGTGTAATATCCGATCCGTCCTTTCTGCCTCATTAAGTACTAGACCTCGTCTTAAAATTGACGTAGAGCCCCGAGTATCATTAATGCTATTGTTATTATTATTGTCATCATTGTTGTTATTACTGTAGTCGTTATTATTGTCCATATCATCCGTGTGCTGATGCTGTTATCAATGATTGCTATAACTGGTAAAAAAGGAAATATTCCTGCATCCGTGTTCTGCACCTCGGAATAAAAAGAATTCTTCTTGATGTGTTTAGTTGTCACCTTGCCAATCTGTTTTACATGCCAGCCTGTCAGTCTCCCTTCCTGCCTTTCCTGCCTGCTTGTCTCCCTGTCAATTACTTTCTATAGTCCTTTTTTTTTTTTTTTTTTTTTTTTTACCTGCGCTCAAGATTACCCTGGCCGGTTCTGTACAGACCGAAAGTGCACATGAGTGTAATGCCAGAGAAAAGGACAAGACCCGAAGGTCCGACCTTAGGAATATAACGCTTATATCTGATTTCAGGGAAACCGCCGGGGCGAGGCAGCTCTTGCTGTGGAATTGTCGACATGTCCGAGAGTATTTATAAGGAGAATAAAAGCAGGCGAGAGAGAGTAGGGAGTGAGAATGATTGCCGATTTCGATCTGTCACCGGCCGGATGAAAAAACAATGTGACGAAAAGAAAGCTTTACTAATCACGTGATCATGCAAAAAAAAAAAAAAAAAAAAAAACAGGGCGAGCTACTTCGTCTTCTAATGATATCTTTCTTTCGCTCACAATCTTTTTTGAAAACACTTCAACGTATGCTTCTGGAAGTGGATGGGAGAAAAAGACAAAAGAGACATCAAGATCTTCGTTCGAGACCACAGTTTATTGATTCGCCAGAGTATTAATAATAATTTCTCTAGATATCAAATAATGGTCCCTCTTCGTTGATATCCAATATCACCAGGAGATTCCTCAATATGAAATTTAACACTTGGTAAGACGCGGGGGAATAAATAACTGACCAAATTTACTCAAGATATTCAAGTTCAGATGAGACCAGGATGGGGAAGTCTTAATTAGCAAAGACCGAGAGACTAATGTTAGACAACCAAAGTTGATCAAGGATCGTCGTGCTGTTTGTCATGAATTTACATAGGATCACCCGGAATAGACGATAGACTAGTAGGACGCTGTAATGTTCTCCGATAAGTCCATATTCAGTAGGGCGGAGACCTTCGGTAGAGAGCACTGCTGTGAAGGTCTAGCCGCAACACTTGAGGAACATTAGACATTCCAACAAAACAAAGTGTAACAGGCGAGATTTTGGCATGATATTTTATGTTATCATGGCATGAAGAAGATTGCTCATGCTTTACGAGGTGCTCGATTATTACCTCGAAGCTACTCGGTACTGGTACACTATGGATCTGAAAACTTATAATTTCAAGGATAATAAGGTTATCACCTCACTTTTTTCAGGCCATGAATCCGTTTGAACATGGGTGGATATGGGGATCCGCCAGAGCCAAAGAAGTTATGGACAAATATCTTGAGCATGCCAAGGAGCTCAAGGAAAACATGGCCAAACAGGTTATTAATGTCTTCATAGACGAGTGTGAATAAGGGTTATTCAAAAGCAAACAATAGGATCCAAAGCCATTTTTAAATGTGAAATAGCAAAAGATAAAAAGCAGATAATTATACTATGAAGAATAGGTGTTTTTACTAAAAGCAAATGGCCCCAATATCATTTGAAAAAACATGGATCACTATATTTAACCAAAAACTACTTGCATAGACACAGGGCACAGGCAACAGATTGACAGACAGACAGATAGACACAGACATATGAACAAACTACATATACATAATTCTCTTTGTGCTCACTTGTTCTCCTCAGCCGAGAAGGAGGCCCCGGTTCCATTGGCGACACTGGCGTTGGCGGTAGTGGCATCAGAGGGTGTTAGCTCTGTAGCAGTGGCTAGAGATACTGGTGCGGCTGATGACACAGTATCGGCAGTGGCTCCAGTGGACTCTGCTGTTGCTGTTACTGCTGCTGCTGCTGCTGCTGCCGCCGCTGCCGCTTGGTATCCATAGTATTGACTGTAATACTGTTGGTAGGCTTCTTGGCTATAGCCTTGCTGAGTATAATAAGCTGAGTAGTCAGGTACAGTTGTTCCAGAAGTGGCTGTGGAATCACTTGCCGTGACGGTTGTAGCAGGGGTTATGGAGGTGGTAGTTGCTGCAGACGTAGTTGGCGTCGCTGAAGATGTGGGAGCTGCACTAGTAGCAGCTGTAGTACCATATTGACCCGCAGCATATCGAGAGTAGTCAAAAGCATTGTAGGCTGACACGTCTGCACCGGTAGTAGGAGTAGCAGAAGATGCATCTGCCGAACTGGAAGCTGTCGCCGCTGGCGGTTGGTATCCTAAGATAGTAAAAAACGTGTCAGATTAAATTGTGTGCAATGTAGTATTCATTTATCAGAATGCGTATCGTGATAATAACCATCATCTTACCTGCAGCACCATATTGGTATCCATAGTATTGGGCATATGCAGCCTGCTGTTCGGGCGTATATCCAGTGACTGCGGCTGTAGAAGCTGCTGGGGTACCATAGCTACCATATTGGCCGTATCCACTTGATGTTGATTGCGCTGGTTGCTGATATTGCTGCTGCTGCTGCTGGTAAGCACCATAACCACCGGAGCCTCCATATCCCCTATTGAGACAGTTCAGAAATAGTTTGGTTTGTTATTAACACTCTGTACTTTTCTTATTATTATTACAATAAAGTCAAAGTTGATTGATAAATATCACTTACCCTTGATCACGCTGTCCACCATAACGTTCGTTATCACGCTAATACAACAGAACCAGTAATAGATTGCGTTTATAGTATGGCATGCCGGTGATCATCACAAACGGAAAAAATCAGAGCAACGTTGTAAAAAGATAATTGCAACCGCAAACATCATGATGCAAAATGTTCGTTTTTTTTTTTTTTTTTTTTTTTTTTTTTTGACATATTGGTTGAGTGAAGTAAAACGAGACAAGACACAGCAAGATGTTCACAGCATATTGTCAAGATAAAAGGCAGAGAGAAAGGCAAAGAGGCAGAAAAATTATCAATTTACATTTGGTCGTAGCAATAGTTGGCCCATTCTGTTAGTCTTTAAGTTGTTGAGCGGATGCTACACCGGAGTTCTCTCCTGAGCATAAACAGTACACAAAACACAAGCAGCACAAAGCATAAAGCATAGTACAAAGCACACAATACAAGTATCCCAGACTCACATCCAGACAGATTAATCATGAGAAACAAGTGTTGATGAAGAGACACAGGTATACACACGAGCACACACATACACACACACGCACGCAAAAAAGTTCCATTGTAAGCACAATACTCCAAACAATATAGGTCTCCTGACTGTTCATCCATCTAGACAGAGTGTATCGATATGTGCTATATGTTGTCGCAATTAGGAGGCAGTCGTATACAGGAATTGCATCTGGCCGTTTCGACAAAGAGCGGATCCTAAGACAGTTGTTATGTCAAAGGAAGAAGCATGGCATCTTCGAGACATAAAGCAATCGCGAGAATACGAAGGCATCACATCATTGCATAAAGATATCCAATGTAGCATACGCAACCTTGTGTCTCCGCTTCCGATTTCATTTTTTTTTTTTTTTTTTTTTTTATCGTCAAAATGTGGATTCAACATTTGGTTTCCAATACATCCAGCTGAATGTTAATATGTCGTCAATAGAATCAAACGGTCCAGTAACGTCGCGAGGTAATATAGTATAAAAATATTCAAAGACAACATTCACACATGAATGATAAATCGTGAGCAGTTCAATGGGTTGTCGAGCCGCTTTCTGTTTATGTCGTGCCGAAGACCATAAATCCATGTCCGAGTCTGGCGACGAGTCGTCTTTTGTATATGAAGCCCGACACAAGCTCAAAAAGTATACATAAAATAGTCCAATAGAAGAGAACAACAAGGAAAATAAAATAATAATAAAGAGGGTGTAATAATGAATGTACTCTAACTTACCGCTCCGGCAACTTTCTCCATAATCAATTGTTTGGCATATTCAACTGCCTCGGGGGGTCCATATAAGTTAATAGTGCGATCTGTTGGAGGTGGCATAGCAGGATCAACTTGCTGTACCTGGATCTTAGCACGAGACTGTATTTGAAGCTGCTTGACTGTCTCGCCCCCACGACCAATCACCAATCCGATTGCATCCTGAGGGACAGTTATAGTAACAGGTGGTGTAGTCTGGTATCCACTACTATGACCAGCTCTAGGTGCCATGTCGCTGACAATCTCCTCAACGAGCGCTTTTGCTCGCTCAATCGCACTATCGTCTCCAGTGATGGAGACAGTTCTGTTAGGGGAGTTATGGTCGTTGGGCGTAGGAGTGACCGCAATACGTGCTCCACTACGATCCTGTAAATCGCGGATGGTCTCGCCGCCGCGTCCAATGACAAGACCGACCTTGGTGCTTGGAATCTGAATGGTGGCGGTGGTACCACCGCGACCGTAGCTTCCGTTTGCACTTATACCATAGTTTCCATTGCCATAGCCGCCGCCACTAGTATACCCACCCCCCCCATGGCGCTCTCCAGTCTGAGAACTGGCAATAATTTCTTGAATCTGGCGCTTTGCGTCTACAATGCCAGCAGGCTGTCCTAAAATATTAACGAATCGTTCACGGTCCCCAGGGTTGCCATCTGTAGGAATACCCATGTAATATGAACAGTATTAGATTGAGTGAAATTAACTGAAGCCATAAACTCAAATAAAAAAAAAATAAAAAAAAATATTAAACTCCTAATGCAGATATTTACCTTGTGAGAACTGTACACGACAGCCTGTCTCGCGTTCAATTCGCTTGAGGTTTTCACCGCCACGTCCAATTATCAAGCCTACTAGGTTTCCTGGCACAGGCATTTCCTCTTGGATTTGATGCTCATTACGCATAGGAGGAGCATAGTGCGAAACTTGAGCTCCTAGACCAGGACGATGCATGGGAGTTGAGTCTATAATACAATCAATATTCAGTAACGAAGCATTAGTTGATGAGATGAATTTTTAAATTTGTAAAGACTTGCGGAAAATGAAAGAAGAGTACCTCGACCACTATCATATGCCATCCTTTTGCCATATGAGTTGTCATCACGACCATCATGGCCATGGCTACTATAGTCATCTTCAAAAGAACGTTTCAAAGGGGCATGTGTACTAGGTGTGGCAACAGGTGGGGCGGCACTAGAAGCTGAGTTGCCAAGCTTTGCAGCCAAAGCCTTGACTTTAGCCATCGCAGCAGTAAAATCAACCTTGGCCGCGGGGGCACCAGATGCGTCTTGACCGGGAGTATCTGAAGGCATTTGTTTGATATTCGAATAGAATTAAGGGAAAGAAAAGAAAGTGAAGAAGATGGTTGATGACAGAAAAAAAAATAGCCGTCAATGTTGTGTTGTGTCAATGAACTGAAAGGTTCAAGCTCAGTGTTTTTGCGAAAAGCGCCACCTGAAATATAAATACATGTGACACACCACAATAAGATCAGAAACCAGAGGGCAACAAATTGGACAAAGACACATGAACTATGCTTTTCTTCTCCATAAAATAATATGCCCTGATTTTAAGGATCTAGAATATTTCACGTGATCTCACGCGCCTTCTCTTTGTCTCTTTTAGTTGACAGCTTTTCATCCTCAAACACTCAAACACTCAACAATATCATCTACAAAGTCAACATGGAGGCCAATCCTCGAGGAATCCCAAAGGCACCGTTTGTTGAAAATGTTGAAGACCATGTTAGCGAGCAGGAGCCTGTTGAGATTGTTCTTCGGAAGTTCCAAGAGGCTGTAGCGTATGTTCAGAAAGAGAATATAAGGAAAAAAGAAAAAGAAAAAGAAAAATAAGATATACGGTATATATAACATACGACATATTCTGCAAAAAAGTACCCAAGAAGTGCCAGGAACAAGGATTTAGCGCTGGAAGAGACGCAGTAGTGTATTATACCACTTTCATTATCAAGCACCACTTCAGCATGAAGAGGATGATTACCTTACGACTGCAAAAAAAAAAAAAAAAAAAAAGAAAAAGAAAAAGAAGAGATCACCTACAAGATAACAATTAATAGTCATCATCACTTTACCTCTCTTTATTTACAGCGCAAACGGGACAGTATTATTAATTACTAATTACTAATATTATGCTTAATTTGCTCTTGCACGCTTAAAAAAAAAAAAAAAAAAAAAAAAAAAAATGGATAGAAAATACAAGTTCATGGAAGTGAACATGCTTCAGCGCAAACGTAATCTGGATGCAAAGATCCCTGAGATCCGCAAAACCCTTGAGATGGTGCAGTTTTTGCAATCACAAGCCAGCAAGGAAGATGAGACCAAGGAGATCGAAACATTGTATGAATTGAACGATACGTTATACGCCACTGCTAAGATTCAACCTACTGGAAAAGTTTGCCTGTGGCTGGGTGTAAGTGGATACAATATAACTTATACTGATCGGATCGAGTGATCTTTGATACAAATTATATAACTGTGTCCTTTTCTTTTTTTTCTATTCTTGATACACAACCTCATATTTAGGCCAATGTCATGCTGGAATACCCAGTTGAAGAGGCTGCAGACCTTTTAAAGACCAAATTAGAATCTGCATTGAAGACATTGAAGAATACAGAAGAAGATTTGGCCTATCTGAGAGATCAAATTACTACAATGGAGGTCAACACGGCTCGAGTCTATAACTGGGATGTGAAGCAACGGCGCCTCGCAAGGGCCAAGGCCGAAACTGAGAGCAAAGAATAAAGGATCGGATAAAATAAAGTAAAAAACAATATACAAACAATAAATGGAAAGCTTTCACATAGTCTACGTTATAGCTTGCTTTAACATTAACATATTTTGCTACAGTCTTTTTTGTGCGTGGGATATGGTCATTGAAAGGTGCATTCTTTAGAAGCTCAGATTACTGCTGCATAAGCTAAATGTATATGTGTATTTTTGTCTTCACTGCGTTTCATTATTTCTTTCTGTATTTTTTGTCTTTCGTTTCGTTTATGTTTAGCATCAACGCGTCTTTTCTCTTGTGAGAAAAAGGTATTAATTCACTTTTGTATTTTTTTTTTCTTTTTTCTTTCTTTCCTTTCCTTTTTTTTTTTTTCTTTTTCTTTTTTTTTTTTTTTTTTTGTCTTTTCTTGTCGTTGTCGTTATATTGATTTGTAGTTCGTCCATGCTTCATCGTAGAGGTCATGAGATAGCATCAAAGGGGAGGTGGGTAGTAAGAAAAGAATGATTATTTACGAGATATAGTATGTAGAAAAAAAAAATAAAAAATAAAGAGACGTAGGCATCGTTGTCAAACAATAGTATTCCGCCTTGGTATTATGCTTGCTCCTCGTTGGTCATATCCAGTATAGGATTCACATCATCCACCACAGTTAAATCCGCTAGGAATGGGATAAGGTCCAGCAGTTCGGTATCGTGCGGATCATTGAACCAAGAAGAGATCGGAACCGCATTGGTTTGATGGAAGATATAGCTTGCTGGAGAATTGTCGATAATAATTGTATTCTTTAAGTCTCGGCCTATTACAGAAAGATCCTACAAGAAGCAAAAAATATAAACGTCTTATCTGAGCATTGATCCTTGCTTTAACATTATCGAGTGACAAAAAAAAAAAAAAAAAAAAAAAAGAGAAAAAAATATCAACTACGCCGTTTTACCTTCACATAGTTTCCTTTATGATTAAAGCAAGATTCTCTGAAAAGACGATGCTTGATAACTCGATGCACATCCAGCATATCAAGAACAGGATCAGCATACTACACAAAGAAAACGAATTACAGATGCGAGTGAGTTTGATGCAAAAGCTTATTGTCGTCTAGTCAATTCATCTGGTCTGCTTTTAGCTCTAGGACAAACCTTAGATAAACTGGCGGTAAAGATGACAACCTCATACAGCTCCCCCATCTTTTGTAAAAAGGTATCGACCCCTGGACGTTTGATTACATAAACATTGTGTGACTGATTATCAATCTCGACAGGGACTACATAGTCAGCTTGGGGGATAAGCTTTTAGGAAAAAATAATAATAATAATAATTAGAAATCCATTTTAGACTTTGAAGCATCTGACGTTGATATCTACCAAACATGGGCCTTTCCCCAGGAATTGCATCTATGCTTCTCTTTACCTTGAAGGAACTATGGACAAGGGTTTCATCTAGATCCAATACTAGGCACTTTCTGCCAGTGTGTTCTGGTGCAATAGGACCAAGCAGCCCAGTAAGCTCAACCTCTTGTGATTGAGGGTGCTCCTAACCATAATAAAACCACGTACGGAGTTATTAAACTTGCATGTACTTTTTTTTTTTTTTAGAGAAATAAAAAGGTACCACAGGAGCAGGAAATAAGAAGGATAAGAAGGCGATTGGAAACTTGAGCCCAATCCAGGGCAATACAAATAATGAAATGTAGTGTAGAGCCATAAATTAGTGGCCTCTTTGTGTTTTTGACATCCTCTGAGCAGTATGCTTCACATTCTATAAAGCAACCACGCCGTCCAATGGAAGTCATAGCTCCAGCGCTCCACAGTTCCCAACGAGATCCATGCCAGTAAAAACTTACCCCCTCGGGTTCCTCAATGGTGGTTGTTGCGGTGACGTCTACGATCGCTGGCTGAGGTGGCAGTGATTTTTCATCTGCCAGCTGGCCTGATACCGCCTTCTTTCCGATGCTAACTGTTGAGGGACGAGCAGGGGACGAACCCACTTGCAGAGATGCATCACTGTCATTCACAAAATTAGCACCACAGCAGAAAATAAGAGACAAAAACGACGGTTTCTGAGGTTTGGCCTCCATCGGGTTCTTGCGAGCCTTGACTGAAGTTGATGAAGTTGGGGTATGTGTGGCATTAATACTGTTGCCATTGCTAGCATTGCTACCGTTGCCGCTGCTGCTGCCGTTGCCGTTGCCATTTCCAGGGACGCTACTGCTGTTGTTGGTTAAAACAGCAGAATTTGTTCCTGATGCTGACAGATCACTCAGTGGGCCTGCTGAGGCAGCTAGTATTGGTAGAAAAAAAAATTACTCCATTAATAATAAGTTGAAGCTGATGAATACCAAGAATATAACATAATATAGAATAGAGTAACGCATGGAAGGATGTATGAATGGTTGAAAGATATGACCAGATGAACGTGCGTATGTGTTGAAGAGATCGTTTTGTATTGGCTCCGTGAGAGACATCGTGTTATATTTTTTTTTCGAGACTTTTGAGGTGTTTAGAATATGCAAACATGACTTTGCAAACTAAAGCACACAAGTGCACGTTTGAATGCAAAAAACAAAGGGGTTAAGGCGTGCAGCATGATCGACCGCACAACAATAGGCAAAGGGGCAAGGGAGTGGAGGCCCTCCTGGGGGAGAGAGTTCCACCTGTGTTACTGTTTGATTCAACTCTCGCCATCGCTCCGTCCGTCTGCCGTGGGCGCAGCGTAATGCTTTCGGTCTATCAGTGATAAAAAAGAATATTGACAATACCTTGCTCCTTCGAGGCTTTACTCTTGCCAGACATAGAATTTCAGACTACTAAAGTTGTCCCTGAGTTTGTGTGAGGCAAAAAAAAAAAAAAAAAAAAAAAGAATAATTCGGGTTAATCTCTTTAATTCGTTGTAATGATTGGTGATACATGACACATGGAGGGGCTGAACGTGCTCGTTGCTAGGGGAAGGAGGGATCATTGACATGCCATGAATGATTTGTAATAATGGGGGTATATTTGAGGGCATATTAAATAGCATCAAAATGAATATGGGCAGCATGAGAAGTCTCGGAAGAGGCGAGACACCGCGTGTCAAGATGTGCGACATGAGATCAGAATCAGAAACAGATAGAGTTACCCTCTCAAAAGAAAACGGGTTACCATCAGAACCGTTTGCCTTCAATTGGATGACTCGAGTTGAGAGGAAAGGACACATCAAAATTAAGACTCACAGATGGAAGACCAAGGATTATGAGAAAGAGAAAAAAAAAGGGAAACTCTATTTGGATTCTAGATATTAGACAAAGTCAGGGCGGGGAAGGCAATAACGCCTTTTCTTTACAAATATGAGAGAGAGGGTGAGTGTTCGTGTGTGACAGAGTGATGGAGAAGGTGTAAGCGTTAATGAATTAATGACGGACAGCGAACAGGAAATGAACCTTTTCTTCTGTCAAATGAATAAACGGATGGGAATGGATGACTTGCACGGAGGGTGAAAAAAGGACATGAAAGAAAAGAGAGAATAAAAGAATAATAAAAAATAAGACAACCTGATAAAAAGGAGCCGATGTTCTCTATAATAGTTTGGATAGGGAAGAATCTTGCCAGAATGGTTGGAAAAAGAAAAGAAATAAGGATGGGGACGGAAGAGCGCAAATTCTTCATTTGCGCAAAAGGAGAACACATTGCTCTAATGCTCGCATGCTTTTCCTCACATTCTGACAGACTTGTTGTTGTAAAGGTGCCAAATACAAACACACCATTTACATCTTTTTTTTTTTTTTTTTTACTTTATGCACAATGGTGAGTCATCGTAAGTCTGTGTGAAAAAAAAAAAAAAAAAAAAAAAGATTCGTTGTATAAAAGGTCGTGTGGAATAGCCGGCAAGGATGAAGCACTTTTTATAATAAGGCAGAGTCTTTCCGAGTCTACTACAGGCGAGTATGCGTTGGATGAAGGAGAAAGAAGGTTCTTGTAGTGCCTTTTTCCTCAAAAGGAATATCATTGGTGTTTCTCATGTTTCTTTCAACCTGAACATAGGGTGGAATATTGAAGTTGGGACATGTAGCCAAGGAGGGGAGAGCTTCACGAGAATTATGAATGAAATTTGTAAATGGTCTAGGGGAAGAAAGGGGAAAGGAGGGACCCATGGAATAGAAACACTACATTCGCTCACTCGCTCACACATATCAAACATACACGCGCCTAATGCATACCAATAAATACAATTGAAAGTAGAGTATGTGGGCGTTGTTACAACATGCGACGGAGTATGAAGAGTAAAGAATAGTATGTTGCGAGTGTGTTTTGGCAGTTGGTATAGAAATAAGAGAATCAGATGGTTGAGAAAGTCGAGATGACTGTGTAATGTAGGTGAGAGTAGGTGATGTTCTTACGTTTCGTTGTTTTTCTGAAGTGGTGAACACACACAAAAAAAAGGATGCTTGGAAGCAAGACAGAGAGTGAAGAAAAGAGGGCTTCTTCGCAAAAGGAAGAGACCGGTGATAAATATGAAACAGTTATGACACGCAGTGCCCAACAGTGAATAAATGAATTAAAGAATGAAGACTGAGGAATGGAGAATAATAAAACGAAAAGGAATGGAGAAAAGTAAATGTGAGTGGGAGTGTGTGGTTGAGAAAGGAGGGAGGGAGAGAAGGAGAAAGAAAGATGAAGAGCACACTCGAGGATGACAGGAAAGCAGAGGAAAGGACGACGGAAGAGGTGGAAGGACAAGAGGAGAAGAGAGGAGGGAAAGTGGCCAAAGAAGAAGAGAAAGAGAGAGAGAAAGCTCAGGAATTGAGAATAAAAGGACCAAGATGATGATTGCACAATTTAAAAAAGAAAAAAAAAAAAAAAAAAAAAAAAAAAAAGAGCCGTGGCAAACGGGAAAGAGTGAATAGAGCAAGAAAGGCCGAAAATGTATTGAGGCAAGTTCATGGAATAGTGAACATGAGCCATGATTCATTTATAATGTAGAAAGAGAAAGAGAGAGGAAGTCATCAATAATCATGAGAACGATCAAGAAGAATGAATATACAACTGCAACAACTGCAGCATATTGCCTTTATTTGTGTTTATGCTGATATAACAGAGAGAGAGAGAGAGAGAACATGAAAGACGCCTTTGTGATTAATAGGATGCAACACAAAGGAACAAATCATTGCATCCACTGCATCAATGCAACCTTATTGTAATGAAATCATTTTACAATCGTAGATGTATACTGTTCTCATACCAAAAAGAAAATGTAGAAGAGAGGATGAGGATGAGGATGGAAAGGATGATCGTATAGTATAGATGACAACAGATCCGTTCGCATCGCATAGAATGGATAGGAGAAAGAGAAAGAGAAAGAGAAGGTTTGTTAGCCATGAGTGGAAAGAGCATATTGCTGTATAGACAGATGTTTTTTGGGAGAAAGAGAGGAACATCGACAATGCCCCAGTTGAGAGGTGGGGTAAAGACTTGGGTTTTTGAGAGTAAACTAAGCAGATGCAAGCTGAAGGAAGAGCAATCTTTTATCAAAAAGCTAAAAGCAAAAAGCAAAAGGACGCGGAGAAATAATGAATGCAACCATATTTGTGTAGTGTGTGTTCATTTTGAGAACAGCAACAGAACAACCACATCGCAATAAACAATTATTTATCCTGCTGAGGCATCAATAGAAGCATCAGAAAAAAAGGGGGGAAGGGGAATGGCGGGCATAACATCGCAAGATTATAATCAAGGGATGGGTTTATTTAGCCTTCTATCCCAAGAGAGCTCTTGTTTTTTCAAATGCGGCTGTTAGATGCAATTTTTTTTTTTTTTTTTTTTTTTTTTTTTTCATTTCTCTATTTCAGTTTGCTCTTTTTTATTTATCAACTTAACAGAGCGGATTATGAATCAGATGAATGTTGTTTCCTTGAATCTCACGCTGATGTTTGCGTCGTAATTGAGGAAATTAAGGTTATCTGGGATTTCTTCCTTTACCCCCACTTGTTCTCGGAAGTTGGGTCTAAGAAACCGAAGAACATCGACCCACAACCTGGTTGTGCATCCTGTTTTTACGCCTTCGTCACACATCTGGTGTAACACGCGAGATTCAATTCTGGGAAGTGCAACTGTTTATCTGTAACAAAACAAAGAGCATAGCCTTACGAGTCATGTACAAAACCACAACTTGACCTGAATCTGTACTCGCCTAATATATATCTCCATTCCTAGATAAAAGTTAAATACTAATGATATTGTACAGATATACAATTTGCTTCTAAATGGATAGAGTACAACTGGTGAACATGATTTAAGAAAAAAAAAAAAAAAAAAAAAAAAAAAGTGTACAGAGCTTCATCGAGATGCACTACAACAGCTCGTAACTCTGCAACACCAGAGGTTCCAATCAGAGTGCTGCACTTGTAGACGTGTTCCAAAGTAGATCCGTCCCAGTTCCAGAACAAACTCGTGATCCTTGTAAGGGTCTAATCCTAATTGGCGCAGATCTTGTATCGAAATCTCGATAGGACGATTAGAGATCTCGTTCTCTAAATCCGGACTGAGTGGCTCATCATCATCATCATCAAAAATGGCAGCCGTGGTCTTAAAGGATATCAAACGGCCAAGATCTGAAAGTAGCGTAGAAGTCAAATTATGGAAAAACCTAGTCATAAAGTGAACGGAAAAAGTTAAAACAAGGCTTCAAAAGGCATCAACACAAGTTTCAAATGAGTGAACAGTACCTGATAGCTTCCGTATCTGCACTTCCACAAGTTCGTGTCTGCAAAACTTGCAAGCATGCGCCACTCAATGGGCGATCTCTGTCCCCGGATAGGTGCTCAGAATCCGCTTGTGATGTAGGAGTAGTAATTAGAGGCTCAAGGCTGTCGTCCTCTGTTCCATCACCACCATACCACCACCACCATCCACCGGTGACCATCTTTCGTAACGTATCCGACATATTAAAGCCACCCTTGGATGAAGACCTCTCACATTCAATAGTTTGCATGTCTGTACTGCTTAGTTCACTAAGTTCCTCATTCTCTTCATATGCTTCTGTTGACGCAGCTTCAGTACAAAGGTGACGCTGCATCCATTCTTGCCGTCTCCGGAACCGATTCAGCTGCTGTAGCATAGAGAAATAACGACGTTTGTCTATTGCATTTGGACAGCACTCTTCCAACTCATTCTCTCGAAGTGTTTCATTAACAATACAAATCCTTGGATAGGCAGATTTGTAATTAGTTGAGGAAAGATCCACCAGGACATCGTAGAGCTGGGGCTTAAATAAAAACAGCTTGTCCGTGGTGCCTATTTTAGGGGTGAAAACATATTGGATTACGGGAATAAATAAAAGGCAGCCGACAAAAATATTGTCACCGAAAAGATTGCAAGAGAGCTTTGCTTCAAGGTCAAAATGGTCATTTCCAACATACAGGCTACATATCCTCCTTGAATATTTTGCATGTTGTCGATATCGTGGAGTCCCACGCAAAAGAGTGGCTGCATCCGCTCCGTAAATTTTGTCTGTGAATATGAAATTGCTCCAGGTGGAATAGTTGCCATCAAACAGATGTTATATACTGAGGCAAGATGTCAGAATACAAGAATACAAGAATACCCATATTCGATCGAAGGGCGTCAATAAAGCGCTAAATGAACTCGGGTATCTGAAAAAAAGGAAAAAAAAAAAAAAAAAAAAAAAAAAAAAATTACCAAAGAGACAAGAAGGCTCGATGGGTGTCTTGGTACAAATGAGGATTCGTTTCCTCGTCAATGCAGCTTTCCAAATTGTGTAGATTGCTGGACCCATTGTGTGGACGAGCCGCAAGAAATGGTGAGATGGATGAGATATCTAGATCGAGATAAGAGGGTGAAAGTACGATCGATGAGGATGTTATTAATAGCGTATAGTACCCGAAAGAAGATAGTTCCATATGCCAGTAATACTCACTGGAATATCATCTATCTCTCCAGGCTCGTGTTGTCCTGTAGGAGACGATGATAGAGGTTGCAAAGGCTCAGACAGAGTGAATGAGCGACTGATACGACGTATGTTGCGAGCACGATAAGAACTTCGTCTATTAGAAGATGATGACGACGCTGTAGTATGGTATAGCACCTTATGCTGTGCAAAGTAGTTAGCGAGATCTGCTTTTTCTGCGCCTAAGGTTGTATGGTCTCTATGATATTGGATATTCAACGAGTTTTGGTATTAGTCAATACATAGAGGAGCCGCCAAGGACTTTTACTATTAAGTGGCAGTCCAGGCTTTGGTATATATTTACATACCTTGCTTGGCTCTTCAGAAAGTCGACATGTCGCCAGACCTGTCCACATCGCCCAGTTTCTACTGATGGTTTGACAAGCACACCCACTGAGGCCATTTGTGCGCCTCGATCCTCAAGGTTTTCTGAGGGAACATTTGCGAAGACAGCGACTCCAATGCAGCCTCTAAGCTGAAAATATCTAAAAGCGGGATGTACAGAGGACAATCATAATTAGTAACACGTTTCATAGCTAATTTGTTTAATAGTCGTGTAGTGTTCGCTCGTACTCACATCACATCCTGGGAATGACTATGGATACCGCTTGGAAGTGCAGAAAACTCTACACCTTTTATTTCCATTCCTATTTCCGTTAATAAAAAGATTCATTGTCAGAACAAATGCCTTGTTCCACTCCGAAACAACTGTCGCAGACGGTCGCTTTATCCGATTTCCATAGGTGACTCGCAATAGTTACAGTTATTTCGCCTATAGCCTACAAATAAGAAAAGTACTTTTTTTTTTTTTTTTTTTTTCACCTTAGTTCAAGTCAGTACCTGGCGTAGTTTCACTCCATTCTAGTACATTGCCTCGTCGGGTATCAAATCGGACGACGAAAATGGCATCTATGGTGGGAATGTCGTTCTCCATGACAGCTGTATTGTGGAGTGGAGCTTTCAAGTGAATTGCTCTCTCAGTTACTGCTTTTTCCCTCGCTACTACACCCCCCACAGACATTCTTCGCATGACTTGATAAGCCACGACCATTGTCACATGTGGGATGAAAAAGCGTGGGGGGAATTCCAATGTCGCACAATACAAAGAATTGGGGAATGCAATCCCTATGGGCACATGCACTCACTGAGATTTGAGAAGCCAGTATCAAAACGAAGAGTGCGCAATACTGCAACACAGAGGGAGACGATCAGTGATGACTCTTCGTATATTCACATTTATTGTTGTGTACGTTGTTTTTTGTTTTCTTTTTTTATTTATTTATTTTTTTTCCTTTTATTCACAGGATCATTAGTGCGCTTGCCAAATGTGAAGTCAGTTCGCTAAACTTTGATTTCGCTTCCCTCTGAGGTCCCAGGCCAAGCGTATCTGGTGAATATAAATATCGGTACACAGTGGATCAAATTTCTCTCTTTTCTCCTTTACTCTTTGCTCCTTTCACAACCCTTCCACCACCTTCACCACCACCACAACTCCTTAAAACCCATTTGCCATGACCTACAAAATCGGTAAGTTTTCATCCCTACTGGACATTCGCAATGATCCATCTTATTCTGCTCTGCCCTGTCCTACCCTATTCTATCCCATCAATTCTATCTTCATGCTACACCGAGCCTAACATGGTGCTGCACAATTATCTGATGGCGCAATATGAGAACATTCATTTGTTCGCCTAATAACGCAGCAGCAAATATGTTTAATATAATCTTCGATGTTCCTTCACTCAAGGAATTGTAAAACATCAGTGTTGGCTTTTCTAACGGATTGCTTACAAAATCCATGTTTAACATTCAGCTGACATTAGCCTTGCCGCTTTTGGCCGCAAGGAGATCGAGCTCGCCGAAAACGAGATGCCTGGTCTCATGGCTCTCCGTCAAAAGTACGGCCCTCAACAAGTCCTCAAGGGTGCTCGTATTGCCGGTTCACTCCACATGACCATTCAGACTGCTGTCTTGATTGAGACCCTCACCGCTCTTGGTGCTGAGGTCACCTGGACTTCCTGCAACATCTTCTCCACTCAGGACCATGCTGCTGCTGCCATTGCCGTTACCGGTGTGCCTGTATGTCTTTTCTCTAATTCCTTTAGGATGCTGTATAATTTCATATAAACTGTCTAACTAATCAAAACTAACTTCATCTTTTTGTTTTTGTTGACAGGTTTTCGCCTGGAAGGGTGAGACCGACGAGGAGTACATTTGGTGCCTTGAGCAGCAGCTCCTCGCCTTCAAGGACGGTAAGGGTCCCAACTTGATCTTGGACGACGGTGGTGATCTGACTACTCTTATCCACGAGAAGCACCCTGAGCTCTTGAATGAAATCAAGGGTATCTCGGAGGAGACCACCACTGGTGTTCACCATTTGTACAAGATGCTTAAGGAGAACAAACTTAAGGTCCCTGCAATCAACGTCAACGACTCTGTCACAAAGTCCAAGTTCGACAACTTGTATGGATGCCGTGAGTCTCTTATTGACGGAATCAAGCGCGCCACCGATGTCATGATCGCTGGAAAGGTTGCTGTCGTTGCCGGATACGGTGATGTCGGTAAGGGATCTGCTGCTGCTCTTAAGGGCATGGGTGCTCGTGTGATCGTCACCGAGATTGACCCTATCAACGCTCTTCAGGCTGCCATGGAAGGTTATGAGGTCACTACTATGGAAGAGGCTGTCAAGGAGGGTAACATTTTCGTCACCACCACCGGCTGCCGTGATATCATCCGTGGCGAGCACTTTGCTGTCATGAAGGATGATTCGATTGTCTGCAACATTGGCCACTTTGATATTGAGCTGGACGTTGCCTGGTTGAAGAAAAACGCTGTCAAGCACGTTAATATCAAGCCTCAGGTTGATCGCTTCCAGATGGCATCTGGTAACCATATCATTCTATTGGCCGAGGGCCGTCTCGTCAACTTGGGATGCGCTACTGGTCACCCTTCGTTCGTCATGTCTAATTCGTTCTCAAACCAGGTCTTGGCTCAGATTGCTCTCTGGACCGATATTGGATCCTTCCCCTTGGGTGTCCACATGCTCCCCAAGAAGTTGGATGAAGAGGTCGCTGCTGCTCATTTGGCCAAGATTGGTGTCAAGCTTAGCAAATTGACTCCTGTCCAGGCTGAGTACTTGGGTCTTAACCCTGAGGGTCCATTCAAGCCTGAGCACTACCGCTACTAAGCAGTCATTTGCTCGTGCAAGTGTACAGCAATTCCCCCCTTCTGCATTCCTTAAACAATCAATTCAACTTGTACAATAGTCTCATTCACTCCTGTCTGTTACTTGCACATAGTCTTTCAGTTGTAAAAAAAAAAAAATTATAAAAACTTTGTCTCAACACAAATACAAATAATCAAAATGTGACTGTCATTTTTTCTTTTTAAACCATGAACATTTCAACCCATCCTGCCTCAACATCCACTCTGCATCATCATTCGATCAATTGAGAACAATGTCAAAAGGTATCACTATACAGGAGCAGCACCCAGGACAGCAAATATAACAGAATGAAGTCCATAGATGTGACATTACGTCCCTTGATCATCTTGATCATTTTTTGTTTTTGACAGCAATTGTCATTATCAACAGGATATCAACTAAAGTTTTTTTTTTTTTATTTTTTTTTTTATTTTTTATTTTTTATTTACGTCGTCAACGCTTCTATAGCCACTACCAAGAGAGCCCATGAAGGCAATTTCGCTGCGCCTAGCCTCAAAAAGTCAAAGTCCGCTGTGGCAGAAATTGTTCCCAGGCCAACGCGCGAAGCTACTCCTGGACGCGTTTATGTCTTTGGAACGGGTGACTGTGCTCAGCTTGGGCTAGGTGAAGATATTCTCTCTAGGAAGAAGCCAGCCAATCTCACTGCATTGAATGATGAGCAGATTGTTGATATTGCTGCCGGAGGTTTACATAACATGGCGCTCACTGCTGACGGAAAGGTAATCTTTTATTTGCCCTTCTCAGTTCTGTGTCGATTCAACATTATGTAACTAATGTTTCATTTCTCTTTTCTGGTAGCTATGGTCATGGGGAGTGAATGATCAGCGAACTCTGGGTCGGTCTGGAGATGAATATACGCCTTTGCCGGTTGAAGGTCTTGATCACGTCAAAATTATGAAGGTTGCTTGCTCAGATTCCCTCACTGTAGCTTTGACAGAAGAGGGTACCGTTTACACCTGGGGAACTTTCCGCGTAAGTCTATCTTATACGTTTCCTTGAAGCACGCATCTGTTTATTTAATTAGCTGATATATTGTTTTTTTTTTTTTTTTTTTTTTTGGTTCGGTTTCTTAATGCATCATGATTCCTGTTTATGGCACTTTTTCCTGAATATGGTAACAGAGTGCTGAGGGGATCCTAGGTCATTCTAAAGAAAAAGAAGTTCAAGACCTTCCAACCATTGTCCAAGGCTTGAATGGTATTGTAGATATTGCGACAGGAACGGATCATGTGTTAGCTCTTGATGTTAAAGGCCACGTGTACAGCTGGGGTAATGGTCAGCAAATGCAACTTGGCCGCAGGATTGTAGCACGTCGTATCTTGAATGGTTTAACTCCAGAGTCTACCGGGGCCAAGAACATCTTCAAAGTTGGGGCTGGTTCATATCACTCTTTTGCCATCGACAAAGAAGGAAGGGCATATGCTTGGGGCCTTAATACCTATGGTCAATGCGGCTATGAGAACGCTAAAACTGAAAACATCTCTTCGCCAACCCTAATTGATGCACTCAAGTCAGAGGTGACGATTGATATTCAAGGAGGCGAGCACCATACGATTGCATTGACTAAGGATGGGAAGCTGTATGGATTTGGCCGCTCAGACAGCCACCAACTTGGACTTGGATACACTGAGGAACCTGGTTCCGAAGACCCGACCAGCCATAAGAAAGCCATCCGTCATCCTACTTTAATTCCAGATTTACCTTCCATCAAGGCCATCTCTGTTGGAGGCAACCATACTCTTGCTTTGACACAAACAGGAGATGTGTATGCATGGGGTTTCGGCGAGATGTTAGCGTGTGGTAATGGCGAAGAAGAGGATGTTGAAAAGCCATTAAAGCTGACTGGACAGCAAATTGAGAACTGTCGTGTGCTGAAGGTTGCTGCAGGAGGACAGCACTCTGTAATTCTCGCCGTGCAAGAGAGGTAGATGATTTGCGCCTTTGATCAGATTTATATATATCATATTAAAGGAAGTGATCAATTCACGTGATGGGATAGTCCTGGGTCGTGTGTACTGCATACATGTCCCTGGCCTGGCGAGAAGGATTATCGAGCCATCACGCCCATCAAGAAATACCATCTGCTCTTACCTGTGTTGTCTACATTTCAATCCCATTGTTTCCAATTTTTCTATTTTTCTCACTCTTTCGGGCCCCTTGTTCACGGTGTGCACAACGCGTCGCTCCTTTGTGTTGGCTTTTTAGTTTTATTTGCCGCCATTTTTCTTAGTTTTTGTAGAAATTGCACAGCAGGGCATCAAGAAAGAAGCTTTTTTTTTTGATTTCTAACTCATGTTCTCATCTTTTACTTACTCAAGCTGAATTCTTTTTATTTTATTTTGTTTTTTTTTATTCGCTGTCTCTGATCTTTTTCTTTTTTAAAACTCACTTTCTTCTACGCTTCTCCTTTGCGCTTATCTTGTCAGCGCGTCTGTTTGCGTGTTGTGTGTTGTATGTGCTGAGTTCCCTACTTCACTTTCTTTTATTTGCTTAAAGATTGCTTGTTTATTACTTTCTGTTCATTAAGCATCAGATTCGATCGCAAACCATCATACCATCATAAAGATTCTTGCAAGTGTAGCTCTCATCATAGATATACTCGGTAAGAGAAATCAGCCACCTTCTCCCTCTTTCCCTCTCTCTCTTTTCTAGTCGTGCTGACCACTTGTTTTGCATCTATACGAAAATCACTCGTATTTTCTCTCATTCTTTCATTAGGTTCATTTTCCATCTCATCTCGATTTTATAAAAACCATTGTCTCACCGTCTGGGACTCATTGCATAGCTGGTGCCATGTCGAACGACACTCCCAACAGCAACCCACAATTCAATCCGCAACTCCAGTTCTCTCCAACTAATTTGGTTGGACGAATGAATGGTAAGTAATCTTGAATTAATTGTTTGTCCATGCTGTTTGTTCATCAATCTTGCCTCCTCTTCCCCCCTTCACATGTGTCTCCTTTCCATGCCTTCTAATCAATGGATAAATGAATGAACGAATCAATTTATTTCACTTTGATTTGCTTTTTTTTTTTTTTTTTTTTTTTTTTTTTTTTTTCGGAAAAGAAACAAAGAAAACGCGTATTGTCAATCATCTGATCTCATTCTCTTTTTCTCCTTTTCCTTCTCTCATACACACACTTTCTTTTTTTTTTTTTTTTTTGATTGATTATTTTACTTAAATTGTAATCGTTATTTTTTTCGGTTATATTGTATAGCTAATGGAGTTAATGGGATGCAGATCAGGAATATGTACGGCACGCCTACGATGCCGAATGCCATACCCAACCTTAACTCAGGAGCAATGGGACAAAATACACCTCTATCTATGGCGCAGAGGCAGGCCCTCGGCGTCGGTGGACCTGGTTTTCAAATGAACGGTGCTAACCCTGCATTCGCAGCCTTGAGTCAACAACAACAGAGGCATTTTCAGCACCAACAAATGATACATCAACAGCAGTTGCAGTTGCAACAATTTCAACAACAACAGCAGCAACAACAACAGCATCAGCAGCAACATCAACAACAACAACAACAGCAGCAGCAGCAGCAACAGCAACATCAACACCAGCAACAACCGCACCATCAGCAGGCATCATTAATGAATAATTTTCAACTTCACCAACCTCCACAGCCATCCACAAGCGAAGTCTTGTCTGCATCCAATGTAGATGCTAAAGCAAATCCATCAGGCGGAAGCCAACAAAGTGGCGGAGAGATGGCAGATGACCTTTTTGGTTTAGAGTTTGTTGACTTTAATGAAGGTGGCTCGACTAATCCTGCAACTTCAAAAGCGGCTGATAGTAGTGCCAACATTGCAAACGATAGTGCATCCATAGTCCAGACGCCAGCATCATCAGGAAACAGTGGGATCATCAATGGTGGTAATAATAATGGTGTCACCGGTGCTGCGGTCACTAATGCTGGACCCAATAATGAAAATAACAACAACATCAGTAGCAACAATGGCAATACCAACAATTCGAGTAATAGCAACAATGGCGGTAACGATAACAGCAACAATAGTGACAATAGTAATAGTAGCAGCAATATCAACAACGGTAATAACAGCACTAATAACATCAGTGCCATGACACAAAACAATGCGACATTTAATCAGCAACCACCTGGATCTCAAGGTTCTTCTACATTCCAACCCAATACGAACACGCAGCAACAACAGACTCAACAACTTTCACAGCCACAGTCAGCCCTCAGCCTCCAAAGACCACAAATACCACTGCAGATACCTCCACAACAACAGCCACAACAGCCTAATCAAAACCGAAATGGGGTCAGTACTCCAGTTAATCCTACGCAACCCATGATGATGCAAGCTCAGCAGCAACAGCAGCAGCACCAACAACCAGCTCAAATTGGAAATGGGCCTTCAGTCCAATTTATGACGCCACAAATGCGTCAGCAGATGAACTTACTTCAACAGGCAAACCAGCAGCGCTACCTTAACGCTATGGAGGAGCTTCAGCGGAGGCATCGGCAGGCATTACTAGGCGCTAATGGCGACAGTAACATAATTGCAACAATAAACGAGCACTTCGAAAAGATGAAGAAGCATGCAGCAGCTGAGCAGCGATATCAAGCTCAACTGCAGATGCAGAGCTTCCAGCAACAAATGATGCAACAAGCGGGACAGGCGGTCAACCAGAGCCCACAGATGGGATCCAATGCGCTGGCGAATCCAATGGCAGCACAAACTCCACAGCAGAGACAACAGCAGATGCTTGTGCAACAGCAGGGTGTTTTCAATACACCACCATATACCCCACAACAACAAGCACAAAGACCACCTATGTCGATGCACATGCAAGGGCAGCCACACTTGCAGGGAACACCGCAAATGCAGCACCAACAGCTTATGCAGAGACAACAGATCGAGCAGCTGCAACAACAACAGCAACAACAACAACAGCAACAGCAGCAGCAACAACATTTTCAGAATATGAATGGAATGCCTGGTGTGCATGCAGCAGTCAATAATGCGCTCTCTGGCAGTATGGCGCGACCAAAGAAGACACAAGGATCCCAGCCAACATCAGCGCAGTCATCACCATCACCTGCAAACGCTAGCCTTCCTGTGATCAACAATGTTGTACCAAATTTAAACATTGATTACACTACAATCACCTGTGATGAGTTTGAAGATCAATTGAGGGAGTTTATGAAGAACCGCGGTACACCGTTGCCAACCAAGATTCCAAGCATGGGAAGCAAGAAGATTAACCTGCTTCTATTGTTCCGACTCTCCATGGCAATGGGTGGGATGGAAAGCGTAAGTTTATATCGATACACTAATGGTTTTTCACGTTTGTCTATGTTCCGAAATCGTTTCTAAACCCGATGGTATACCCATATTATTGTTTTAATAACTCTCAATAGGTTTCGAAGCAAAAAGCATGGAAGAGTATCTCCAGTCAGCTCGATATCCCTGACACACTTGCAACAGCAGCTCAGACACTCCGGAAACATTACTCGCTTCTTCTTCATCCATTCGAAGAGGCGGTTATGCATGCTAAAAATAGTGGGATGGTCGTTCATCCCTCACTAGGCACAATTCCTGTGCTCCCTTTGCCAGAGCAGACAGACAATCAAGGTAACATGCCAGCCTTTGTATGATAGGCTTTCACTCAATTCATAATTTGTACTGACAGTCGTATTCATCTAATTTTTTTCTTCCCAATCTCATAGTTTCATCAGCTGGGCTTCCTGCTCAGCAGATCCAGATGGGGATGCCTGGAGCGCCAATGCTTCAACAACAAGCAGGTTTTCATAACCCACTACTACAACAACAACATCTACAACAGTTGCAACATCAACATCAACAACTCCGATTTTTCCAACAGCAACAACAGCAACAACAGCAACAGCAACAACAACAGCAACAACAACAACAGCAGCAGCAGCAGCAACAACAACAACAACAACAGCATCAGCAACAACAACAACAACAACAGCATCAGCATCAGCAGCACCAACATCAGCAGCAACAACAGCAGCAACAACAGCAGCAACAACAGCAGCAGCAACAGCATCAACTTCATCAGCAGCCACAGCAGCAGCCACAACAACATCAACAGATACTCCAGCAGCAGCAGGCTTTGCTCAATACTCGGAACCCAACAACTGGCCCCTTGACAAATTCTGGCCCAACGCCTAATGCAACAGCTCGGTTTTCACCATATCCAACAGCAATGCTACTTAAGCAGGCCCAAGCCCAGGCTCAGGCTCAAGCTCAGCAAGTGCATGCACAAACTCAAGGTCAGGCCCCGTCCCCAGTGCAAGGACAAGCTATAGCTCAGTTAATGCAGGAGTCTCCCGTGAGTCAGAATGCTGAGGCTGGGCAGCATATACTAGTAAATACCGATCAGCCAATCACAAAAGAGTCTAAGGATAGTGCTTCACCATCAGTAGACACTGCAGCTACGTCTCAAATAGACGCCTCGCAATCAACCTCTACCACTGCGGATGCACCAGTGAAAGAGCCTCCTAAGCCTTCGGATTCACAGCACCAAGATACACAAATTGCTACCACTGATGCTACAGGACTAGGACCATCGGCTGCTTCCGATCATGTAAGCCATACATCTGTCAATGAGCAGCCTACTAGTGCTACTACTACTACTAGTACTACTACCACTACTACTACCACTGTAGCATCGACTGCCGCTGCACCCAATGATACAATTAAAGGTCCTTCCATGGGGCCGATCCCCCCTCCACCTAATGTATCTGAATCGACCCTTGGTTTCGCTCAAGCCATGATGGCGGTCCCTGTACCTATGATTACGTTGCCATCAAACCTACAGCATGGACATGGGCCACAATCGCAGCCTTCAGAGGAAGCCTCTTTGAAACCAACAAAAGTGGAATCAACAACAGCCGAGCCTGTAGCGTTTGCGGAAGAAGCAGTGCCTCGGCCCCCAACCCCGCCCATGGTGGTAGCGTACCACCCCATTACAAGAACAGTTGACACCTATGGTGGCTTCGACATCATGACATTAGAAAAGTACAATCCTCCACACTATATTCCGGGGCGTGAATATTTAGGTAATATTTAGATACATGTGTTCACTCCATCTTTATTTAATTTATTTTTTACATCAATTTTTTGACACTTCGAATCTACTATTCATACTCTTGCTTTGAACATTGGTAGGGACCGTGGATATCCACGCATTGACTATGTCTCTCAAGTCTGGCATGAAATTTGAAGTCACCAACGCGCTCAATACGCTATCGACTTTGACAAGACAGGACTCTGACAATTTGCAGATCATGCATTGTCCTGAGCTTTTGGATGTCCTGCTCGATCTGATGGAAGCAACATCCTCAAAATGGAGATTTGACGGTTATATTCATAAAGCAGATTTCAATGACATTTGTGAAGATGAATTGGCGGATTCAGAACATCAACTTCACACACAGCAGGTTGGGATTTTTTGTCAACGTAGTCAGTTTGATACATATCAAAAACTTTTTGAGGCTAGCGTCGATGAGGCGTGCCATTTAATGGAGTACAAGTCATATTCTGAGCATAAACATCGGGACCAATTAGATTCCGCATCAGTATCAACGTCCGCATCAACATTGGACTTTCGTGAGTGGTCATTTAATAAGGATCAGTTCTTATCGCTATCCAACATTCTCCGAAACCTCTCGTTTTTGCCTGCAAATTATGAGTTCCTGGCTCGCCATCCTCGATTCTTAGAGGTGTTGAAGAGAACGCTCTTAGCCCCTCAGACGAAGGTGTTTGGATCCATTGATGACATTGAGGATCAAGGCAAAATTGCATCATCAGATCAAAAATCGGATGATATGGAGACCGATAGTGTTGAATATCAGAGGGCACAAGCACAAAAAATGAAGACTGAATGGCTGCCTTCCTCAGGGGCACTAGCAATTCTTGAACACCGTAAGGATGTCTTGACAATTCTGGCGAATCTATCTGGATACTTGATCTTACCAGACTCCAATGCGGCACAATGGATCATGCTTCTGATTCTTGATTTCATGAATGCAGAGGATACGTATTATGCCAGCCTGGCATTAGAGGCTGTTGCTAAGCTTGGCATCAGTCATGACAACCGTTTGTTACTCTCGAGCGTGGACAGAGATTTACGCAAAGAGACTTTGAAGCAGCGGCATGGGGGCCGGCTTCCACCACGTGCATTAGCTCACCACAAGACAACACCGACATCGTCCTCGGCTTTGCATGTATTTACAGACGATGCAATGGAGAAATGGGAGGAAGGCGGGTATTTACTACCTCTTTTTCAGTCGCTCTCTGCGATGTTGGGTAAAGTGCTGACCATCGTCACAGAACAACAAAGGGCGTTGGTGATGCCACATTCAACACTTGCGCATCTTGAAACACTCATGTTGGCGACCTACAACCTTGCAGCACTATCGGAAGTGGACTTTAGGCGATACATGGCAGTCCAACCAGGATTTGTTGCAGGATTATTGAAGTTAAGCGTGGCATTGGCAGATGTTCGGACACCAGCATATACATCTGCAAGTATGCGGACTGTTGAGACATTGCGGGTCATCTCGAAGGACAATGAGCACTTGCTAGTGCAGTACACAGAGCTGATTGCCAAAGCTGCAATGCAGCCTCACATTCATCCTAAGATCCTGGATGACTTGATGTGTGTGTTGTAAACTATAAATGTTACCATTTTTATAATTATCATTATCATTATCATTATCATTATTATCGTGTCTTTGCATTCGTTTACAATATTATTTTCAGGGGGTTGTTATTTTTCTCATTACATTTCTTTTTTATTTCCTTAACAATCCTGTTTAAATTGCCACCATTTATCAATGTTTTTGTTGATTGCTGTATTTAATAAAACAAATGAATAGAAGTATTGTCACACTGCTTTTCCAAAATAAATTGATTTTACATTTAGTCATTCTGAATGTGTTTTTTTTTTTTTTTTTCTCTTTATTCTTTATTCTTTATTCTTTATTCTGGAACCTACCAAGTCATCGACACTTTGGACACAGGTTCAAGAGTTTTTCAAGGCTTCCTTAAATCAGCCGTGGTGTATGAACGAAGCGTTAAGGTACCCAAGTCATGTTACCATGGTGGGGTTCTTCTACGATCCTGATTCTAGATCTGAGAATGATTCTACTGCACCAACCAGCAACAGCAGCAGCAGCAGCAGTAGAGACAGCAACAGCATTAGTGGCAGTAATAGCAGTGGCAGCAGCAGGAAGGATCAATTGATTCAGTTTATCGATCGTCAAATCACTCAGCTCAACAACCAGACCTACAGTTACAATAATAGTAACAGTAATAATAATAATAATAATAATAATAATAATAATAATAATAATAATAGTAGTAGTAGTAACGATAATAACAGGGAACTTGATAAATACAATCTTCAATCGGTCCAAACAAGCACCAAAATCCGAGGATTGATCCGTCCACATCCAGAATCACTCTTGATAGCAATCGAGCCTTCGCCATTTCTGATCCAATTAACTTTACAGCTCAGCCACCGATTCCCAGAGTTGGGCTTAAGATTGAAGCGGATTAATCATCTGTCTTTATGCTATTGGATTGATGAGCAAGAGCAGGAGCAGACGAAAAACAGAGTTTTGTGGACAGACCAGGCGGCTGTCTTGGTGAAGGATCTGATCACGATGCTTTGGCAACAACATGACGATACTCTTGTGCAAGATATCAGTAAGCAGGATAGCGGAAGGGAAGAGGATAAAGATAAAGATAGGGAGGTCAATGTTAATGTTAATGTCAATGTCAATACCGGACCAGATCCTTTGCTGACTGAACCAACGATAATGGTATCGAGATCCACACCTGCATCCTCATCTGTCTCAGTCCTCAATGAATCGTGGGATGTTGTTTTGTATTCTATTCGAAACAGGAACAAGGCCGGCCATTCACCTTATCCACTTACTGAGCTCAAGCGCTGGACACTTGCTTAACTTTCTTCATATCTTTGGAATCTATTTGTGGTTTCCCGATAGATAATAAAAATGATTTTGAAAGAATGTAATACAATATATTATAATGACTTTCTTTTTTTTTCATTTTTTTTTTTTTTCATATATTTTATTTGTTTTCTTTTCATTTTTATTACATGACTATCACAACTTGAGAATTTAGGCAGCTCGCTTCTTGAGAGCTCCACTAAGCATCAGTTCTCGGAACTCTGCATTACTCTTGGGAACTGGAAGTGTATTCGAAGTCCCATCTTTGGTTTCCCCTCCTCCATCTTTGTGTTCAGCCCCAGTTACGGACGATGCAATTGATGGCCCGATTCCGACACTTGAGGTCGTTGTTGCTGTGGTAATTGCTGCGGGCTTGAAGGCGCGTATTGGTGGACGAGTATGGCTTACGGGCCGCTTAATTCGTGGCTGCATTGATCGAGGTTGCATCAAGGGTGTCTTGAAGTTAGATCTCCTAAAAGCAAGGAAAATAATAACAATAACGAAATATAACAGAGAGTTCAGTAGGTTGTTGGCTTTGACCTGTTAACTAGATCACAATAAAGTAATAATAGTTACTTGTCATTTTCCTTGGTTGTGGTATTGAATGATAGCGACTTATTAGGTTCATTTTGCCCGTCCACTACATTTGGTGTGGAAGACACATCAGCTACACCAGAGTTTTGGGTTGTTGCTGATGCTACTGCTCTTTCATCTTCTTTTTTCCCATCCTCTTTGCCCTCTGCTTCCTTAGCCTTTCCTCTTGCGAGCGTCCTACGCTGACGTCTCGAGAGATGGGTGGTAGAAGAGATGTCATTTTCTTGTTGTTCAGATGTTTCAGTCGTAGAATCTGTTCGGCGACTTGACTCCGCTTTTGTAAATAGACGTCTTGCTGCGACTAGCTCCTTGCCTTGAAACATTGTACCATTCAATGCCAGCGCAGCATCAGCGTCGTCCTTTTTTTTTTTTTTTTTTTTTTTTTTTTGGAGGGGGGGGGGTTAAAAAAAAAAAATTAGCCAGATGGTCCGTTTGGTGCATTAAAAGTATGTGAATGCTGATCAATAGTAAATTTACCTCAGAGCTAAACTTGATGTTAGCCCAGGACCCACCACTTGTCGCGCCGCCTCTCTTAATAAACACAGATGTAGGCTCTGCGTACTAATGATCGACATCGATCCAATACATGTAGTTATTGATTACAATTATCAGTCACCATAATTTCAGTTCCTTTTAATCATAATCGTCGAGGTAACTTGGAAAGTGATACATACCAATGCCACTAATTTCCTAAGATCTTCTTCCTTGAGCTCATTTGATATTCCTGAAATGTGTAGTTCATGGCGGCTAACAAACGGCAGCCTTAAATATCCAAAACAAACATTATAAACAAAAATGTTATTACGTTATTACCAGTGTAAATATGATCAGATTCAAAAAAAAAAAAAAAAAAAAAAAAAAAAACTATTATCCAGAAAACATACGGTGGCTTCCCGGTTCCCCGAGGCTTCTTCTGAGAGGTGTCAGAGATTTTGACAGACAAACCGCGACGATCACCAACATCTCTCCCGTCTAATGCAAGAGCCGCGTGCGCTTCGTCCTTTATAACATGAGGACATGAGTGGAGCATAATGATAATAGAGAGAAGCTCAGTTATTATTGTTGGATCGGGACGGAGACAAGATATTAATAATGGATAGCGACAACAGGCTCTTAAGAGATAAGGGTGAACCTACAGCTGTCGTAAATTGAACATATGCGAATTGCCGCTTTCCTTCACTCCCTGCACGAGGAATAGTGCATCTTAAAACTTCTCCATACTAGGTGTGCATAGTAAAAAGAAGGCAAGATGTCAGAGTCTTTCTCCAAGTGTTGACATAGCATACATTGTATTACACAGTGAGAGAAAGGAAACTTTGCATTACTCCTTCAAACAACTCTTTTAGTCTTTTCTCAGTCATATTAGCTGGAAAGTTCGTGACAAAGCAGGTATCTTCATGTCGCCCAGCACTAATATCCAGTGGTTTTGCTCTATTACAATGATCACAAAAAAAAAAAAAAAAAATGGTTAATACATGAATATACTTGAATAATTTCGCGAAAATGTAGGGATTCTGGACACGTCAGACTTGACCACAAAACCTACGGCTTGTTCTTTTCAGCTATATTTTCATTATCCGTTTTTGTAATCTTCGCAGCAGGGGATTCGTTATCATTCTGGATGGAATGTTTTCGCTTTTTGTCCTTGGAAGGATTCTAATTTTAGATATTAAAGAGTTAAGGACCGTAGCAAATAAATAGATAAATAGAATAAAAAAGTATGTACCTTTGTTTGATCATTATCTACGTCTATAGTGGTTACTGCCGTAGTTGGTTCATACGCAGCTTGAGCACTATAGTTCGCATCCGTCTGTAAACCACTCTAAAGTTAAAGGAATTTAAGCGTTACACATTAAGGGTATATTAGGTTACCAAAATAAACGATTGGGAGTGTGTATAAAAAATTACTTGTGCACGAAGCGCCTCTATGGCTTTCATGGCATGACGAATCCGAATCAAAGCATCTTTATAATTCTGTAAAGTCCCGCTCCGTCTTTCAAATAAGAGCCATGCTTCAAACACTTTTTCAGGCCAGTCCAGGGTCTCAGAAACTTGGCATGCGCGGTTGAAAATTTGACGTGCACCTTTGTCATTTTGCAATGCCCTGCTAGGAGAATAAACACTGTATTAGCACCTCCTGAAAAGGATTGACGTGCTTTTGCCACTAAAATTGGTATTGCTTGACGTAGACTTGGCTTTTACCTCTCCATGTCAGCCTGTGCAATCCAGAAATCTGAGAATGATTTTTGTTTGCCTTCGATCGATTTCCAGAGTCTGCGTGCTTTCTCATGATCGCCGAGAGAAGTTGACTCAAGCTCAATCCACAGTCGCTCCAACTTGCAGTACGGGTCTCCTCCAGCTAACAAAGAAAATAAATTCGTTAGTAAGCGAAAAGTCAAAAGTCGTCTTGTACTAAAGAGTACGAGACATTAGACGAGTGTCTGGTCAACTATACATAACGCCTCGTACCTGCTTCAATAACAGTGACAGCGTGCTCGAATGCTTCTCTCACTTGCATTTTTCCAGCTGCTTCGAACAAGTTTCAACATTAGTATTCAAAGGAATATCCTATAGTTAATATGGGTACTAAAATACCTTTATTATTTACCTTCATCTTTGTTTGCTCGGCGATACTTGTATGAACAGCGCGCTAATAACACTTTGGAAAGCTCCTGTGGGTTGGAAAGGAGATTTAAGTCGCTTAAAGCACTGGCCAATACATCTATAGGTTATTGTTAACGTTAAATTAGGAATATAATAATAGTGGCATCTTGTCGTAGTGGAGCATGTTAGGCTTCCTGCCAACTTACCATTAAGTTCTTCATCAGGTCTCAAATAAGTTTCCTGCATTGGGACAGAAAGGTTGAATTTGTCAGTAGTGCCCTCTATACTCTATTTGTTAGCATACTGGGCAAACTGACCGGTTACTTACCATCATGATAAAACGATTCTCCCAGAGATCGCCACTCCATGGACAGTTTCGAGTTGATCTCGTTGCTACACTTAGCATTTCTGTCGGGTCGAGGTCATATTCCTTTTTGCTATGATTCTGTTAAACGATTATAAATCATCGTCAGTCCTCTCCCATGCTCCTACCTCCTAGACATGTATAAATACTATTGATTTGCTTGCTGCCTTACAGAGGATAACAAAAAGCCAAGGTATTCGTTCCAGATGGATGGGACCAAGCAATGCACAGCGATCGCTCGCTCGAATAAAGTCCTGATTCGTGAAAAATGATTTTTATTGTGCTTCAATTCATACTCGAGATAGCTCGTATAGACACCCACATCGTTACCGCTAGATTTCTAGAATTTAGAAGGAGGAAAAAAAAAAAATGAGTACCCATGGAACGTTGGATGCACCATGCACAGTACTCAGAAGAATGCCAAAATGATTCGCTGAAGTTTGTTTACCAGTTGCTCCTCGAAGGGTTCAAGTTTGGCTAAGACCTTCCGTGTAAATCCCACGATCCTATTGCTTTCAATCATGGATTCTTCATAGACTTGACCATCATATTTTGTAATAAATGATGATAAACTCGAGAATGTATTCTCCAAATCGGCGTGTGGGATGGCGATCCTGTCTAGGTAGGACAATTTAAGCCTCTTGATTTCCTCCAAACTGGGCATTTTTTTTTAAAAAAATAAAAATAAAAATAATTAATATTAACATTAATAAAGGTGAGTTGCGAATGATAGGGCTTCTAATGAGGGATGAAATTCCATAAATATATCGAATGCACCTACGATGGGGAATCCTAGATGGTCATAATGGAATTTGCAGGAGAAATAAAGAAAAAAAAAAAAAAAAAGACAATTTTGATTGGAATTAAAAGAGGATATGCAGAATATCAGTTAGATTACTTTCATTCATAGTTTAGAAGCTACGAGCGAACAACTTCCGTGGCTTCGGATGTTAGTTGATCAAATAGTATCTTTACCTGTGAGGCCAACTGTTGGAGCTCAAATTCCATCCATGTGTTCCACACAACATGGCTCTGCGCAACATGATGTCCGGTGAACTTTTTTGCTTTCTTAAACAAGTCAGTTAGATACTCCTTGCTGACAACACCATCATTCTCGGGGAATTCAATTGACTCCATGTACTCCTGGATCACATAGTCTAAAAACGATTTCCAGATCCTGATGGCTATTTTTTTTTTTTTTATAAATAACAATAATAATGGTGGTAATAAATATAAAATGTCGGTTGCGCGTTGAACCATATAGTTCGCTGATAAGTAATTAACAAGGTAAAATTGGCTGCAGCTGATATTTCCATAGGATGAATAGCATGAATAATCAAGTCATTACACAAGTAATCGGCTGTAGCTCTATCGTAAAGTTCAAGGACATGCTCTTTCTCATCTCTCGATGCTGCCATGTTAGATTCGTCCTCTATCCAGCTGATCCACAGCTCTGCAAAATACCAGAAAAATAGTTAATATTCTTTTATATATATATTGCGTCAAGATATAAGGTTATATTACTGCAACATACCTTCAGATAGCGGAAAAGCGGCGCTCATGTGCTCGCGAGCTCTCCTAATTTCCTCCAGCATGTCTGTACTTTTGAGCAGCGCGATTAATTGGATATGCTGTTCATATTGGTTTGGATTTTCCTCCAAAGATTTTTTTAGCCTAGCAATCGTTTCCAATGTTTCGGAATTCGAAGCATTTTGAGCATCGTCCATGTTGAAATCGTCTTCACTATCTGAGACATCACTCTTATCCATGTCACTCATCGTGTTTGTATTTATCTTATGTTAAGATTCTGTCTCCTTGCACTAAGAATCAAGTTGAATGTTGGATAAACGATGCTTATTTTATACAAGCAATATAATTGATATCACGTGCACAACTATGCCTAATTTAATATCGATCATCTAAATTTTAATTTCAGGCCACCAAGGCCTCTGTCCAGTCAACCTCAAGGGCTTGGTTGCCCAGGATCTGCAGACCGCCGGGACGCTTAAACTCAACTAGGAGTTGCGCCTTGGATGCATTCCAAGTGATCAAGATCTCCTCTGCTGGAACCGCGCTAAGTTCGCGCTGGTGTTGAATTGACTCAGTTGATGGTGGTGTCACAGGATCCACGATCGAAACACGGATTTGATGAGACTCAATTTGGCATGGTGACGATACTGTTCCCGTCTTGAGGACCTTGTTTGGTTCGACTCTGCTTAGGCCAATGCCCCAAATCAGGACCGATTGTACATTGGTAGGTCGAAGGTTGCGGCTGCCGTGAGGTGCAATCGTAGTGTCATCGTCGATTTCAGCAGGTTTTTCGTTTTGACTCGACTTTGCGGGATCGACAAAACTCTTAGCATTATATGAGAACATACTGAGGAAGCCTGGCCTTGCATGGAATTTGACCAGCGTACCATCTGCAGCCTTAAATGAATCATCATCATGATAATACTCTCCTCGGGCACAATCTGTCTCATCTAAGGCAACTAGGATCTGAATCGGCGCTTTCCTGACCTGCGTGGTGGTCCCGATAAAGGCATCAGGCACAATTCCCGCACGAGGCAGGATATGGCCGCCAGCAAGGTGAAGCGGAATTTTTTCCAGAGGTGCCTCCACTGTTAAGAATTTGCTGCTTGATTCCACAAAGACCTCAAGTTGACCAGAATGCAGATCATACCAACGTCCAGGTGGGAAGTATGCTTTCACAGAGGACTGCTTCAGCTTCAATACAGGTGAGACAAGGATCGACTCACCAACCAGAAACTGCTCGTCATTTGAAAGCAGGTTTTGGTCCTTAGGATCCAGGATCCAGAGAGGCGAGCAAACCATACGACCATCCTGGTGCGATCGATAGAAGAGCGTATACCAGTATGGCAGGAGCCTATATCGTATGTCAAGGTATTTGCGTGTAATATCTCCTAGAAGCTTGGTAATATAAGGCTCTTGTGGAGGGTTGGTGATACAGTTGTGGTTGCGCATGAAAGGATAAAACGCCCCCAGTTGATGCCATCGGATCAACAGTTCTTCGGAAGCAGCGTCTCCAAACCCACCAATATCAGCGCCGATCATACTGATACCAAAGAACTGAAAGTTGAGCAGTCCAGAGATTGAGGCCTTTAAGTCGTACTCTGCAGACCAGTTGTCGCCATTCCATTTGCTCGCAAATTGACCTGACCCCGGGAATGTACTGCGCGATAAAATGAACGGCTTTCTGTCTGGTCTGATGGATCGCATAGCATTATAGGTAGCAATCGCCTCCATATGGCCATAAAGGTTATGGGCGTCATATTCTGTGATGCCTCCGTAATGAAGAGCGTCAGGTGAAATAGTACGATATTCTAGGTCTGCATACTCGTTATTATTGTTAATTTTATACGGCGGTTGGTTCGGATGTTTATAGATAATCGGAGGCTTTGTTTTTTGTTGATCCACAACAGTGAGCGGTGGACTATTGCGAGCTGACAAGATGGAAGTCTCTAAATGCTCTCTCTCTGGATGATGAGGATCATGCTGCTCTTCGTATTCGCGCTCGTGCTGCGCAATAGCATCCTTTGGGTCAACGTGGTGGTCTGTCGTCTGGTCTGTCTTCTTCTTCGTGTTAGCGCCCGCATGCTGTGGCTGTACTATGCGGGCAGCGCCATCCGCTTCTTCATCCGGGTCTACTGTCGCCAATGCGAAATCGGAAGGTTGTATAGGACGATCCTCTGATGACTCAATGTGTGAACAGTCCCCATCATGGAAGCTGGCTGCCTCGTTCATGTCAATCCAGATGCCATCCAAGGGGACCTTCTTATACCACTCCGTGATATATTTAGTCCAATACGACTGAGTCCCGGGATTGAACCAATCTGGAAAGGTCGTTTTGCCTGGCCAGACCTTGCCAACAAAATCGACCAAATCACCCTCGTGGTACTTTGTACCATCTTCGGCCACTTCCAGCTCTTTGACGCGCCTTTTGACAAACAAACCCTTGGCCACTCCTTCATCATATGGTTCGTAAAGACCAGACTGATATTGGACTTTGATACCTGGATCCAAGATCATGACCATATGCTGATCTTGTGCATGCAACTGGTCCACATACTCTGCTAGCTGCTTGACTGGGAACCGTTCTTCATCAAAAGTGAAGCATTTATAGTCCTTCATGTAGCTAGGGAAGGCATCATTATTGAGTAGTATATGAGTATTAACTTCAGGTCAAAGACCTAATAACTTTTTTTTTTTTTTTTTTTTTTTTTTTTAACGTACTCAATGTCGACCCACATGGCCTCGAGGGGTAGAGAATGTTTCTTGAATTTTGCTACAACGTCCTTAACTTTATCCAGGGTATCATAGCCCCATCGACATATGTGAAATCCTTGAGCATAATAGGGAATCATACAAGGCCGTCCAATTAACTCTGTATATTGTTGAATGACCTGCTGTGGAGTTGGACCTGTAAAGATATATAGTTCTACAGCACCCCCGATAACCTTGTAAGTCAGCTTGTCGCCTTCTGGAGAGAACACAATGTCCATGCCATTTGAGCTTAAAAGAAGCTTTTTTATATTAAAAAAAAAAAAAAAAAAAATTGACGCTGTGTTAAGATCTGGAAGCGTAGTGATGTCAAATTCGTCTTTAATTCAAATTGGGCAGATGTAAAGATAACAGATAACTTTTTTAAACATTATTGTATCCAATCATCTGTATGCCCTGATTTATTCCTTCGTATCATGATGAAGGCTGATTACAAAACCAACTCCGAAAAAGTTTCAGGAGAGTTGTGACGACGCAATGACGCTTTTTTAACATTTTTCTCATGACGACTTACCACACCATGGGCGGAGCCAGATGGAAGGACTTCCATGTAAAAAGGATGGCATCCATAAAGGTTCGTATTAGGTTTGCAAGGGCTATCACGGGCCCACATCGTCGTCGTCGTGCCTGGCTGGCGGCGTAGCGGGCCTACATTCTCACCCAGGCCATACAGATTGGCAACCTGCCCTCCTCGTTCTCCTTTGCCGCCAAGATGTGTTGAAAGTTCAATGTACTGGTCTTTCATAGTCACTCCCAAGGAGGATGTATCAAACAATTTTTCGCCTGTCCCCTTGCGCAGGACTGTGAAAGAAAAAGAATTAGGATCATTCCAAATCATTTCATAGTCCAGCGTTTCATCCAACTCTTGATGACGTTTGACAGGATTACTAGGTGGATAACGAGGTACAATGGAGTGGGGCACTTTCCAAGCCTGATGTGCCGCATTTTCAATCTCGATGCATAGCCTTGTAGCAGACTGTGCCTGGCATTTCATTGTCAACAGTGAAGGATCAGGACCAAACTTAGGACCCATTTTTGCCTTTCGGGTTAGACCAAGCTGAAGTAGAACTTGGTCGTTCTTTTCTACTGGCAATTGGATAGGACTCGAAGGGAAAAAGCCATCACTGGCGCTCGGGAAATGATGAAAAGAAGGTAATGACGATAAAATCTTGTAGTCAGAAGTGAGAGGCTCAGCGACAGTCGTGCCAATGGCATCTAGAGTGGTCCTCACGAGATTCTTAAGTTGGTGAGTCATGGAGACAGAAGTTCTTGAAAAAACAGGGTTATGAGTGCGTAAGTGTGAACAGAAGAGGAGTAGGGTCGGATGCATGCAAGGAAGGGAGCAGGCAGGTGTAGAAGTAAGCGAGGAAACAAGACAAAAGGCAGAAAGTCAAAGATGGAATAACAGTCCAGAAAGACGCGCCACAGAGAAATATCCTACTGCACCATGTCGTCTGGCCAATAGGAAAAAAATTTCCTTGGAATATCCAGCAAGGCTTGTCTTTTCTCTACAACCATTCCGAGTTTCGATTAAGATACATTGTTAACGGTAGAAGCGAAAAAAGAGAAGAGGAAATTGAGGCTGAGCATTGTTTGTGTCATCGCTGACCCCACATTCCGCGTTAGATCCGCTTATAATCAAAGTCATGGCTCTCATTCAGGCCAACATTCCGCTTGCACTCCGTTTGGGGATTCAGGCACCATTGCTCTTTAGTAGCAAGCGATATGTAACTGCAGCTATCTTTTACTCTCATTCTTACAATAGCCTTCTACAACATTCTTCGATTCTCGCATCTCTATCGCCTCATGTCAGCGACTTTTAATCATCATGTTGGCACTTTTACCTCTCAAGTCCCTGTGCTAGCCTGTTGGTATTAATGGTCCAAAACGTGGAAGTCCAAGTACTGTTTACTGTAGCGTTTGCTTATGAGAAGGTACTATCAGTTCATACATATTGAGTTTGATATGCGCAGGTATATATATAATATTATGGATTCTTTTTATTAATACAAAGTCATTTTAGAAATAACCTTTGGCCTTTTTTAGGCAAATTAGAGTACAGGGTTGATATGAATACAGAAATGAAGCAAATGAGCAAACTGCAAATGAAAAAAAAAAATGAAAAAACTAAAAAGAAAATGCAAGTAATGAGGATATATAAAAAATGCTATAAATACAATTATAATAATAATAAAAAAGGGTAAATTGACCCTTCTATTACGTCAACTTGGCCCTCGCCCTGGCCTCCGAGAGCCTGTCGGTCTCCTCGGAGGTTGGATGGATACCATCCCTTCTTTCAGCCTTTACTGCGTAATGCCTTAGCAATGCATCACGGCGAACGAAGGGGCGATGGCAAAAGTCGCAGGGCCACGTCTTCTCGTTGTGCTTAGAGATTTGGTGGCGCTTTAGGTCATGGACCCTTCCAAATCTCTCATTAGGACACAACTCGCATCGATATCCACCATCCCGGTGTTGCGATGCTGAGGTTGTTTTTGACTTGAGAAGTTGTGTCGTTTTGCTGCTGCTGCTGCTGCTGCTGCTGCTGCTATTGTTGTCATCACCGCCTTGTTTATTGCGGTTGAGAGCAGACAGCAACACTATCGCAGGCTCCGACACATCAGTGGCCTGAGACTCTCCTTCGTTGATCATGCTTACAGTGGCTGTCTTTGTGCGACGAGGTGGGTATACTTTGGGTGTTTTTTTAGCTGGCTGTCTCCGGACGCGAGGTGCTTTGAGTGTAGATTTTGGACGAGAGCGCATTGTACTAGAAGTGGAAGTTGGGTTCTGTTGCTTTTTAATACGCTTCTTTGCAATCGCGGAGTCGTCATCATCTTGCGACCTTGCCCTCTTCCTGATGTTATTTTTGCCATTATCTTTGCTATTATTCTCTTCGCTATGGTGCTCGACCCTATCGTTGTCTTCATCGTCGTCATCATCTTCATCATCGTCATCCATTCCCGAGCTTAATGAACCATCCGAGTTAAAGAGATCATCCATTTCTTGCTGTCGTTGATGGTGAATGTGGTGTTGTGATGGTGCCTCCTTCACGTTGGTATTCGAACAGATGCTTGGCTGGCCAAGGGCCTCTTGCACAGCAGACAACATCGCTGCAAGTATTTTATCTGAATCGGATGCAGATGCCTGAGCTCCTAGGGCGGAATATATACCCTTAATATTTAGTGACTCGGTCGACAGAACTTCATCAATCGACACGTTGTAGAGGTCCGAAGGTGCTGCTGTCTCAACACTCTGGTTTTCTTTAGATAAATGATGTCCTGATGCAGATCGAATGGCATTATCAATAGTGCTGCGTTGCATTGTGTAGTAAGATTGCATGCCTTGTGAATGTTGAAGATCTGATAAACTTTGATGAGATGAGTTATTGAAAAGATCAAGATAGCCAGTAGAGAGAGAGTAGATTTTAAAGTTTTGATTGATGTCACTCTGGCTATTTAATTTAAAATTGTTGCTGATTTGACTTTCTGCAAGGCTATTTTCCATGGTATTCAGAAATGACGACGAACTCCAAGGCGAGGGGGGAGGCGAAAGAGAGTCCAATAAGGCTAAGTCTTCTGATTCGGAGCATGGCGTACTAACAGGCGTGAATGCTGTCAAGATAGTCGATGTAGGCGAGGTCTCTGTCTCGGTCATAGAGATATATGAAGCAGTGTCAGTCAAGAGGGATGTGTCCTGGTTGCTCTCGCACAGAGTAAGTGTTGAAGGGACATCAGGCCATATTGTAGCCACAGTAGTAGGTGTGATAGTTTCGGTATGGGTTTCGAGAGAGCATGTTGAGTCCAAGGCAGGATCAAAGATGGTTGTGAACTCGTCGCAAAGTGCTCGAGTGGTCTCTCTTCGAAGAAGGGGAACTGTAATTGTCATGATTCTTTTTGCTGCGCCTTGCTTGTGAATATGGATATGAATATGAATATGAATGTGGATATGAATATGAATATGAATATGAATATTAATATTAATATTAGTTTGGATATTAATATTAAGCGAGAAGGAGGCGATGAAGAAGAATGAAGAAAAAAAAAAGAAAAAAGAGAAGAGAGAGAGGAAAAGAGGTGAGAGCTAAAACTCAAGCTTTTTATAAGGAAAGAGGGTCAACTCACTTGGCATGTCTAATTTAATTTGCCTAATTTGGAAAAGATAGTCCCAATAATACGCCACAATCAAATACAGATTTCCTCATAATTGGCCTGCCACGCGCGTTAGAGCATTCTGTGGGAAGACTTCGTATATTTCGTATATTGTGAGCGTGGTGTAACCAGCTGATTAAGAATAATAGAGGGACAGGCAGCTTCGTTTGCTTTTTTTTTTTTACATTACGCCAGTGAATTGCTTTCGAAACATGCAAATGTATACAATGTTTGTAATTCTGCTGTCTTCATTCACCACAATTTGTTTACAATCTTTTCAAAAGAACACGGAGCATGTGATCTTTATTTATTAAATTGAAAAGTAGTCTCCTTGACTAGGCACAGTGGACATGGTGGCCGTATTGTCGCGCTTGGACCGCCGTTGTTGTTTGCACTCCTCTTTTTCTTTATGGGCCTTGGCCCATGCAAGTGCACGCTCAATACGAGAATCATACTGTTGTGGGAAATGGTGCCATAACCAATTAGTCCGGAGTGGAATAGACATAAAGTTTTCTTTATCCGAAAACTCGATACGGATCTCTTTCTTCTTGGAGCCATTAATACGAGGCTTCTGTGTCGTGTAAACTTTATGAATATCATCCTCGTCGGACAATTCACCATCTTCATCTTCAAGATCTACTTTTCTCTTCTCCTGCTCTTCTTTTTTCATCCCTTGCTCTTCATTAGACGGTGTTAACGACATCTCCTTGCCCTGATGACTGTCACTGAGAATATGCTGAGTAGCCAAATCACGGGCATTAGAAGGGCCTTCATATAGAATGGGGTCACCTAACATTTTAGATGTGGACGTTGTTGTCGGAGCCACGGTTGTCGTAGTAGTAGACTTCTTCCTAGAAGGTAATTCCTGAGGGCTTTCTGCGAGGGGTTGATGCGGAAACACAACAGATTCTTGTTGACCTTGCCCATTCAAATCGGAAAGTACAAGGCTCACATCACTAGCCAGGCGCACAGGCGCCTGATTAGGCTGATATGGCATCACTTTAGGGGCCCTGGCGCTTATTCCTGAGTTGGTGCTACTTTTATCATCTAAGCTTGGAGTATCGACTGCCACGTTATCATAGCGGTGATGCTTGATTCCATTACTCTTGATCGAAAATGCCGAAGTGAAGACTGAAAGCGATCGATGGATCGTGCTTTGGCTTGTGTTGCTAGTATTGGAACTAGTACTCATGCCACGCAATCGGCCTGGTGATATGCTGCTCTCAGTATCTGTAGATGGGGTATCTTCTAACCAGTTTTCAGGCAATCCAAATTTGCTGTCTCGACCGTGACGCTTATTCTGAATGACAGGCGTGTCTTCATAGACCTTGTGTAAATAGGTCACTGTGCCTCCTATGACAAGTCGAGGCACATCATCCACTGCCCGAAGACTCTTCTGTGCTTTTTCTAGTACCTCAAGGATCCTCTCCATCTTTTCACTGTGATCAAGTCCTTTGTAAGCTGGATTCAAGCTCTCTAATGCCGCAATCTTGATCAGCTCCTTCAAATCTAATGCATTTCCATAGCTTAGGCGACAAACAATATCGCTTTCATTGATGAAGGCGATCTGGGTCCGCTCCCACTCCGCTGCAAGATTGGGTGTGCAGATTGGTGGAGGCGCAAACAAATAGGCCTTGATTTCTAGTTTTTGCTCCTTAGATCCAGACGTTGCTGGTATTACATAATCCGCAAAGTGGTCTTGGAGGAGAGAACAAAGTAATGACGAAGACCCCGCTCCGAGAGAATGCCCGATACTAGTAAACCATCAAAAACAGTAAAATTAATAATAACTCCTCGAAGCTCTGAAATGAGAATAATAAAAGCCAAGTATTAAAACTCACCAGTAGATAGTCTTCAGATTAAACTTCCTAAGTGCCGCTTCAATGTCTTTACCACTGCGTTCGAGGACAAACCGAGCATTATCCATGATGCCCTTATGCACAAGTCCCCCTTTGTAAGGGTAATATTCGCATACGAGGTCTGTCATGGCATCAGTAATACTCTGTGAACAATGAGGAATACACCAAGAAAAATTAGTTTCAGGTCAAAGAAAAAACAATATTTGTTATGAGGAATAATCCCAATATTGCCATATGGCCAAACATACAAAGGTACCACGGATGATAATGCAAAGTGCATTGTACTTGGGATCGCGAATGATGTAGTAACTAGGCACAAGAGCTGTGCGCTTGTCGAAGTGCCAGATAATCATATCCTCCTTTTTGAGCTTGAAATAATCCATCACGTTTTTTCGGTCAGAATTGAACCGAACAAAGTCTGCGAAACAAATAAAAACGACATCGAGTCAAAAAAAAAATAACTCTTATAACAAAATCAAATCAAAAACAAAACAACATAAAAAAAAAAACGTACTCAGTGGCGCAACTTTAAAGCTGTATCCAAAGTATACCCATGGAAGAGAGCCATAGGATGCGATGGCAAGGCGCACGAAGTGACGTGCCTTTTCCAAAATTTCGATGTCGTTGAAAGCTCTATTTGTTGTTGGCCTATTTATCCAGGTAATATATCAAAATTATATCATTAGAGAAACGTAGACATTTCTGTTGAACAAAAGCAAGCGAAAGATAACTCTATCATCCTAAATGTGATATTTACTTACGTTGGATGTCTTGCATAGTATTGCTCAACTATATGGAAACCTCTCCAAAATGCGCCTCGGGTTAGATTCCAGCCATGGCCAAAGAATGAACTATATATCAGTTGGATATCTTTGAATGCAGACCGTGTCTGCTCGGAGAATAGTTTAAACTTTGGTTTCTTATCCTTGCCATTGCTATGTCTGTCTGTAGATCGGCTCAAATAGAGGTCCTTCTTTGCTTGGTCTCCATTGGCCATGATTCCTGCCATCAGCTCTTCCTCCTGTTTCCTGTCAGCCTCAGTAGGATGTTCGCCTTTGACCTGGTCCTTATTGTTGTCTTTGTCGTTAGGGGAGCTAAGGGTGTCTTCTTCATACCCAGCATCATCGTCGTAGCTCAGCTCAGACTCATCCCAGGATGGTATGCCATTTAGATTGATATTATTATCTGACAGCCACTGATACGTATTCAAAGGCGTCGACGGGGACCCTGGGCACTGGGACAGTGTTGGCGACAACGGCGGAGAGAGAGGTGATCCAGCCGAGAGCGTTGTTCCATAATGTAGCAGAAGGTTAGGTGGAGAAGAGGGCATTTGCAAAATCCGTGAGCATTGTTGCTGTTGGTGTTCGCTGCGCGAAACAGGAATAGGTGCTGAGAGAGATCTGACAGGAGTATTTCTAGACTCGGTATCGCTGGAGGAAGAAAGAGACAGATTCAAGTCCGAATCGTATCCATTTTTGTTGCAGCTACTTTCAGGGGCCGAGGAATCCAATGACAAACTCGAATTCACAGATCTTTTTGCATTTGATATGCTATTAACGGTGTTATGTCTCCTAACTCCTTTTTTTAATTGTGCGGAGGCCAAGTTATGGGTCTGGTCCTTGAAATGCATGGTTACTTGAACTGTGACCATGCCGACTTCGACTCCATTCATGACTTGCTGTGCAAATGAATCTGACCGAGTAGGGTGAGGACGATGGTCAATGGTTGAAATATCCTTGCCATTCTCTGACCCTTTAGTGACGAGAATATCACCATTCTTGATATCAGCTGAAATGGAGCCAAATTTGGAGTACGATCCATGTTTGAAAAGTGGAAGGTCAAACTCGAAAACATCATCGTGCTTCCTGCAGAACGTAGTAGCATCAAATCGCGATGAAAGAATAGATTGCCCTGGCTCTGTATCGTTGTTTCCGCCGCTATCATACTTGTTGCCAACCTTCTTCTGAAGATCGCGCAGAGGCAAGTAGGCGCGTCCAATTTTGACATGGTGGTTGAAAGCCTTTTTCACGTCATAAACGTCAATTTTAAGCGTATCGAATGTCATACTATGGACAGTCGTATTGAAATCGAATCTTTGATGTGTATGATCTCCAAGGTTCTTAGCAGGTTTTGTTTCCTGGCTTACGTTCTGAAGTTTCAACCGGAGTTGTGTTCTATCATGTAGCCCATTACAAGTAATGCTGCGGATCCTAAAAGTAATGTATTCTAGAGATCATTGAGGCATTACTTAGTTACTTCATAATAATAAGGCATGGAATGCTTAGTACACAGTAAATTATAATGAAAACATCATACCAGGCACAACTGTCAGGGACCATGCAAAGATTTACAAATAGAAGAGTGCGACAGAAGAACAAAACATGTCAATGAAGTACCAGGTCAATAGTTGCGTCTGTTGATAACTTCTAAAAGCCATCATTTATGTTGAATTTGAACCGGACAATGCTTACGTTCAACACAGAACCCACCATTCGTGGCTTGACTTAGAAAAGAGGCGCCACTGTCGGAGCGAGTAGCTGGGTGCGGCTTGTTCAAAATGGCTGTATTTCAGTTGAATGCGTAATTAAAAATGGAAAAAAAGTTAATTGCATAATCAAATGGCAAATGGGTCCAAGCTTATTCCTTCATTTTTGTTTTTTGTGTTACACTCAGACAAGCAAATCTTATTAACTGCTCTGTTTTAAGCTGATAGGGACAGACAAGCGCAAGCCAGGCTAAAAGGATAGTGTACTTGCCATGTGAACTATTGAAAGCCGCACTAGGATGGTCCCCGATTGGGAGGATTTGTGTCTCTAAAGGTGCTGCTTCTGGTACGGTTGCAATTGAAGCGGGAACAAGAGCAGTGGCAAATGTGGCCATGGTGTGTTTATCGTAAGATCGCTGTAAGGTTGAATTGAGGTATCTTTGGAAAAGAGAGCGAAGAATGTGTTTGTAAATGTTCAAGTCTTCAGAAGTATTAGACCTGGTGGTGGTGTGGAATGGGGTATATGTTAAATATGAGCAAATACGTTGTTGCGCTAGTTGCAAATGAATGTGAGAGGAATGAGAAGAAGGTCATTTAGATGAAATGCTAAATGAGAAATGCCAGAAATATTCGCAGGGAAATACATTTAGCCACTGCCACTTACGACACGAGGATTGACTCTCGATTTTGAGATAAGTCTGTGCAGAGCAACTTGAGTGTTGCAAGGTAAGTGGGAGAAAAGAGGAAAGAAGGCACTTTTTTTTACTAATGTTATTAACCATTTTAATGTCAGCCTCTTTTTATATCTTCAAATCAAAAGGCTGGCAAGCACATGCAAAAAGAAGTTGGCAAAGTAAATAGAGAAAGAGCACAGGATGCTGGTTGTATCGCTCCACACTTCTCTCCACGGATTGCTCTCTCTTTACACTCACTCCACATTAGAAAAAATTTTTTTTTTGACTTCCAGTTCTTAAATTATTAATGCATTTATGCATTACGAGCAGGCGTGTTTATCGGTCACGAACCAAATTGCATCTCCACTTCGGCAAAAGAAACCATTGAGACGAATTTTTGCTTTGTCCTACAAACAGAGAAATGCATGTGCAAGCGACAAAAAAATACACATTGTAATTAACCTGTTTGGATGAACAGTGCTGCTGGTGCTACTTTTCTCATTGAGCGGCTTCTTTTTATTACAGGTTGCTGGTTTGCTACATACTAGCGTCCGAGTGTCCCTGGCTAAAACCCCCAACTTAATCATCTACCCAAGACAGCGCACTAAAAAAAAATACCAATCGTCTTAGATACCGTAAATGAGTAACCCCAAAATCCTTCAAGAGGAGAGTAAGTAGAATGAGGCTTGTAGAAAGCCGATAAGGATTCTTGGGAAGAGTAAATTCTTGAAAATTACTGTTGTGACTTCGTTTTGAATCACAAAAAGGTCAAATGAAATGCCGCTTTTTCTTCGCACCTTCATTATTATCTTGAATTACTTAAAAGTTCCCAAGAGCCATCTATATCACTACCACAATTCGAATATAAATAATGGCGTCACTTAAAGGAAGGCGCTCAACTAAATCGGCTAAAGCGACGACACCGGCTGTTGTATCAAATGTCTCGAGCGTATCAACAGCTTATCTTCAGGAATTGGAAGATACATTCCAGCTCTATGATCCGGAGAATACAGGAGTGATGTCACTCAAGAGTCTAAGGCTTGCAATGAGAACATTAGGTTTTGAGGCTTCTTTGGAGAATGTTATGGAAATCATCCGCGAAATACCATCGCTCAGTATTCACAGACCCAAGAAAAAAAAATGCTCAATAGTCAAAGGTATGATAAGCAGCACCAACAATATCAACTCCAACAACAATAAGAATAAGGGCAAGGAGAAACAGAATGACTTGGAGCCGATTGCGGAAGGCATCTCTGGTATAAGACGGAGCTCACGTGTGACGTCTGGGGCATTGAAGACAGGGTACAGGTCAAAATATGTGGATGAATCAGACGAGGCTTTAGTGAGTGACGATGATGACAATGACGATGACGATGAATATGAGGACATTAAAACCCTAGACTCAGACGGAGGCGGTGATAAGAGCTTTATTCGAAGGAATACAGAAGAGAATGATTTTGGGGATGACAACCTCTACTTCACTCTGCAAGATTTTATCACGATCATGATACCTAATGAGGTATGTTAGCGTTGAATACAGAGTAATATGAGTAATATACACATTTGAAGTGATGGACTGATCAGCCGTTTTTTAATCCAATGCGATCAGGACCAACACGGCCAGGATGAGGTTTCACGGATATTCCAACTGTTTGACTTGCAGGGTAAGGGGTCGATCCGCATTGAAGATCTGCGACGAGTTGCCAAGGAATTGGCCATATCCATGGGGGATGAAGAACTGCGAGAGATGATCGAAGAGGCTGACCGTGATGGTGATGGATGCGTTACTGAGCAGGAATTTGCTCGGATTTTAGAAAAGACAGGATTTTGAAGACATTGATAGCTAGTAACATCCACAGCCATTTATTGAAAATTATTAACAAACGGCTCATATGACTTTATCAACCAATTTGAAGCTTTACAATTTTGTTTAAGAGACTGAGGCACTGATGATAAGGTGTTGTGTGGGTTTAATAATGAGTGGTCCCGCCTTTAACTTCCTTCACTCCTTCCAGCCTGTTAGACATAGAATCAACAGGTGTTGCTAGTTTCTCCTGTGTTGTATTGTTCTACCTTCAACAAGAGTTACTGCGAAAGCTGGAAGGTCACTTGGGAACTTGGGGTACCTATCAAGTATATCAGCTAGAAGTAACTGCAAATGCTCAATTGGATTTATATCTGGAAAGCATGCTAATCAGTCTGAAATCTTGAGGATACTTTGCTTTGCAAGCTTGCAAGTATGGTCGGAGCATTGTTCCCCATAAGAATACCGCCCTCTATTTTCAGCCATAAACCCGGCAAATCCACCTTGATATACATCTTCCACGAAACACTGTCCATCTCTACGATCACATTATATCCAAATACAACCAACCGGAGCTTCTCTAGCTGTCGTAGATGCTCTACAAATCATTACAGTTGCTCTATCGCTCTTGAAAGTTGACGCCAGGCAATCGTACCTGCACTTTCCTCCGCCATACACCAAAGCCTCATCCGACTGAAGTGCTCATCTCTTTCAAAAGATCAATCCAAACTACTCGAGTTCAGCCTTCCTTGCATCAACTGTCATTAAATATGGCTTGCAGAGCTGCAATACTAACGCATGGTGTGTCCTGGCAATGCTTCTTTACTCGCTTTTTCGTCAATTGATTAGCAGCATCCTTGAGAGTAGCCCCTTCGCTCCTTGGCCTTGATGTAGTACATGGTGCTCATGGTGCCCTATTCACTCAGCGTCTTGGGCTGCCTTGAAGTCGGAACGCGAGCGGTGGTGCCTCTTTCCTGAAATGCTGATAATACTCAATGCCTTCATGGATTTCATACGTCCAGTAATGGTACACTTACTTACAATACCTAGATTTCAGCACATAATGGTTTATTTAAGCTGCTATTATTTTAGAACGGATTGATGATGCCTTTCGATAAGACGGCACAGAGCTGCACCATTAGATGTTGTGGCCTTTCTTCGATAAAAATTTTTCAACCATTATTGCGCCACGTTTGTCTTTTGTCTCCTTACATTTCACTTCCTAAAAAAAACATCCACACCCATTCAAAAATAAGAAAGTATTCCAAAGATGATGAGCACCGCGTCATCCGGCCCTGCGCTGACACCGAACGCGCTTCGACCAGACGGAGGCGGTAGAGCGGGTAGACATATTCAAGTGCGAACAAACTTTTTCGCCATCAAGAAAGTAAGTAGCATTTCTGTAATTCGTCAACTTCTAAAGCCTTTCTTGTTTCATGATGAACTGATTATTATTATTTTTTTACCTTAACAATAGCTCAAGGCAGATGTCATCTGGCAGTATGATGTCTCTATCAGTCCGGATGTTCCAGCGGAAAAGGCTAAACAGGTAGATAAATATCCATTAGCATTCTATGAGTGCTTGCGTCACTGATTCCAGAAGATACCTATAATGAAAATACTCTTTCTACACTTTGTAGGTCTGGAAGGTAATCGAAACCACTATTCCGGAGCTGGGAGGCAACAAGATGGTCTTTGATGGCAAAGCTCAAGCCTACTCGGCCATGGACCTTGGTATCGATAAGGTCAGACACAAAGTCGAGCTATTTGATAGTGGACGCCCTGCAGCCGCAGCCCCTCCTGCTGCAGCCGCGGCCAAGAAAAAGAACGAGTTCACGGTCTCTATCGCCTTCGTGACAAAAATTGATGTCTCTGAGCTACATGCGTTCTTGAACAAGACTGGTCCTATCACCCCTAACTGCATGGTCGCCATTCAAGGTACTATGTAAAACCACTCTATTGAAGTTCGAAAAAAAAAAAAAAAAGGCATCTGATGCTGACACGATGCTTGTTTATTATAGCTTTGAACATTGCTATGTCGCATAAGCTTTTCTCGGAAATGGTTAGTGCTGGTCGCTCGGCCTATCGTCCTCAAGGTGCTCAGAACCTAGGCGGAGGTGTCGAAAAATGGGATGGCGTCTTCCAGTCCGTCCGCCCAGGACAGGGCAAACTGTATGCTAATATTGACATCGCATCAACAGCGTTTATGAAGGGTGGTAGAATGGATGATCTGATGGTAGACATCCTACGTGCTCGCGATCAAAATGACTTGAAAAGACTCCAAAGACATGACATTATAGCCCTCCAGCGTCATTTCAAGGGGGCATCCTTCACTGTTACCCATCGTGGTGCGGACTTCAAGAAGAGGTAACTATTTATCTTCTGAACTCTGTACAAAGGATTTAGAAGCCTCTCAATATCGATAACCATTGCACGATACCTTTTTACTCATTGTACTTTTCTATTATTATTATTTATATATATAAAAGATATAAAATCTCTGAGATTAGCGCTTCACCTGCTGACAAAATCACATTCGACCAGGAAACTAATGATGGCAAGAAAAAGAAGGTCTCAATTCCTGAGTACTATCAAACTGCATACAACCTGAGACTTAAGTACCCCTTTTTGCCATGCATCGGCGTCAAAGCCCGTGAAGGCCAGACTATGTACTTCCCTGTCGAAGTCTGCAACATTGTTCCAGGCAAACGCTACACTAAGAAGGTATGTTTGGACTATATCGACCCAATGCCCTTGCCCCGTAATACGATCGTAAGCTGTCTTATTAACATTCACTCTTAATGTGTTGCTCCTTCCCTTCATTGCTACAGCTCAATGAGGAACAAACTACAGCGATGATCAAGAGTACCTGCCTCCGCCCGCAAGCGAGAATGGAAAAGATCTATGACAGCCTGCGCGTTCTGGACTTTGACCGAAACGAATATCTCCAGAGATTTGGAATGGAAATCTCAAGGGAAATGGCAGTTGTTCCTGCGCGTATTCTGGCTCCTCCACGCATTGTCTATCGTGACAGGGTTGAGGTTACCCCTCAATTCGGTGGCTGGCAAATGAATCCACAAAGAAAAATGGTGCAAGGCTCCGAATTGAGATCATGGGGTGTCCTTGTCTACGAGCGACCAGAGTACGTGCCTGGGCTTGATGTAGTTGGATGTTTTCGCACTGAAGCTGAGAAAACTAACGAGGATCTAATAATTTATTTTTTAGTCGTCTCCGCGAAGATGCAGTGAGGAGATTCGTCCGTGAATTGGTTACAACTCTCAATGAAAATGGTGAGCCAAACATACCTTAGTTGCATTGTTCTGCTAAGTGATATAACGGCTATAGCTAACCACAATCGGGAACACTTTAGGTATGAATGTCTCTCAACCAAATCCGCCCATCCGCCATGCCCAAATGGGCTCGGTTAACAAAACTGTGGATTCTTTTCTTGATGAGGTGAAGCAGAAATGTGGCTCACCTGTAAATCGTAAGTTAAATTGGTCGCCTTTTTCTTACTCTAACAATTATAAATAATCCTAGTGGAGTGGATAATTTACTCTTTTCGTATATTTTTGCGCGCCTGAATCCAGTGCTTCTGGTGGTAATGCCTAACAAGTGTCAGACGTATTCCGCCCTCAAAACGTACTGCGAAACGACGCACAGCAATGGTGTGATGACTCAGTGTGCCCTGTCTAAAAACGTATCGCGGGTTAATAAGCAGTACTGTGGTAACCTTGGGCTGAAGATTAACGCAAAGGTAAAGCAATCGTTTACTGATATTGCTTTCTTTAGTTTATTGTCAGGAGCCTGCGGTGCTGATATATATATTTTTTTCAGTTGGGAGGCGTTAATAGTTGTCTGCCGTCCAACTCTGTTCCGTTCTTGACTCAAGTGCCAACTATGATTCTTGGAGCAGACGTGACTCATCCGGCTCCCGGTGAGAACAAACCTTCCGTTGTTGCCGTTGTTGGATCGATGGATCACAATGCATTCAGATATGCAGGTCGACTCAAAGTCCAAGAGAGTCGCGTTGAAGTAATATACTCTCTCAGAATAATCTTTACTGAATAGCTTCAACCCTTTACATCATTTTTTAACGCAACCTTCTTTTCATTAGGTGATTGAAGGCTTAAAATTCTTGGTGTATCACTTATTGGTAGCGTTCAAGGATCGTAACAGAGTGTATCCACAGCGGATCTTGTTTTACAGAGACGGAGTGTCAGAAGGCCAGTACGAACAAGTCATGCGGACCGAAGTCCAGGCCGTCCGGGAGGCTTGTGATCACATTAATCGTAAGTGCTCAGTATGGACAAAAAAAAGAGAGAGAGGGAAGGTTGTACTGATTTTTTTTAAACGCTTTATCCAATTTAGAAACGCAAAAGCCTCCCACTCCATATAACCCAAAAGTCACCTTCTGTGTGGTGAAAAAACGGCATCATGCTCGTCTCTTCCCAATGAACCCGAATGATGCTGATAAATCCGGCAACTGTATTGCAGGCACTGTTGTAGATTCCGTTATTACTCATCCAACGGAATTTGACTTCTGTAAGTAGCTACAAAAGTCGGTATAATACTTGCTATTGGCATTTCATCGATTGTCTCTCATATTCTCAACTATACTTTTTTAATTCAACGAATCCAGATCTGCAGAGTCACGGCGGTCTCCAGGGAACGTCACGTCCTACTCTATACCACGTTCTCTTAGATGAGAACAAGTTCACTTCTGACAGCCTGCAAGAGTTGACTTTTAAACTGTGCCACGTGTACGCACGCTGTACTAAGTCCGTGAGCATTGTACCCTCGGTGTATTACGCACACTTGCTCGCATTCCGTGCTCGGCACTACCAAGGCGGCGATTTTTCGGACGCTGCAAGCACTTCAAGCGGTAGCAGTGCTCAAGGACCGACCTTCGAAACCTCGGTATTACACTGAATCTGAACTTGTTCTTTTTTTGTTATTGCTTTTGTTTTCATGAATCAAAGATCCATACTCTAACACCCCATCACCCTTTACATACTAAACATATATAGAACGGTATTAAGAACGTGATGTACTTTGTCTAGTTTGACAGTCCATCATACCCCACAATTTCACGAATCGCGTTTTGTGGCCGGCCTTTCAGGAAACAAATAGTAGCAGTAACATAAAAAAAAAAAAAAAAAAAAAAAAAGAATCAGAGTAGCAAACAGTTTTCTTTTTTTTTTGTATTCAATGCTTGATATCGAAGATTGGTGAGATGAAGACGATTATCGACAATATTTCAAAATCAATAAAGCAATTCTGCACTATAAATACTTGGTGGTAAGGACTATTGGTTCAACGAGTGGTTACTATTTATTCACAGAGCCTTTTCAGAATTAGTCGAGTCGGTTTTTGTCGTGTCTCCAGATTCTTGGTTGTCATGACGGGATGCAAACTCCGCAAGTCGCTTCTCTTCCTCTACAACAGCATTTACAGTATCCCAATCCTCATATCCATCTAGCTCTTCGATCAATTTTTGGGTGATTGGATCAGAGAACCCGAAGAAGAGAGGTCCACTGATTCGTGTACCTTTGGAGTGACTTGCCAAACATGCCTTGGTCCACGGTAACGTAGGAGATGTCCCTTCAAACCGTTTACCGCTAGCAGACTCGACAATGAATAAGGGGCCTTCGGGTCCTTCCTGGATCTCCATCATATATCGCTCTCGAAAGACATACTTCTCTGCCTTGTAGCCGATAGGATATGGATGTCGAAACATACTCTTTTTTTTTTTTAAAAAAAAAAAAAAAAAAAAAAAAAAAATATTAATAATAATAATAATAATAATAATAATAATAATAATAATAATAAAATAAAATAAAGTAAATAAATAAATAATAATAATAATAATAATAATAATAATAATAACAATAGCTCAGTTAACAAAAAAGAAACAAGTAGAGTGATGTTGTGTGCGCAATCTTTTAATCCGTCTATCCTCTCACTTACTCCTTTCCCACTCCAGTATTTCAATCTATGCTTCTTTCCTTTATAAAGATGACCAATATCCCAAATTGTGGTCGCGATGCTTCCTATAAAGATAGAGAAAGAGAAGCGCTGGGAATAAATAATAAAGAATAGAGCATTTCCTTATATTTGTAAGCAACTCGACCCTTTCTCACCTAGAGTCAAAGGCACTCCACAGAGAGAAATCACAGATTCAGTTTGATAGCTAGTAGTTTGTTTTCTGCCCATCCACCGCTGTTTCTTTGAATAGGACTCCAAACTAGAAGTTGGTATAAAGCTACCAAGGTTTTGGTCTTTATAATCGCCTCCCTGCCCTTGCTCGTGTTCCCTCTGCGCTTGCTGTTCTGTCATTTCATTCAGATTCAAATGTGAACCATTATTCTCGAGCGCTTCTAAATCCACGTGGCTGTAATCCGGCGCAGCTTCGCCTCGTATCCTTTTCGAGGATCGCGTCTGGATGAGCCGAACAAACTTAGTTTCTTTAGGTTTTCGCATCCGTTTCCTAGCGGATGAAGGTCCTTTGGCAGAAGAAGACGAAGGTGAATATATATATTCTTCATCATCAAGGACCTTGTCTCGAGAGGATTTGTATGATGAAATTGTAGGTGGTATGGAAGAACGATGATAAGAGAAATTCATGGGGCTGAGACCCAGCTGTATCATGAGTTGCTGGTTTCGTAGGATGTTGCGTTGCCGCTGCGCTTCATAATCATCGTCCTCTTTCTCCTCCTCATCACCATCTTCTACTAGTTCTTTTGCTTGCTTTTTATCTTGATAATTCTCCTCTTCTTCATATGTGCCTTGGGCCTTCTGATCCTGTTTGTTGTCGTCCTGCTTTTGTTGCACTTCCTCGTCTTTGATTTGTTTTTTATTACTCTGGCTACAAACATACTTATTCGTTTTGCTTTGCTCAAGTTCTATTTTCATTTCCTTCGCTGTGACTTCTGTTATCCCTGGTTCGTGAGAATCTTCATGGTTGGTATGATCGCGATCTTTGCTCTGTGACAGCGATGAAGGCGTGTAGATGTCATCTGTAATCTTAAGCGCATCAATAGTCTGTTCAATCATTGCCATTGACTGGGTCCGTTACGCGTCTCGATGCTTAATGGTCTTGATCTTGATTTATCAATCTATCAAGCGTTTTTTTTTTTTTTTTTTTTTTTTTTTTGCACAGATACAAATCTTGTGACAATTTCACTTAAAGAGGTTCCAGAATGGCTTGCATTTTTTGTGCTTACTTTATTTTATTTTATTTTTTTTCGTGACAAGCTCCTCATGGTATACCAAGTTGCTTCTGTTCTTTAGTTAATAGTCTGTCAGTACCAGGCTTGAAAAAATAATTATTATGTCGTTCTTTGACCTTTTCGTTGATAAATGGAGGGCGAATGCGACTTTGATAGTCTTGCGCGAAGCGAAGGTTTACAATCCCGCCTGTGAAGCTACTGGACATAGTGCCATAAAACCGCGTAGCGCGAGCGCATATTAGTTGCTCGACAAGACCGAGCCAATCTTCAAAGACTACCAAGTGGCCAAACCTCTCCATAAAGTATCCATCCATCAGGTCTTTAACGAAAACTGCACCAAGAGAACGGAAGGATTCGATAATCTGTGGTGATACTTCATCTGTAGCCATATAAAAGAGCCTGGAAGCCTCGTCTATGCTTTTGTTAATATTTTCATCTGTCACATCCGTAAATACAGACTCGACAGCGTCCTTGACGCAAGAAATCATCCATTCAGTGTCAAACTCTTGCCAACCATGCTTGTCAGTGATAAAATCGCCACGGCGTACATGCATCGACAAGAGGAGCCAATTCGAGTCATCGGAAGGATCACTATGGCCAAGACTAAGGTCTGCCTTGAAATATCTTTTTTGTAGCATGTCTTTGAGTCTTCTCCATAGATAGTCGGCAGCTTCAAAAACTACGGGTGCGAACCGAAGAAAAGTGGTTGCAATAGTCCTATGCCGTTCTGCACCTTCAATAGAAGAATATATGATGGGGATCCAGCCTGTTGTATGAAACTGTCCCTCTATCGAGAGGATCCGTGCAGAGACAAAGCCAAGTTCTTCATGAAGATCTACATAGTTTTCAATCCTGCAAGTTGCAAATCCTGGAAAGCGTGCCTCCCAGGGGATTTGGTCTGCCAGAGGGTCCTCTGTTGGCGGGACACATGTGCCGTTGTCTAACACTGGTGACTTCTCGTAATATATCGCCATCTGATTCTCCTTTTGTTCTTGTGGATTTATGAAGGAATAGCTGTCGTCAATGGAGGTCGTGGAATTTACAGGAAAATACTCGAAATCCAAGGACCACTGTACAATCTTATTTAAAGCACCACCACGTACGTCTGCGAACGCGTAAAACAACTCTCGGGACCTAAAGGACCCATTTTCATTCCCTTTCGCAGCATTAGCGCGCTCAGCGAATGAAGGGATATGCATTATGTCGACAATACCGTTTCTCACGATATTATCAATCACAGAAAGCTCCTCCTGCTCTTCCAGATCCCACGTTTCACGTTGTATCCTTTCAATGGTGCCAGCCCAGTTGGTCTGCTCTCTATAGCTGGCCACTATGCTGGTCCCTCCATTTCCTTCTATACCCATTTCTTGGCTGCCGATTGAAGGCTGTGTTGCATTGGTGTCATGGCTGCTAACTCTAGGTATGTGATAGCTGTCTATACCTATAGATCGCGATGAATTATGGTTGTTGGTAGTCCGTTGCTTCAGATCCTGTTGATATCGTATATGATCCAGCCAAAAGGAAGTCTGTCCTCCGAAATTGTAATCTGTGAGCGGTTCTGCATCCTTCGGGGCACCCACTACTTGGTTCATAAACATCTCATAGTCGATTACACGCATCTTTTGTGAAAGCAACTGAAGGTCAAAAAAATAACCAAGGTCGAGAGCCACTGTACTTTCTTGATCATTCCGCCCAATATTATTCAGATCCAATGGAGTCGCAATCATAGCACAGACTGTATCATTTGAGCAATTGCGGATGCGAAGACGATTGGGCAAAACGAGTGTACGATTCAATAGCTCGGATAGATATAAACCTCTTTCGATCATGTAGCTGGTTTGAATAAGAGATGGAAACACAATGGAGGAAATCGTTTTCAGATTTTTGTTAAACCACATGGTAATTGGCAGAGAGTCAACATAGTGCAAAAGGAAATAAACTGGCATTACCGCATGTTGTTAAAGCCCAGCCACGGGCTATAATCTATCAGCAGAAATGTCTCACGATCCAAATTGCGTCGAGGTAATGTCGTAAGATCAATAAGGATTCCGTCTGTTCCATCAGAAATATGGGGTAGTCCAACTCGAATTGTACAGAAGAATAATGTGCTGAGAAGCAATATCGTTATGAATCCTGAACAAAGCACGGGTTGAAAAAGTCTCCTTAGTTCATGGCCAGCACCCATAACGGCAGCATTAATGATACCTATCGTTAGGCGCAGCTGCGAAGGCTTCGAGCTTCCGTTCTTGGGCGGCCGAGCCTCTACGTCTTCATCCAGCGTATGACTACTGCTGTTTTTGATACCATTTTTACTGATTGATCGACGTGGCCTTAAACGGCGATGGTGGATGCTATTTACTTTGTCTGTGGCCATTTTTTTTTTTTTTTTTTTTTTTGAAGAGCGTGATGGTAGAATTATTTAGCTATTGCTTTTTTTGTCAAGTCGATTACTGGCAAGTGTCTTGACAAGGAAGAAAAAAGAGAGGAGAAAAGGATTCTTGATTCCTCTTACTCCTTTTTATAATATTGCTTACTTCCGCAAAGAGAAGAACACGCGAATGATATTCAATTTCATTCCATCTTAAAAATGAGGAGCATGTCTCTCGAGATAAAAAAGAATAAGTGCCATCTCTTCAGTTCCTGTGGGTGGTCTGTGCTACATTCATGCGCCCATTGCGAGATCCATTGTACAGAGAGAGCAAGGTCGTGCGCACAAATTTGATGCAGACACATGCTTGGGATAAAGATTTGTGACTTCCCATTGGGTTTCGGTGCTTGTTTTTTTTTTTTTTTTTTTTTTTTTCTCCCACCCTTGTTCTTTACCTTGCCCTTACCAGCCGTCAAGTTGCTCCCAGTTCTCTTTCCTTTCTTCAACTATATTCCGCCCTACTATTCTGTTTGTTGAGTAGCATTTCTCATATAGGAGTACGGCCCTTATTATACTTCTACACATAACAGTTTCTACAACGTGTCGCAACTACAGACAACAAGTATGGATTTTTTTTCCCTTTTTGCATTTGCATTTGCATTTGCATCTGTAATTCATCCTTCAAATGTGCTCCATTGAGGAGGAAACCATAGATACATACATTGGTCTGACTAGTCTTCTTATTGCTTTTGTATGGATCTCCTTGTATCGGAACATCTCTTGTTGTGCTCAATTGATGTCCTTGTGCAGTGAGAAAGACGAAAATCTTTGGAGGTTCTTCTCACCCTGAGATCACTGCATTGATCGCTGGCCGACTCGGTGTTGAGCCTGGGGCTGTTAAATTATCGCAATTTAAGAACAAGGAGACCTCAGTGGAAATTGGTATGACCGAGTTGCTCATGTGATTGAAATATTCCGAGATATTTAAAAGGAAGTCTAACGCTCTGCTTTATTTTGCACTCCATGATATGATTTGGGGACATGCTTAAACAGGTGTATCTGTTCGTAATGAGGATGTGTATATTATCCAGTCTGGATCTCCAAAGATCAACGATTCGTTGATGGAGCTCTTGATTATGATCAATGCCTGTAAAGGTGCTTCCGCTCAGCGTATCACTGCTGTCATTCCATATTTCCCTTATTCAAAACAAAGCAAGAAGAAGAAGCATCGTGGAGCTATTGCTGCTAAACGTAAGCCATTTTATTATTTTTACATTATTGCTCTAATATTTTCGTCAAGTATCTTAACGGCACATTAACTCAAAGATGTTTCTATTGTTGACTCTTTCCGATAAAATCTTTGATGATAATATTTTAGTTGTTGCTAATATTCTTTCGATTTCCGGCGTGGATCATATCATCACTATGGACCTCCATGCATCACAAATGCAAGGATTCTTCAACATTCCTGTTGATAACCTCTATGCTGAGCCAACAATCTCCAAGTGGATTCAGGAAAATGTTCAAGACTGGGAGAACGGTGTTGTTGTTAGTAAGAACGCTGGAGGAGCCAAGAGGTAATAGTTGGGCGCCAATTATTGATATATGCGTAGATAACAGTATTTAACCCAAGGTTAAAACCTAACTGACCATGTCTTTAACTGCGGTATAAACATCTCACAGGGTTACTTCACTTGCAGATCGCCTCAACATTGACTTCGCACTGATTCACATGGACAGATCCAGGAAAGGCCCGACATTTGGTCCTGACCATTCTCTTTCAAAACCAGAGAACATTTATAACAGATTAGAGGAGGAGGACGATGAGGACGACAGCATGGTGGATGCTGAGACTGGTCATGAAATTCACCGTTCCGAGAATGCTGATGAAACCTCGATGATGACGCTCGTAGGCGATGTCCAGGACAAAGTCTGCTTCATAGTTGTAAGTTAACGAGTTGGAACCTTTTTTTTCCCGACTACACTATTCATCTTTTATGAGAAAATTAATCGCAAACAAAAACAAAAACAAAAACAAAAACAAAAACAAAAACAAAAAAAATGGCACTAATCTTTTTATTATTATTATTATTTCCACATTGGGTATCAATGATGCATCGATCATAGGATGATATGATTGACGGCTGTCATTCTTTTTTGGAGGCTGCAGACAATTTGGTTAGCCACGGAGCAAAGCAGGTCTACATCATTGCAACACATGGAATTCTCAGTGGCAACTCTTTGCGCCAGATCGAGGATTGCACTAACGTGCATAAGATTGTTGTCACTAATACCTATCCAATTCCTTTGGAAAAGCGTGCACTCTGCCCCAAGCTTACTGTCCTCGATATCACCCCTACGCTGGCTGAAGCTATCCGTCGTACTCATAATGGTGAGAGTATTAGTTACTTGTTCCACCAAGTCCCTAAAAACTTGTAAAAGAAAGAAAGAAAGAAAGAAAAAAAGAAGTGGCAAAAAACAAGCTTTAAAAAGTATAGATGCATAAATAAAAAAACACAATCATCTTATCATCTTCAATAACTCTTTTCAGATGCAGATTCACATATATTTAAACAATACAAAATATGTAGTATGGCGTGGAGTTTTTCCTTCGGTCTCAAAAACTTTACAAAAATATGTTCAAAAATCAATCTCTAACCTTTGGAATAGCAAATCATTAAGAAAGCTGTCCAAAAGACTTCACCGCTAAAAGTGAGCCGATCTATGAAGGTCACTGGGAGAACTAGAAGTGACATTGTAGCGATCAAAGCAAGATCTTGTCAATTACGAGATATCAATTCATCGAGGATCGCTTTAATTACAGCCTTGGAAATTGAAAGAGGGTGATGATTACCGATGAGATTACTGATCATTGAGATTGAGCCTTTCAGTAAAAAAAAAAAAAAAAAAAAAAGGCCCTATTACAAATGATCAGCCAAAGATACCAGGCTGCGAGAGCGAGATGATGATTTGAGGAGTTGTATGGCTTGTAATATTCCTCCTAGTCATGCAAAGGCTAATTACTGCGCTACTGCATGGACTATGATTCTCTGATCGTAAGCTCACCCATACCCTATCACAAAGATAACTCTACGCATCCATTCACCTCTCCTAGTGCCCTGAAATCGCTTGAAGGAGCGGCTTTCTATGACGATGATTTTTTTTTTTTTTTACTCTTTTGAAAGATGCTCACACAATAATCGTCTCCTGCAACAACAGTGAGAGCGACAAGCTCCCAGAGATATCCTTTGTGGTGTAATTATGACACGTGTTAGTCTCTTATGGCAGCAGTTAGCCACGTGACCATTCACCAAGAAGTCTGAGCTACGTGTTAGTCATTATCACAAAGATCGGGAGAATAGAACTAGTGCGCGTTGGGCGCGACAATTCATTCCAGTATGACCCATTACTAATGACTTGGAACGATTATCTTGCAATTTTGCAGGTTATACTTCTAGATACCTAGATACGCGTCAATGTATTCTTAGAAGGGAGGTGAAGAGAGATGATCGTCTTTACAATATTTTGCAGAATTGTCATTGAAATGCAAAAATGAGCATCTTTCCCTAAAAAAAGTCTGGATCAAATATTCAACCAAACGTCATGGATATCATCTGCTATTCAAGAAAAGAATTGTTGTTTTATAAAAATATATAAAAGTCATATAATACTCCGTGCATGCACATCTCATAAAGCACCGATAAAAGAGAGAGAGAGAATATGTTGTTGAATTTACCAACCGAGCCAAATGGTATGATATATAATATAAATGCATGCGTTTACGCCCATTTCATCTTCTCTTTGGTAAAAAATAAAAATAAAAATATAAACCTCTCAATGAGGCTCATGTGCAAATAGATGTGTATTATAACATTTTCCATGTATTCCTGTTTGCCTATTTAAAAAAAAAAAAAAAAAAAAAAAAGAAGACCATTGAGACACAAAGAAACAGCATGCCATGCATCAAGTCAACTGAACAACAAATAAAACAATTAGAACAAAACAAATGACAAAAAACAGTTTTTCCTCTTCCTTCCCCCCCCCCCCCAAAAAAAAAAAAAAAAAAGAAAATAAAATAAAATAGAATCCATAGTCATACCCATCTTTTTAATAGTTTTTCAAATGCAAAAAAAAAAGCGAAATAAAAAATAAAAAAAAAAAAAAAAAAGTGCTCCATAATTGATCAAATGACTCCATTTAAACATTGCGCGCGTGAATTTCTTTCAAATCCATTAATAAAGATTAATAAGGATGAAGATGTTTTATGGATAGTGAGAAGTATATTTATATGTTTTTTTTTTTTTTTTTTTTTTTTTTTTTTTTTCAATTCTTTAGAATATGACCGATATTGTATGTTAAGGAAGCACAAGGACAACAGACCCATGCAGCTTCGGACATTTATGATTGAGCAACGTTCAACTCGTCAACGGACATTTTCTTTCTTTTTTTTTTTTTTGTGTTTGTGTGTTTTTGTTTTTGTTTTGTGTTTTTATTTGTTTGTTTGTACATGTTTATGGGTTTTTGCTATGCGCCAGAGGCCGTGGTATTATTGGTATCTGTTTTTGATGGTGTTGTTGTTGGCGTTGCAGCGGTAGCAGATGTAGTCATCTCTTTTGTTTCATCGACAGACCCCTCGGTCGTAAGAGTCTCAGATGTAGTTCTGGCAGTAATGTTCGCGTCAACCATATGCGAAACCAAGTGTGCAAGGATTCCAGTCTTTGAATAAAACTTCTTGCGACAATCCTCTTCGAAACAGGGGTAAGGAGGGTTACTCATCAAGGTTTTGTGATGCCATAAGTGTTCCTCCAAGATCTTCTTGTTTGGTATCAAGATCTTGCATCCCTCGAAACCGCATTGCTTAATAGTTGAATATAGTTTTGTGAAGGGGAGAAAAATAAATAAAAACAAAAAAGATCACTGTTAATTGTCTGATGTTTGCTCTGAAGGGAGGGATATTCTTTAAAAAGTAGATATTGCCATTATCATACTGTTGTAAGTATTACGCTACCTTTCGATAGAGACAGTCATGCTTGTATGCAGATCCTTGGCATTTAAATCTGCCTTTACAAGTGCTGTATGCACATCCAAACGTATGATTCTCATCCAAGTCCTTGTGGATCCTTGTCTGATGGTCTTTCAGCTGCTTACTACCGGAGTACAGCTTACCACAGCCCACGAACAGACATCTCCACTCGATCCCAATGGACTGCTCCTCATGAAGCTGCACATGTCGCTGAAGTGTCAACGGGTTTGCTAGGATCGACTTGCAGAAAGCATAGTTACATTGGAAATCCTTGCCTACAAGTCCCTTCTCGTGATCGAGCACATGGCGACGCACGTAATCCGTGCTGCCAAAAGTGGACTTGCAACCCTCAAAAGGACAGGGCAGCCTTACACCCGATTGGACTTGTCTACATCGAAGTTCATGGGTCCTTAGGCACCTACTCGTTCCAAACAATTTGTTACATCCTTTATTCGGGCAAGGAAGCTTGACATTACTGTCACGCTCTCGGTGGATCTGCAGATGGTCTTTAAGGCTTTTTGGCGTCGAAAGGAACTTGCTACAGTCCGGTCGGATGCAAGGGAATTTGCTTGCTTCTTCTGGACTGATTTCAGGCATGTGCGTGACCAGATGACGGGAAAACTTCTCGACTGAAGTGTACGATGCCTTACAGTCAGATTCTTCACAGATAAAGACAGGCGGCGTCACATTTGGTCGACAGATGCGCTCATGGGCTTTCAAGGTCTGCTCAGTACAAAATTGGAGTTTGCATCCATGAGTACCGCAAGGGAGCCGCAACTTGAGACCGGAAACATTATTATATCGTGCCGGTAGTCGAAGGCTAGAACTTTCGCTACTCTTTCTTTCTCTCGTGGATCTAGGGACCAGGCCTTCAGACATAGCCATGTCTGTTTTGTGATCGTTGGGTGAGGCCATGGTCGGTGTTGAGGACGACCATGACCAGGACGGTGTCGATGAAGTCGATAGCAAAGACAACGATGATGCAGCTGCGGAAATGTCGACGTACAATGTCCTGTCGCCCTTCGACACTGTCGCAGGCGAAGGCGAACGCGACTGTGGCTGCGAAAAATTTGGCGAAAAGGGGACTTGGGCATCAGGGGATAGGCATTGCGAAAACATCTTCTCCTCGGATAGAACTGTTGTCGTGATCGGGCTGTATACACTGGATGCTTTGCTTGCATAAACCATGGACTTTGATGTCGGAGAAGGCAGAGAAGGCGGAGAAGACGGAGAGTATGAAACAGATGATGGTGGACTCATGGGCGTAGTTGGAGATGGACTCTTGAAGGTCTTGCTATGAGACCTTGACTCTTGTGAATAGTGTGGTTCATGGTATCCCTCGTCCTGTTCGCTTTGTCTCGAATATGGAACCTGTTGTGATGGTGAATATTGTTCTGGCTGTGGAGAATGAGGCAAGCGACCTACTGAGATGCTTCTTGGTGAGCCGTAGGAAAGAGAAGCGCTTTTGATTGAATATGACGTTGGGTATGAAGAGTGGTGAGATGAAGTATGTTTATGTTGTGGTCCCGGCGAAGACCTGGCTGCACGTTCTTGTGGATCTTCAGGCCAACATCTCATTCTGTCCGTTGGTGAATTACTGCTGTTTCGATAGAAAGATGGGGGAGTTGATGAAGGGCGATGGTTATATGGAGGCTGCTGATCTTGATATTGATATTGGTGCTGATTTTGGTATGAATGACTATTCTGTGGACATTGATCATAAGCTGGGGAGTGTGAGTGCATGATTCGTGATGCCATATTTATAAAATTTTATAGGCTGTGCAAATGCGCGTAAGTAGAATAGTAAAATAATTTTTTTTAAAAAATGCTCAAAGATTTTTTTTTCTAAGTTGAACAATACAAAGCTGAATGTGGAATGAGATGCAAATGAAAGACAGCAAATGATTAGGAATGAGGTATGCGACTACAGAATGCGTTTTTTTTTTTAGAGATGAAGAGAATAGAGAAGAAGGATTAGAGAACAAAGTAAATGCAAGTAAAGCAAATGATAAGAAAGAAACAATAAAAAAAAAAAAAAAAACAAAACAAAAAAAAAGGAAGAAAGAGATGTGAAAAGCAGCGTTTTAAAGGAAAAAGGCGAAGGGATAAGCGGACAAAAAAAGAAACGAAAAGGGAAAACAGAAAACAGAAAGTGGAAAGCAAAAAAAAAAAAGCAGAGAGCAGAAAGCAGGAAACAAAAAAAAATAAAGAAAGGAATGAATGGCCACTCGTTTTTTCCTCTTGTTCTCACAAGACGGAAGGAAAATCGACAGAGGCACCGGTTGGCAAGTAAGATTGAAGGGTGAGGCAAAAAAAAAAAAAAAAAAAAAAAAAAAAAAAGAAAAAAGTAATCGATCGTGCTCATGTTGATATGCCGCTAGACACAGCAGCAAAAGATATCTCTCAAAAAAAAGTGGGTTTTCAATAATTCAATTCAATCATCGATATATTTAATCTTTTTTTTCAAGTCTGTTGAGCAAAAAATATTGTGAGTACAAGTACAATTTTTTTTTTTTTATGCTGCACAGTCTACTGCATTGGAGGGAATAAGGACCGGGAGCGATGAAAAATTGCCCAGACAAGAGCACAGCAATGACCAAAATGATGTGTGACACATGAAGCATGAGGCAAAGGGCTACTGACACCAATGGCCTCCTAAAAAAAAAAAAAAAAAAAAAAAAAAGAAAGAAAGAAAGGAAAGAGTTTTTACACCATAAGATGGAGCCTTATTAGTGAGATGGTTTTCTTTATCTCATGGGAACATGCTGACGCTTGTGCTTGAACAGAGACAAGAGCCAATCTAACAATGCATTCAGTACATTTATGATATTGTATAGTATAGTAGTAGTGCAAATTCAAGAAAGTACCACCATACGCTAATAAATTCTTTCTTTATGAATATTTAACATATATATATATATGTATTCCTTACTCATCATTTATTGTTTTAAGGCTATTGAAGAGTGGTCGTAAGCACTATTTTTTATTCCAAGTAAAAAATATAAAAAGTTAGGACAAAGTCGGGCGAGAATTCCGAATGAGGCGGAGAAAATGATCCGATCATTCTTTAGTTAGATTGACATGAACTGCTCGACCCTATTAATCCGATGGTCTCCAACACTCTCATTCGTACTACGAAAAATAAGAAAGAAAGAAAAAAAGGTAAGAGAGACATGTAGAAAACGTTTATAGAACGGTATGATATGGGCCGATACAAGGGAAAGGGAAGGGAGGGGACATGGCTCAAAGTTTGTTCAATTGTCTGCATGCTAATTCAGGAACGAATAAAGAGTGGTGAATGATCGAGCGTTACACTTTGTTAATGGTGTAAAAAACGGGGGTGACAATACAAAAAATCACTTGAATAAGGAAATCAATTAAACAAAATAAACTAAATAAATAAATTTTTGTTATACTTTTCCAGAGGGAGGGAAAGAGATTTTTTTTTTTTTTTTTTTTTTTTTTTTTGTTTACCTGAAGGAAAAAGAGAGAGGAGATCGAGAGCACCCCAGGTACCTGTTTTCTATTTGTCGTGGTTTCTGTTTTGTCCCATGCAAAGAGAAGAGAACGATTGGGAGTTCTTTCTCTTGTCTACAAATATACTCTGCATATAAACAAACAATCCACAAAATGTGTGAGCAGCTTAAACAAAAAGGCAATATGAATACCATTCATCTATTCACAAAATATGGCGCAAAAAAAGAAAAAAAAAACTAGAGTAACATTCCCGCACGCACTTGTTTACTTGCTACATCATGACTTTTTTCTTTTCTCCCCCCCCTTTTTTTTGTATGTGCGCTTCTCATAATAAGAAAAAAAACAGAGGCTAAAGCATAGAGAGAGTGAGAATCGGAAAGTATAAAGATTTATAAATAATATATATATAAGTGAATGACAGTTACTTCTATGGGTACATTACTCGGGAATTATAGTCTTTTTACGCCAACTCATAAGGCGGGAGAAAACAAAAATAATCATGTAAAGTTGTATATTCCACTATTAACCACATAAAAAATAAAAAACCTTCTCCCGGTAAAAGAATATTTGCAATTGTTCGCCCTTGCGCAAATACTCCAAGCAATATTACGCTTTATGGTTGATTATGTTTAAAGTCCTCCGATCCCCAGGAAATGTCATTACAAAGCTTGTTCAGATGTGCTTGTTATTAAGGATGCCGCCAAAGAGCATGGAGTGGAAAAGAAAAGAGAAGAAGCTTTAGCGCCAGTATTCATTATATTAAAATATTAAAACCGGCTAATTGATTGAACAATGCATGATATCTTGTAGGTAAGTATATTTATTATAATATATACATTTCCATTAAGTACTTCTCTCTCTTTCCATGTGCTGTATCTTACATTTACAAACTTATTCCATTGCTTCTTTTCGGTTGTACTTTTTACTTTATCATACACCACAAGTTTGAATAAAAAACCAGGGGGATAAGAGGAAAGTGCCCCATAAAAGAAAGAGGCTAGGTGTCCACTCGGTTAAAACATTTTTTGATGGTAACCGTTGTTCATGAGCAAATGTCAACATCCAAATATTCCAGTGGGTATATATAATAAATATATATATATGTGTATACTGAATGAAAAATACATGAATAAGTATAGCCCGTTTCATTTGGTCGCGATACCTTATATTTTTTGAATACTTTCGAGTGTATTGGCAGCCAATTAGCTCGCTTGTTACGAGTATTGTTGCAAGTCCGTCACGTAGTGAGATGCCACCAGAACAATTCAATCATCGTTTTTAGATTAAAAATATAAGGTATCGTGACCAAATAAAATTGGCGATATATATAAATAATATAAACAATATAAAAAAAATAAAATAAAATAGGATGTGCGAATGTGCTCAGTGTATGCATGCTTGTGCGCGTGTTCTTTTTTGTCGTCCCGCCGAGACACGGATATGCAGGTTCGGGTATCAAAGCGCTGTCTGTCCACTGATAGTGAGACATCGACCGTCAACAAACAGCATAGCAGCGCCCATCCAATCCTAATTCTGTGTAAATAATGTGTGTACATTCAAAGAGTACCACCCGATCAAAGCTCAAAGATATGCATTGTCATGCTGTATTCATCACACTTCAATTGAGTTCCTGACTGGATACTCCCTCATTAAAAAGGGATGATAAAAACAATAATCGACGGTTGGGAAAAATAACGTAGGACAACGGTCAAGAGAGACTTGCATATGAGCCGTGCTATCAACCATCTAAGATTAGTGGTGCCGATACTGTGGATGATATTAAACACACTTATGAATGTAACATTTGTGTAATAAGGGGGGGAGAGCGAGAAAGAAAAATCAATTGACATGGCGTTGTGTTGTACGTCTGTGTTTACCTCTGTAGACCAACATCACGTCAACACGTGTATTGTTTTCCCAATCGACTCTCAGTCCTTAAATTATGTTAAAAATAAAGGAACCCGCATTAGCAGCAATGTGAAAATGGAAATGACACCAACAATAACATCAAAAGAAACGAGAGAAGCTTTAGCTGACATGTAGCACTCGCTAACAATAAGGAATAAGCGGTTATATCAGCTTAAATTATCTATATAATTTAGTAGCTGTGAAGGCAAGGTTCCTCACAATTTTGTTCTGCCTCTTTAAGTCCTGATTCTTTTTTTTTATTTTTTATGGATAAAGAAAAAAAAAAAAAAAGATGTCAAAAATACATCTTGTCAAGCGTCCCGCCACCTGCTATACTCATGCTGTAGAATCGTGTGGCAGCACGTCGTATTAAATAAATAAATAAATATTAATATATTTGTAATTCAAAGCGGCTGAACCGTAGGATTCAGATTTTTAAGCTCTAGATTATGGTAAAACGCGCCAGAATAAGAATTAGCTGCTATAATTACTCTATTAACATATATACTTTGGGCTATGTAGACTCTAAAAAGAGAGAGAGAGAGAGAGTAACCATGGGGCCTTATTACATACGATGGAGAGAATATGTAAACGAGGTTAAAAACTATTTCCTTCAGAATCTTCTTTTTGTCCTCCTAAGCATGATCAGCTCTCCTCTTTTTTAGCATTCTCCTTTTGGTATATATCAAGGTTAAATAAACAAAATATACACGTCGCTGTATCATTCAAGCAAGAGTCAAGGAAAAAAAAAAAAAAAAAAAAAAAAAGTTGGGGAATAAAGCTGCATGAATCCTTTCCTCCGATGCGTCGTTACAGCATGATCTATAGGGGCTAAACCGTTACTTTTTGATCGTTATCAAGATTATGCATTGTGATAGGAATGAGCACATTTTCAGGGGAGGCATATTATAGTAAATGTAGCATAGCTAGCATGGTATAGCATAGCATAGTATAAAATCGTGAATAACAACAGAGGTACGCATTGTAGAGAGAGTAGTAACTTGGGGGTATGGGCATTTTTTTTTTTTTTTTTTTTTTTTTTTGAAATAATGAAACATGGAAGGTGATAGTGTACCTAAACACAAGTTTGAACCGGAACTAAACTGCAGAAGCTTTGAATAACTATGTAATTGATGATACTCATTTCGTCCGTTATTCATTATTAATTGATCTCCTGTGCCTGGATGCTTCCATAAGTAACAGCGCTTATTTTTACTCATGATCATGAGCTTTGGTTATAAAGGGTAGTATAATCTCCCATAAGAAAAAAAGCCCCGAGAACTTCGTGATCTCATGGTACTATGTTTCTAAAACCCGTTTGGTTTTTTGCGACCTTGATCTTGATCCTCGCTTCCTTTTTTTTTTTTTTTTTTTTTAAAAGTCTGTCAATTCACCATCTTAAGCAATAGAGTATCTGTGGATTTTTCTTCTTCTTTATTGGTCCAGCAATGATAGTCGTTTAATGCTGTCGACAAGTACATGAATATGCTTTCTAATGCGGTAAATATATAAAAATCCTTCTAACTTGTTTTTTGTTCTTTATTTTTATCCCTTCTTTCGTCTTCTTTATTCGTCCTTCTTGATGTGCTCCTCCTTTTCCTCCTTATCTTCCTTATTATCCTTTTTGCTTTCCTCCTCCTCCTCCTCATCATCATCATCCAGCTGATCTGCATAGACCTCAGGGTGTTCTCTGAAACAATTCTGCATCGCCTGGAATTTTTCTACACAGTCTACACCCTTGGGCTCTGCTGTCGAGAACACAAAGCAAGAAAAGGCTTCTTTGAATGTATCACCACAAGGTGGCTGAGCCATGCCACCCAAGCATGGACAATCCCAGTTGATCTCTCCAGTCTCTGGATTAAATGCTGCGGATTGGTCCTTAGAATTTGATGATGATGAGTCGCTCTTATCAGGTGTTGTGGCTGGAGAAGGTTCCATGAAAATGATCACGTCCTTGCCATCTTCTTCTTGTCTAGTAGTGTATGACATCTTTTTTTTCTTCTGTAAGGTATATAGTATATGTTTGAGATCTTGGGTGTGCTGAGCGTTGAGTAAAAAAAAATTATGATGAGGATAAAGCCCGCTCCGTGAACGTGAAAGAAAAAAAAAAATAGTTGCTTTCCCGCTTGTTTATATAATAGCCTACAGATAACACGGGTATGATCCAGGTTAGTAAATTATAAATAAAATCTTTGGAAATCACATTGATGTATGCTACTATGAACTAAGCTTTGTTTCCGAAAAATGAAATGAGATATGCCTTTGTATAATGATAAGCTGAACACGTCAAGCATGCAATGCGTGCTGTATGTTTTTATTTTTGACTTTGTTACCTTGACGAGAATTGAGCAAAAGGTTGAAGAATTGAAATGAAAGTAGGATGACAAAAAAATAAAGATCCAGGAGTTTCTGAATGTATAAACAGCAGTCACAAACCAAATTAGGAAATCGAAAACTCGGAACAAGATCCTTTATTTGTTTACCCCATTAATGTTTTGCTGATATAATTTCTAAACGGTCTTTTCTTTATTTTCTTTTTCTTTTCTTACTTTTGTTTACCGGATCACCTGTTGTTGATATTGGTGCTGTTGCTGTTGAAATGGGATTTGCTGCTGGTAGAATGGCTGTTGTTGTTGTTGTTGTTGTTGCTGTGGTTGCTTTCCACGCCAGTTGATAAACTTCTTCACTGTGAACTGTCGGATATTAGTGATCTGTGTCTCCAAAACCAGTTTCCGTAGCAATGGTAGTTCATTCTCTCCATGCTTAAACAGGATCTGATCCGCTGGATCATCCGAAACTGGTTTAGGAGGAACATTAGATACTGCAAAAGGTGGTCCACCCGCAACTCCAGTTTCGGCCATATGGATCAAGCGCTCGTAATCGATCCTAAATGTATAAATCGGTACGCCTTGCTCCTTCAATGTTTTCAAAATATGGACTTTCAGTTCCTGAACTTCTTTCTCTGATTGTGTATCCACTTTGGCAATAATGGGTACGACATTGGCCTTCTCAGAAATCAACCGCATATATTCCACGTCTGTCGGTTTGAGACGGTGCAGAATCATATAAAAACACACGTCAATAAATCTGTGAGCGCCCACACCTAAACATCCCGAAATTGAGTCAATAGTCAATAATATTAGTGGAAAATATCAAACATATATGTTTTTAATGAAATTTATGCAACTCTGTCAAAGGAAGAGCCAAAAAAAAAAAAAAAAAAAAAAAAAAACTTACCCGTCACTAAAGACCGCATGAGTTCATTGTTGCTGACTTCAATAAACGGTGAGATCTTGCGATTTTTCTCTTCAAATGTCTGGCTCACATAACTCATAAAGAGATCAAAGTTGGTCCGAGCATCGACTACACTTCCATATCCAGGGGTGTCTAGTAGATTCAAGGTTGAAGCAGAGTTTAGAATTCCTGTGCAAGCATAGCAACAACAATAACAACAACAACAACAACAACAAAAAAACGAGCCTGTGTCGCGTGTGTTGCCAACGATTCATTAACGATAAATGAGAATTGCTCTTTTTTCTTTTTCTTTTTTTGTCATGCCCCAACAGCGACGATCATAAATAGCAATTATATATATACCTAGAAAGACGAGATTACGTGCAGGGACCTCATCATCTGCATCCATATTGTCCCAAGGAATCTCCATCATTGTACTCGCAAACTTTTCAGTCAGAGCCTCAGTCCGAATATAATCATCATCATCGTCGTCATCCTGGTTGTCATTACTATCATTGTTCCCATTCTGGATGTTTTCCATGTCCTTTGTATCGTCTTCGTTTTTACTGTCACTACTGCCATTAATTGTACGACGAGAGTTCTTTCGTCGTTCCCAGTCGTGAGAGAGGACCTCTGGAAGAGTCTCGATGAACTGTCTTGCAAAGGACGTCTTTCCTATTCCACTGTCACCGACTACTGCTAGACGGAGATGACCAATGTTCTGACCAGCAAATGGATTGGCTAGAAGGTAATGAGGCGTTGCCATTGATTAAGAATTGGTTTATCGTTTTTAGTCTAATGAGTAATTGAGATGAAATAAATTGAATTGGTCGAGGTACATTCAACAAACAGACAAACAAAAAAAAAAAAAAAAAAAAAAAAAAAAAGAGAAAAGGAAAGAAAAGAAAAGAAAAGAAAAGAAAGGAATAGAAGAAAGAGGATAGGCATACTCAGTAAGGTTGAGGACGCAGATAGTGTTGTCGCCATTAGGGATATGTATTGTTGTGTGGCACAGGTAAGATAATAATAAGAAAAAAAGGGGGGAGAAGAGAGGTGGCAAAAAGAAAAAGATGAATAAAAAGATGAGGTTCTAGTTAAATGTGTCAATAATATCAATCAATCAAATAGCCGATCTTGATTATAAAAAGATTCTGGGCTATTTTCTACTCTTTTTTACTCTCACTCCACTTCTCAACAGCTCTTTGCCTGTGTAGTGTAGTCTCTGAAAATGGTGCATCAAGGCAAGTACCATGAGGCGTTTTTACAAAGAGGAAGATCGGGGCTATTAGTTCAGCAACAGTATTTATACCTGGTAGAACCGTGCTCTTTTTTTTTTTTTTTATAAAAAAGGCTATAGGGCGTATGCTCTGTCTTTGCATTGCCGTATCAATCCACAAAATATGTATAGCAAATATTTGTCGCGTAGTACGTGTAATCATTCAAATTTGCCTCGCCCCCCTGGGCGAAGTCATCCAATCTCCTTGGCCAACACACAACTGAATCATTTTGTTGTTTCAAGTCGGCCCCAAATAAATTCCACAAACTATAAGATCCAAGATCAGAATTATACTTTTTTTTTTTTTTTTTTTTTTAAGCTCCAAGCTAATAAAAATCAAAAAGATTGACAAACAGAATTTGTTAAAGTATTTCGGATTATTTAGCTTTTTATGCATTCAAATGACAGGATTATTTGGCTGAATTATCGCTCTTAGTGTACTTGTTGTGAGAGAGACGCGACTGATACTCGATCTGGTCTATTATAAATGCAAAGCTAGGATTACTACGCATCATTTGTTTATCAATGCGATATGTTTCCTTACGGAGCTGTGGTAGAGCTACGGATGTCGGCTTCGGTCCTGATTTTGACTTTGATTTCGAAGTCAGTCTGGATGATGATGAATTCGAGGATGTAGAAGGTGATGTAGGAAGAGGGGTCGTAGCGGACGTTGTGGTCCACACAACTGACTTGTCCGATTCTGATTGCACAAACAAGTCTGTAGAGAAAACTTGGGATTGTAACGGTACACCTCGCCAAGATAGCTTCTCAAACGTTAACTTGAGTGGGTCCGTAGAAGATACTTTGATCGCTGCAGGGACCTTGGAGGACGCTGAGCCTTGCACGTGGATCTTGGTTACATTGTTACGGAAGAGTGCATGCAGGAGAGCCAAAGGGGACAAGGAGATCACCCCAGCTGTTTTTTTTTTTTTTTAGCATTAAAGTAAAAAAAAAACCAGATGCCAAGCGTAATGGAATATAAAAGAGAAAATTCAAAAAGAAGAGAGGTTACAAAAGATGGCGCTTATTAATGATCAATGAAGCTGTAAAGACTAGCACGAAAAACAAACAACAACAACAACAATAATAATAATAATAAAAAGCTCGGCAGTCGTCATCAACAATGCTTGTAGATCTGCCCTTTCTGATCTCTGATGTGTCACACAATTGTCGGTCTGGTTGGGGTCGAGCCCAGAAACAATCAAAGAACTCACCGACGATTGCCAAGAAATGTTCTGTGTTCCCAAGAAAGAGAGTAGTAGGGATAGCAATGCAGCCACAGGCTGCAAATACGAACGCGACACTCTTGCATTGACGAAGAGATCCAGCATAAGGCCCTACATAAGCTACGACTGAATTGGATGGGGTTGCAAACGGGTTTTTAAGTTGCTTTGCCGCTGTTGTTTTTGTTGACACTGCTTGGGGTTGCAGACCAATTGTTGAACTGCTGCTGTTTGGAGTATTTTTCTTCTGACTGGTACCGTGGTGTTTAGTTGTGACAGCAGAGAAAGAGATGCAGCGCATATTATGCCTGATCAATGAACGAGGAATGAGGACACATGATCTTCCTATGGGAATCAAGAACGACATGATTCTGAACAGACAGATTACAAAAAAAAAAAAAAAAAAAAAAAGCTTTTTCTGCACGAACACGAACAACATGGGGATATTTTTATTGCACGTGCCGCGACCATCCTGTCTGTAGGATGCTTTTTTAACCTTCCATCAACTCTTCCAACTCTTGACTTGCGTTTCATTCAACTTTGCACTCTTCATTAAATTCACCTTGATCATTTCTCTTTTCTTTTCCTCTATCAATAAATAACAGGGATTGACAACAAAGTGGACGCCTTAAAAGGACAAAAGAGGAGAAAGGATATACTGAACTGACTTGTTATACGACCTTTTTCTCCTCTCTCCCGCTCATTCACTCTTGCGCTACAACTTCCCTGTTCATTTCTCCCTGTCTGGCCCCATTCGGGCATTTTTATCTGCCAATTGTGGCCTGATAATCAACAGCACTGTCAACAGTAAAAGTAGACATGACATCTTATCTACCCTGGTATCTGTCTTACTCTCTCGCGGCTGCAGCCGTTGCGGTGTTGAGTGGCGGAGCCTTGCTCTATCATTATCAATGCGAAATCATTTATCCCGCCAACTTTCCGGAAGGCTCAAGAAAACATGTAGCGTATACTATCTATTCTGCCCTTTTTGCTCTCGCCCTTCCTCTTTGTCTTACTATCACTCATAATCAAATGTTCAAGTGCAACTTACACCGCGCATCTTCTGTTTCCTTCGCTGACATCATTTTCACCATTCTCTTTCGCTTCGATACCACAACGTCAAATCTAATGTGAAACTCAGGTGGCAAAGCCGTCGCAGTATAACTTGCCATATGAAGACCTTACGCTGATCACACCAGACAAGGTTAAGATCAAGGCATACCTAATTAAACACCCTGATGACAGTATCGCTCGCAGAAGACCCACTATTCTCTACCTTCACGTAAGTGCCATAACAATCAATAACTCGTTGTGTCACATTCCATAATGTTATACTGTTCTTTCTAATATTCGAGAGATGATGAGTGTCTGAAGACATTAAATTGTTCCAAAGTAGATTGTTTACCATGTACACCATGTATTGTCCATAACCTCCTCTTTTTTTTTTTTTTTTTTTTTTTATTCTTTTTGTTGATTATATCTTGGTTAGGCGAATGCCGGCAATATGGGCCACAGGTTATCAATCGCGGAAGTCTTTTATAAACAGTTTGGATGCAATATATTCATGCTTTCTTATCGTGGGTAAGGAAAGCTTCAAAAAAAAAAAAAATAAATAAATAAATAAAAATTAAAAAAGTAATAATATTTAAATAACTTCAAATAACTATAGGTACGGACTGAGTGAAGGAAGTCCATCAGAAAAGGGTCTCAAGATAGATGCAAAGGTAAACGACAACAATATTAAAGAAGTTAAAAAAAAAAAAAATCTTGAGTTGGGCAATAACCATTTTCGATGGATATTTTAGACTGCGCTTGACTACATCAAGAAACATCCAGTGATTGCAGAAACCAAGTTGATTGCATACGGTCAATCTATTGGAGGCGCGGTTTCCATTGACATTGTCGCTAATAATGAGGAAGCATTTTCGGGACTGATAATTGAAAATACGTTTTTGAGTCTGGTAAGGAAGGGGAAAATGAACGTTTATGATTGTGTGCATGTCTCTTATTTGAAGGGATATGGTGCAAGTGGTGTAATGCTTAATCTTGACAAAATGTATTACATGTACGATATCCACATCTGATCGAAACTAATAATAACTATAATTTTAATCATGCTATTAACTAGCGCAAGGTTATTCCGCATGTGCTGCCAATGATCGCACGAGTAGCCTTTCTATGTCACCAGAAATGGGATTCTGAAAAGATGATCAGGGGCATTACTCGGTTGCCGGTCCTGTTTCTATCGGGTCTGAAAGACGAACTTGTACCACCTTCACATATGAAAGAACTATATCGAGTCTTGGATACTACAGGAGAAGTGGTCTGGACAGAGTTCCCAAATGGGACCCATAACGATACATGTCTAAAGGATGGATATTTTGAGGCAATCAAGAAATTTCTGAATGGAATTACGGCAAAACAGGAATGAGTCCAACAATTGGATTTAAAAAAAAAAAAAAAAAAAAAATCGTCAAGAGTTTCATGTAATGTGGGCTGAGATGGTTGTTTGAATATTTCTTTTTTAGTATAATATACACCCATCCATAAAAAGTAATAAAATGAAATGAAATAAAAATCAGAAAGCATGTTGAAAGATTGGATATATGTTTTTTAATAAAAGCTTATAAGATAATGCAACATGTCCTTGAGCACACCCGGCCTTTATCCATGTATTCTTCCGCATGCTTGGCTTGTGCTTTGGCAAGCTCGAGTCTTTCTTCTCTTTCATCCTCATCCTCCTCTTCATCTTGACCTTGAGTTTGAGTCTCTTCATCGTCAGGTTCTGATCTACGGCCCGAAAAAGCAGTTGGCTCTGTAAATGGACCTCTAATAGCGTTCGATCCATATATCCCTGATTGGCTTCTTGCTGATGAGGATGTCTTTTGTGAAGGTTGATTATCCCAAAGGAGCCATAACCCTTCATCGGCTTCTTCTTGACCCGCTTGAATTTCTTCCGCATCTGGATCTCCTATCAGATCTTGAGAAGTCTGTGGGAGATCTTTTATATACACATATATATATCAAGGCAAAATAAAATAAAATAAAATCCATAAAGTTAGGGAATCAGATATATAAAATGGGTGCATGTTGGCCAAGAGACCAATTACTCCGTTCCTGGAGTAAGGGTCGATGTATTAATTTAATTTAATTAGATAGCATTTTTAAGTTACCATGAGATCGATGCTTTGTAGCTCTATTTTGTTTCTTTTTGATACTCTCCAGTTTTGCCTCTAAAACAGAATTTTATAATATTTCCTTTCTTTAATAGGAATAGGAATAAGGAGGGGATTTTTTTTTTTTTTTTTTTCATTCACGTGTCTCGAATGAGTCTATTTATTTTATTTTATTTTATTATTTTTATTCATCTTTTTCCAGTACCCAGACGTCCCACATGAAGTTCCGATTCTGTTCGTAAAGACCATTCAAGAGCCTTTCTGCTGGAAGTAGTGGATTCGAATTCTGGCCATTCTGTAGAAGACATGGGAAGAAGGATGAGAAAAAGGTTTTGAACGTGAGAATGAGATGAGAGTGGTACAAAGGAGAGAGATGCAAGAGTTATTCAGCTTATGTTTTGAAACTAACCAATAAATATATACATATAAAAAAAACAGTGGCATTAACCTTAAATGCAGAAAAAGAATAGGCAAACAAAGACAAGGCCCCCATTTTTTTTTTTTTTTTTTTTAGCTATAATACATGACATGTATTAATTTTTATTACAAGGATATCGCCATATGTTACATTATACTAATTTTTTTTTTTTTTTTTTTTTTTTTTTTTGTGGAAAATAAGAAAATAAGAAACAAAAAAAGAAATAAAAAAAGAAATAAAAAAAAGAAAAGCTTAGGAAGCCAAGCGCCAGATATCTTCTGTAAATGGTGGTTTTTGCGCACAGATGACCTTCATGGTCAGCTCTGCATTCTCAGCCATACACTCCATCCGCATCAACGCAATTGTCCTTTCAAAGACACCATCTTCTAATCGGTTCATCCTGATGATTTCTTCCTTCAACGACTCCACCATTTTCAGATACGTTCGCATTGCAATCTGTCCCCGTTGGCCTGCCCAATCTCCTAAAGGGATCCTATAATCATAGCATTCCACATTGATCAGCCCTGCACCCAAGATGGTCGGTATCAACGCATCCACCATCTGCGTCGGATTCAATCCGGTACTGAGCGCTGCTTTTTCGACCCATCGATTCACTTTGAGTGACTCCACTCCTCCTCGAGTAATTACTCCATTACACTCTGCCAATTGAATCCATCCACCTGCTCGAGTTAGCCGTCCAAGCTCCGCAAAATGAGGAGTCCATTCCAAAATCTGGGTCCTAAACGCTCCAAGTCGCTGATGGACAAGATCAAATTCACCTTCTTGTTCCTTCGCACTCCTCGATTTAAACCGGCAATTCTCAGGGACCCTGGATGGCAGTCTAGTCAACTGCAGATTAGGATCCACTGCGTATACAAGCGTGCGGGGGTACTTTAATGCAATATCCTAGATACACATACATAGATGAAAAGGATGTAAGTAAAGAAAAGAAAAGAAAAAGAAAAAGAATAGTGCGAAAAAGTAAAAAAAAAAAAAAAAAAAAACATATCATTTTTCAAAATTACCATGGCCCATTCTCCTGTGGCACAGTTGACATCGATCACTTTCCTAAGTGGTCTTCCTATTGGCGCCATAAGATCCAACTCATAAGTGATGCGATTGAGATAGAATGGACTATCAAGTTGTTCCCGAGTAAAGAGATCAAGAAAGAAAGAAAAGTAAAAATAGTGCGATCAGTATATTAATTTGACAGTTATAAATCGCTTTTTTTTTCTTTTCTTTTCTTTTTTTTTTTAGCCGTAGTGTAGCGATAAATATACCTGTTTGGTTGATCAAGCTCATCTGGTGTGACAGGTATGATCCACCCAGGAACATCCGTCTCCGGGTTGAATGTCAAGGCTTTAGTTATATCTCCCATCCATCGATAAATACGCTCGCGCTTTTCGGGTTCTTTTGGATTGGTCGGATTTTCTCTCCGTAGACGAGCAAAAGCCTGCTCATCGACCAACGTCGTCGTCGTTAAGGCTAAAGGCGGCTTCGAGTTGATCACAGGTAAAGATATAAGCGGATCATTTCTGAGGTTTACGAGCGTTTGATTAGGAGTGGTTTTTAGTCCATATGTAGGGTTGACGTGCCAAGATAGCTGTCTTCTGTGGCTGTGGCTATTGCTATTACTATTGCTATTACTATTATTGTTATTATTATTATTGGCATTGATATTGGTATTGGTATTGGTATTGTTGTTGCTGTTGTTGTTGTTGCTATTGCTAAAGTCGAGGAGTGTCTCATATTTGTAAGACAGTCGGTTGTTGCTACTGTTGTTACTCTCCTGTCTCGCAGGATTTATGCGTTGATTGTATGAGGGTAATTCACCCATGTGCTCTTGTTGCTGTGGATATTTCATGCCTGAGTATTGATGGCGCTGTTGTTGCTGCTGCATGTTCTCACGTCTGTCATTCATGTCAAATGCCATTGTTGCCAAAGATGAACTCATTTCATCAACAAGTGAACAACCCATAGGACCCACAGGTGGTGATCCGTTGGATATGCGCTGGTATTGGTGATATTGGTAATGTGATGACAGGTAACCCGATGGTGAGGCAGTGCGGCTGTACTGCTGTTGTTGAGTATAAGATGGCATTCTCCCTTGAGACTGACGAAGAGGTGAAGTTGGCTTTGAGCTATTTGCACGTTGGTGGTAATATGGCTGTTGCGGCTGATAAACCATGCTATGACCACCACTCACATATGTGCTACAATCTCCAAAGGGTGGAGATTGTTGTTGCTGTTGCTGTTGCTGTTGCTGTTGTTGATTGCTATTGAGAGATAAACTCGTTGGTGTTCTCAAATGAGTGCCGTTGACGTAAGTATCAGCGTTGGGACCAGTTCCTCCGGCCTTTACTCCAGCATCAGTTGTAGCATTAACAGTGCCAGAATCTCCATTCCCTGAAGGCAACGGGGATCTTTTAACTCTCGAGCCATACTGAAGTTGTAGGTTTGGATCTGATATCTTTTTCTGTTGATCCAGGCAACCATAACTGGACAGATTTGTGTGGTATGATCCGCCTGGAAACTCTATGTGAGATAACGGTGATCTCGAATAATGGCCACTATCGTTAAGCGCACGCTGACCCGGGGTGTTATCTGTAGTTGAAACATAGTTATTGCTGTTTTGGTTGCTGTATTGGCTAGTAGTAGAAGGTTGTTGTCGCTGATGGTGGTATTGCTGCAGTTCTGGTTGTTGCTGAAGTTGTTGCTGTGGTGGTGGTGATTGTGGCTGTTGCTTTTGTTGAAGCTGTTGTTTCTGTTGAAGCTGTTGCTTCTGTTGTGGTTGGCGCCGACTATGCTTGTCGAAAATCCGACTGCTGTATTTATTTTGTTTTCGAGAGGGAGGTGAATTAGGGCTACCGGAACGAGCCTGGCGGGACTTGCTGTTTCCCATTGACTTGCTTTATGTCGTAAGGGGGAAAGTTGTTGTTTTTATATTCCTCTTCTCCAAAAGGCATAGACGGTGGTGGCTGTGGTGAGTGCCCGTGCTTCCACTTCTGCTTGTGTTGCTGTTGTTGCAGGGACTGGTGCAAGGGGGATTTTTTTTTATTGTGTCAATGAATTAGCCGGAACTTTTTTTTTTATGGTCCGTGAGTTGGGTGATTAATGGTAATTAACATTGATGGTACGAGAAAGATAAGAAGGAGCAGTTGAGGAAGGAAAAAAAAAAAAAAAAAATAGTAACCGTACAATTTTGAAAGGGATAACGTTTTATGTGGATCAATTGTCGTTGATTTCAATCTGGTAGAAAGTAAGAAGGAGAAAGAGGAGAAAATGGCGGGGGATGAAGTGGAAGGAATGTTCAAAGTGGCAGTTCTTTTTGTGGAGCAGAGTGTTATACTAAAATAAACCTTGCTGTGTGCGGCCTTCAAAAACAAAACAAAAAAAGTGTGAGTGAGTGTATGAGAGCAAGGGTCGAATGAGCAATGGCAAAAAAGGAATGGAGAGCAAGAAGAAGTGTTAATGAGGAATTGCGATGAAGCTGGGAGTGAACAATGAGAGAAAGGAAGGAAGAAAAAAAAAAAAAAAAGAAAAAAAAAAAGAGAAAGAGAAAGTATGTGGACGTTTATTAAGCGATCGGAAACGTTGCGACAGGGATGTTGTAGAAAGAGATATTAAGAACAAGTAAGCAAAGGAGGTAATCAAATGAGTGAGTAAGCGAAAGGGAGAGGCGAGGCACGCGATAAGGTTGTCCCAGGAGAGAGGAAAAAGAAAGTTTGGAGTGTCAAAAAGAGCACTCAGGTCCAGGGCTGTCTATTTTTTTACTTTTTTATTATTTTCTTTTTATATTCATTCTGCTGTGTCTTGAATGCTTGTAAAAGTGAGCAGAAGATGGAGTGGAGAAAGAGGAAAGAATAGGAAAACAAAGAAAGAGAGAGAAAGAGTTCCTTTGGTGGATGCCATCCATTTCCTTTTCCGCAGATGAAAAGATTAAAAAAAAATTTTTTAAAGCACGACAAGTGTCAGATTCATATAATAAAGGAAAGTGAGTGGCAAGGGACGCAAATGAACTAAAAAAGACTTTTTTTTGCGATGGGATGGGATGGGAGATGCACCCCTGGAGTGGGAGGAAGAATAAGAAAAATCCACCATCGTTGTTGCATCGTAGGTTAAAGAGCAAACCTCTTCTATTGTTCTTCTTTCATTTATTTTTCTTCTTATTCTTCTTCTTCTTCTTCTTCTTCTTCTTCTTTAATTTTGACTTTCCTTCGTCCTCTTTGTTTAGGGCCTGGAATGTTCGCAGGTTATAATCAAGAAAAGAATGAATGGGCGAAAAAAAGAAAAAAAAGGCACGCGTTTTGATGTTTTGCGTGTTGTTTGTGTTTGTGTTGTGTAGTGCAACGCATGTGAGATGACCACCAAAAATGCTATGCAACAAACAATAAGCAACAACAACTCTCTCCACAAACAGATACAACACAGGCCATCTACACCATTCCCTATCTCTCTTTTCTTTCTTCCTTACCTTCTTTCTTTTCTATTGCTCTGACCAACCAAGCGGGTTTTATACACAAACACAAAGACACCAAAATAAATAGGGGGGGAAAGCGATAAAAATACCGGCTGATCTTGTAATTGGGACTCAAACCCTGATATCCCTCTGTCCAAATATTTTTTTTTTTTTTTTTTTTTTTTTTAGCAATGATATGCATTGACACATGCAGTGGAGTTGCAGATGGAGCGCCTCATCATGTGATATATCACGTGAAGGCACCCGCCTTCTTTTCATTTTTCTCATTTTAACTTCCTCAATGGCTCAATGACACTGACCTACAACGACGACACCGAGGACAAGTAGACACAGCAAAGATGCAGAATGCGCAATTGATCAAACAAGGAGCTGAGGCAGTACGTGTCTCTTTTTTTTTAATTTTTTTATTCATTCATTTTATTTATTTATCCTTTCTTTTTCCCTCTGTAGTTTTTAAAAGGAATATGGCAGAACAACATGGAGGACCTATTTTCATATGTGGTGAAGAACATCTTTTAAAGGATTTCTTTATTATTATTCTTAGAAAGTATACCTTGCCCCGTTTTGTGGACGTCAAACTATCATCAAGGAAAGGTTCGCCAAAGCGTACCGTCACCCAACATTGGATAAGAAGCTCACATCACGGCGAGTTATTCAGGTATTATGATTATTATTATGATTAAAGAGAGAGAAAAAAAAAAAAAAAAAAAAAAAAAAGTCTTTGACAGGAACTAATAGCTCATCCATATCTCATAAATATCTCTCTCCTCTTGTCTTTTCTTTAAAAGGAAGCACGATGCCTTAACAGATGTCAAAAAGCACTCATCGATACACCAACTGTTTACATGGTGGATGTTGAGAATTCATTAATTTATATGGAGTATATCCAGGGTATTTCTGTACGAGACTACTTGGTCACAGAAGAAGGCTCGACTACAGAGACACAACAACGAGTTGCAGCGGAAATTGGAAAGGCGTTAGGATTGATGCATAATATTGATGTGATCCATGGTGATTTAACAACATCCAACTTGTTGTTAAGACAAAATTCTTTTGATCCTGATGCTGATTCTGATGCTACTGCTACTGCTGCTACTGTTGCTGCTACTACTGGACCTGCTGGATATGAGTCTTTGGTATTGATCGATTTCGGTTTAAGTTATGTCAGTCAATTGATCGAAGATAAGGCTGTCGATCTTTATGTCCTTGAACGCGCCTTCACAAGCACACATCCTAATACAGAAGTTATGGTAAAAAAAAAAAAAAAAAAAAAAAAGCTTATTTTCCTTATTCACAAAAGGCTTTTTTTTGGTTTGATCAAAAAGTCTGATTTTTATTTTTTTTTCCTGTAAACAGTTTACACAGATCCTTGAGGCTTACAGCCAGAGTTGCAAGACATCCAAGCAGATTCTCAAGAAATTAGAAGATGGTAAGAGTATAATTATCCCTTGGATATTTATTAGTCTGTATAGTAGGGCAACGCGAATTGATCGAATTCATGTCTCCTAATCTTTTTTTTTTTTTGTCTACCCCCTTTTTCCCTTAATAGTGCGGTTGCGCGGTCGTAAGCGCAGTATGCTAGGTTAGACTATAGGGGAGGAAATACAAAATAATAATAACAATATATAATAATATTTAAACTTCTGCCTACTATGTCTTGCCAATTTTTTTTTTTACTTTATTTTATTTTTTTATTGTACAATCAAGGGCGAAAGAGAGATATATAATGGCGTGGATAATATGCGGAATCGATGTAATATGAAAAGTTGCTTGAAGTCATCACGGAATCAAAAGAACGCGTAAAAAAAAACCCCCCTGTCATGGATGAGGTCTTCCGAAGTAATTTGTCCTGCTTAAATAGATAGTCTACTCTCGCATTTTGATCCAATTGTCTCTGTTCAATAAAAAAAAAAAGAGTTGGTAACTTCTATCCCAGTTCAATCCTTTAAAAGGTGACATGTTCCGTTGGGTTGTGGGGTCTAATCTTGCTGTGTCTTGGTCTCATGAGAGGATGTAACTGTGCCAGATATGTAATGGACCACCTATAAAGTAAAAAAAAAAAAAAAAAAAAAAAAAAAAAAAATGAGTATCTCGTGCCATCGACAACCGTGTGATCCAAAACCATAGATAGGGGTAATTCCGTTTGCCTATTGTAAGTCAAGCGATGGGTGTATAAACTATATAGCTTCTTACATCAGGAAACAGGAGACCAATGTCATGATCAACGCAGTGCGAATAACCCTAATGGAAAAAGTAAAGCCAGGTATAGTCCATAATAGAGTAGGCAGAGATGTGTTAATTCAACAAAAATAAAATAAAATCCTGACGACACTGTTTTTCCATGCAAATGTTTTAAAGTACGTTTGGTTTGGTCCGCGTGGAGTAAAAAGATAGGATGCAGACGACAAGGCAACAACGACGGCAAAGACAAAGACAATCAAAAGGCCACCCATGTTATGTAATATAATATAGTATGAATGCTTGTTTGTGATGAATGATTGAGGAGAAAAAGACAAGGAGATGCTATGGGAAGAAGGAGAAAAAGGGGGATGTTGATGTAGTTGCATGTCCCTTGGAATTACTTCCTGTTGCTCGTGACCTGCAGGACACAACCTTGAAATACAAGAACGTCACATGGAAACAAAGTAGAAAAAAGAAAAAAAAAAAAAAAAAAAAAAAAAAAAAACCTCTCTCTTTGATCATTATCCCACTTGGCTCTTTTTCACTCATTACAACATTAGTAATAATCAAAGTCTTTTACCTTTTTTTTTCCTCAACAAAAGCGAAACACACAGAGTCATCAAAACGTAGATATTTTTTTATTAATAATAATTTTAAAAGGACGATAATATCATAAACTCAAAGATGTCTAGGCGAAGACAGGTCTCTTCTGATATCTTGGCAGAACTTCCTGAACTTGAGGAAGGACAACGCTTCGCAAGAGTTACTAATGCACGTGGAAATAATATTCATGAGGTTCAGTATCAGGATGGTCAAGGATTGCTAGTCAATTTGCCACCGAAATTCAGGAATCTTGTCTGGGTGAAGCGAGGTAGGCTTGTCTCAATTATGATTTACCTATTCTTTTAGGGAAAGCTGGGCAACTAATGATTTTATTCATGACAATGCCTAATCGATATATAGGAAGCTATGTTATCATTCAACCCGCAGATGAGGAAGACAAGACTAAAGTCGCTGGTGATATTGTAGCTGTTCTCTTCCCAGATCATATCAAACAGTACAAACAGAAGGGTATCTGGCCATTTGAGGATCAGCTTCCCTCCAATGCTGTCGAGGGAGATCCAAATGGCAACGAAAGTGGCAGTGAAAGTGACAAGGACAATGACCTCTTTGTGAACAACAACAGAGTTGTCCTTGAAGAAACTGACAGTGATACCGATAGTGACAGTGATGATGAACATTATGTGAGCACCAGGGTCATCGTCGATGATTCTGACAGTGATACTGATAGCGAGGAGGAGGAGTTTAGAAGAAGAACAAAGTAGCCCGCCTCTGCATTAACATTACCCATATTCCGTATAAGCTCTATGACATCTGTTCCTTTACCTACTTGAGTCGATACCAGACTGATATAATCTTTACAATCAAAAAAATAAAATAAAATAAAGAGTACAAATATATATCCAGAACCTATGCCTCTCCCTATGCTGGTCAAGAATCATCTTGTTACGAACGATCCCAACCGTTTTGTTTAGTAATAGACATTTAAATCACATACTAGGTTGCTCTGATATCATTGACGCGTATTGCTCCCACAAAATAAATTGCGCATAAAATCTGTGTGCATTATTTACCGCAGCACATAATCGCACATCAAGCCATTAAAGCGCGACTTTGGTTATGTATAAAATATCCACACCAACACAGCTTTGTAACTAGTATTGTCTAGATTGACAACCAGGAATAATGATAGTCATAATACTCAAGAGCTAATATTGAATGCACTAAGATAGCGTAGCGACACACAAATCTGGCGTCCATTTATTGGCCACAGCTGGCCGATAAGGAGGCCAGCAGCTCCCATCATTTGCTGAATAATTGTTTTATTGCATTAATAGTATACTTTTCAGGGAGAAGACCAGGAGCACTCGTTTAGTTCGCCTTTATCATTAAAGAAAAATCACGCATTTGCTTATAAACTTGCTAAAGCCTCTTTTATTTTAATATCTAAATACCTGTCCACAGATCTAAAAGTAAAGTGTATTACAGAAGTACACAGATTAAATAGAAGAATACTTTCAATCTGTCCCTGAATTCATCCCTCTATTCGCTCCATAAATTAATGCTGTCTCATATTCATTCGAGAACCAAGCTGTGCATCTCCGACGCGGGACCTCCTTATGTCATCAAAAAATGGGTGAAGCAGAGCTATATAGAGAAAGCACAAATAAAGCAGGAAAAAAAAGAGATAGAAAGAAAGAAATAAAGAGTGTGAGAAAGTGAGAAGGCGCCACAAGGTTGAACAACGAAATATTTAGGAGAACGAGGACAAAAGATAGATCTTGATTAGTCACTCCAAGGATTTACTCCGCAAAAGACTAACGCTTGGAATATGCTTTTTTGCATTACCTCGTTTTGCAGAGATCCTTTTTGATGGATCGTATTCGATCATCTGATCTAGCAAATCGATCCCCTCTTGATCCAAGTCTGGTACTACAGTCTGAAGAGCTTGACGATCCCAGTTTGGAAACTGTGTTTTGTAGTTTTTTAATTTTTCGCAGCCTGGCCAGATCTCCGGCGTGGGCGTTCCTCGTAACTTGAATATTTTAAACAGCTCATCAATTTCAGAATCGCCTAGGCCAGGGCCACAGATCCGTGACACAACAAACAAAGACAATAAGAAAGAAAGGAATGCAACAGAAAGAGAGAGATAGTAAATTAAGAATAGCGGCAAAAAAAAAAAAAAAAAAAAAAAAAACGTTGCTCCCCTTGACTTACCTGGAAAAAGTGGTCTTTTCGTGATCATTTCTGCAAAGATACATCCTACACTCCACATATCGACCGCGGTTGAATAATGTCTTGATCCCATCAATATTTCTGGGGCACGATACCATAGCGTCACGACCTCATGGGTATACGTCCTCAATGGGATACCAAAAGCACGCGCCAGCCCAAAATCCGCTAGTTTAAGTGTCCTCGTCTCATCAAGAAGCAGGTTCTGAGGCTTGAGATCCCTATGTAAAATGCGTCTTGCATGACAGAACTCAATCCCTTGTAGTAGTTGATAAAGGAAGTCCTAATGTCATTTATGAATATATATTGACAGCAAAAGCGAAATGTCGCTTGATTAGATAACAATCATCGATCATTTCATAATAAGCATTTATCAATCCTCCTTGATCAAACAGAGTATCCTTGATTTTGTTTCACTTTCATATTTCAAGAGATCGTTTTTCTTTATCAGATCAGATCAGAAAATAATGTAGAACTACTATCATTATTATTATTATTATTTTACCTTGACTTGATCTATAGGCAGACCTGTGGAGGTGGTACCGGGACGTGTGTCCATATACTTTTTCAGATCCAAGTCCAGAAACTCAAATACCAAATACAACTTTGATTCTTCATGAATGATATCAAGCAATCTGAGAATCCCTCACATTGGCGTTTTTTTTTTTTTTTTTTTTTTTTTTTTTTCAATTGCACCAACATCGCCAAGATCGAGAATAAAAAGGATGGAAAATAGCTTAAAAATCCACAAAACTTGGCATATGCTAAGCATTTCACTAATCCATCACTTCAAAATGAAAAGTCTGATTTGATTCTATCACTCACTGAACTACATTGACATGCCGAAGTTCCTTTAGTAGTGAAATCTCCCTAATGGCTGTGCTAGGGACACCTAAAAGATGGATCCAAGCATGAAAATGGATTTAAAAAGAAAAGGTATTTGCTTTAACTACCACTTTGTCTGTCGTAAAACATCCTTTCTTTTCTTTCCTTTTCTTTTCTTTTCTTTTTTTTACCTTCGTCCTCATTCTCTAAACGAATCTTCTTTAACGCCACTACTACCCCTGTCTCCTTATGACTTTTTAAACACAAGATGTTGAAATGAGTATACACATTAGGGGGAGCCAATGTATTCCATGTTGTCTTCCTTCTTCCGTGAATGACATCTTCGCATTGTAACATTCAGCATTGCCTCCACTGTCTAGTTTTTAACTCACGTTGCTTTGTAAACAATGCCGTATGTTCCTTCGCCAATCTTTTCTATTTTTTGGTATTTAATAAGACCCGGTGTCTCAGTATGCATAGTTCAAAAGATATGGTTTGAGTTGGTCTGAAGGGTGGGAAGGCGTTGACAGAAGGCCGAAAGGAGATAATATTACGGGCGAAGTAGAAGAGCGAGTAGAAAAGGAGCTGTTGCACTGTTACAAAAGAGTCTAAACATTTTTTATTTTCTTTGGGCTTGATTAGACACGCGTGTCTGGCAGTGTTTTCATAATACAAAAACGCAGTCTCCTTTTTTCTTTTAATTAAAGCATTCATAATTTAGTATAAATTAAGCCCTTGACTCAATCTTGATCTATGAATCGTAGGAAACCTTTCCTCAGTTTTATTCGTGTCTCTATTTCTTTATAGTTACAATTCCTTCTTTGTTCCTGATTTGGCATTCTTCTTGACATTCTTTGGAGCAGATGGAGCTTTGGCTGCTGAGCGCTCCTGATCACGCTTGTTGTAGATCATTGTCGTGAAGGGTCTATGAAATTATACCACAAAGACAGAACAAGATTCATATATTATTCGCTGGTCTCTTTTTCGGAAGGGAATAAAAAAAAAAAAAAATAAAAAAAAAAAATCATCCGCGCTGAGCGATCTATTGAATGAATGAGTATTTTTGGGTCCTTACCCTTCAAACTTCAAGGCGATACGGTAGACGAAATGGACAATACAAGTCAAATAGATCCCGGCAGGGCTCAAGGACCTAAAATATCCATATATATAGCAACAATGGTATCGATAGTGTCAATGTTATTGGCGTTAGTGGTCTGTTGGGTACAAAACTGTAGGGTATCCTGGAATAAGGGCCTTAAACCGATTCCTTTTTGATCAATTACAAGACTTTTATTAAATAAAAGTCTTGCAATTGACTTGAATAGATGCAAAAAGGAAACCAGTTACAAGCTCCTATTCTGAAATAAATGAAAGGATTCGATTTTGATAAAAATGTACCAGAGAGCAGTTCCCAAAAAGATCATCACTGTGCCATTATACATGGGATTGTTGTTAACATTAAAGGGAAACGATGTAACACGCTCATCCATCAAAATACCAAAGTAGTCGCCTATAGTCAAGAGAATGAATCATTAGTAAAAAGAAGAAGAAAAAGAAAAAGAAATTGGAGCATTAGCATGTACACGTGTGCGAAACAGTTAGCCCCACGACAACATAGTTTTCCTTAGACTCCAAATGCCCCTGAAGGCTGATTTTCATTGCTCTTTGAGCTCCATCTTACCAAGATAGGTGCCAGTCACCCCGAGCACCCACATTGAGGAAAGTACAAAGAGGTTTCCAACAATAAGGCAGAGCCAGGCTAAGACTTGAATAGGAAGGATATTCATGCATTCTGCCTTGGGCTGATTATCAATAGCATGCTTGAAGCTATCGCCACCGAAAAAAAAAAAAAAAAAAAAAAAAAAAAAAACAACAACATTAGTGTTCTCGCTCGGACCGTTCAGCCCATTTAGAAAGATCAACAGAGATATTTTAATTTTACATTGCATCACGGATCAGACCGAGGGTGAAAATAGTGGCGGCAAGAGCATAGCATCCGTAGAGTGAGTTGCCGTTGAACAAGCGGGTAATAAACTTTGAGCGGTACTCTATATAGTAACACCAGCAACAATGAGATATGATGCAAAAAGTAAGTAAACGATAAGTATTCGATTGTAAATCTATAATCCTTTCTGCGCCGTCGTAATTTTTTTAGACCATGCTTTTTTTTTAAGCCTTCTCTCCGATGGTCAGCGGTCAGTCAACACACCTTTTCTCGCGACGATGTTCCAGAAGGTTGGATTGAAGATGATGGATGCTACTGAAAACCACATGCGTTTGTCACTCCAGTCAACGCGGAGTCGTGAATCATTGTAGCACTGCCGAATGTCCATGGTTGATTAGTGAATGCAAGAATGGATGAACGTGCGTGAATGAGATAAAGAAAAAAAGATAAAAATGAAACTAAAAAAGCGTACTTTCTTTTTTTTCGTGGGGAAGAATGACAGTCAACAGCATCTGGTGAATATCTTGTGTAGAGTCTCAAAGTTTCGTTTATTCCCCCAGTAAAAAAATTGAGTTGGAAGCAGATCTCAGATCAGACACCTGCATGTGCAATAAACACGCTCGTGTAATGTGCGCCATCACGTGTAGCAATCGCGCTATCCTCATCTAATTGCCTGGGGCAAATTATACCTTTTATTCCTCGTCCTCATTGACCTTGTTAACCTCTTTTGTGCTGTCAAAAACCTTGACCTTGAATCTAGAAATGTTCCCCTTTCGATCAGTTTGGAACGTCCCCAAAAGGTCCTGCTTCATTCCAAAGTCTCGGAACTCGAGCTTGAACGAGTCATAATGATAATGCTCCATTTTGCCCTCGAAGCAATTAATCTTAAATCGCAGTGCCTTCTCTTCTTCAGCGTCCTGTTGGATTGAAATGTCACCATAGACTGGATGCTTGTACTTTCCTGTAAATGCACTTAGCCCATGCGATGGCATCTTGCCCTTGATCTGTGCCGGTATATCGCTTGCGGCGGCACGATTTTTCAATTCGTATGTGTTTTTTGAGTCAACTGTGGAGATGGTGATCCAATTGTTGGCTCGTTGAAGATCAAGAAGCTTATTAGCAACGTACAGAGGAACATTTGAAATGAGGCCCACTACATCGGTGTTTACTAACTGAGCGATGACCAAGTCGTGATCGACAAATACCATCAAGCTTGCGCTGAATGAGGATATTAATCCATCTTGAAAGTACTATTTTTAAATAGAATGACATTAAACGATGCAACCAAGTGGACATCACCATAAAAATATACAAAAATAGATATATATATAAATGTTATATTGTACATGTATATGTATATACTTACTATGCATTATAAAGTTTTTCCCCTTGTAACCGCCCAAATTCCAGCCGAGGTCATTACTCAACGTCGATAACATGTCCGGTTCACGACTGCTCATGTTGAAGAGGTTATGTGCTCTAATAATTTCTTGGATGCTTTCTTTATTCAAAACTTGCTGCCCATTTATCTCATCCAGTTTCATGATCGTCTGACCATATCGAACAAGATCAGATACATTGGAATACAAATCACCAGCTGGTGCACATGCCCCACATATATCGAGCAAAGGTCCCACTCGATGTCGCTCATTTACTGCATCCTCGAATGAATCACTCTCATACGGTAGGGCATAATTATTAAAGTGCTTCTTCATCTCAAGTTGACCGAACCCAGTGCTCTTGAGTCCCAAAGGTTTGAGAACCTTTTCTTCGACAAGAGCTTCGTATGCAACTCCTACAACGTTTGCAGCTGCTTCTCCAGCGACAGCATACATGAGATTGTTATAGTTAACTGAGGTCACTGCCCTTTTGCCTTGCGTTTTAGCGAATCTTAAGCGTTTGATCAGATCCCGTCGCGACATTTTAGCTCTATACCATGCGAAGTCATAGTTACGCAAAGTCTGCATTTTTTTTTTAAAAAAAAAAAAAAAAAAAAGGACGATGTTGGGTAGATCCATCATCAGTAAGACACATACAAGCTTTCTACTATAATATGATGTATTGTTAGCTCACGGATGCTTCCTTTAACATTACCGTCCGATGGGATAACAGATCGGCTAGAGTTTATTGCGAAGAAAGGAAGGATCCTCCAACTTAAACTCAGAAAGGTATTCCGAGACAGGAGTCTTGTCCCAGTCAATTTTACCTTCTGCAACCAATTCACCAATGGCGGTGGCAGTAAAGGATTTCGTGATCGACCCACTGGCATCACAGTCTATTGAAACATTTTTTTTAGGTTTATTGGCAACAAAAAGTGGGGCGCTTTTTTTTTTTTTTTTTTTTTTTTTTTTTTTGCGATGGATGTTCTACAATATATTTATGAGTACATATATATATGCATATACTATAACATACCTCCGCTAAAAAGGGATCACTTTCGTTTCTCCTTCCAAAACCTTTAGCAAAAACTATATCTCCCTTGTAGAGAATAGCCGCGTTCATTCCTGGGATGCCATTTTCAACTCTAGCTTTCTCTAGGATGGATCGCAAATCTGAAAGCGGGGCTATACTAGTAAACGTTCGGGCGGGCGAGAATAGCAATTGGTGCCGAATAGATCGAGTCATCTTAAGGATATGTCCCAAATTCGTGAACACCCCTAAGGGGCAATAAGGAGCTAAAATGATAGCCATGAGTGTGGAATAGGAAAAACGGAAGGGGAGGAATGTGGACGTTTGTTTTAACAATCCTTAAGCATTCTGTAGCCCTATTTATAGGGACAGGAAGGAATAAGAACATGGGGGTCAATCGTAACCATTGATTCAGAACAAACAATTCAGCCCAGCGCTTCATTCAGCTTCTGGTTGAACAACCTCAAAGTCGTTTAAAATAGGAAATTTTCCAAGGTGCATTTTTCTTGAAAGTAGAAAGTGTATGATTGATAGTCACAAGACACGCGTCTAAGAGTGATCCCGATGTGTACGCCCAAGGAGTTTTGGTTAGATGAAGGCAAGTTCGTCATTACAGTTGGATGCTGAAGTTACATTGAATAACTGAAGACACTTCCCTTGTCATTACGAATTTATCCTTCTATTAATCGAAATGACCCCAGAAAGAGCGCGTCACACCGAGCTGATGTTGAATAGATGTAGATCCTTTGTTGGGCTGCCAAGTGAATCCAATCATTAGCGATCAAATAAGAAGGACTACAGGCTCATATGCTATCACGGATATTCTCAAAAGGAAACCGTAGCAGATAACGCTTGGGCTTAATAGGCTGGATTGTTCTAATCAGCACAGCACACGCGCAGCACAGTCCATCCTTTCGAATGACTTGTCGATGAAATAAAATTTAGCAGCTAATTATCAACTAGAGGTTTCAAACCTAAACTCTGTAACAGATCTTGAAATATTATCTACTTGCTTTCCTTCCATCTTGTAGAAATTCCTCTATCCAAAAGACTTGCAAACATTTTCCCCCCACCTCGTCCCAAGGACTAGTCTGATAGAGTCGAGACCTGCAAGTAAGAAACTCATGGATTTGAAAGACCAGGCTATAAAGATGTGAATCGGGTGTTAGATGGTCATTGGTGAAGTGCTTCATTGATATATCCATTTGTTTCATGACAAAGAGAGCACGTGAAGGGTACCTGAAGAGACATTGATCGCCAAGCATTTTCCGAAATATCCTCCGAGGATGATACATATATAAATACTACTATCGATTTAGAAGACCAAAAAAAATATGGGATTGGTTTTAGTTCGGACCGACCAATATGGACAATATGGACGGGTAAAAAATCGAGGCAAAATGAACATGGGAAAACTGATATGACCTTGAAGCTATATGCTCAAAGAGTGTTGAATATTTTTTTTTTTTAAGTCCCCTTGATTTCTTTCCTTTCATCTAACCTCATCAAATTGATATCACTGGTGAAGGAAAAGGCAAGGAGGACGGTATCTTTACTACACTAAAGAACTGTTTACAGAACCCAAAGCCTATCAAGGAAGCATGATCAAATTTATCTTGTCCTGCAAACATGTGCAAAGACAAAAAAAGCGGCAATCATTAAATGCATTGCATGTCCATACGACTCGGCTCCTTTTCTTTGAGCACATAAGATAAGCTGCTATTCGTTCTAAAATATAGCTCTAATCTTCGTAGTTTAATGAAAAATGCCCTTATTGATGATCATAGTCTGCACGCACCGACATTTCTTGTGCATGTTTGTGAGGTTGTGTATCCACATGTTTAGTTTAGAGATCACTCAATTGTCTTTTTTAGAAAAAATAAACTCGATCTCAGAGAACAAATGAATAAGGAGTTTGAATTGAATACAGCCTTATTATTCAGCTTATTCAGTTACATCAACATCTTTGTTTCTAGTGTATAATCATAATCAACCCACACAAGCAGGTTTTTCGCTTGACAGGGACCGAAAGGTTAGGAAAAAATAAAAGAGTATTGTTATTTATTTTACATCTGGCCTGGGTGCCTTTTTTTTTTTTTTTTTTAGTCTCCGTCAACGGCATGACATCTTTATTCTTGTGCTTGTGCTCGAATGGATGTGGTCAATGCAAGTGTCATATTCGTTTGTCCTTAGTTTCATATTCCAATCCTTGTGCTAGGGTCCTGTCCGTGGTTCGCTGGATGTGCTGGGATTGGATGGGAGGTACAAACCGTAGGAGACTTGTAATACATGTATACTTTGTATTAGAAAAAGAACAACGAAACACGACTCGAATCGACCTCACAGCAGAGAAAACAGGGTAAGAGGCGCATAATGTGCTTGATAAACCATTCATAGAGGATAAAACAATAAGGCGGTAGGAAGACATCAGATGCCAGACACAAAAAACCTTGCTCGTTACAAGTATGCGGGTGCAGGTGCACAGTTTTGTTGGTCCTGTTCTCTGTCACCTTACGTTTGTACAATGTTCTGTGTCTGTGTTTAGTTTAGTAACAACAGAGGGGGTTGATCAACTATGTCTGTTTGCTTTTCTTTCCTCCACATCCCACACAACCCCTCAGCATCCCGTACAACTCAACCCAATTCACCCACAAGTTTGGCATATCGACACTGGCTCTTACTCGTTTCCCCCCACACTCTTTAGGGGGTGGGATAGAAGTAAGATGAGAATAGAAAAACAAGAGCAAAGGGTGGGAGAAGGCACGGGCGGAAATGAAAATGCTGGAAAACAGCAGAATATCAAGAGGTCTCTTTTTTTCTGCGCTTTTTGGCTTCCCATCTTGCCTAATAACGTCCTCATTGACTAGATTATTCATTTTGATCATTGTTCACTGTCTATCGGTTTGTAGAATTGCAATTGACTGATGCTGGTTGTTTAATATATGCTTTATTAATGTAGTTATAAGAATTAGTCGCTTTTTTTTTTTATTTTTTTTTTACCAGTTGGCTCGGCTCCATGCTTGGGATCATCATCGTTGATGTATTATTTTCATAAATACGTTTCCGCTGCGTTACTTTCTGCGCGTCTCAGTGGATCCCCTTACCTTGATTTTATACCGCCAACATTTCAATACGCTGGGACAAGTTAGAGCAATTCAAACTAGAGCTTGCTTGAAGCAATTGAGCTTGCAGGACAAACGAAACGACGATAGACAGTAGATGTCTAGTATAATTAGAAATAAACGAAGGAAAGGTTCGATATTGAGGTATGTAAACTGTGATGTTGTTGGGGTGGTATGTTTGCTTTCCTGCATGTAAGGTTTTTTTTTTTTGGCTTTGCTTTGCTTGGATAGGGTTGATGGAATGGGGGTGGGGAAGATTCTTTACTTCTCTCGTTTTAAAACCCCCTCTTCTCCCTCTTGTTTCTTGCTTGCTCTTTGCTCTCTCTTGTCCCTCTACTTCTTCAACTTTTCAACATACCTTTCGACGCTTTATTCTGCAACCATTCTTCATTCATTCATTCTTTTTTATTTCATTGTGTCATCCGTTCATTCCATTCATACAAACATAACGCAATAATATTAAAAAAAAAAAAAAAAAAAAAAAAAAAATTATAAATATTTATATCCCCTTTTTTCTTTTCGTCTTTCAATTGATTGACAAAAGGTTGTATCTTTCTTTTCTGTCTTTCTCTTCCTCCACATCACCACCCTTACTCACTCAACAATTATCCGCTCCTACTCGGAACATTTCGAAAGCAACAGGAAAATATCTGAAGGAGAAAAAAAAAATCGCCATCTTGCAATTATCATTATCGTCATCACACTGTATACCCAACAACAGTTTTTCGCTTATTCACAATCCAGAAAAAAAACACTAAAATCGCATCATAGCTGGATACAATGACAATGACAAGCCAGCCATTGATAGCTTCTGTTTGTGTGGATTACCTCTCACACCCACTCTCAACTGAGAACCTCCTAGTTTGTTATCAACAAATCACTCGCCAGATCGCGCACGCACCACAGAGCGCCAAAGATGCTGCCATTTCTTTCCAACATCAGTCCCAGACCTTGGTTGAGTTGCTGGGTCAGTACCAAAACCTGGCTATTCCAACTACTAAGGAGCGTCCAGCCCCAGTAGGCTGTCAATCTCAGTTGAAGCGCATGCAAAATGCACTATGGAGGCGGTCTTCTCAATCAAGTCTGGCCAAAGATGTGGCCCTCGTACATCCGGAAACATTGAACTGGTAAGGGACAAAAAGGGAACGGCGGGTTGCCCTAAAAAGAAACTGACCTGCATTGCGTTGTACCAAACACATTGATCATTTTATCTATCCACGTTGTTCTCCAATGTCCTGTTCATTTGAATGCATGCGTGTGTATAGATGCATGTATTGGGCCTTATCTTGACTGTGCCCTATTTTGTCCCATCGGACAGAATAATTTACTCTGAGCATTTGGGTTGACCATTTTCTCTCTTGCCGTGAGACACAAAGAAGGCCTCTATCTCCTTTTTCAGGCCATACCATTCCCCCATTTTGAATTTTTTTTTTGTGCATGCGTGTATGTGTATGACCGAATATGTAGACCCACGGTTGCATTTCCCTGTGTTTCTGCACCTATCCGTCTCTTCATTTCTTGTCCTCATGCCTCATCTCATGCCTTTGGACAGAGTCTGCATGCATCCTACTATTATGCGATACCATGTTATGCACTGCCAATTCCTATCATGGTTTGCCTTACAGGACTCGAGTGTTTTTCAGTAGAGAATGACACTTATTCGGTGCGCTTTCCCGGTGTCCCTCGACCATTTCCACATTTTTCTTTTTTGTTGCGTAAAATGTGTTTATTTATTTTTCTTCGATTCCATTTTAGCAGCTATTGCATTTATTATATCTAATGCATAGTGCATAGTGCATTGTGCATAGTGCATAGTCCATACTTTGTTTGTATATTAGTGGGTTTAGTAGAGAAGGTGAACAACATTCATCCTCCGAATACAATACCTTTTTTCTTTTTCCTTATAATCATTGAGCTTTGGCCACTTTATCGCGAATTCTGCATCTCTGGTTGGCTGTCACAACACTTGGCTCAAGCTTTTGCCTCCTCAATCTCTTTTGTGTCCTTGTGTCCTTGTGTTCTTGTGTCTCTGTTTCTGTGCATCCTCTCTATCTCCTGTCTATCATTCCTTTTTTTTTTT